GCCCCTGTCTTCGCATACGTCAGACTGAAATGGTTCTCGCCTTCGTCGAGGAACCGCCTCCCCTCGACATTAACCATTACCGAGTAGGGGAAACTATACCGACTCATCGAATCGGTATCCGCCGGAGAAAGCACCTTAGGCGCATGCAAGTCATGCGGCGTGGCATGGCATCCACCAAAGTGACCGGCTACCCCGGCCCCCGCCGCAACAGCCTTCTCCATCAACGTCCCCGTGTTGAAGCGGCTCCCTCGCAGGGAGACCAGATCCCATCCCTCGCCTAGATACTGTCGACGTAGGCGAGCTGAGGCTTCGAACCCGCCACAGCCTAGGATGACTTGCTCGGCTAGGAAGCTAACCGTGGCTTGGCGCTGACGGACCCGGACGCCCCGGATGCTATCACCGTCGAGGATCAAATCGGATACAGGACTGGCGTGGAAGATAGCGATATCGGTACGCTCGACCGCGGCCCATAGGGCTTTCATAAGTCCTGTCCCCTCGCCAATAGCCATGATGGTATCCCAGGGCGGGAGATCAACCACACCCTGTGCACGGATGATATTCTCGCGATCAAAGAACTTCCCTAGTGGGAGTTGCCACCGCACACCGAGGGTATCTTTCATCCAAGATACCGTATCCATGGCTTGTTCCAACATGACGGCGATCTGTTCCCGATCTCCCTGGCCTTTACTCGTGCGATGAAGATCTCCCCGGTATGTCTCCGCGGTGTAGGGAGCCATACGACAATACTTCACATCGTCGAGGGAAATGGGATCGAGGAGAGGAGTCACGGAGGTGAGTCCATCATGCGGGATGCGGAAGATTCCTGACGAGAATCGACTGTTTCCGCCGCGTTCAGCCTGGGGAGCGGCTTCGAAGATGGCGACTCGGGCGCCGGATTGATGGGCTGAGAGGGCCGAGACGAGGGCTGCGTTGCCGCCTCCGACAACGATCACGTCGAAGTGGGTGGGTGGGGTGGTGATTGTCATGGTGATGTTCGGGTGGTAATGGAGTAATGGAAGTAAAGTGTGCTTCTAGGGTTCTGGATGTTCAGACGAGTCGAGTACCCCTCTCTATACATAAGCCAAGAGCAGAGTGAGTGGACTGTTCCCCGGGAACAAGCTAGATCCCTTATTCTAGAGGATTCTCTTACTCCGTCGGCCCGGGACTGCATAGCATATTGTCCCCAGACCTTGGCAAACACTGCCGATCCTTGTTTTCAGGATGATCCCGTCGCTGATCCCATCCCCGCACCAGGACTAAGCTGATGCATTTGCATCAGCATGAAATTACTCCGAACCCTGGCACAGAGCGAACACTGCCTTGATGGCGTGTTGAGTGAAAAGAAACTATTCAATAGTTGAGTCTGGGGGGTGGAAACAGGGAAGCAGACCCGTAACCTTATTTAGGTGGGATCTGGGCTATTAATGGGATAAGATATTACAGATACAAGTCAAATCCCGGTTTAGACATCATGCGGGCGGGATTTGGTGTGATGCTTACAACAGGACATGACCTCAATCAGATCAACCACATCTGGGTTCATCCGACACATTCTAGCCCACTACAGCAGTCACATACAATAATCAAATCCCGGTTCTCTTAACCCCGCATCACACCAGCAGGATTTGGTATTTGCAATACAGTAAAAAAGGGGTCCCGATATCTTGCGCGGCTGAGTGGCATTAGCATTGCCCTACTCGGCATCCTAATTTCAAGAAGGTGGTGACTAAACACAATCCACTGGTGATATTGAATCTCTATTATTAGATATGCATGCATTTATGAATTATTAAAACCTATTCACCTTGAAATTGTTCCATTAGCCAATAGGTATCTCTTTTGATCTGGTTAGATAATTCTATCATGAATTCCCGAAGGGGAAAAGAGCAGACACACAACCCTGTTCTAACCATATACATTGCAAGCTGGCATCATCATCTGGATAAAGTACTTCTAGCCGCATCCAATAGCCATACTGATTACGCCTTAGCCTCCACGCCCAAATCCTCCACAATCACCTTCAACCCCATTACAAACGTCAACATCGGCTAAAAGCAAAAACTCTAATTAACACAGCCTTCAGATCAAGGGACCAAAAATCAACTCACCCCACCAATCTGCAACTTGTACGCAGGATCATTCATCCACTTAATCCGCCTCACCAGCTCCGACAAAGTCACCTTGGCCTCTGACAAAGCCAACGCCTGACCGAGGCACTTACGCGCATGCATGCCAAAAGGAATATAATAGCCCTGAATAGTTCGTCAACAGACATTGCCCTGAATATCTTTATTAGTCAGACCCCATCACTCAGGGTTGAAATCACCCGCATCAGCCCCCCAGAGGTCTGGGTTGGTATGCACGCCGTAGGCATTCCACCCGATGTTAGTTCCAGGCTGGATGGGAAACTTGCCACCAAGATAGGCCGCCCGGGCAGAGGTGTGATTAATCATCTCCACCACAGGGGGATAGAGGCGAAGAACCTCGTAGATTACCGAGGTCAGGTAGGGCAGGTTTTGGACCGCGTCTGGACTTGAACTCAGCCGAGTGGCGTCGAGGACCTCACTGCGGAGACGATCCTGCGCTATCTATTTAACTCAGGTCAGTTCTGGGCGAGAGATTTCCCGTCAAATTAGTCCTAGACAAAGAAAACATACCGGACTCCTTCCCAGTTCCCACATCGCAGACGTGAGCAGGAATTCCGTATTATCATGACCCACCATGAATATCATACGGAGATTCGATCAATACTGAGAAGGTTTGATTACCCCGGTATCCAGAGCCTGCTTCAGACAATAAGACACCAGCGTGGATTATTTCTCAGTGGCCGACCCCGCAGTCGTTGCCACAATACCATCCAAGAAGCGATCAAATTCATTGATCTTCTGAAATGCCCGTATGCGCGAGGGCAGCAGCTTTGCCACTTGTTCTAGAACAGGGAAATACAAGAACCATCGGTTGAACAGGGCAGGAATAATCTCGCCCATCAATTCCAGATATGGCACTCGGGCTCGTTAATAGCCTGTATAAGATGCTTTAGTCATCACTCCTACATGAGCAGAGATAATGTGTGCCTACCTGCAAATCATATCCAAAGAGACATAAGGACATCACATCCTGGGTCAGCCTAGCCAGCCAAGGCATGACGAGGATCCCCTTGTTATGCCCAGACTCCTTCTGGGCTTGAATGAGCCGATCCGCCAGTCGATTCGCTTTCTGTTGAATAGGCCCGAGATCGAACTGCTGCACGATGCCTGGCTTCATGATGGAGGTGTACGTTGCCCAGTTGGCATGGCCGGAGTTGATGATGTTGTCGCCCGAAAAAGTGCCGAGGACGCCTCCAGGAGCGCGGATGTTAATCCCTAGTTTTGGATATACCTCATCATTGCGGAAGAGATCGGTCAGAAAATCAGGGTGTGTCACGAGGATATACTAATAACCGGTAAACCAGATTGTAACTGCGTCATGCTTTTTCAAAGGCTGTCAGATCCATCGATTGTAGACCTCTGGATGGCCTAGGTTCCATCAGATGGAGAGTAGACACATGTAGAGAGGGATTTGAGGGATGCCTTGTAGGATCAAACTAGGTACATGGAAGTACCACCACAGTAGGGTCGCTCCTGCCAGCCCCAGACAGCCAAATGAGGGCAGCAGTTCCATGGCAATACAGTATAACCGGTGCTATAGAATGAAAGTCCACACAAGAGATCAAGACCAACCGTTGTCACACGAGACTCGAAATGGATAGCACACTTTCAAATCCGGGTGGCTAGTGGTGTATGCCTTCTCGGAGTTGGAGTTGCAATTTGTATTCCAGCCCAGCTCTAGAGGAGTCATTTATGGTACACTGTAGTGGAGACTTGACTAACATGTTCTTATCAAAGCCAGCCATAGAGGCAGCAGCATTGAAAAAAGCAATGGAGGACAGTGTCCAGAAAACAGCTACATCAGACTTCCGTGTGATATCTAGCCTTTACAAACCGGATTTGAATATTTCAGAATCTAAGTTCTGATGATGATACTCCGGGCTCCATGCATTGCGAAAACCGGGCACAACTTGATGAGAGTCAGACTAGATCCCGATGCATCAATACCACTGGACGATCGTGGATAATTGATAACCTGAGACTCAGTATACGCACACCAGTCGAGGATGTTATGATGGCTCTCAATTCTCAGCTGCAGTCAGACCACTTATTCTTCGGGATTCCAGAGGTCCAAGATATCAGTGCTATTAATGCTGGACGTAATTGGCCCCAGGGACGGGGTTTGATCTCAGCTCAAAGCCTACGGAAAAGACATCATACTCTGTCAGATCAACCAATGATGCGATAATTTGGCTGGGACATGTCCTTTTAGCCGAGCAATTAGGTGTTATACTCCATGATGGCAATACAGGCCTCAATAAACACAGTAAGTAGTCAGTCTGCTATAAGAATTTTCATAGAATCCGAGATTACTGAGTTGTTCTACATCCTGTTCAGCGAAACGAACATTTATTCAATGCTATCTTGATATATACAGACAGATATATTCTTATATCTAATTCAAATTTTTTAACATGCTTGCAAATGCTATCTCCTTCAATCACTTGTCGGCTCTGTCTAACTATCAGACAGGTCAAGATGGGCCTATTAACAATACTTCTATCTCTGGTATCATCGACCTAGTAAACAATGACGCTCCAGATATGTAACACAGACCGGGTCAACATAAATCCTAATTCAGTCCAGGAACAGATGATGCCATACTTCCTTTCCATGCAACAGCTCTCAACATCATGCACATCCTTAAAAGCTACAGTGTCAACTGTAAAGACGTGGGCACCGTGGCCGAAGACATGCGGACGTTCTTGCCCAGAATCATGTCGTACATTGAAAAGCAAGAGCCAATCCGCATGGTTCTGCCTGCATTCCCATTCAAGTCACCCAATTATCAAGACAAAACCCTCGGTGTTCTTCCAGACCTAGCAGAAGAACTAGCCCTGCATCATCTCAATGGCCTGTGCCTGAATATCAGCCGGGTGTATAAGCATGGTGCTGAGGTTCACATCACATCTAATGGATTAGTATACAACAGTATGCAGCCCGAATCAAATAAGCATGGCTCATCCAGCTGACTGATTCCAGACCTCATGAACATATCCGATAAAACTGTCTGAAAGTATGGCAAAACACTCTGAAAGATAGCTGTTAAACAAAAGCTCCAACATATCCGCTTCATCCGACTTGCCAAACTCCTAGACCATCACCCATATTCCACTCAAGACCCTGAATCCGCCAAGGCATTCTATCTCGCTCATACCCCGTGCCTTTAAAGAGAGCTGACCATCCACTTCAGAGATCCCTCCTTCTCCCCAGACGCCGCAATCAAGACTGATATAAATATCTGTCTAACATATCGCGGATACATTAAGTTCCTTACCAAAGATCTGGCCCAAAAGGTGGTATCTAAAAGCAAACGGGCTCAAGCTACCGAAATCGCGCAGACCGCACGAAGTATGATTGTTCAAGGTCAGATGTTCGCCGCGGCCATCCAGGCCCAGCGAGGCAACTACGTTCAGCTCTCCATTCACGAGTCAGCCAAGGGTCGCAAGCTCTCCGTGCCCTTGATTCCACAGAAGCAGGGCATCATTAGTCACACACCCTGGCATTCGTGCGTTGCAGTAGGTGTCAACAGCTTTTACCGGGCTACACATGTCAATCAGGTCCGCGACACCCATGATCTCGTATATAAAGACGGTCGGCCCTACTGTTACAGAGAACGCTCCGAGCTATTCAACTAGGCCGAAAACGGCCTACAAATTCAATTCGAACATCTCTACCCCTGTGGGCTCATCATCCGCCCATTCAGTAATACTAGCCAGTCACCTTCCCTCCGCAGCCTCCCCATGCGCAAGATCCGACAACTATCATGCCACATGTCCCCAGTCATCTGCTGTGGATTTTCCGACACCAACAACAAAGACATATTCGTAGACAAAGCCGCCGAGCTAGGCAAAGTCACTGCCTGGAGCCAGGACATCATCGTCAAAGTCCGAGACTCCAAACGTCAAGACAAGAACAACAACAACATCAAATCCAACGAGGCCATGCCCATGCACTTCGACGGCATGTTTCGACTAGAATATAAAACCGACCCCACGACCGGCGAAACCAATCGCGTTCAAAACATCCCCTAATACCAGTTCTTCACCTGCCGAGCAACCGCCCCCGAAGACGACGGATACACGTTGTTCACCAGCTCCCGTCTATTCTTCCGGCACCTGCCCGCCCCTTGGTCCACTGAACGTCTTTAGAAGGTGATATAGGGCATGGATAATGACGGGTTCTGGGATACCAAGATATACAATCTCCCACTGGTGATTCCTTACCCGGTATCCGGACTGCCTTGTCTGTGCTAGCATCAGCCCTGGACAGTCAACGAGACTAAGTTCAGCACTTGCAATGTGACCATTCATAATGATAATGCTAGTCTGATTCCCCAGATTGATGATCTGACATATAATTATCGTGTGTAAGCGGTTTGCTTGGCAGGTAGGTGATGTGCTTATTAATGATAATATCTCGATACTTCATACCCGGACGGTATATACTAGTGATTGTGATTGAGAGCTTTGGAGGATTCATTGTGATTGAGCGTTTTTCTTGTATTGGAGTTTTGTCTTGTTGATTTCTCAACGAAGTTATCTACAGTGCTGTATTCTTCAACATCGATAAGCAGGTGCATCAGAATAATTATTAGGATTATTCCAGGATTACCATATCATCAAACCATTCACTCTACGCTTCTCGAGCCTCGTAAGCCTTGTAAAAAGATCTCATTGACTGTAAAAGAAGTAATGTGGTCTCATTTCCGCTCATAATGTTCATGATTTATATTTTTGATAAGTTGAGTAGTTGGGAACGGATGAAAGAAGCACCGGTATTGAGTTTTCCAGGATCCTTGGTTGGTTCAAGTTATCTCCTGTTACTTATAATAAGATGAACGCAAAGTTACAAGTAAAATCTTGATTAATATAAAGAGCATATTATTAACCTCTAACATAATATTTTCTATCATTACATAGTCCATCATCATCATTCACATAAACAAAGCAGCTATCCCACTCATGTAGACATAAATAGTACAAGGGATCTAAGCAATCGGAATCCCCGTCATAAGTGACACCACACCCTTCAGACCGAGAACATCCTCCAGATTAAGCCAAGAATACACCAGCTTATCCGATTGATCCTGATCATACGCCACATCATCCTGGATAGGTTTCTTGTTCTTACAGAACACGCGCAGCTCTTTACATGCGACATCGCCATTCTTCTTCAAGTATTCACGCATCACGTCGCCAGCGCTCATGACAATCCGACTGACGACCTCGGCTCCGCGGGATGCATGTCCCATATCAACAGCATTTTGGGCGGAGCCTTGCGCGACGTGATGCATGAGAAGGACGATGTTGGATATGAACGAATCATCGGGCATGTAGGCGGATGTGAAGTATTGGACGAATTTGTGGTGTTCTTTGTCGCGGATTAGGCGGAGTAATTCGATGGAGCGTTTGTGCATGCCGAAGTAGTTGTATAGGATGATGGGCTCTTCTTCGAAGAGCTTGGTCTTGAGGAAGGCGAGAAGCTGTAGGGTGTCGATGTTGTGGGTTTTGGTCCATTTCCGGGTAATGGTGAGTTCCGGATTGGCTTTTTGGACCTCCGTGGTGGATGTTTCAAGCTTGGATTTCTGTGAAAGCTCGTCTAGGATGCTGTCGATGTCACCAATTCCGCCATCTTTGGCACCGTTGACATATTGGGCGAAGAATAAGTTGGCGACGGCAGTGGTGGGCGTGAGTAGACGGGGATTCTTGCCGTCGGGTTTGTGGAATCGTTTGCTCCGGGAATCGCGGGCAAAATTGGCAGCGGATGAGATGCCGGTGGCTAACTCGAGCCGGTTCAGTGATTCCTTGGGGTTCTTTGGTCGGGAGCCAATGAAGATGTGAGACTCGCCGTGGATTTTAATGAAAGCATCCATGTCGGGCCATCTCAGGTCTTTGTGGGTGGGACAGTTGATGACGAGGTTGTGCAAGAAGGCCAGCTGTTGGACGTCGTACCATTGAGTGACGAGCTTCTGGCCGACAGATTGCATTCGAATGTTGAGAATGAACAGCATTAAGCCGCAGAGGATAGAGTGCTGCGAGAGAAGTGCATACTTGTCAGGAGGGGAGCCAGTTCTGTTCATTCCAGAGTGGATGCGAAGCTCTTGAAACAAATCCTTTATGATCCATGACTCCACGGTGAAATTGATATGCTGGATCTCCTCGTCACCCTCTTTGGGCCAGAATTTTGGCTGAGGGTATGTTTTCGACAGTTCCTGGCAGTCGTTGATAATCTTCTGAATACGAAGTCCAGACATCCGGAGGTCTCCAAATGCACCCTGGGTACTGCGTCGCATGACATGATGAACGTCGAGGAAGATCTGGGAGGCAAAGGTAAGCCACAAGGTGACCTTTTTGGTCTTGACATACTCGAGAAGGCCTCGAGTGATGGCGTCCTGAGTAGGCATCTGGACACCGAACGTGTCGATCATGCAAAACTCGGGCAAAATCGAAAGAAAGATGATTTTGTCTTCGTTGAACTTCTGACCCACAGACATCCGTTCTCTGTCCGCTTTAGGATCATAAGTGCCGAAGTAACCCTTTTTGAAGACTGGTTGCTCGTTGTCCTGGAGAACATCTGCAAAGGAGTCGAGGAGAGCCATTATCGGGACATAACAATAGTCTGCTATGTCGGCCATATGCTTATTGTATGGCAGGCCAATCTCAAAAGAAGGGTCATAGAGGTGCCGCGGGTAAGAGCAGCGAGATTGTAGACCATCCTCTGAACCTCTTCTCTCTTTCCCGGAAAGGTAGTGCGCCAGTCCGCCTCCACCTCCTTTACAAGATCTTGGGCAAGTTGCAAAGCACTGTCAGTTACGACGGAGGCGTTCATGAGGTCGATCTTCTTATCGCGGTAGTCTGCCCAGGTGACGGAAATAAACCGTCGCATGTTGTTCAAATATTGAAGTAAGCAGAGGGTCTTGAAGAACAAGTGACCCAGGTATGGGTCTGATACCTCATTCTCGTCCCCTTCATCAACCGTCACCTTGACGATCTTCTTCGATTCTACGAGCGTCGGTTGAGTTTGCGCAGTATCCTGGGGCTCCTCCACCGTGAGAACGGCAAATCGGTTTACAAACTTCTCGGCCTCGGTGTCATCATTTTGAGTCTCCAAAGTCGATGGTGTCTTAGCGGCTGGTTGATTGGTCTTCCATTCCAGGGTCTCGCAGATTTGCTCCAGCGCAGTGATGAAATGAGCATGGCGCTTGTTGTTTGCCGAGTCGCCCTAGCCCAAGAACCAGGAAGTGACGGATTTTCTCAATTTGATGGCGCGTTTCGCCATGGTCAGAACTGACTTGGGTACGGCGAGGGCAGAATTGGACACCACCTCGGCCAGCTTCTGCAGATCTTTGGTGGTCGCACTATATTGAAGTGGAGCTGCATCAGCGCCATCATTTTTATCCTTGCGTTTACCCTTTTTAGCGGGAGGAATGGTAGCAGAGAGAGTGGGTTGATAGCCACATTGATTGGCGGTCTCCAGCAGCCAAGTTTCAAATGTGTTGGTGTCTGCTTTGTAGCATTTGTAACTACTCTGCAAGAATTCGGGTAACATTTTGCGATGAACCAAATCGGGGATACAGCTGCGAGGGGGTCAGAAATTAGTGCAAGGGTGTCAGACCGGTGCTGGAAAAACTGCTTGGCAATGTTCAGAGAATTCAATAGATAAGCTCAGTTACCTGATATTTTTAAGTTTAATACTAGATTAGCTCTATATATAATAAGTTTTAATACTAAATAAGCTTTTTATATAGGAAAGCTGATTTAGTATTAAAAAGTGAATATATATTAATTAGTTTTCTAATCCCGGATAAGCTTTTTATATAAGAAAGTTAATTTAATATTAAAAAATGTTGGAGTGGCTACTAAGGCGATTCAACCGTGTAGAATGAGATGGATGATGATCTAGCTAGGGGCCTCGTAGGCCATCTATATGGACTAACTAGCGGTGTAGGGAAGAGGGTCACGTGACCCTACGTTGCCTACCGGCGTGGGAGCTGTTACGGACCCCTGCTAGCTGAGCGAACTAATGAGGCGGACTCATTAGGCAGAAGGCTACGTCCGGATAAGCAAGGACTCTTATCGAGTAGAATCCTGATCTGAGTAACCTACAACCGGGACGGTTATACAACACGTGACCACGACAGACATGTCACCGACATGCTATAACATGTCAGCGCTACGATAGGATATGGCAGCTCTACGACATAACATACCAGCAACATGACATATCATGGCGATGCCATGACGAAGGATAGGATATAAGGACACTCTTTCATGTACTTAGCTAGTTCTGTTCTTCGTGCTCAATAACACTGTCTTTAAGTAACCATACGTTTGGTAAAGCTTAGCGACAACACTCGTCCGCACTTACTTACGGATAGCTGCGCGGCACTATCTGGCCTTACTTCTCTTCTCTTGTTCAGGACCAGTTCTCTTTAGATAGTCATCGACCTGACTTACCTTGATTCAGTTCAAAGGTACGTATCGGAACAGAAGCTAAGCTAACAGGAACAGAGAGAAGCGATCCTAGGGTTTGACAGATATAAACAGTTAATAATCTTATTATTCTGGTGATACTGTTAGCTTATCCATAGTAATCTGTTATCTTAACCAATCTTAATATGCATTGCTTTCTGGCACTAATAGTTACCCATACTAAATCATATATAGTTTCTTACTATCTGATATCCACGTTACAGATTCTATCCAAACTTTATACTAAATAATGATAATACTATAGACTTCTCTGTCTTAATCTTCGTATATAGTTCTTAACTATTTTTAAGGCTGTTACTGTTTTTGCTGGCAGTCTCTTGACTAATAATCTGCTTTACTGCAACTAAAGTATAAGCAGTCCTTTTTATATTATTTAAATTCTTTCTTAGATACTCTGTTTTATTGAGTCTGATGCTGTGCTGTATCCAGCTCCATTAGCTTTAATCTGTAAAGATCTTTGTATTCTAGACTTCTAGGCTGTGCTGATCTTTTATTATTAATTTAATAACTCTGTTAGTTATTTTATCAAGGTATAGACCTGCTGATCTATTAACCTTCTTTTTATTTTGTATTATATTTATATAACTTGTTATTGATCTTAATTATTATTATGATTATCTGTAGCAATATGTTTAATTATTTTTACTAGATAAGTTTTTCTTGGATCTCTATCTTAGATCCTTTTTTAAATTATATGATATAAGTATCTTTATCCCAGTCTAAGTAACTGACAACTTATAAGAATTCGGAAGTATACTTAGATACTGATCTAATCTATTTAAGTTATTATAGCTTTTATTTAATATTATATACTGTATTAATATCTCTAAATATTTGTTCAAGACATTCCTTAAATCTGGTATAACTAGTAAAGATTCACTTAATTTTATTATTTTAGTTATTTACTGACTTTTCCTGGTACTTATGAATATATTGCTTAAACTAATTGAATACTGTTCTGATCAGGTAGATAGATATAAAAAGAATCTTATTAACCTTGTTTCTGAGCTTCTCTCTGTTTATGTTAAGATACAAGTCCAACTGGGTTAAGAAAACCCTGAGCCTCGCTCAGTTGCCGTTAAACAGTTCTGGGAGTCGGACCTTGACAGACTTAACTGTTAACCAATCTTTAAGTAACTGGTTCTGTTGTTCTAAGACAGTGATGCTTTTTTATAACTGATTAACTATATCTATCAATTCTTATGTTATCGGGCCCTGTTGCTGCAGGATATACAATGAGTTTGAAACTGTTGACATAATGGATGGTTATAACTAGTAACACTCGTGCTGACTGGTGCTCAATATGTTAAATCCTAGGATCACTTCCCTGTTTCTGTTAGCTTAGCTTCACTGGTATATATATCTTTAAACTGAATTAAGGATATATCAGACTGATGACTATCTAGGAATGATTGGTTGTAAACAAAGAAAGAGAAGTAAGGCTGAATAATATCACACAGCTATCCATAAGTAAGTGCAGACGAGTATTGTTACTAAGCTTCCAAACTTATGGTTACTTAAAGACAGTGTTATTGAGCACGAAGAACAGAACTAGCTAAGTACATGAAAGAGTGTCCTTATATATCCTATCCTTCATATACTAAGTTATATATCTTCCTATATACTGTATACCATTCCATATACCCGTTCGTATACCATTCCATATACCCGTGGTCACGTGATGCGTAGCTATTCCGGGTGTCGGTTACTCAGATCAGGGATTCTACTCGATAAGAGTTGCTGTCTGTCCAGATGTTGCCTTCTGCCTGACGAGTCTGCCTTACTAGTAGCTTTAACTAGCAGGGGTCCGTAACAGAATTCTCTGACATCCTCGCACTTATTTCTGACCCCCTTGCAACTGGGACCCTAACCAAACCAGAAATAGCTGCGGGCTGATGATACTAGCCTTGGTGTTGAGTGAATGACTGAATAGAAGTGGGTGGAGTCGGAATGGCTACGGAGTGACGCGTCGTCGGAATGAAGAGATTCTTTCGCGTCGCCAGATGTGGTCACGTGGAACGCTGTCACGTGGCTTATAGTCACATGGTCTGGTAACTGTTGCTAACCGTGAAAGGAAAGGGCATTGCGAGCCACTCGGAAGCTCACCATCCGCCCACTTCTCTTTTGTTCTCTAACAGACTTTGTTCATATCGCCTTGTCTGTACCGTCTGGCTACAAAGACACCATTCTCCCATTCACAGAACTAGGTATCCAGACACAAGTACACTAGACAAGGCTAGAGCTGTCTGTGGCTGAAATGCCCGCAGTCGTATGTATTACTTTTCTTGTACTACTTATATAGAGCGCGCTGATCAGAGCAAGTCCCGCACTTGCAATCTATGATAAAGACAATGTGAGAGCCTCATCGGCATCAAAGAGGCTCCTATTAGTAATACCGCTGATGCACGGGGATTTCTCTCGGTGATTATTCATCATCGGTCCGATAAAATGTCCGAGGCGATCCTCCCCATTATCCAACATTCATTCCAGCCCACCTAGACCGCAGGCGGGATCCACAGAACCATTCCTCTACGGTACTTGACTGATGCATCAGCAACGCAGAATCTTTAAGCCTCAATCTCATTCAACGGTCAACCTTTGGTCACTTGGTGCTGTGATCGGCGACGGCGCCATGCCGGCATGGCCCTAAACCCGGCTTTGATGCGCCGCCCCAAACCATCGGTTAGCGCACCGTACCCTCCTACCATGATTGGCTGAGAGGATCCCTTGTCTCCTGGCCTGATTTCTCCGGGGTCGGGGGAACTTGCACCACACATATTTAAAGTACTGCGATGCGTGCCATCCCTGCCATTTTCCCCTCCCAATGCAGATTCAATATGAAGCCGATGCAAACACAACCCACGACCAAGCGAACTATACTCTCAAAAACGAAGAGAAAGCCAAGTACGAGATCGCGAACAGGTTGTCGTACCTGTCGGTAAGTATTGATCACCATATGGGGGATAGCTGACTGACAGCTCCATAGGGCTCGTCGGATCAAGTGTGACGAATCCCCCGGGGCATGTAACAATTGCACCAGCACCGGGCGGGCATGTGGATACGATGTGCACAGGCCGGTTTCAAAGGTGGGCACCGGTGTTTCCGTCCGGGCCGCCCTCACAACCAATCCCCAGTGGATCATGACTTCGGATGAGCGACGGTGTCTATCATTCTTCCACCATCAATCTCTACCACACCTGGTGGGCTTTTTTGACTCGCCACTCTGGCAGAAACTCATCCTCCGGCTGTCGTCCACCGAGCCAGCGGTATACCATGCGCTCGTCGCTCTCGGTGCCGTCAGCCAAGCCAATGACATCCGAGGCCGTCTTCCCCGGCCTGGACAGAAGAAGGATCTGCGGAATATCTGGTATCGCTTTGCCCTTGAACAGTCCGGTCGGTCAATTGCACTCATCACCAAGCGACGCATGTCGCAGGATCCCCAACTGCAAGAAGTGATTCTGGTCTGCTGCCTCTTATTCACCGTGACCGAGTTACGTTGTGGGAACTTTGATCGGGCAGCCGTACATCTCCAAGGAGGTATCCGGATACTAGAAACGATGAACATTCAGCGACTGCCATCAGGACTAGAGCTCATGTCGGGTGCAGTAGACGAATGTGTCGTGGAGTCGTTCCTATCCCTCCAGGCCGGGTCGATGTACTACTTTGCAGTTACCCCTTTGCGCTGTGATAGTGACTTTATATACACATATCCATACGAAAACTATCTTGGTTTATTCAGAAGCATCCAACATGCACGCCAGATCTGGAGCCCTCTTGAACATACCGTCTTTGAATTTATCGCGATGTGCATGAGGACCAGCCATGCTGAACTCCAAGCCAATCACACCACTGTTCACCATCAGCAACTGCGGCTTCTTTCTTACATGACGCGATTCCTGCAGCAGTTCGACATGTTCTGCCTCGCCACATACGGCACAACCTCTTTCTCTCTGGAAGAAAGAAATCAAGCCAATAACAAAGAACAACGCGAGGCGGAACTAATCCGGATTATTTGTCTTTCGGGGCTGTTGGGGGTTAAAATTGCGCTGTACAGCCCAGCTCACCCGCCGTCCAATGGTCACGTGCATGAACGTCTGGCCCTGCTCGCAACAGTTGAAAATGCCATGAATAAGTTCGACGCCGACCCTCCAACATTCACCGAAAACAGCATCATCGCTCCAGCCTTGTATATCGCAGCGTGCGGCTCCCCGGACTACTTCATCCATTGTCAAGCGACCGATCTCCTCCGACGTTGGGGATCGCTGGAAGGGTTCCTCAGCGCGACCGTGAATGCCGATCTTCTAGACGAAGTCATCAAGGAACTCCTAGTGCAGATGTATCAAACGGCTGCTCCATTACCTCCAGGTGTGGCTTTTGGAATGGGCCCTGCCGGCCGAGTTACTGCTCGATTGACATATCGAGCGGGCGGGGGATGGCGGGAACGGTTCGTGGCTCTTGAAAAGAACGAGGATTTAGTTAGTGATATTTTGGCGCTGGGGGGAGTCGAGGATTGGCCGGCTGTTCAAGCTTCTCAACTATTGAACCTTAATACGGGGGAACAGACCACATTTGACACCTCGAATCCGACTAAAATTAGACATATGCTGGGCTTACCGTTCTATGTCCATCTTCCTATTCGAGAAAAGAATCCTATACATTCTGATTGATGGTAGCAGGAATAGGTCAATACAGATTTCACATCGATCAATGCCTCGGTTGAAGGTCGTTTTCCAAACAAGTCAATCCGCCTGTATAGCGCATCCCTTAAGCCACCAAATAAGTACACCCCTGCATTCCGGAAATCACAACACAAATTCCCAACATCCCACACCAAAACCAACACCAAAATCCTCAGACAAAAAAAGTTCAAATCGATACGTCAATGGGACGCCTAACATCCCCACATTCCACATCCGGCATGACAGGCCAACTCATAAACAACCCCTTCCTCATCCCTCCCATCCATCCATCAACCTCTCAGCAGGAGACATCTAGCACTCACTCACCAAAAATGCCGTCAAACCTCCTAGCCACCCTCTACAGCTACCCCCGCCCCCCACCCCGCCGCCGCACCAAACCCCTCCAAATCCTCTGCGTCGGACTCCCCCGCTCCGGCACCGAAAGCCTCAGCCTAGCCCTCACCCACCTAGGCTACACGACCTACCACGGATGGGACATAGTCTTCGACGACCCACCCTACACAGAACAATGGGCGCGTCTCGCAGAACGAAAATACTCCAACCCCCATCCCCACCATAACAAACCCACCCAAATAACCACCACCGAATTCGACGCCCTCCTGGGCCACTGCGACGCCGTAATCAATACCGCGGCCGCGTTATTCAACCCTGAGATAATAACCGCGTACCCTGACGCCAAAATAATCCTCAATACAAGAAAGGATGTAGACGCATGGCACCGCAGCGCGCTCAAAACCCTAGCCGAAGAAGGCGCAGACCAATGGTCCCTATGGTTCCTGAGACTTTGGACAGCAGATATGTATTGGTTATGGAGGTTATATTGTACATTTGGATATCCGGGGTTATTTCGGGGTAGGACGACGAGGGAGGGGTTAGAGAGGAATGGGAAGAGGGTGTATATGGAACATGGGGAGATGGTTAGGGGGATGGTTAAGGAGGAGGGGAGGTTGTTGGAGTGGAATGTTGAGGATGGGTGGGGGGGTTGTGTGAAGTAAGTCAGTTCATACTTATTCTCTTTGGAAGTGTGTGGTTTGTGTGTGAAGGGCTGGCTAATTGTGGATAGTTTCTGGGGAAGGAGGTTCCGGATGTGCCGTTTCCGAAGGCGAATGATCCGGCTGCGTTTCGGCAGCATATGCAGGATTTGGTGCGGCCAAGGGTGATGAGAAGTTTGAGGAATTTTGCGTTGTGTGTTGCTTCGGTGGGGGCTGTGGGGTTGCGGTTGTTTGGGGGTGAGTGGGAGGAGAGGGAATGGGAATGAGGTTTTGGGGGTGGTTTGGGGTGGGTGAGGTCGATATAGTAAAGTCAGGTGCGAGAGATGGCCAGGTTGATCTTGTCCAGATAGATGCGATAACTTGGACTCAAGGTAATTGGAGAAATATCAATATCTTGAGTGGAACAAATGGTTTCGTATGATACTAGGCCATTAGCAACAGGAATTCCTCAAGGGCATGATATCAGGCATGAAGGCACAAACAGCGGACAAGGAACGGATTCCGCACCAATCGGAGCGACGCGTGGATTGAATGGATGAGATTAGATTAGATCGGTGGATCCGCTCCCTTTAGCGGGAGGAAAAACAAAGTGGGTTGGGCACCAACAGCGAGAAGAAAAAATAATCCCCCGACCCGGAATCGAACCGGGGACTTTCTGATTACAATTGATATTACAGTCAGACGCCATGAACCAGCTAGACCATCAGGGGTTATGGAGACTTTGCTTGACTTTTGCGTATATATTCCAGGAGAAATAATAGAGAAGATTAATGAAGACGACCGGGGTGTTTCTCTATACATTCCACGAACGCTCCGTTCTGACAAAATAAGAATGGTCATGTCCTGAGATGAGAGGTCTTAAAAGCAACCGTACGAATATATGAAAACTAGAAACATCCACTATACTACTATGGCATGGATATCGTTATATATTTTTTGGGTAAGTCAGACAATGCTGGACCAAAACAGTGCCCAAATATTGACAGTCTGGAAAGAAGTCCACACCTCTGCATATAATCCCTTGTCTCTAAACAGCAAAAACACAAATACGACCTAAGCAAATTCCCAACCATGATCAGCTCCTCCGAACCCCATTCTGCACCAAAGGCTTCATAGTCGAAAAAGCATATCTCGCAATCAACCACTTCCCCCCTTCCTTCTTCAGAATAAAAAGTTCCTGATTCGCATGTGGTTCCGACTCCTGCGTAGCGAGAATTGTTTTCGTGCCCTCTGCCGTCGTCCTGGCGAACGCCCACTCCGGCGACATGACCACAATTTCCTCAATCTGGAAAGCAATCACGAGCTGGATTGTGGCGAAAATCCGCGTATAGGATTCACGGAGAGCCTCGGTGCCTGCACTGGCTGAGAAATGCGGCGGCATGATGACTCCGTCGGGGGTGTAGAGTGCCATTGCTTCCTCCACGTTTCGGGTTTTGAGGGCGGCGCCGTAAGCGTGTAGAACGGCGGTGATTTCTTCGGTGTCGGTGGATGGCACTGGATTTAGGGTTAGTTTATATTGGAGATCATGGCTGTGGTGGGGGAATTTACTGGTGGAGGTGATGATTTTTGGTGCTCACAGAGGATATTGAGGATGTAATTTTCGCAGCACAGAATTGAAGTTGCAACTACTACGATTGAAGCATTGGTTGCTGTTTTATATTATCTGCTTGTCGTAAATGGGAGTACCCCACTCACTGAGGTGGGGGTGTCACCTACAACAGTGGCAATGGAATAGAACATGCAGCCAACACATACGAGCTGCCCACCTTCCTCCAGAATCTTTTACATACTAATAGTGATACTAGTTTGATCGCAAGTTGAGGTAATGACAAAGCGAAGGAGATTTTAGATGTCCAGCAAGGATATATATACTTTCCATAAGATTGACATCGTTTGTGTGCACTTCTGTCCATTTATTGACATATTTGCAAGTCCAGTTATAGCTCTTTAAGTCATGTAGCATGCATACAGTGAGTGAAGCCCCTATAGAATCAAATCATTTGTTGTGGTGAGGCTCGCTGCGTGACCGATAAGCCCCCACCTTATCAAGAGTGGGGTGGACAGCCACACCGCTAGCAGTCAAGCCACTGAACCCGCCACTATTTCTGCCTCAGGCCAAATTAGGGCTGAGAATGATCATCGGCGGAGATATCGGAATCAACGCAGATGACGGTCGATCCATGGATCCGACTTACAAACCAAGGTACGCCATCTAGCCCCAAATTCAAGGACGCCACCTGTCTGAGGCGCAGACTCAATTCCAATCCACCCATGGCAGGGGTCCAGTGGAACCCCTAGCGCGTAATCAGGCTTGGCCGTAAGCAACTTGCATTAATAGCAACGGTCGTTCCTCCACAGCCTTCTGAACTCTACCATCAACGCCATGATGACCTCCCCAGCGAATCATCTACCCGCCCACGTTCCCCTGACGCACATGCCCCAGCAAGGGAACCTCTGGTCTGCCGAAGATGATTGGACAGGGGTAACTGATCGACACCGACGAAGACAGCTGCAGAACCGGTTGAACCAACGAACTTACCGTATGATTTGTGCATCCAGCCATCAGCATGTGCTAATCTGACACGACAGGCATGAAACGCAAGGCTGCCGCCAACACAAGACTGGCGATAGAGCCCTCAACAGCCACAACACCATCCATGTCAACCGATGTAGTCCAGCGAGCTGCCTATCCACTCTCCCACGCCGCAGACACAGAAGACAACGACCTGGACTGTCGCCTTACTCCCCCTGGAGCCGCGCAATACCGGCGCCAATTCGAGGCGATCGCCCATCAAAGCTTCCTGCTGGGCTCGCCCCAGCTCGAGCACCTGATTACCCTCCGCCGACTGAACGTCCACCGCGCCATCAACGAGAATATCCGCGCCATCGGCATGACCCCGGAGTGGACAAAGCCAGACGAAGCGATCTCCATCTTTAACCTTCCGCTCCCATTGCCGGGGAACTACGACGAGGAGCGGATCCCGGCGAGCTTACGTCCCACGGTCATCCAACGGCTGGTGCCGCATCATCCGTGGCTGGACTTCTTTCCGTTTCCCCGGATGCGGGATCTGATGATACTGGCTGGAGACAGTCTGGATGAGGATGACTTGTGTCGTGATCTTATGGCGTTTTGGGATACTCATAACACAGGGGCAACGCTGCTGGTCTGGGGAGAGTCATGGGATCCACAGAATTGGGAGGCTACAGAGGAGTTTGTGCGCAAGTGGCACTGGTTACTTGCAGGGTCACCGGAGTTGTTGGCGTCGACGAATTTTTGGCGGGCCAAGAGGGGCGATCGACCGTTGAGTTGGCGATCGTTATTGAGATTTGATTAGTGCATATTGGATTTGTTAATGGCTGTACTGAAAGGCGCTAATGTAGCCTGTAAGAAGAAGAGATTAAATTGAGTTTGATTGGCGATTGGTAGAGCGCTAATGTAAGTTGCTTATTCCAATCCAGGGAAGGACCAGACCCACTCATCAGGATCATAGAAGACCGTGCTCATGTTTTATAATGCACTGTCCATCTGCACCTTTCCTGCTCAGACCAATTCATCTGCTCAGAACTCAAGAATCAACTCGAATACCTGCCAACCTACCCAGCACCATCATGCCTCCCTACACCCACACTGGCCCTGTGGCATGCGATCAAGACTTCGACTCCAGCTCCCTGAAGGGAAAGACCGCCGTCGTGACTGGAGGTACTGCTACCAATACACCCTCCCATAGCCTGTATATCTAATATCTACCCAGGAGCCAATGGCCTCGGTGAAGCCTACGTTCGAGCTCTCGTAGCAGCCGGGTACAATCCCACATCCAACCTGCATACCACTCTCCCAGCTAACCCAACATACAGACTAAACGTCTGCATCGGCGACCTCGACACCAACAAAGGCCAAAAACTAGAAGCCGAACTCCCAGGGTACACCCTCGCCTTCCCCAACCACTACATCCAACTAACCACCCCGGCCAAAGCACAAAGTTCATCCCCTGCAACGCCACCACATGGGACGACCAAGTCCGCCTCTTCCAAGCCGCCGTATCCCTCTCCCCGACCGGCCGGATATCCTACGTCGTCGCCAACGCAGGCATTCACCGACCCGACGAAGTATTCCAGTACGAGCAAGAGCCCAAGAAACCAGACCTGAGTATCATCGACACGAACATCCACGGCCCGTTATACACGGCCAAACTAGCAGCACACTATTTCATCCGTCAGAACGGCCAAACACCTACCCCTGAGCAGGAAGATACCTGTCTAGTGCTCATCGGCTCTGGGGCTGCTTTCCTGGACTGTCCTCGCGGGCCGCAGTACAGTGCTAGTAAATGGGCGATGCGCGGGATCATGCATTCGTTGCGTCGGACGACGCATTATTATGGGAGTAGGGTTAATGTTATTTCGCCGTGGTATGCACGCATTCCTCTTTGATAGTTCTGAGGGGTATATGTTAACTAAGGGATAGGTACGTCAAAACGAATATCCTAAGCGAAGAGGCCTTCAACCATGTTACTAGTGTTGGAGTGCAGTTTGCTGAGGCAGAGGATGCGGGACAATGTCTGTTGAGGATTCTCAGTGATACTACCATCAATGGACACTCGCTGTTTGTTGCGGCGCGGAAGTGGGCGAAGAAAGGATATATGGATTTGGATTTGGATGATTATCCGGGGGATGAACTTGTTGGGGAGATTCAGGAGGAGCAGATGTGGTCTGCGCCGGTGTCGGAGGGGTTGTTTGTTGAGTAGATATAGTGATGTATCGAATGAGTTTAATGGGATTATAGTTTCGATACAGAAAGGAAGGTAACGGCATGTCCGAGTTCCATGACCTTCCATAGCCATGAACGTTTCATCACCTTGGCTAGCCCACTCCGCAGCAACTCTTCGTACATGTTCAGGGTTCACCAGGCAGCAGTCCTTCCTCGCTCATGAATGGTAAAATGCACCAAGTCAAGCCACAATACCACAGCAGGGTAAACAAAGTGGATCCGCTTGGCGTAAGCAAGTTGCATTAGCTTCGGCACTAACAAAGCCTAAACTATGGGGCGGGATGACCGGTCTCGGCTATCAACCAGACACGTCCTAATGCCGAAATGTCCGGGTTATGGGCTGTAGCTATCCAATCGTGACAACACGATAAGTTTAGTCAAAGTATCTTCTTATCAGACAGCTTTGAATGGATGGTCTGGCCAGCTTATGTCCTGTCGGTCCACATACAAACCGTAATCAATCGTAGCGAGCGTCAAAGAATAGAGAACACTACGTCATTCGAGGCTATGCAAGACATTGATTGGTGTATTTTAGTGCTGGGCATAGACTCATACAAGTGCCGGTTCCTTCTCGGTATCTAGATTGGACCGGTATACGGTCCACATCTGGGCTTCGAGAAGAAGGTTATGCTGATGCCTGAATAGCTTGGCTTGGGGTCGTGGCAGTGAAGTGTGCGGATGTTAAGTCCTGAGTTGTGTAGAGTAGGTGCATACATATATCGGTATCATGTCTTCAGTTGTGGGGGTTGGATTTGATCCCAGTAAGTGTATTCAACCGTGATGAAGATTCGTTTCCATATTTTATCGGTTGTATGCGTTGTGTCTCTTCTAGCTTACAATGCTATCGGTAAGTCATCCCCAGGCTTATAACTGTGTTTATGCTAATGGGTAAGCCCACTCCATACATACCCCGACAGTGCACCGGACGTCCCGTCTTGAAGATGTCGTTATTCACACACCATTGCAGGGAATTACAAATGCAGACAGGTTTAATCTGACATTCCGGATACAAGGCCAGGGGGGGGTGCTGCTACAGTTGGAGCAGAACAGCGACATCCTGCCACAAGATGCTCATATCCAGTATCTTGATCGGAATGGAGCTGTACAACGAGCGCATCCACTTGACGATGATCGAACCAGGGTTCTCAAGGGCGATGTTTGGGTGCATTCCAACCAGACACATCACAAGGCTGGCCGGGCAAGGGTATATATGGTTCAAGATGGGGGTCATCCCTTGTTCAAAGGATCACTTAGCCTCTTCCAACAGCAGTTTCATGTCAAGTTGGTCTCGCCTACCGGTAGGAATACTACTGCCTCAGGGCAAGAAAAAGAGATGATGCTGTTCGAGGAAACGAGCGAGCAAGATCCACTACATGGGGATACATCCCTCATAGCAGACAGTCGAGCTATTTTATCTCCTCGCCAGTTCTCATCAGGATACGACTTCACTAACAGCATCGGCAGCACAGCCGGATGTCCCACCTCCAGGAGAGTCGCATTGATCGGCCTCGCAGCAGATTGCTCCTTCCGAGCAGCGTTCAACTCCGCCGAGGAGACACGACGGGAGCTGATATCCATGGTCAACGCGGCCTCGGAAGTATTCGAACGGCGATTTAATGTCTCCCTTGGGATCCGTAATCTCACCATCAGCGATGAAACCTGCCCTGAGACCGGCTCCGACGCCACCCCGTGGAACGTGGGCTGTGCATCCGGGGATCTGGACTGGCGTCTACAGCAGTTCAGCACCTGGAGAGGTGCACAAGATGCCACAAATGCCTACTGGACCTTGATGACCAACTGCCCGACTGGAAACGTGGTGGGTGTGTCCCTTGTCGGAGAACTCTGCAATCCAAACAGAGGTGCCAATGTCGTAGTGCGAACCTCGAATCAATGGCAGGTTTTTGCGTGAGTCCTTCATTCCAGCCACGAAATCCCATCTGACCCCTCGCAGCCACGAATCCGGACACATATTCGGGGCGATCCATGATTGCGAATCAACTACCTGCTCATCCTCACCAGAACAATGCTGTCCCCTTTCCCGATCAACCTGCGATGCAAACGGCCAGTACATCATGAACCCATCCTCCACCCTCCAGCAAACCGATTTCTCTCCCTGCAGTATCGGCAATATCTGCTCCCTGATGGAATCCCAACGGGTTCGAACCGATTGCCTCGTCAGCCCGAATGCAGCACCCACAACAATCACGGCCGGCGAGTGCGGGAACGGTATCGTTGAGGCAGGCGAGGACTGCGACTGCGGTGACAACTGCGACGACAATGCGTGCTGCAACGGCGAGACCTGCCAATTCGCCACGGGAGCTGTCTGTGACGACGCAGCCGGACCATGTTGCACCGGGTGCCAGTTCGCCAATGCCAGCACTATCTGCCGGCCTGGTACCGGACCCTGTGATATCCAGGAGACCTGCACGGGGCGGAACAGCGACTGTCCAGCGGATCGACATGTCTCGGATGGGCAATCTTGTGGTAACTCGTCCAGCTTGTTCTGCGCCAGTGGCGAATGCACAAGCCGGGACCTCCAGTGCCGGGATACATTCAACGGACTTGGCACGGCGGTGTCTTCGTGTGATGATGCGTCGTGTCAGCTGTACTGTTCGGTTGAGTACGGATCGGGATCATATTGCAGGGACACGGGTCGGGATGTCTTGGACGGTATGCCGTGTCGGGGCGGGGTATGCCAGGGAGGACGTTGTCAGAATAGCCAGGATAGTGGTTCGGGTGGATCGTCGTGGTTCGATCGGCATCGTTCTCTGGTTATTGGAATAGTGGCTGGAGTAGGGGGTGGCTTACTCCTTGGCGTGGTGATTGTTATCCTCTGTGCTTGTTGTCGTCGTCGGGAACGTGTGACGAAGGAGAGTTTGGCGAGGGTGCCGAACACATCAGCGGTTTCAAGCCCTCCTATGAATCAGACGGTGTACCATGGACCGGATCGAGGGGCAGGCTAATGAATAGTGGTCTGTTACACGAAAGGTGTTAAGGCTTCGGATCTTATTCCGTCTACGTAGACCAGACCTAGAGACCTAGTTATTCACGCTGTCATGTTTATAGTTTTAAGTGTATGGATATTTTGTGGATGTTCCTGCGAGGGAATAGACCTCTTTACCAACTATTTATAAATGCTTGTAATCGAGTACAAGAATCCAGCTTCTAGGTAATAGCTAATCATCCGTATACTGATTCTCAATATATCTGTGCCCGTGATACATTTGTTCTACATCTCAGCCTGCCAATTTCAATCACCATGGTTCATTTGCCTCTGCGCGGAGCGATATTAAATGGAATTGTTCCAGAATTCAAAGCCAAGATAATGAAAAAGAAAGTTGTAGCCTAGGACGGAAGTCTGCCCCAGTAGGATTCGAATAATTCGACTATGACTTGGCAAATACCTCAAAATTGCAATTGCCACCGGGATAATCCTCGGTCGAGCCTCGGACCCAATTATGGTTCTGCACGGCGGGCGCTAATGCCCGTTGCTTACGCCAAGCCGGGCCAATCCCACAGCCAAGCATTTTGTGGTGATAACTTGGATCATATCGCATCACGGTGGAGGTCATACGCAATGAGACCAGGTACGCCCGGTCCCACAGGTAAGCAAGTTGCATCGGGCTGAGCTCAATACCTGCACTGATTGCTACAATGCCGCAGCATTCATGCCGAGGCCTCTATGGTTCCACAACGCTGCTACCTCCGTGCTGACGCCCCTGACATACGACAATAGCAATACATTACCATCATCGCAACTATAAAACAGCCTCCAACACCCACCCCTCGACACAACCATCAATCTCGTCTTCCACCCTCTCTCTACTACTGTTCTCAACAATCATGAAACTACCAACCACCCTCCTCCTCTCCACAATCCTGCACACCATGTCCACTACCGCCCAGAACCTCTCCTACGGCGCGGACAACTTCTACCGCAGCGACACCGTCACCCTGCAACCCATCACCTTCAAAAACCAATACCAAATGACCATCGCAGGCAACCTCTTCACCCCCAAAAACCTCACCTCCACCTCCGCCCCCTCCCCGGCCATCGTCATCGGCCACCCCATGGGCGCCGTCAAGGAGCAAAGCGCCAACCTCTACGCCACCAAACTCGCCGAACAAGGCTTCATCACCATCTCCCTCGACCTCCCCTTCTGGGGCTCCAGCTCCGGCACTCCCCGCAACGCCGTCTCCCCCGACCTCTACGCCGAAGCCTTCAGCGCCGCAGTCGACTACCTCGGCACCCAATCCCTCGTGAACCGGGACCGTATCGGCGCCATCGGAATCTGCGGCAGCGGGAGCTTTGTGATCAGCGCAGCCAAAATCGACCCTCGAATTAAAGCCATCGCCACGGCAAGCATGTACAACATGGGAGCCGTGAACCGGAACGGCCTGAACTATTCCCAGACGCTATCTGAACGGCAGAGCATCATCGCCGACGCGGCCCAGCATCGCTGGATCGAAATCCAAAACGCCAGTCTCACCGAATACACATCCGGGACTCCGAACCAGCTGACGCCGAATACCTCGGCCGTGGGTCGGGAATTCTACGACTTCTACCGCACGTCCCGCGGTGAATTCACGCCTGCTGGATCAACCCCGGAGTTGACGACTCATCCGACGTTGACGAGTAATTTGAAGTTCATGAACTTTTACCCGTTTAATGATATTGAGTCGATTGCGCCGAGACCGTTGTTGTTTATTTCGGGGGATCGGGCGCATTCGAGGGAGTTTAGTGAGGATGCGTTTAGGAGGGCGGCGGAACCGAAAGAGTTGGTTTGGATTCCTGGGGCGGGACATGTGGATCTTTATGATCGGGTTGAGTTGATTCCGTTTGAGAGGTTGACGAGTTTCTTTCGGGTGAATCTTGGGGGGGTCGAGGGTGGAAATGGGACTGCGGCTGTGTGAGGTGCGGTTGGGATTGAGGATGCTTGAGCAGTGGTGTGTAGTGTTGAGGGATGTGAGGGGGTAGTGATGGGGATGTTTGTTTGGTTCGGGTATCTTGTGTATGAGTGGGTTGGGGTTTTGAATTGATAAGTGTTTGTGTGTGTTTGTGCTTGTGTATGTGGCTGGGGATAGTGTTGCAGAACTTATTGCAGAGCTTTATTAGGATTCTATTACTGGAGTCTTCTGTGGAGTAAAAGTTGTAGTTTCTGATCATCAAATACGTGGAAAGGGGATAGGTCTCTAGATGGTACTTAAATGATCAATATATCGTCTCTTCTGGAAACATCAAAAAGTCTGATCGTGGGATTGGTTGGAAACTGTAGGAGAAGAAGGAGATTTCGTAAGGCGCAGCTGAAAAGAGCAATTCTAAGAAAACGTGGGTATACTCAGCACACTATCAAACCACTCATCATCTCCCAGATCCATCGACTGCATCCAGACTATCTGGTCTAGGTCTGGGATTTGGTGAGCCTGACTGGTAGTTCCAGTGACACTCTCGACGTCTTGTATCTGAGTGATTGTATTCCACCGAGCTTCCGCCCACTCCCGACATTTGGTTAAGAGTTTCGAGAGATAGGTGAGTAAGTGGTCATTGCACTGGAGTTCTGGCTCCTTGCTGGGGAGATTCAGTTTCTCGAGCATACAATCCATCGTCGATATAAGGTCGACTGTGTTCCGCACCGCTTGACAGTCCCATTCTGGGTCTTGGAGTGTTGAGAGGTACTTCAAAAGTGTGATGCTGAGGATCATCTGTGACCAGAAGTGAAACGGTTGACCGATCAGTTTCGAGCAAGGCATATTGTAGAACAAGTCTAGCCATGCTTTGATGTTCTCGACTGACTGCCACAGACATTCGATGCGTTGGAAGCCTAGCATGGTGTCGCTGTCACCTCTCCGCCCGGGTGACTTGAGAGCAAAATAGTCTCGGCTTATGGAATATGCGAGCTGGTTGATGTATAACTCGACATATTGCGCGTGCGTGTTGAGGATATCTGTTACATATAAGCATCTCTTTTATTCACATGTGAAATACTGACCTATCTGTAGATCCGACGGGAATGAAGCTCTTAGCTCATGCAGCTGCCGTCGTAAACTCTTGACATACAACAAGCGAGGAGCTGAAGCCCCGTGATTTATTCCGGTGATATCTGTTTCGTCCTGTTGTCGAACGTGATCCGCTCTTTGCTTTAACAGCTGCAAACGTACTTGAGACACAAACAATGCATCCGTAGGACACGACTCGGTCAGTGTGAGGACTCGAAGCCCCTCTTCCATCTGAGGTGTCCATCTGAGAGCGTCTTGACGGCCAAGGTGTGACGAGATACTGGTGCCATATCAGCATGATCTACTACAAGATAGCAATGGCGAAACTAATGAGAAATACACGCACTTGGAGCTCAAAACAAAACATGCCAAGACAGCCCGCTGCCTTTCTAACAAGGCATTGGACGTTTCATCGTTGGGTTCATGGCTGTTTTCGTCCCGGCCCTGGGTAATAGTCATCATGATTTGTACATCCGGCGAGGATGGCTTGAACAACCGTAGGTCATATACTAATGAGATGGCGAGCATCATGAGGCGAGAGACGAGGTCTGCTCTGCCAAGAAAAGGGTCGGTGCTCCATGCTAGGTACGTCAGTACTCCTAGCAGCAGGTCGATATTTGACTCCACTTTGATCAAAGAAGAAGTAAAGAGGAGACGCTTCAAATGGTCAATCTGGACCAGTCTTTCCTGTGTCGAGAACGTAGTAATGGTGTGGATGGCTTGGAGTAAGCAAGGCCTGTGTTCGCGCAGATAACGGCTGGTCATGTTTGGAGTAAAGTAAATGAAAGGAAAGCATGGCAGCATGCGGGATCGAAAGTATTCAATCTGTTCATCCTCTTGGCTTGATAATGCAGGAGAGGGATAGTTCGGGTATTGCAATACTGGATTTGAAGTCGGTGACACTGTGGCACTGGAGTCTGCTGTGGTCGGCCCCTCACCGAAGCCCACACCAGTGGCATTCGATGAAGAAGTGTTGAAAGGAAAGGGCTGTGATACGCCATGCCCGTGGATGGGAGGGACAGCCCCCGAACCGACGAAGGATTGCATTGCAGATAACAAGCCGTCCATCTTATCTTCAAGCCGAGCAATCCGCGCATCGGACTCTTCAGCCGCCTGGGCATTCCGCCGGCGAAGCGACTCTGATGGTTGACATCGTTTCCTAAGTCGGAGACATCTGATAATCACTTAGCAAGTGCCAGGTACTAACCGAGGTATACTAGACCTTTCGCAATTTCCGCCATTTGTGGTACGCACACACCGACACTTGGCCTTGTAGCATTGCGTGCAGGCTTGGCCATAGGCTGGCTTAGGCCTCTCCATCTTTACCAAATGATTTTGATGCCTGAAATATCAGGCTTCAAGATGTGGCTCGTCGGAGAGACTCGGATGGGTGACTTCCGTGTCAAGCCGGCGGGTTTGGCTGCCGAAATCCGTTTCCTAGAGAATAAAGTTTTGCTGGCTAGAAACTCTGCTATCGATGTTATCGACAATCTCAAAGATGAAAAATTACTTCACGGGTGGTTGTATCCGGAAGCTGCGGTTAGATGTAGGATAGTCAGGAGGACAGTCAGGAGGACAGTCAGGAGGACAGTCTGGGAAAACAGCAGGTGACAGCGGCTTATGGGAACAGGCGACAGGCTGACCGGGATCCGGCCCGACCATTTGCAGCCTGAGGCAGTGATGGCACGTGACATAATGTGACATTGGTTTCCCAACTCGGAAAGAGCTACGAGACAGACGGTGAAATGTGGATAAGCCGACAAGCAATGCACAAAGGCTTGTCTTGTCTTGTCAGTTGCTGAGTTGACAGCTCTCCCCGCCCCGCTTGCGGATTTATCCACTGGATCCTCTAATGCCCCCACCATATCCACCGTTGTCCAAGATGAAGACCCTCCCGCGCCCCCACAAGCCTGCACGTTATGCAGGACAGGCGCATTCTTAGCGGCATTGAACAATATCCGAGGTTAAGTATGGATCAAGTGGGCTGTTCTTTGTAGTCTGGAATAGTCGCTTAAAGAAATTGGTAAGTGGTGATATTGAAGCTATCTCGGGTTCACGGATCGCGAAACCACAATGGCCAACGTAATTGGAGCACGTGACTCACCATCAGCCAAATGGCTGACTCAACATTGGAGATGCTAACGTAATCCACTACCGAGCGGCCACCCCGGCTCCGATTCCTGCTCGCAGGCGAATTATGAAGGCCTTAATCAACTTCAAAAATTGTATTTCTATATAAAGTTTATCTATAAACTCGATTAGGGCATTGTAATCGCTTATGTCCTAGAGAATGGCAGTCACTGCAGCGCGGGGGCGCTCGTATACGTGAACTAAATACAGAGAGCTCTGGATCTGTAGATATAGTATCTTGAGCTTCTTGGACCTTATTCTCCTGCTGAAACTGCTCTAAGCCCTCCTGGATAGTAAACCCCTCTGCAGTAGCTAGCTGCCTAGTAGAGCGTCTTCGTTTTTGAAGCTGTTTTTCATTAGAAGCGCGTAATTCACGGATTTCTTCACGTGCAAGAATTGCTTCATTTAGGGCCAGTTCATGACCCTTAATAATCTTGTCTAGTCGCAGTTCTAGTGAAGATGAAGGACTCTGCGAACGCCTTCTAAGCAGTCTTTTCACTGTAGATGTCTGCCTTTCTAGCTGCCTGGTTGTATAGGGCGTCTCAGGTGCTGAATTGGTTGATCGACTGGGTGGTGGTGTAGGAGTTTTTAGTTGAATATTTAACTGGCTAAGCACTCTCTCTGGATTGAATGGAACTAGTCCAGTTGCAGAGAATCCACTGCTAATATTACTAGCAGTATAGATCTCTGCACGTGCTTGGAGATAGGCTTCAAGAAAGTCAAGCTTATCAATATGATTGAATCCTAAGCACATCTTGTTTTCCACTAAGCGTCCGTACACACGCTTTAGAGGAGAAAAGTAGCCAACATCCAAAGACTATAGGAAATGTGATGAATGAGCAGGCATGCAGATAGGAATAATATCATTCTCACTGCATATTTGGTCGAATTGAGGTGTAAGATGACTGCCGTGACCATCAAGAACAAGCAAGCAATATCTGCCAGTTGTACAGCCAGTAGTTGCAGGAATAAAGAGATGCTTAAGCCAGCGAAGGCCTATCTCATCAGTAGTCCATCCATTAGGACTAACTTCGATTCTCCAGTCGCGTGGTAAGGCCTTTTCTTGATACCAGTCCTCGATATGGACCTTCCCTTTAAAGATAATACACGGTGGAAGTACCCATCCTGTAGAGTTGATATACTCAATAGAGGTGACCCATTCTCGATTGCCTGGCTGTATGAGAAAGGGCTTGCCAATCATCTCAGCTCTAGTAACTACTTTAGCAGTAGCTACTAGGCCCATAGCAAAGCCAGTCTCATCAAAATTATAGATATCTTCCAGTGTAATACCATGTTGCATTATAGTGATTTGTACACGATCAAACCACTCCCTAATAATCTTAGGGTCCTCACATTTAGCTCGCTGGTAATTATATCGTCGAGAAAAGCGTGTTTTCAATTCATCACGTCGTTTGATAAACTTATATGCCCAGTTCTCTCCAACAGTCTGAGTAGGTGTAGATTCACACTGTATAAGTAGGATATTAGCCATTTCTTGCACGTGAGATGGTCGGGGAGATGCTCCACGTTGATCTAGTGATAGAATCCATCGTACAAGCGATTCCTCTTCATTTTGAGTCAATTTATGGCTGTTGGCGCGTGTCTCTGCTCGAAAAGTATATCCATTCAATCGTCTTCGGAGTGTTGTACGTGGGATATTATAGACACGTGCTGCTTTATTAATACTGCAAATTTCTTGATTCTTCAAAGCAGAAATAGCAAGTAAGACCCTTCCCTCCTGCTCAATTGAATTTCTTGAATTTTGACACGCTTTTGGAGGCATGGTTAGTGGTTGAATCAAGTGAGGTTTTTGGACAGCGGCCAAAACGCGTGAGGTGGCCGCTCGGTGGTGAGTGGCCGCTCGGTAGTGGATTACGTTATAACTCGCAATATAGATTTAATCTCTATATCACAGTCACCATATGCTGACTATTGATAGATACATCACACCGTACTATCAACCGCTCACGACCGCGATACAGTCTCCTCAAAACCGATGCCCCCCAACGCAGACTCCCGATTGATCATCCAAGTAAACAGTCCATAAGGAAGAAATGTATTACAGAACCAACTAAGAGTCGAAGCCTGTCCGCGTCGAATAAAATTCCCACGCCCGCTAAGCACATCGTCGACGACGTTCCTCGCTGCCACATCGATACTCTGCTTGTTGGGGTGGACCATGGTCTTTTTATGCCGATCAATGACCGCCGTGATCTTCCGGTAGTACGAAGTCGAAGGCAGCTCAAGGTCCGGGATATTGGCTGGATCGTTTCCACTGGTCTGGACGCCACCCAGAATGACAGTGACTACTCGCACACCCAGAGGCGCCATCTCAAGACGCAGAGTCTCCGAAATTCGCGTCCCGGCACTCCGGGAGCTGCTATACACTCCTGCATCGGTCAGCCTGAGCCTAAGTCGGCGGGACAGGAGGTGGACATACCCGCCCAGGCAAAAACCATTTCACCCGACACTGAACTGATATTGCACATGGTTCCTTTGGCCTTGATGAGCATTGGTGCGAATGCCTGTGCCATGGCAACAACGCTCCACACATTTGCGTCGTATACCTTTTTCGCGTCGTCGAGCGATGCGTCGAGGAGCGGTACAATAGCGTTGACGCCTGCGTTGTTGACGAGGATATCGAGGGTCCCTCCGGTATGTTTCGCAATAATCTTGGCACATTGTTGGATCGATTCGACTGATGTGACCTCTAGTTCGACAATCTCTACCCCCTCGATATCAGCCAGAGATCCAGCCTTGGCCTGGTTGCGAAGCGCCGCAAATACCCGGAAGCCTTTGGCGTGGTAGACCTTGGCCATGGCGGCTCCAAGGCCCCCATCGCTGCAGCCAGTGATTAAGACTGATTTGGCCATTGACGGTGGTTCGGAGTTGAGTAACAGTAGTAATAAGTGAGTGTTATAGGTGTGCTAGCGCCCAGGTTACAAATATATATGTACGTAAAATCAAAGAATTCGGAATTCGGACTACCAAATCCGTGGATATTATAGAAATCAATATGACGATACCATTTTGCATAATAATACCACTGCTCGCAATCAAATCCATCAAAGTGAAGTATCAGCCAAGGAGCGGAGAAGCGGAGAGAATCCCGCCGGAATTCGGCCGGCCTGAGGACTCCGCATGTCACCATCACCGCGACAAGCCAATAAACTCCTGCAATTTCTCCTGGTCAATAATCTCCCGCTCGACCAATCTCCCCGTCTCCACCACCTCGCCCTGAACACGTTGATACCGCACCAGGGCCGGAATGCACTTCACGTTCCAGTGGTTCCGGTAGACATTTTGTGGGTCCCTCCATCTACACGATCAGTCAGCAGAGCCTCTTGCCAGAAATACGGGTACTTACTCCGGTTTTTGTCCCACCTCAATCACCGCCAATTTGGGGCTGTCCTCTCCCGAGAAGGTCGCCGTGATCGTGGGCCAGGCGGCACGGACATCCGGGCACCAGGCTTGTCGCGTGGCGGGGTCCTCGGAGGACACGAAGACGAGGAATAGCGCAGCATCGGACACCTCAAGATGCTGTGCCGAGCTGGGGAGAGTAAAGTTTGTGAGGAAGGGCATTTTGAACCGCTTTGCAACCTTCCTAGAATATCTCGAGGTGTTGATGCTGGTCTGGAAATGGCAACCTGATCGGTTTAGAAAAATGTGCGGAGGCAGGCGGTGAGAGGCTGTACGGCCATTGGGCCGATTTCCATTTGTGATGGGTGGGGTAATCTGCCGGCAGAATGTCACCTTATATTTCATGGATTCTGTTTTGATTCGCTGTTCAGCTTCCGCTTTCCAGGGCATGAAGTGACCAGGACAGACAGGTGTTTGAGTCAAAGAATTTTCGAATATTCGTATATGAATAACTCATAATAAAGCACATCACTACCAGCTTGCCAATCCCTAGCAAATAATCATCCCGTCGGACTGAGATATGATCTTGTAATGAACGTACTCATCAGGACGTGTAGACCCGTTTGCACATACTTCTCTGCCCTGCAAATCTTCCTTATCTCGAATGAATCCATCGATATAGTCACCCGCAGCACTCAGATGAAGAACTAGTGCAATGGCACGATGTATTTCCAATAGTTGGCGAGAAGGCGGCTCTATGCTTCTGTCCGGGGTGATATAGAGCGTGCGGGTAAAAGGAAGATTATGACCTCGAAATATGCGCCTAGTCTTTACATAGTCGATTTTATATGTGTGCCGTGGACCCTGTACTGGTTCAAACGCAATTTCAAAATTACCGAACAACTTATGAAGTTCGAGATTCAAGGTGAGTGCGTTCATTGGTCGGTCAATATCAGTGCCACTGATAAGGTGAACAGCACCAGGATTAAACATTTTCAAAATCTGATGAGCTATTTGTTTTCGCCCAGTCTGGAAGGTCTGTTAGTAAAACTTACATATATCAATGAACTATATATAGCAATAACATACCAGATTAGGCTCCCCTTCAATATCACTCAGAGACATGAGAGAATGAGGTATGATATGGGCCACTTCAAGATAAGTCATATCATTACCTTCTGGTAATAAAGAATTGCCATCATCATCTTGCAGGTTGTCTTCATCAATTTGATATCGTCTTTCACCCTCTTGAATGTCGAATTTTCGGGTTACAACACATCGATACCGATCACGCTGTAAGCACCTTTGCCGCAGATTAGAAACACGTTGCGGGTGCCAATAGCTGGTCCCGATAAGTTTAGACGAGAAAGAGATGCCGGTGTAGGTTGAGGAGTCTTCCCGGCCATTGATTTTACTGATAAAGCGTAAGCATCTCACAGTTCACGCAAGCGCCAGCAACATACGTGGTAAGAAGAAATGATCTATAAGATATCCAGCAAACTTGATCAAATTTTGATCAAGTGTACATTGTTCCTCAGCAGCCCATTGTTGAAAGCCGTCCAACCCTGATAGGCTCTCAGCTAGACTGACTGCCTGGCCTTCCGCGACTCCCAGTCGATCGTGTTCGATAAATGTGAAAAAAAAGTGTTAGAATCTCGTCTTTAACAAAAACCTCCTCCTGCATCAGACGTATGAGTGTTATCGGTTTGTAACCATGACCAGATGCTTGCGAAGGCTCAAAATGGTTGATGATATTGTGAAAAAGCTCGGTAGCTTTGTCATGGTCTTCTGGCATCAAGGGTTCCGGTGCAGGAAAGATGACTCGTTCCAAAGACGATCGGTGCGATCACAGAGGGATGCTTGTCGATAGTGAAGTACGGAGGACGGGCATTGGAGATTACCTGGCGCAGGATTTACCATCTTCCGACGGATAAAATTATCTGCGAAGCACTAGCGCTGACCCACAATAGGTTAGGCCCGGGAAGTTCCCAGACCCAAGGCTTCTGATAGACTGATTGGTCCATAAGCGGCACAAATAATGAGGGAAGGCAAGAAGGACCCCCCAGAACACATATGCAGCCCGTATGTCTGAGTCAAGTGGTGTACTTTTAGGAATGTATTCTATAGTGCTTACCAAGTCGCTTCGCAATGCCTTAGGCTGGGAAACCTTGTACTGGTGTTGAGCGTATCGCGTCATGACGGGTATTGACTCTGTTTCTTTGTCCGTGACTTGTTCGGAAGACATCAGTCTCTGGCAGATATGGATATTTGTCGATGTATTTGACACAATAGCGGAGCCAAATGGTATCAGTGTGTCCATGATGACTGCAGTTGTCTCTGCTGCACTAAATTCTCTCTCGCCACGCCTGTCATCTCAACGTTAGCGAATGGGTAGTCACCATAATTCAATGGCCAGGTAGGAAGGTTATGCTACACATCGTTAAACTTGATACAGATAACAACAATGAATCTCTGAAAATATTTGCACGGCTGGAGAAGAATAGTAATAATAAGATGACTGCTGACAACATATTGCATCGGACATCTTATTAGAGTAATAGTCTTTGTTGTCTATTTAGCCTCCCGCATTGCCGCTCTACTCCTGTCCCCACTTACCCCAGCTCATCTAATTGCTATGCCAGCTTCTAGGGCCTCCTATGTAAGTTATCTTGCATAATACAATGACACATACGACCATAGGGTGTGGAGAACAGGGCTTCCCGTCCGCTCAGCCGTACTTAAGCCACACGCCGGGAGGTTAGTAGTTGGGTGGGTGACCACCAGCGAATCCCTTCTGTTGTATGTTTTGATGTCTTTTTTTGGCTAAACGGAGACTCTTCTCCCTATTCAAAATCATGCTTTTGCCCACTCAGCACACGATGCCGGCAGCCGAAATGAGATGGAATGGTGGAGCTAAAGAAATTTGAGCATCGTGTATAGCATCTGTCAACTCGTGGGAACACAACTCCTTTGCTTTCCTTTTGATATTCAGGAGTTGTGGACATGAGACAGACACACAGACTGCTGAGCTTCATGGTCTCGAGACCTCATTGGCACGGGATAAGTACTATGTGATAGAATTTCCCAAATGGACCAAAAGAGATACCTCTTGGCCTGTGGACAATTCCAAGGTGAATAGGTTTCAACACCATGTTCATCTGTTATAATCAAAACTAGTATCAAATTGGCATTTCAACCACCCGGAATATCATTACCCGTTGGCACCGCGGCTGTGGTGGGTATAGTGAAAGGTTTGACAGCTCTAGCATAGGCACAACAGAGATCCCGAAAAACGCACCCTATCCTCACAGCCTATTCCAGAACTCTTAATTTCACAATCCCGGCAAGGTGGCCGAGCGGTTAAGGCGCTGGTTGTCAGTATAAACCCAGCCAATCATGTTACGTCTCTTGTACTAATACCCCTCCAGTTAGGTATTCCCAAATCACCAGTTCGAAAGAGCGTGGGTTCGAATCCCACCCTTGTCATTACTTTTTATTTTTGCCCATTCTGGTGGTATCAAAAGGGTGCATGACCAATCTAAAAACAGTATATCGGTCTAGAAGTTGTCCTAGAGGCGAAGGCTGAGCTGGTGTTGAAAATCCTCGATTCCGACATCCCGGCACCCTCCCGAGGTACAAAGCCACATCCACTATGAATTGGACCATGAGTTCGATGAACCCTGGGTTGTCTACAATGACCAAGTAAGGATCCAGAGGGTTTGGAGACTTTGATCAGTGATAAGTTATTTAATCATCTTGATTATCCCAGACAGATCGGATGATTGTGATCATGCAGCCACTAATGGGTCCGACAAAGTGGGAGCAGTCGCGCCATCCATAAATTATAAGACTGACAAGTGCGTTCGAATGAATCCATCTCATTCAGACATGCATCGAGTAGTATTCTATCTGTTATAGAGCTACCGCCCAACCCAGACAAGATGACTGCCTTCTTGCCATTTTTGCACAGAACTATCAGAGCCGCAACGAAAGACATTCCACACCGGCCAAGCAGTGGAGGCCCAAGTCCCAATAATCTGGATTGTGGATAGATTGTTGAAAAATTGATGAACTGCAAAATTGCCTTCCAGGTTAACAGATACTACTTTTGCTATACATCGAATTATAGCTTGGCAGGACTCCCTGATTGGTGGAATTCCTGTTGTCCGATTGGCTGCAGGCCGGCACATTCTGGAGTCTCTAATTGGCCAGTGTCCTTACACACCCACCATACTCGATAGCTTTTATGATGGATAGATTGCATTATGACTTTGTGCAATTCCAAATTGATACAAGATATGACGCCTACGATCATATTCCCTCTTCAATCAACGGAGGCTTGAAATTAGGGGTGCATTGGATTGGTGCCAAGCTAGACCGTTGTTTAGTGCTGACCTCAGCAACGCACTCGCCAATCGCTGACTGTCCACTACGCTTATTGCTTACTCCATGAATCCTACATTCGGTTGATCAGGCTGCGACTTCCAAGGAATCTCACAGTAAATAAAGCACCGATGCTCCCTCCCCCGTGGCAATTCAACTGCCCAACTCACCATGGCTTCTCTGCTACCATCTATGGGGATTGCAATCGCCCTCCTCATGGGGGTCTGGTTGATGCGCAAATTCAGCAATTCACCACCGCAAGTGATTGCCACCATTCCTCCTTCCGTGCCTCATCCGCTGAGCCAGAAACTCGAGGCTGCTCTACCGCAGAGGGTGTTACTACTCCATCGTGACGGCGAGCAGTTCCGCCAATCCATCAACACCTACTTCTCCGGCCAGGCGCGCGACGTAGTGCAAGCCGCCATTGTCCGACCGCGCACCGCGGATGAAGTGGCTACTGCCGTTCACATCATCAAGGAGGAATACGACCAGCAATCAACCCCTCGTCATGACACCGAGAATGTGCTCTTCGCCGTACGCGGCGGTGGGCAAGCCCCAGTCGCGAGTAGTGCCACTGCCCGCGGCGGCGTACTGATTGACCTCACCCACCTGCGCGAAGTGACCGTCGCGGAAGACCGACAGAGTGTCACCATTGGGGCGGGATGTGTCTGGGTAGATGTGCTGCGCGTCCTGGACTCGATGAATCTGGGGGTAGTTGGGGGCAGAAGCGCCCCTCTCGGCGTAGCCGGGTTTACCTTGGGAGGTACGTTCTCCACAGTCAACAAACCATGCCCCTCGCTAACACACCACGTAACACAGGTGGCATCTCCTTCTACACACCTAGATACGGCCTGGCCTGCTCCAACGTCCTCGCCTACGAGGTAGTTCTAGCCTCTGGCGAGATCATCACCGCCACCGCCACCTCGCATCCCGATCTCTGGACGGCCTTGAAAGGCGGCTCGAACAACTTTGGCATCATCACTCGTTTCACCATGCACTGCTTCCCTTCCACCCCAATCTGGACCGGATCTGTCTTCGCCCCCGGCTTCGAGATCACCAAAGCCCTGAACGCATTCCACGACAGCGTCCAACGTCAGGCAGACACCGAGGTGGACCTCTTCGCCGCGCCCCCAATCACCTGCTACACATACATCCAGGCGGTGCGCTTACGTGTAATCACCATCCAACTAGCCTACACCAAACCCCCAGAGCAACCCAACAAATGGCCTCTCTTTTGGCAACAGTCGGGATTTCTTCGCCTATGGCGGTTCCGAAGCACCCATTCTGTCCGAACCACCACCTCCGCCATGGAAGAGAATATGAACCGCGATATCGTCGGCCAGCGGAACTCATTCGGCACGACCACCATTCACAATGATCTACCCACCATCCTAGCCGCCCGCGAAATCTTCGACGAAGCCATGGGCTCCATGCGAAAGATGAAGGGGGTGTTTTTCACCATGTTCATGCAGCCCCTACTTCCCTCGTGGGTGGGCAAGGGCGATCCTAATATCCTTGGCATTCGCGAAAGTACAGAGAAACCTCTGATCATCGTTACTATGTCCTTCACTTGGGCGTCAGCACAGAATGACAGCTATGTTGAGTCAGTGACGCGCCAGATTATCGAGAAGATCGACGCGGTTGCCAATGCCAATGGTACTGGTCATCCCTATCGCTACTTGAACTACTGTGAGAAATGGCAGCGACCGTTGGAGGGGTATGGTGAGACGAATTTGCAGTTTTTGCGAAAGGTCGGGAAGGAGTATGATCCTGATGGACTCTTTCAGTGGGGTTGTGTTGGGGGTTGTAAGCTTGATTAGAGAGATCTTGATGGATGGGATTCTTGATTGAAGAACTAGGTAGATGAAATTGGTAGTTAGTCAGTATAGGATGGAAATATTAGCTTATCAAAAGTCTGTATATACGGCATCACCCCTACCCTTCTCATCCGTATACACTCGCCACAATAAAGAGTACGCTTGTCTGAACAGGAGATATCCCATACCCAGTCATCTATACTCCCTATATCACTCATTCCCATGCTTCACTCAGTACATACGACCACAGGGTGTGGAGAACAGGGCTTCCCGTCCGCTCAGCCGTACTTAAGCCACACGCCGGGAGGTTAGTAGTTGGGTGGGTGACCACCAGCGAATCCCTTCTGTTGTATGTTTTTTGCTTTTTTTGAGATTCTTTTTCACACTACCACGTCAATCTATGATGCGCGAAGTTAATCGGCATGGATCCTGGATCCACCCTGTATGCAACCTGTTAAAGAATGCTGAGATTGAATAATGCATAATCGGGATAGCGATATTAACATAGCCGGACTCAATAAATAAAGCTTTGTTGGCCCTGCATCCTGAGGTATTGGAAAAAAATGGGTGAGAGTGCTGCTAGGGTCTGAATGTGCAAGATGTCCAGGTTAATCTGGAGCTGCTCTTATCTTTCCTTGGATGTTTTTCAACTCTTTGTTTGGGGAGGAGATATTGCGGATCATTGTTTGTAACCCAACTCCATCAATTCCCGTAATCTTCAAAATGTTATATCCCTTCCAACTCGCACATTAACATGCCAGATAGACCCACGACAACAAACTAACAATAGAACAAATAAGCCTCTTTGAGCACCCCCGTAATACAATCTTCCCGCTACAGAACCATTAGCAAAACCCACCTTGAGAAGAAATATCCCACACTTACAAAACAATCCTTAAGATCCTGAACAATATCCGCCTCCTCCGCCAAAAACCCCCTCTGTCTATCCGTGATACTATCCTCATCATACGTCTCCGCACGATCAAAATCAATCCACATGATTCTTTCCGGCTCATTTTTAAGAACCATCATATTTCTCGGCTTCGTATCCCCATGTAGCACCAAAGCCTGATGAATGGCCTGAATCCCAGTGATGAAGTTATCCATCCGGGTTTCGGAAAAGTTGTGCAATCCGATCACTTCCATTCCGGGGATGTACTCGATGAATATTGCGCTGGGGGGGTATTCATCCCTGGTAAAATGATCCAGATGAGGGGTGCAGAGACTGGGGTTGAATTTATATAGTCGGCCGAGTAGGTGAGGTACAATGCGGCCGCAGAGTCCCTTGCTCTGGAGGCGCCGGTAGGCGGTGTATTCCCGGACGTGGATGTCGAATTCGCGGTCGACGGCATCGTAGGGCTGTGGAGGGTGTCTGCCGTGGTGCTGGTGGGTTAGATTGGCGTGTATGGGGGGGTGGTTGATGGGACTTACTACTTTCATTATGCAGAGGTGGGTGCGGAGGGTGATGAGGAAAATTGAGGAGTATTTTGATCTGACGAGTTTCTTTTCGAAGATGATTTCAGATGGAAGGATCTTGTCGAACTCCATGGTTGGATTGTAGGATCTGGTTGGATGAGGAGTTGTTTATTGTAGTAAACAATGGAATAAACACAGGTCTGGAACTGGAAGGAGACAAAGACGCGGGAGATGATTCAGCATAATAATGGGCACATGATATTGATTCACGGAGTGTGACAACGTATGTTAGGAATTTATCTTATTTAAACAAGAAAAATACGGAAATTAAAAAGAGCCTAGGCTATATTTAAACGGAATGAGCCTGACCCGGAGAACATCTAAGTTCCAAGACTAATATAGCTGACGCCGTGCCTCTATCACCGGAACCCTCCTCCAGCTGGCTGGAGACCTTCTCTAGGTATCTATAGATCTCCAACATAACCAGCCATATTTCACAACGACAAACAGATCAAGGTTTCGCCAAGCTGAGAAATAATCTATATAAGCAAGACATCTCTCTATAGTAACCACCTACCCCCGAACAGCAACAAGCATCATCATCATGGCCAACGAAATATCCCTCATGTCCTACCTCCAACAGCCCATTGCAACAAACCCCCCCTCAACCAACCCATCCAACAACATCCTCTTCTCCAACCCCTGGGTCAAATCTACCTTAACCACCCCAGAAACCAACCTATCCAAACCCATCCTCATCCCCAACCCTTGGGAAGAATTCAACCTACCCACCATCCTCCAAAGACATCACCAACTCCTTAAGCAAGTCCATCTCCCCCCCGACCCAACCCCCATCCCAACATCAACCTTGCCAACCGATTTTCCCTGGTGTGAACTCCACAATCACGTTATGCCACGGGTCCGTCGAGCCCTAAACGCCTCCTTCGAACATCTCAATCTCCCCATACCGTATCAAGAATCCAATAACCCTCCACACAACAAAACACCCATCCCCGCTACGGACTTTAAATCAGCTACTGGTGCGACATGGCCTCCAGATCCGGTAAATTACAGAGGGGGTGATAGATACCCTCATAATATGAACCAAGTGAGTGTGTATGCGGGGAATACAGGTGATACGCCGTATGGGTTTTTGATCCGAGATCAGGAATTGGTTTTCTCCAAGAGGGTATATTTGGATGGGAATATATTGATTGCTCGGCCGGTTTGTTTTACGGCGGGTGGGACGGATGCGGAGCCCGTGTTGACTCCGTTGTTGGCCTTGTGGGCGTTTTGTATGTTGGGGGCTTGTGCTAGTGACGGTGATGAGGGGGGGGATTGTTGGGTTTTGTGAGTGGGGGGAGGTCATTTATTAGGGTGTTAATAAAGATATCATTTTATGGTAATGATGATGATGATTCCGGTTACCTTATCCTTGTTGAATATTTTGTTTGATATCGGGTTTTTTACCTGATGATGTCATGGTATATTTTTGTAGCTTCCCCTGGATTTCACAGGACTTCGTAATAAATCTGGAATATGCTAACTCTGTTTGATAGACCTAAGGACTTGACATGCTGATTATCTGTCAAAGATATCCACCATCTACACGGCCCTTCCGCTGGTATCTATGCTATCATTCAATGATATGTAGGGGAGTCGCTACAGCCACACCAGCTTGATTCCTGCTATGCCATTTAGACCACGCGTATACTCAACTGCCTGCTTTATAAAAGACATCTTAATTTTGTCATGTAGGTCTAACTGCTTTAATATCTGAATATAGGGAGTATCACGCGCGCACTTTGAAACCAAGTCTGTTATTAAGTATCCATGTGATCTCTGTAGTCTGCGTAACTTGACACCTTCACGGATGCTTACTATCTGGATATTCTGTATCTATATAGAGTAGTTAGTCGAGTGATTGATGATTGGGAACCTTACATGACTCGGCACCTGTGGCTCTACCTAAGTTCCTGTAAGGGCAGTTCTAGTGAATGTACTAATCACTCTTTTTGACTGCGGTATTGATAGACCATTTGGTTTATGTTTATCCTTTAAGTAAAATTAATCTAGAGGTTCATTTCTCAAAGCGCACTAAGATCGAATTCTGACACCTGGAAGGCGCAGGAATTGAAAATAATTCAGAATCAATAAATCCTAGTAAATGACATAGCGCCAGGATAACTGCCGTATCACTTAAGCAAACTATGCTCCTGAGATCCACCAAACCATCATATCCAGCGCCACATCGGGTCGATTTTGAGGCAGCTGTCAAACATTAGCATCTTCATCATCCCATATCAAAGAAGGGAATTCTTACCACATGCCCCGCCCCATCAACAGTAACCAACGCAAACCTCGATTCAACATCACTCTGATCATCCACCCGAACATTAACCTCCTTCATCGAACCCACGACCTTCCTCTCTCCCGTCACTATATCCACCGAACTCCATGGTCTCAATGGCTTCGCTGTAAACTCCATCTGACCCTTCCAGGAAAGCGAACTCGCCCACCGCAGATTCCCAGCTGTATTTCACGCCAGGTCCAGATTCCCTTGGTACGCTAGATAATGGACTTGATTCTCCAAAAGAAATGCAACTTGCTCGGAGCTGGGAGTCATACCGTCTGAGCTACGGTCGAATGCGAGTGAGACGGAGTTCGCCATGTAGTTATATTCTTTCATTTCCTTGGGAGGTGAGAGTGCTTTCCAGACGGATGGGGAGTTGAGGTATTGTTCGATGTGGGCGGCTTCGATGTAGCAGATGCCGTCGACTTCGCAGGGGGCGGTGACTGCTTCGCTTTAGTAGGTTTTTCCTTTTGTTAATTGGGAGGGGGGCTTACTGTCGAATCGGCTACGACCACCCTTGCCGGACTCATCCTCATACCATTTCATGACACCATCGTAGCAGACGGATTCAGCAGCGTGGCAGATAGCGGGATCGGGATTTCTGGCACATGTCTCGGCGACATTCATGCATCGGGGCATGTTGGTAGCCATGATGTCACATCGGGTCTGGTTGAAAATAGGCTCCGGGACTCCAGGGTTAGTCGTGCAGAGGGCTTCCCAGTATCCGAATATAGTGTCTTTAGGGGACATGTAACCGTTTCCGACGAGACAGGGACCGACTTCCTCGAAGAGTCCGATCATGCTGGACCCGCCCGGGCCGCCGGTCATCCAGAGAGTCAGGGGGTCGCTGGCGGGATTATTCTGGCTTTCAAAGTACCAGAAGAAGAGATGTTTGGGTCCGATGTCGAGCCAGCCGGTGTATTGGGCAGAGCCGGCCGCGCAGAGAGATTCGTTCTGCGGACGGATGCGGATGGAGTAATCCGGGGAATGGGGGCTGCGCACCACGCGAAACTCGTCTGGATCTTGCTGCAGGATGGTCTAGGTGGAGGCATAGGCCATGCCCAAGAGGGCGGCATAGTAGAGAGAAAGCATGAGTGTGGGGTGATGGAAGCGCGGTGTGGAAGAGGAGAGGGGAAAAGACGGGGAGCAGCAGGGAGTAAGCAGTGGAAACAGGCACCGTCGCGTCACTCACCTTCCCCACGAGTACCAGTGCTAGCGTGTCTGAAAGTGGAGAGCCGAGTTTATAGTGTAGTGTGGACCTGCATTGATAAGCGTTTATCAATGGTATCCACCAGGGTCCGCATCGGGCCGACTCACCGTCTTTTCGTTGTCCTCGTCCTCTAGATAGTGCTCCCAAGCAGAAGGCACCACGGCTTTAACCATGTTAAAGGTGTTCATATGCATGTCTTCCATTAACGCATAGTTGATTCTATTGTGGGGTCTATATACATGGTAAAGCTCATTCAAGATCTCGTCAGACATCGCTCATCTCACGGTCCGGAATTAGACCAGTCCAATGATTTCCCAAGGTACCCAAAAGGTATTAGAATAAGACTGATCCACCAGTCAAGGTACCCCCCGCCAAAGGCGCTGTGATAATCCCTGCCTCCAAGAGGTCCTGAGCCAACCGGACCAGCAACCCGTCACATCCCTTGGCAGCCAGGACATCAATGGCCACCGGGAACTTCTCCTTATGCTGTGTAATGGTGCTATAAGCCTCGACCTCCCCAATGGGAATGACAAAGTCAGGCACGCTGGCCATGTTGGAGATGAGGAATTGGCTGTACCCCGAGGGTGCTCCAGGCAGCGAGCGGTAGACATTGCGAGCCGTTTGGGAACCATCGGTACCAATGTACACGATCAGCGATGAAGAGCACTGGTCGGGGTCAGAGATGGGGGTGAGGTAGTTGTCGGCAATCCAGTCCATGAACATAGTCTTGTTGTAAATGGCTTCGTCAAGGGCCGAGTCGGGGTATGCCATCGACCAGTTCCAGCGGGACAGGGGGACGGGGTCGACAAAGGGGATTCGGCCGTCATGTTTGGCTATTATCAGTTGCTTAGTTGATTCTGATTAACAGGGTGGAAGGTGGGAGGCGAGGCAGGCTTACCAGCATAGTCAGCGTAGAAGGGATCCCGGACTAGAGGAATCTGCTGCTTGGTGATCAGCATCGGGTAAGTCAGGTTGAGCAAGGTTTCCAGAGCAACGTCTGCAGGAGCATCCGCTGGAGGATTGGAGGCCCAATCGGCGGGCAAATCCAGCGGGGTGGCCGTCGTGTTGAGAAAGGCTGCCAGTCGACTTTGGAACTTGGCCAGCAGTGCATCCGCCGCGGAGTCGTTGGTCGTCGGGAAATCAATGGTATACAGCTTGCTGGGGTACTTCACTGTCTTTCCACTGAACGAGGTGTAGTTGGTGCTGTAGAGGGCTTGGTTGGCCCGGTCCCACAGGTACGGATCTCTCGTGAGCACACCGGCCGTATCCAGCACGGGAGACATGGACATGACGTGGTCGAGTTCGACAAGGCCGTGCGACGGACGAGAGCCGTAGACTCCCTGAACTTCGGCGGGATTGCGGATGGAGCCACCCGTGTCACTGCCCAGAGCTAGATCCAACCAGTCGTAGGAGCCGATGGAGGCTCCTGCGCCAGATGAGGATGATGAGGGGTCCTGGTAGCCATCTCCACGAGGGTTGAAGGGCGAGTGCAGGTCAACCCAGTCGGCCGTGGCAGTCTCTCCGTTGGCGAACTGAGAGGGCTTCTGCAGCCCGACAATGATGGCTCCTGCTTCAATCAGACGGGAGACGGCGGTGCCAGTGGCATTATTCTCTCCGTAGAGGTTGTACCATGCCCGGTTACCATTGCTCTGCCGGACACCGGCCAAACTGTAAATATCCTTGACGCCCACGCGGACACCAGCCAGTGGCTTCTCAGCGCTGGGGTTGTAGTAGATTCGAGACGGCACGCCAACCGTCGAGGCAACCAGACCAGCTACTTGCGCCGACAAAGGCTGGAAGGTACCATCTGGCTTCTGAAGCAGGGACTGCGTAAAAGATCCGGCAAAGTCGCTGTAAAGACGGTACACTGGGTACAGCTTACCGGTGGCCTGCTCGAGGAAGTACGGGCCTGAAGGAACAATTCTGGACTCCAGGGGAGCGAGAACACTGGGACGAGATGCATTGAAAGTGGCTGTGGTAACATTGTCCGGCTTGGGGACGCGAAGGAAAACGGCGCCCAAGAAGGCGTCGGTGAAGACGTCATCCTTGGTTGTCCAGGTGGAGAAGAGAGAGGACAATGTTGAGGCCTCGGTATCCTCTTGGACAACGGTCACAGGAAAGAAGCCGTTGGCGCTGGGGAGGCCCGAGAGGAAGGCTGATGACACGGTCACGTTGCCGGCCGAGTAGGGCGAGATGAAGTAGTTGATGTTATCCAGCGTGACGGACATACCGGTAGACACCAGCTGGGCGGCGGCTGAACTGACCAGCCCTAGGGCCGAGACGGCGAGTTGGGATACTCGCACCATGGTAGAAGGGATTGAAGGAGATGGACGAGAGAAAGACAAATGCTGGCTCAGGGCTGGTCATGGTGGATATATATGGGACTGAATACGGACGTCGTGCACTTATCTGAGTTGGAGACATCTCGGCCGTCCCCGACTGTCCGACTCGCGCTGCCCATCTAAAAGCAGCAGATATCGAACCTGGCAGTGCACTGGTTCCTCCGATTGATTCGTTGACGACATCGATCTTGGCAGGTTGATGTTATCCGTTATCAGTTGGAGTAGTCTCGGCTGGTAAGCACCCCCGAGCGATGTCGGCGCAACCCCGGAGGTATCGGATCGCTTGGACCTTCCAGAATGCCCACTTCCGCAGATTCCTTGGACCCACGTGGTCAGCTTCTCCAGAAGCCGGGATTACCGTGCTCACTGCCTCTCAAGTCATCTCAAGGGTTCCATCCTTATCTATCCATCTGCTATCACTTATCTGCGATAAGTCCCACTCTGCGAAGGAGGGTGGGGCGGTAAACCTGGCTAGCGGAGCCCTAACAAATGTATGTATCTAGGCGGCTAGACGCAAGAGAGACAAGAGGAATGGGGGAAACGCAAGAGGACCAAAAAAAAAAAAAAACCGAAGCACTCCAAGGTCCGGCGATTAAGCCTATGCTAGCAGGGGTCTTCTTCATACCCGACGTGAAGAGTATCGAAAGTAGCTACTACAATGCATGAGGATCGATGACCATGAATACACTATCTGGGTATCAAGGCTCTCTCATAACACTTCATCCATCGTGGAATCTGGGTATGGCAGGACAGTGGCGCTGCTGTGCTAGACTGTAGTAAAGGAAGCAAAGTCAATACTGATAACATCTTTGTTGCTTGGACACCGTGCTCATTAAATACTTCGCTTTTAACCCACCCGTGATCTACCAGATAAATTCCCTCGTGCAGAGCATGCGCTTTTGCAAACTGTTTTCGACATGGGATTAAGGTTGACCCAAGCCGGAGCCTGCTGCTTATATGCGAAGCCCGTGGCTTCCCGACTCAGGGCCACGACTTCTCATCCAATTACACTTCCAGCGCCTCGTTTAGATACGCCTCGCATTCTTGGGCTTCAGACTCAGACGGTTTGATGGGCCTGTTTGAAAGTTAGCCTGGTACACGATGAAGATATCGACAGCCGTACTGATAACAGCATACGGCCAAACTCAGTTCAGGCAGGTATTGTCTCAGATCAACTTTTACATGGATAAGTATATGACCCAGTATGGGTTTGTACTCACCGACCGTGAAATGGTTGCTATCCGACGCCTTGATGATGACGGAAGCTTGGAGCTATCACAACCAATTCCATGGAGTACTGTAGGCAGCGAAGACCGCCCGCAGCTTACTGTGCTCATTGCTCTATGGTATCTCGGGATGCTGGCGGGGAATAATCAAGAGTGGCAATTGGTGGTTTGATTTGTTGATCCAGTCTCAAATGTCCCATAGGTGACTCTAAGTGGCACCCTGTCCTATCCACTTGTTCAAGTCTTTGCTGTTCTCATTCTCTATACATTGTTCCTTAGAATAGGTTTTCTACTTCTCCTCTACATGTACCGAGCCTCAATGACAGATTGACAGGCACATTCGTCGCACAAAACACGGACCCGGCCTTTCTGTACAGATACGGACGTTATGTTCAGCCTGCATTGACCCTTTATACAAGTTCATACGACGGGACTATTGTCGCCATTTCCACCTGGCATGTCCGTCAGGACCAATCATCGCCTCCAGTCGAACCCAGACGACTCCCGCCGTGGCTGCAAAGAGAAGGCCACTAACTAGCAACGACATGTTCTCATATCCCCGGGGACTTAAAGCATTCGCCGTGTTTCGAACCAATACGCCCCCGACCGGAGTACCAACCATAGTGGCCATGCCGCGCACCATGTACAAGACGCCGTTGACCGAGGCAAAGTTCTGCACGCCAAAGAGTTCCACCAAACTGGCTGGAAAGAGAGAGACATAGGCGCTAGCAAAGGTTCCGTACAGGGTGGTGAAAGTGATGAACAACCCCTGCGATTGCGTCGTTGCGCCGGATAGTGTCGACGGCAGCCAGAAAGCAGTGGTGGCGATTGCACTTAGGAAGGTAGTGAGAAAGAGAGCGTTGAGTCGTCCAAGGCGATCCGCTAGATGGCCAATGACAATCTTGCCCACGGCATTACAGGCATTGCTCAGAGCGATAAAATTGGAGCTGGCCGTGGTGCTGTACCCGAGGGTTTGTGCATACGATGCGTAGAAGAAGACTGGAGTGTAGTAGGCCGCCGCTTGGAAGATGGCGCTCAGGGCCTGAGCCATGAACCGGCGCGTCCGGGCAACCCGCCAGTCCACTAGAGGCACTTTCAGAATCCCATCGGCACGACTGGTCCTGGTGGAGTTTTCCATCTCGATCCGGGTTCGACTGCCCGGCTCCCAGGCCATTGCACCGCTGGCGATGGAGATCAGGGCAAAAGACAAACCCCCGGTCATACGCAGAGTATTGCGATAGCCTAGGTTATTGACGCAGGCCGTCAGAGCTGGCGCCCAGACAAGACCACCCACACCGGTTCCCGCTAAGATGATGCCCATGGCGAGTCCACGGTGATGGGTAAACCAGGTGGGAGCGATAGTAACAGGCACCATGTAGCACAAGCAGGTGCCAATACCATTCAGAAGGCCCTGTGCCAGTTCAAAATGCCACAGTTGGGTCCCAAAACTAGCCACGACGAGAGAAAGCCCGAACACAAAGCCACCAGCAAAAGATACCATGCGAGGGGAGAAGCGTTTGGCCCAGGCGACGGCAAAGGGAGCCCCGATAGTCATGAGAGATACCGAGATAGTACCAATCAAATCAATCTCTGCGGGTGTCGCTCCGGTAAAGGGGGTTCCGGGCTTCCTTGATAGACTCTCGTACAGGGCTTGATACACGCCCCAAGCGAAGTTGAGACCACAGCACGTGAAGATAATGACGAACGAGGCGGCGACAATGATGACGGATTTCCTGCGATAGCTACAGTCAGTCTTAACTTTTGAATTATTGAAGACGTAGGTAGCATACCATTTTGCATCCCGGGCCAAATGGCCCTCGGGTGGACTTGCGACTACGGAAATAGGTTCCAGGCGAGGCATAGTGATGGGGTTAATTTCAACGTCGACCGGAGGTATTGGCGATATTTAAAGGGTCATCATACGAGCAAAGTTCACGATCAAGATCAAGAAAAAGAAGTGTAGCTTCGGAACAAGTCGCGATCAGTGCAGAATCTGACTCATCGCGCGGCATCAATTGGTGACGTTCGACCTCGGTTGCTGTCGGCGGGTCACTTCGGCGGGTCAGCCCGGGGTGCTGGCGATCGCCCTATAGGGAGATTATTGCTTCCGTAAGGACCTGAAATCTGAGACTGTCTAAGGAGGAGAACACGTTGTATGTATGTCAAAGCATCTCCGTTTGATGGATGGGGGTGACCAGACCACCCTCCGTACTCCTGAAGGTGGATTCTATGACTAAAATTAACGTGTAGACGAGAGGTTCCACCAATTGTATACTGCTAGCAGTGAAATATGTCCCATCAGTGAATTCTCAAAGTGGATGTTGACCCACAGACCACAGTGGCTATTGCGGAACGGCAAGGTCTCCCGTCTGCGAACCCCCCTTGCCCTGGCCCGTAATACCCGCAAATTCCGTGGAGTGTGGGTTCGCCATGAATTTATACCATGCTACTGCAGATTCGATGAATTCTTGTACTCAGTACCAGGTCAATAAAACAAAGAATATTTTTAACGACGCTAATATTTCCCCTGGTCTCTGAAATGTTGGGAATCAACATCCAACATGAATCACCCGCAGAGCAGTGACACCAGCAGCGAAGGCTCCCAGATCAAGGTGCACTATTATCCATGACAAGTATCATGATCCAGGCTGATTCCATGTCTTTCTAGGGAGATGTTGAAAAGAACCCCGGTCGACTTTTATCTATGGGCAAGGGGAAGGTCTTTCCTCCCCTTCTTCCGAACCGAGAGGATTATGTCGTCGGGTTTGACGGTCCAGACGACCCAGAACATCCCTTCAGCTGGGCTATTTCCATCAAGTATGCCCACCTCATGTATCGTTATATCACTCCTGACTTTGACTTCCCCCAGGCTATATGTATCCATCATGGTATGCTTCGGCACGTTTACCGCATCGTTCGCCAGCGCGGTCTTTGCCCCAGGAGCCGGAGGAGCAGCCAAGGCGTTTGGGGTGAGCTCCGAGGTTGGAATGCTCGGTACGACACTCTACGTGCTGGGGTTTGCATCGGGGCCGTTGATTTGGGCACCTGCCTCGGAGTTAATTGGTAGACGATGGCCATTGACTATGGGGATTGTCGGCGTGGGCCTGTTTAGCATCGCTTCGGCAGTTGCCAAAGATATCCAGACGGTTATTATTTGTCGCTTCTTTGCCGGGATGTTTGGGGCCAGCCAGCTCTCAGTGGTTCCCGCCGTGCTGTCGGACATTTATAACAACATGCACCGCGGTGCTGCCATTGCCGTGTATTCGTTAACAGTGTTCGTTGGGCCGTTCAGCGGTCCGTTTGTCGGGGGCTTTCTCGCCTCCAGCTCTCTTGGATGGCGATGGACCTTGTATATCCCAGCATTTATGGGCTTTGCATGTGCAGCTATGTTTGTGCTCTTCCTGAAGGAGACCTATGCCCCGTGCATCCTAGTCTCCAAAGCGGCAGCCCTACGGCGGCAGACCTCAAATTGGGGCATCCATGCCAAACAGGAGGAGGTTGAAGTGGACTTGCAAGAGCTGGTTCAGAAGAACTTTACTCGTCCGCTGAGGATGCTAGTGACCGAGCCCATAATCCTGGTCATTTCAGTCTATATGTCTTTTATTTACGGGCTGGTCTATGCCCTGCTTGAGGCCTACCCGTACGTCTTTGAATCAGTCTATGGGATGAGTCCCGGAGTCGGCGGTCTTACCTTTTGTGGGCTGATAATTGGCCAGCTGCTGGCATGCGGCTTCATCCTGTCTCAGCATTCGGTTTATGTGAAGAAGCTGGCTGCCAACGATAATATTCCCATTCCTGAATGGCGTCTGACGCCTGCCATTGTAGGAGCTCCTGTCTTCACGGCCGGGATCTTCTGGTGAGTGACTATTTTATTCCTCACAACGCTTACTCACGCCGTATCAGGTTCAGCTGGACTGGGTTTACGCCCAGCATCCACTGGCTCGCACCGACTGCTGCAGTCGTCCTGATCGGCTTTGGGATTTTGTGCATCTTCCTGCCGTGCTTCAACTATCTGGTTGATTCCTATCTTCCTTTGTAGGTGTTCGATTTCCGGGGTGTGTCGGTGTGATTGGGTATCTAGGCTAACTGCGCAGGGCGGCATCAACTGTGGCCGCAAACATCATCCTCCGGTCGAGTGTGGCTGCGGGATTTCCCCTTTTTGCGAAGCAAATGTTTGCAAATCTGGGGGTGCAATGGGCGGGGACGCTGCTGGGTTGCTTGGCGGCGATTATGATTCCGATTCCATTGTTGTTCCGATTGTACGGGCCGCGGTTGCGAGGGCAACGCCGATGAGTCACCGCAGCGGTTATTGCGGGACCCCTCGATGCCTGGAGAGAATTTCTAGAATATCTCACTGCACCTTAGTTCAAGCCTGGCACCTAAGCAGAACCTGGGGAAGGCCCCAAGCCCGGAGATCTAGTGTGTGTACTCGACAGGGCTATGTGAGAGAAACCCTAAGGCAGGATTTGATCTGTGGATGTGCTACTGCTGGACTGTGAACAGTGGGTGTTCCCCTTTGCTCCTGTCAGATCTTAATTGTCTAGCTAACCCCAGGTACCTTGCTTCCGGTACGGAGTAGCTTCAGCTTTACCATCCTTCACTGCCCTAACACTGGTCCAGGTGTAACACCCGGTGGTCATACCCGCCACTCCCGAATCAGCCGGTATCCGGACTCCCCGTGGCTGTGACTACGCCACATATCCACCCTATCTCATTCTGTCTCGAGGTGTATCACACATGAGCCATCATAATGGAGCCAGGGCTTTCCTGAACCAACCAGGCTGCTCTGCAACCCACCTGATCCACGTATACGACGAATCCATAAGAAAACCGGGTCGGTCCACTTGCCGAGCCCCATCCCGACCGTGCCCGCATCTTTCTTTTCACCTCCCAACTTTCTTCATCCATCCAGCATTCACCATCCACCATGGCCTCTGAGGAAGCATTTTTGAAGCGCAAACGCACTCGGACCGCCTGTGGGCCATGTCGGGAGCGCAAGAGAAAATGCGATGGTCAGTCGCCTTGCTCGACCTGCACCAGCTGGGGTTATGACTGTCACTACTCGCGACACACGAGACCTCGCCCTTCCACCCCTAGTCACCCCGACTCCGACCCTGTTCCCGTTCCAGACGACAGTCCCGCTGCAGCTGCCCGTGTCGCTGAGTCCCTTGAAGCCAACTCGGGGGCTGCATTTGTGAGAAAAGTCGCCCTCAAAGTCGACCCCGTCAACGCTCCCAAGTTGAATCTCTTCGGCTGGAATGTGGGGAAACGCAAGTCGCTCGCTCCTGGAGCCTCCGCCGACAAGCCCATTGACGATATTTGCTCGGCAACTACCTTGCAAACTCTAGGACGCCGCTACTTTGCCAAGATCGACCCCTGCTATGGCTTCATCGATTCGGTGCAGTTCTTTCGGCGTATGGATGCTCGCTGGCAGCCGTTTGCAGAAGAGAGTACGTATGATGGCGTGCTCGCGGGCGTGGCTGCGTTGGGGGCCCTCTTTTCCGACACAGAAATGGACAGGGTTGAAAGCAGTCTGGTGGAACTGGCTCGCCACATCTCTGACACCCATCTCGGCAGTGCGCCCCCATCTTTAGACCTTCTCACTGTGTGGACTCTGCGAGTGGTCTATCTGCGTATGGCAGCTCCTCCATACCCGGCTTGGGTTGCAAGTTCCACCTTGATGCATCTGATCGAAGCCTCCAAGCTCCACCAGGTCTCGTCGGATGAACGCGATCTCGATATCCGCAGGAGGCTGATAGGCGTAGCCCAACACCTCAACATTTGGATCTCCTACGACCTGGGGCTCTCAAGGGTCAGCTTATCCACTGACACACTCGGACTGCCCACCCCAAGACCAGGTGACTTCACGGTGGAACTTCTCGGTCTCTTGCCACTTACCGCTAGTCTGGGGCCGGAGAATCAGCGCCACGACCAGGAAATCGAACAATTGCTACTGCAAACATTGGACCGCACTCATACAATACCACCATCCCTGCTGGCTCAATGCAACCTAACTTTCTGCCTCCTCCGACGCCTTCGCTTGACGAATGTCACAACCACCCCCACCACAATGAAGCGAGTCATTGACCTCCTCAAACGAAGCCTAGCCGCCGCACGCGACATGGCAACCAACCATTCTCCATGGCAGCATGTAGCCAACGTGCCGTTCCACATGATCAGTATCCTTCTCGAGATGGACACGAGTGCCGCCCTGGAGTTGCTACCCGACGCCATGCAGACATTGAAATTAGTCGCCTCGACCTACGATACCGACACAATGCGAGAAGCATACAGCACAGCATATCTATTCATCAATCTCTACGAGAAACGCCGAATCGCAGATACCAGACTATTAACCAGGGTGTTGAGGGACCGCCCGCTATCAGTCCCCGAGCCGCCATCAGGACTCAACGAGATATCCTGGGTGGAGGGAGTGATGGCCGACGTGCCGACCCTGCAAGGCCTTGACTTTGAACAATTCTTACAACCCGACATGCTCCGACTTTCTCCGGAGTTTCGGACCCCGGAACCGATGCACCCGATGGAACCTGTTGATCTGTGTACTCCAGCGAAGGGATATGTACCTAGGACACCTAGGAGTAGCCAGTAGATCAGACATTAACCACATAGACTCATTTCACAATACTAGCAACTTGTGCAACCTTATAAATCCCTCTCCACTAATCACCAAACACCCCAAACCATACCAACACAATCAACCCCTACAACCACCCTACCCTACCCCACAACCCGACAATCAAAAACCACCCCCAACGGCGCCACCTCCTCCGTATGATTATACCCCAAATTCAACGCCATAATCTGTCCCACAGTAACCCCATACGTCCCCGCAAAATCCTGCACCGTTCCATACGTAAACGTAAACTGCCCCATCTCACAAACCGTATCCTCACACACGGGGATCTTCACCGTCTCCCCCGCCTCCAACACATCATATATCCCCGGGTCCAAGGCAGCAATATACCCCGTTTGAGCCGTCTGATTGAGGATCGATTCCGGGGTGATATTGTACCGTTCGTTGGCGATTTTCTGGATCGTGTCGCCGGGGAGAATCGTGTAGACGTGGGGACCGCCGGGGATGCAGGTGTTTGTGGTTAGGGTGTTGTTGGGCGTGAAGCAGGTGGTGTCGGATGGGAAGGTGGAGTGGGTGGGGATGCGGAGGGGTTCGTTGGTGTAGAGGTAGTTGGGGTCGGAGAGGATGTTGAAGCGCGCGAGGTCGCAGGCGCCGATGTTGTATTTGCGTGCGATGGTGTGGATGGTTTCGTTGGGTTGGACGGTGTGGGTGTGGTTGGTGGGGGGATGGCGAGGGGGAGGTTGAGGATTGTGCCGGTTGAGGGGAGGGCTGGTGGGTTGTTAGAGGGGGGGGAAGGGAAGTGGTGGGTGTGTGATGACTTGCTATTGTAGTTGATGGTAGCTGCAGCTCGGATGATAAGGGATGTTGTTAGAGCAGCTATAATGGTTGCGTGGGAGAGCATGATGCAGGTTTAGATTGATTAGATCAAGTGGAAGATGGGTCTGCAATGCCATCTCCATCTGCGGGATGATGGTTTATTTATTCTGTTAGCGCACAGGCCATTCCTCAATTGTTCACGGTGTGTAGGTGCCACGTCACTTACCCTTCTCTGTAGACGGGGAAGAATGCACTGAAGCAGATTCAAAAAGTGGCACCATCCTGGTCTGTGGTCCGGGGAGGCCATTCCTAGGGCTCCACTTGTGTACGGCCTTCCCCGCATTGCTGCCCCACGATACCGGATGCCCACCCTGGCCGTCGGCTTTTAGCTATAGAACCTCCGGTCTTTGTAAGTACTAATCTGAGATCTCTCTGGATTATGTGGAGTGGAATGATGTACCCCATTAAGGAAAACAATATTACAGAATGTCCGTTCATCAGTGCACCCAGAAGTTAATTCTTCTTCAGATCTGACTGAGTAATTCCACAGTCGTCCTTGTAGATTCGCGATACACACGATAGACATGACCACCCCACAACATACTCGGGCGAGACTTCCCTATGGGGAAATTATGGGGTAAATTTCGTATTCAACTCATCCTATAGACAGTTTTCCCCATCCTGTCAGTCATGAGGTTTCTGTAAGCAATAGTATGGCGTTACGCATTCCTACAAGCGTTGTGGACCCAGCTACTCCTAGGTGCATGAGAACAGGATGACGATAAGAGACTTCTCAGATAGGAACGTAATGTATGAAAGAAAAATAAGAGTTCTGTTATGTTCTTGAACTAAGTCAATAACTGTGGCCCTCTAGTCTGTTGATTCCGGTATTTTGTCCACATACGAAGGTTAGCATGGTTGATGTAATGTGATCTATATAATTCTCCATAGTAAAGTAACTTATTGTACAGGAAGAGACAACATCGACAATAAGATCACGTATACTGGCTGTGGCCGGGGAAGAAGAAGGGAAAGACTAGACAGTATACTCTGGTACACCAACGAGAAGATATGGGGATTGCTTGTCAAATTGTTGAGTCAATGCAACTGCGAGCCAAGCTAGTAGACTGGCATCTTGAATGCATTCAAATCATACAGCCAAGTCTTCCTATCCCCAGGGTCAGTCACACACTCCATCGTAGTCCCATTATTAGTCCACAGAGGTCGAAGTGGCCAAGCACAAATCTTCTGTTCCTCACCCTCATGCACCCCCTGGAGAACAGTTGCATTCAGCATCTCAGGAAAAACGCCCTCTTCAACCCATTGAATCATCGTTTCCAGCGTATTCTGCGGCCACGGTCCGTTTGGCTGAGAAGCATCCGGACCACAGTGAGCCGCGCCGGGAACCAGGAACAAGCGATACCAATCACCCAGCGCAGCGTAGCTCGAATTCAAAGACATGTCCGGGTACATGGTACGACGGACCGACTCATAATAACGCACGGACGATGCAGTCGGAACAGTGTAATCAGATTCTCCGTGGTAGTGAAGCACCTTACCACCGGCTTGATGAAAGGGCGTCAAATCCGGGTACGTGGACTGAAGAACATCCCCATACTTTTGCCAGCCAACACGGATCCACTCTTTCAAGTCATCATATGTGACATTGCGCAGAGTCGGCATTTCGGTGCCGTTGAGCTCGTTGATGTATTTTTCCACCCATTCGCTATTGGATTCGGTGATATCGAGAGTCCAGGAGTCCGTGTCGTAGTCGTAGTGAGTTTCTGCATCGGAGAACGCGGCACTGGGCTGATAGGGCACGTATACCTGGTTGCCGCTCAGATCGTGCATTCTCCGCAGGATTTCCTTCGCGACTGCCACGCCCTTGGCGGAGACGGTGCCGTTCTGGGCGGGGAGCTGATAGGTTTCGGATCGCTTATAGGTTGTCAATGAAGACGCCCCGCAGCTATAATGTTGGCCGATGGTGCTGTTGGCGTCGAAATATAGCTTGCAAAGATCCGTTCGCGAGACCACCCCATCCTGCTTGCCGTCCAGTGCGTCACATGCTTTGATTGTCTCGTTGACGATCTTCTCCAGCTCGCATGGGGGTGGGTAGTAGTTCAATGTTTGTTCAACGACGGGAGACCGCAGGTGCTGCATTTGTTGGAAGGTGAATCGGAAGCCCGGAGCGCCAGTCACTGCGCCATCAAAGTCCTCAGCGAATCGCTGAATCTGACTCCATCCGTCCCGGCCGCCCTCGGAGCAACCTTGGTAGTAAGAGTAGATGGAGGAGGTGTTGTAGAACCGCTTGGTCAGCTCCTTTCCAAGGACAGTGAGCTCATGGATAGCCTGGTAACCGAACATGAACATAGTGTCGTAATTCAGCGTCCCATTGGCGAGGAGCCAAACGTCATCAGAGCCATTCTCAAATCCGCCGAATCCTCCATCAGTTGTACCCGCCACCGCACCGTACATGACTCCTCCAGGAAGAGAAGCGCTTCCAACCGTAATGTCATAGCCGCTGCCACCCGTGGACAGATAGCGGTTAGCGAATTTAGTCGGAGCGGGCATCTAATAGCTGACAATGACCCGGTCACTGCGACCTAAATGGGAGTAGGCAAAGGTCACATTGCAGTAGTCGAATGTGGCGTCTGGGAAGTAGACTTGATTGGTACTGGACACATTGTAGGCAGCAACAGCGGTCACCGAGGACGTGTCAATTGAGATGCCAGGGTAAACGCTGTCTGGCGGTAAGGAACGTTGGGCAAATGAAACCGTGCACACGTCTTCCAGTGTTGTGGCGTAGGCTGTAGCCAGGGCAGCTGCTGTCGCCAGAACTCGGACCAGATGCATGGTAGACCAACAAATGGTACAATTGACTTGGGTGAAAAGAAGGTTGTGAAGTGCAGTCCTGATAGGTTATTGATACCGTAAATAAGAAAAAACTTAACATCTGGTGAGTCCAAAGCATGGTGTGTCCCGGATGCCACGACGTTCCGTATCCTGGAGACCTGCGCTTCATTGTAACCCCACACGAACCCACTCAGTAGTTAAACGACCCAACTATCTCTCGGCCCCTCCCTGGAAAGTCCTGAGTGAATCTCCGAGCGATACTCGCAAAGTCACCCAGTTTTCAGATTAGCCTCGAACATCGAATCCTTCGCTTGGAATACGTAAGATACTCCACAATTCGTAATTGGGCTTCCCGATGAATGCCCGACAGGGTCCAGTGGGTTCTCCGAGCTCTCTTCGCAAACTCCCCCCAATTGGGGATTAGCTCCAAGGTATGTACCGATTGCCGATTCCCCACATGAACCTAATCTAATCTACGGAGTACAAGTAATCTTATCAAAGAAGCCCAAGGCAGCAAGACCTATACGAGATATATCTTGGAAATATTCTGGATGAACGAAGCTTCTCAGACGCTTATCTTGTATACAACGGCCACTAGATGTGGCATAATTTACTGTAGTGGTACTCCATTCTCTGTACTGAATTTGACGGATTGTGGGTCTCGGACTTAACATGGCCAGCTAAGGCATAGATCTGCGTGGCCCAGCATACGTAGCCCTAAGCCGATAACTCCCGGCTGTACGAGCAATCGCTCAATAATGACAGAGTATATTTCTCGACAGCATCATCCTTAATTTGGAGGAAATTGGTGAGCAAGAGGCCCACTTCCTATGGAAGAAGATCCTCTTTGCAGCCGATCACGGCACACAATAGCGGAAGACAATGCCTCGATGTATCAGTTTCATATCGCGGCCACAAAGAGGAGGTTGACCATGGCAATGGCATATAAATACTCAACGTGGCATCCTAATTAACCTATCGACTCATCCACATTCCTTTTCTCACCATCACAACATTCATTCGCTCTGATTTCTCTATGTACTTTCATTCTTTCCTAACCGCGAGCTTGATCGCTGCTACCGGTGTTCATGGCATCTCCCCCCCTTCCAATCCCTGCGCCGGAAACACACCACAAACCCGCGACCAATGGTGCGACTTTGATATTCACAGTGACTACTACACCGAAGCCCCAAACACCGGAGTAATCCGCGAGTACTGGCTAGAGCTGGGAAACACCACCGCCGCCCCTGATGGTATCCCTCGCAATGTCTTGACCATCAACGGAACCTCCCCGGGCCCTACTCTCTATGCAGACTGGGGAGACTGGGTACGCGTCCACGTATACAATGGCCTAGAAAACAACGGAACCAGCATCCACTGGCATGGTGTTCGACAAAACCACACTAACCCTCAGGACGGCACGAACTCCATTTCCCAGTGCCCAACACCCCCAGGGGGGTCCGTCACCTATGAATGGCGCGCCACACAGTACGGTACCACCTACTACCACTCGCATTTTGCACTCCAGGCCTGGGAGGGCATCTACGGTGGAATTGTCATCAATGGTCCTGCCAGTTCCAATTACGACATCGACGCCAGTATCCTTTACCTCAGCGACTGGTCGCACCGCACATCCGATCAGCTGTATTCCACTGCCGAGACCGACGGAGAGCCCACCTTAGCAACGGGCTTGATCAACGGCACTAATATTTGGGTCAAGCAGAACAACGAGACCGTTGGCTCTCGCTTCACCATGAATGTGACGGCTGGTCAATCTTACCGACTTCGTCTACTCAATGGTGGAATGAGTAACCTTTTCCGATTCATGATCGATAACCATACCCTGACCGTTATCGCCGCGGACTTTGTTCCCATCGAGCCCTACAACACTACATCCTTGAACATTGGTGTTGGTGAGTTACACCCATCCCACATTCCCACCCCTTATGTAGAATAACCGAGCCTCGTCCAGGACAACGCTACGATGTAATCGTCACAGCAAACCAAGACGCCATCGGCTCGGATTTCTGGATGCGTGCCATCCCCCAAGAGGCCTGCATGGAGATCGAAAATACCGACATCAGGGGAATTTTCCACTACGCAAACCCAGGAAACGAAATCGCAACCCCCACTACAACCCCCTTCGGATACACAGACAGCTGTTACGATGAGCCCTTGACGAGCTTGATTCCAATGGTTGCCATCGACGCCTCCGGTGTCGGCTATACCAGCCACAACGATGTGAATGTCATCGAGAACACGGCCGGCTTGTACAAATGGTACATGGGGCCCACTACATTCAAAGCAGACTGGAACAATCCAACCCTGCTGCAGATCGCGAATGGGAACACATCCTGGAGTAACTCCTCCCATGTAGTCCAGGTTGAAGGTAATGGCCAGTGGGTGATTGTGGACATTGAAATGGCTATTAATGTTCCTCATCCAATTCATCTTCACGTGAGTATTTCCCTTCCAGCAACTCTATACCCACAGACATCTTTTCTAACAATGATGAATGGCTCAGGGCCACGACTTCGCCATCCTTGCCCAAGGCAAGGGAAGTTACACGACAAACACCACTTTGAACACGTATAACCCACCCCGTCGCGATACGGCCATGCTTCCAGCCCTCGGATATTTAGTCATTGCATTCAAGACCGATAACCCCGGAGCGTGGCTCTTGCATTGTCATATCGGATGGCATCAATCGGAGGGTTTTGCGATGCAGTTCGTTGAGAGTATTGATCAGCTGAAGCCGATGGTTGATGTTGATGTGTTGGAGAGGAATTGTGCTGCGTGGGATAGATATGCTGTTGCTGATGATATTGTGGAGGATGATTCGGGGATTTAGGGTGGTGGGGTTGAGGCGAATGGTTGGTGAGGTGTTGAAGGGTAGAGGATATTGGTACGCTTTCTATTCTGGTAGTTAGATTGTATTATATAGAGGTCTTATAGACATGTTATATCTTCGTGGTTGATTGGAAACATGCCTCTTCGTTCATTGGTTTGGAAGACCCTCGGCGCGTTAAATTGCATTGCTGGTAGGGCAAGTATATAAGGGTATGTTGAGATGTTTTAGATTGAAGGCAGCTTTTTTGAGCGGAAATGCCATTTCGTACGTAAGCCTCGGACCGGGTTGAAGATGTCATATGTATATGAGTACACACTTCGAATCCATTGGGCTAATAGAATATGACTTGACTATGGATATGAGTATTTGGACCATATGACAGCTCTATGGTATACATTTACAAGGCTGGAACAGATATCCCAATGCATGACCTTCAGGACAAGGCTAGGATTTGGAAGAAATAAGAATACAAGCAGAAACGCTACTGATCAGATTCTATCAATCTAGTGTTAAAGGCAGACATCTATTCGATCACATCCCTCTGAAACTCTACAACAGGCCCATTTCTATACATATCTTAGAAGCAAAAATCAATGTGAACACCCCTCTCGACTGTTGGAACACAATTACTAATTAATCCTTCATATAGGCCGGAGCTACAAAACCGCTGAAATACTCCTCCACATGACTCAAATCATCCAAGCGAGTGGCATATCCCAACAACCCATCCGGTCGAACAATCGCCACTGCACCAGTCGAGTCTGATACAGTGTACGCAGTATGAGCCGATCGCTCCGCATCATAATAGAGTCGACCGATTTTCGGAATCTGATACCACTGGTCGCCCCCGCCCACAGCCTGCGCGACCACTGTGATAAAACGCAGCATTTCGGAAGGAAGCCTTTCCTGGAGCTTTTGCAGTTCCTGTATCGCGTGGGTCAGATTCTTCCGGGTTTTGTCAGGATGGCCTGCCAGGATGACAATAGACCAGGCCCCCGTGTTCTTGGTGAGTTGGAAAAGTCGAATAGGGAATTTTGAGCCCGGAGCATATACTGTAGCATCCGGGGCTCTCCAGCCAGCGGTGACCATTGTTGCGAGAGATGGTCTATTGAGGATGTTTTCATCGTAGTGGATGCCCAATCCGATGTTGAATTGGATGTTATCGTCGAAGGTCTTGGTAAAGAGCTCGTCCGCTGTGATGTTCTGGTCTTTATACGAGTCGGGTACTTTGCCGGAGATGGAGGCGGAAAACGTCTTGTCGAGATGAATGAGATGCTGTGCGGCGGGGCGTCGCTCGGTGTCGTAGGTTCGGAGGACCTCGGGGCTGTACCAGCCCTTGATGGCACCACCTAGCTTCCAAGATAGGTTGACTGAGTCGTGAACACCGGTGTTCATGCCTTGCGCGGCGCCGGAAGAGTGCGTGTGACAGGCGTCGCCTGCTAGGATTACGCGATCGTCTTTGACAAATGTCTCTGCGACTCGCTGGCCAATGCTGATGGGTGTTAGATGCTTTGATTGGGGTGATCGCAGTTGCAAGAATTGATTACATACCTGTAGAGGGTCCACCAGGTGATGGAGTCAAACTCAAGGGTAAAGGGTGCCATAGATTTCACAGCCTCTGCTTTGGCATCCTCTAGGGTCAGGTTATCACCGTACTTAGCAAGCATCTCCTCGGTCATTGCGAATCCAATTCGCTTCACTCCGTGGTCCATCTGCACCCAGAGCACGTTGCCATGGCTCTCGGATTCGATAGAGGCGAATCCCAGATCAGCATCTGGCATGTCCGTTCGGAAATGCCCGTCGATACGCACCCATTTGAACTCGGTGCGGTCGCCTTCAGAGGCGATATTGGCGAGACGTCGCACCAGTGAGTGGCCGCCATCCGCACCCACGATAAATTTACTAGTACTGTTAGCAAGAGCGCTTCTTTGGAGACGAATCTTAGAGAAATACCTCTTAACAGTTAAAGTCTTTCCCGAGCTCACGTTCTTAATCGTAGACGTCACCTTATAATCATCCTCGCAGGACTCATCTACCGAGAATGTCTCCAACTGCCAGCCAATATAAGGCGTACCACCCAACTTCTCATATGCCGCCCGGAAGGCATCCTCCGAATACTTCTGACGAATGTTGAGGATATAGTCCATAAAAGTCTCGTGCATACGTTGGTACATGATATGCCATCCTCTGGACGTGATAAGTTGACCATTCTTATATGTCACGCTGTTCCGAGCGATATAGCCGATCTGGTTCAGCTCGTCCAATAGCTGGAGCTGATCGAGCATCTCAAGAGTGCGGGGGTAGAGGGTTCCGGCTCGGCCGTACATTGCCTGTTGGGCGGTGTCGTGTTTCTCTGGAGATGTTGTTAGATGGTTGGATGAGCAAAGGGGGGGGGGTGCTCATACCAACAATCACAGAGGTTACCCCCTGGAGGGCAAGAGAGTAGGCTGTGAGGAGACCAACAGGTCCGCCACCACAGATAAATACATCGGTCTTGATAGGATCAGACATGGTAAGGCTTCAGGATGTGTCTATTGTAAGGGATTGATGAGGGTCTTTTGGTCCTCTGAACGCAGGATACGGCTTGCCTTTATACTGTGGGATCTGAGTGAATCGCTGAGGACTTTAGAGGTGGTCTCTCGGCTCATCGGCACAGGTGCTGCTCTGCAGTCTCGGAGTGTGTGGAGTAGACATGCCAAAGGGTGAAACCGAAAGACTCCTAGCCAGCTGAGTTGGTAGTGTCCTGGAGGAGGCGAAGAAAACAAGACAACCCGATACGGAAAGTCGCCCCACAATACCGGAGTGTGTAATTTACCAGCTCCGTGACGCCGGACCCGGCGGAACAGTGAGGGACAAGGCTCGGAATGTGTATCTGCCTGTAATTGTTACATTTTATGTTTCTGGGATGTGGTCCAATATAAGAAGTAATTGCCAAACTAGCAGTAGTTAGTAGGCCGTCCAGACCTAAGATCTAGACCGTTAAATAAATGGCTTGGTCTACCCGCAACCATGCGGCTGGAGAAAGCAGTAGTAGTGAATGACTATGTTGGAAGTTCTCATCTGCGGCCGGCAAGACGGAACTTGATAGATCCACGTGTTCAACATGACGATTTCAAGGCTTGAAGGCCCTTTCAAGAGGAAATCAAACTGTTCTAAGGATTCAGCGCACTTCGTTCCCGCTATAGCCTTCTGTTGGGTTCTGAACTGTATACACATTCTGCTCCTTTCTGCAGCTTCTGTTCTTCCGACCATATGAAGCTGGTTAGTACGAAGCAATATAGAAACATACTCGGCCTGAGGCAGTAAATAGTTCATACAGGAGCCAAATTACCAATCAAAAAACTCAAGTCCCCGATGTAAAGCCACCACTTGAGACCATGATTAGGTCACGTGATGTGGTCCCGGATGGCTCGGCCCCGATTCCAGCCAACATCGCCACGGCTCATTGGGTATTGTTGTCTAACATCCCATCTGCCCCCTTCGGCTTGACCCATACAATTGAGGGATACTCTGCTGCAGAATGGTATGTCAGTTTTTGCTCCACTCCGGGTTGCCTAGCGCTGACGTTCGACCATTTAGTCCAGCCGTAAACGAAAGAATATTGCGCTTGCCTGTGATTTGTGTCGAGCGCGAAAGATCCGCTGCGACGGGGTTGAGCCTTGTTGTAGTTCATGTGAACGTCGAAATGTCTCATGCTCCTATGCGAATGATCATCCAAGGAAGCGTCTTGATAACAGGTAATCCTGCTCCTATGGTGAACTATACATGTCTCACATTGATAGGTACATCCGACAAGTGCGAGATGGTTCGCCCCTCCCTGGGATATTGAATGCAGATTCAAATGCTTCTCTAGAGTCCATGTCTAAAGGGGGTGGTGGTTCCGTTTTCAGCAACATTGGAAGTAGCACAGAAGCCCAAACTGGTTTTAATCAGGGCCTTACATCAGTGGCCGATGAGACACACATTCATCTCCATACGCCTAGTAATCATCTGACGGCTCATGGAAATCTTCAGTCAAAGTCTCGCGAGAATAAAAACCTCCTGACAGCCATGGGAATCACCCCGAATCGGTCTATAAGTCCGTCCGAAAGTCAGAATGAATTTTTCGGTGACTCCTCTGTGGCATCATTGCTGAGACAAATCAATGTCTCCGTAACCAGCAAACCGGCGAGTGCTGCAACTCCAAGCTCTCCAAGAATGGCAGAAAAGTCTGATTCGGCTGTCAATCCGTACGATCTGCCATCCCGCCAAATTGCAGACTATTTGTTGGAATGTTACTTTGACAAATTTCACACCCTCTATCCATTCATCCACAGACCCTCCTTTCTTCGTGCCTATCATAATCTCTGGGAGCCGAAGGCCGTGACAGACGTGGAGTCTTTAACTCGGATTGGCTTTGGCTTAAGCGACCCCGGTGTGCAGTCGTCGACATTTCTCTGCGCTTTGAATATCATCCTAGCTCTTGGCTGTCAATTCTCCCAGCTGAACCATGCAACCCGTGAAGCTACATCTGAGGAATTCTTCCAACGCTCCCAGAAATACCTAAGTATCGTTACTATGGACAAGGGTGATCTGGCCCTCGTACAAACCCTTCTTCTAACTGCAACATATCTGCAGGGAGGCGAGTCTCCCTCGAAATGCTGGAACATTATCGGGCTGGCATGCAGGGTCGCCCAGGGAGTGGGTATGCATTCATTGAAAGCAGATCGGAATCGATCATCTGCTGAAATCCAAATGAGGAGGCGTGTTTGGCATGGCTGCGTCATGTTTGACTTGTGCGTACTTGTTCGACTCCTGATAACATTATCTGACAGTGAATCCAGAGCCAGTAGTATGATGCTCGGTCGTCCTCCTATGACCTACAGCTCTCCAGTACCCCTTCCAGAAGCTCTTGATGATGAATATCTACACTCCCCTCAGCTCCCACGAAATCACGGGGTCTCTCGGGCCGAATTTTACATACAGACCCTGCAGTTACACACAATCCTCAGAAAGATTTTACTGGAAGTTTACGAGCCCTTGGAGAACTCCAGTCCTCCTTATCCACTAGATTATCTCAAAACAGACAATTATCACGCCCAGACTCTTATGAAATTAGATGCAGAGCTCTTAGCCTTCAAGTCACAAATCCCGACAGCCTTGCAATGGAATAAGCAATCAGCCAGTGACCAATTCCGTCGCGAAAGTAGTCTACTGCGAGCACGGTAAATACCAAACCCGGCATATCTTTCACCTACTGACCATACCCCAGATTCCTCCACTTACGAACCCTACTCCTGCGCCCAACTTTAGTCAACTTCTGCCGTGAAGGCCGCATGCCTAATACTCTCGACCATCCAAGTACCGGAGAGCAACATACAGCCCTAGAAAGCAAAATCTCGCTAGATTTCAGTCTAAGCTGTTCAACCTATTGCGTCGAAACGGCAATCGAATTATCACATCTAATGAACGAAATCTCCAGAACAGAACTAGCCAGCGTTTGGTGGTATAGTATTTTCTGTACGTGTCTCGAGCAGCCTAGCCAATTCCCCACCGCGCACACACTACTGATTAACGTTTTTTAGATACCTTCACTGCGGGGGTCGTTCTCATCCTCGCCCAAACATCCTCCGCCCTAGAACCCAACTTCACCAAACAGCGCTTACACGATGCCTGGCAGAGCTGCACCGATTGTCTAGAGACCATGGGGTCATATAGCAGCACTGCTCACGTTTACGCTGACTGTCTTCGCAAGACACTCTCTCAATCGCTGCATGAAGGCAGTGGGAATGTCTCGTCCACCCAGGATGTAACATCCCGGCCTGGAACCGCGGATCTGGGTCCACCTGATTGTTTCGTCGCGGACCCGGTCGTTGATCACCTGCCTTTCGGTACTGAGTCTTCAAATGGCACCTGGGGTGGGAATGACCTTGCGGGTTCCCTGCTGGAAATGATGTGGGATGATTCTTGGTTGACGGCGCCGACTCTTGTCTGATTAGCCTTGAGGGCCGGCCTGGCTGAATTAAATAATAATTCTGTTCAGACTGACTTTTCTTGCTAGTTCTTTTGTGATTAGCATGAGTTGTAGAAGTAGAGTCATTTGCACAATTTGTGAATTTTGGCGACCGATTGTACGTGAGGGATATGTTAGAGAGGGTCGACGCCTACATATATACATTCCGCCGCAGCCGCAGCCGCAACCTGTCTAGCTAGTAGCCATCAACGACTCGAGAATGTCCCCCTAAAGAGACGATATTCGAACATAGTACAATAATCATAATACCCATAACAATCTTGGCAATAAAAGCTGAATAAAGGTAGTTTTCCATACGGAAAACCCTCGCCATTCACCCTTGGGCACTTCAGCAATACATCGGGCTGATCTGTTGCTCCAGCCCCCAAGCGCACGTCATATATCATTCCAGAAAGCAGATCGACATGCAAACCCCCGATGGTCTAGTTGGTTCATGGCGTCTGACTGTAATATTATATTGTGATCAGAAAGTCACCAGTTCGATTCTGGTTCGGGGGATTTCTTTTTTGAAGTTTTTTTTCCCGCAGCGGGTAGGTACCTATGTGGGGCACTAGTTTGGTGTGTGCTACTCTGTGGTGATAATGTTGGGGATTAGGATTGTGGATGCTCTTTTATCTTGTTATTATGGAGTTAGCATACCATATTTCCTCTCCAATGATATTTTTATGGATTTGATCCAGCGATACTCTCCATGGTTGAGAGCAGTGGATGTCCACACCGTTACATCGTGGAAGGAAATGATTCCGAGCTTCGGTCTGGATAGGGGTTGTATCAAGAGGAAAGTTACATAAATAACTAGGCTGCAATTTAATATCCAGAAGACCAGAGTAACTTGTATCTATTTTTTTTATAGGGGTTGCCTATCTCGAGTCCTTCCCCTACACAAACAAATACTGTGTTTAAGTGGGCGGCATTGGTTTTTCCAGTGGGGCTGTGCATGCTATCACTGGCAGATTCGATTGACACGTTGGCTACTAGGTTAAATGCAAACATGAATGATTTGTGAAATCAACCATAGTGAGATCCATAGCAATCCGTTGTACTGTACAAGTTCGATAAGTTGTTAAAATTGTCAGGGAAACGGAGTTGCGGAGTATTAAGACGAGAGAGGAAGCCTGATATGGTGTCTAGCCAGATGACACTAACAAAGAGGGTCGAATGATTGTATTGAATTGGAAAAAATCCAAAATAGTAACAATCTCCCGAGCTTCAAGATAAACTTGACTTAGAACGCAGAAGCGACAGCAAAGCATCCTTGTCCATGTATTCTGTTTGATTCCTCATGGCAGCTTGGATGTGTCTCTCGGTGATAGGAATGTCGGGATGATCCTCCAAGAATATATCGATTGTATTCAAAGTTGACCTTTCCACGATCAATTCGAATGCTGTCTCTGTGGTGGGTAACGGTATCCGGTGCTGCATACACAAGCGGATAAAATCGTCAAACCAGCCAGAAATGCCGGGAACGCTATAATCGCTCCAAAGGAAAAATTCTTCAAAACCCTCAGATGTGAGCCTCTCCAGCATTGTCTCCGAGACATCAATACTAAAATATTGAACAAGAGTCCCTGCTGCCCGAGCCAGAGCAGATGGGGAAATTTCAGGATCCTGCCATATTGCTTCCCAGACAGCACTAAGATTGAGTTCACGCGTTGTTTCAAAAGCAACTCGAGAAAATTCGATTGGTGGTTCTGAATGGCATATATCAAGAGATCCTCTGTGATTGGCACTGCCTCTGGTCCCAGGCGAGTCAGAAGCAAGTCTATGACTGAGTCTGGGTACCGTCCTATCAATGAAGCTTTGATCACCTCTTCTGTGCTCAAGACTTGGTTCTTCTGTCTGTCGAGAAGGATCCTCATTGCATCAACATCTCTTGCCGCGTTGACGAATATCTTCGGTGTCACTAGAAAATCTGGATTCCTGTTGTAAATGACCTGCAGAGTATAGCTGTTACCAGCGACTGTTTCCACCAGCCACTCGTCCACTTCCACAAGCCGCCGATCGAGAAGCATCTCCAACACCTTTCCTCCATTATACCGGTCAGTTGCTATCTTGTGAATCATTGTTTGAATTGGAAGACAATCACACCGTCGATCCAATAGCAGACCCATGGCGCTAGGGTGACGACATGCCGCTTCCAAAAGTTGATCACTCGCCGGAATCTCTGGCCATCTCTCCAAGATGAATGCGAGCATACAGTCCACTGTGGAAGTTTTATCCACATCTGCAACTGATACCAATACATCTTCTGAGACAGGAAGACTGTGACCTCGAAGATCAAACAGATACTCTATCAAGGCTTTCCCATGAACATAGTTATCAGCTACCGAGCGTAAAGTCTTCCCTGTGATGGGAAGTTCAGAGCCCCCGGCATTGTTCACGAGCAGCTCTAGCATTTCCCGATCCTGACATTTAGCAGCATTGGATAGTGTCTGCTCGGAGACCATGAAGCCTGCTTGCTGTCTGCACAGGAGTAGCTTCATCATGCCCAAGCTTCCGTATTCGTTATAGGCAATTTCCTGGATGACCTCCTCATCAATGATGGTGTCTTGCCCACACTCATCAAGCAACATGTTCATGATATCTGTGCCTTTTGAAGTGTTTTTTGCAGCGGCTAAGAGGACTCCTTTATTGATCTCGGTTCCAGGCTCTCGCCTGTTTAGAAGTAACCTCACTGTCTGTGGATCGTGTGTAAATCTGGCGGCTGTAATCAGGACACTCTGGGTGACTTGGATGTCCTGGCCACGCTCCTGCAAAAGCAGCTCCATGGCTTCTTTCTTTCCCTGTGCAAAAGCCCCAATACATCCTTCATCCAACATGATATCATTCACCCGCCTTTTCAGAACGGCCATCGCGGCATCAGTATGAGGTGCGGAAAGTAGCGCCTTCATCAATGATGGGGTAAGCTTTATATCCGCGTCACAAATTTTCAAAACTAAGTGCACGATCTCATTACCGCAGTAGCCATTCAACAACACATCTGTCAACAATTTCTCAGTTACCTTGACACCCATTTTCTCTTTCCGATCTAGGAGCACGTCTATTAGTATATGGGCCGATCTGATATTCCCTGCTGCACTTTCAAGTAATCTTTCATCCATGATCCTATGCGATGCTCTTGACTGACCATACAAAGCACCCTTGTCCCAAAGCAGGTCCAAAATGACTGCCAACTTTTCTCTGTCGGCCTCGGCAGTTTTAATCCATTCCAGCAGGTGTCTAGTCACACCGCGAGGTATCTCATCTATTCTATTCAACAACAACTCTAGAACTTCTAGGTGACCTCGTCGCGCGGCTGCAACCAATGCATTGTTCGATATGTCAAGTTGTGACCCCATAGGATTGGCGCCTTTTGCAAGCAATGCTTCGACTGGTTTCAATCCTTTTTCTGATGCAATATATAGAGGCGGTTCCAGCTCCTCAAATGTTTGATCCCACACGTAATCCCAATTGAAATCAACCAAGCGCACCCAGTTGAAATAAACATCGTGCTCGGTAAACAGGCGGTCAACCTTCCCATGGAAACCGGTACAATTGGCGTGTAGATCTCTTAAATCGGCCAGATGACGGTCCCAATATTTCGCAGCGTATATCAGTAGTGGCTTTTGCACGGCAGTGGTCTTTGTTAAGATCTCAGTAGTTTCAAGCAGACAGTCGATAGTTTTATTGGCTATGGCAGCATGAGCAAATAAGGCCGAGAACTGATACCATTGACCTTCGGGTTCGTTGCGGACTAGAAACTCTTTCACGGAGAAATGAGCAAGTATCACTGTATCATCGGAGAGATTCACAGTGACTAGGGAAGTATTGCAGGTTGTCATAACGTCTTCTGGAAAACGAAAAGACACAACAGCCGCAACAGTCTTCAAATCCAGCGGGACGGCAGAGAAACTGAGCCAGATCAATATTGTGCGAGCCGCCTCTCGATCATCTGGTGAGAGCCTTTCCAGCGTATCTTTATAGGTATCCTCGAGTGTGACCGGAATGGAATCAAGAGCTTTATAGAATGCAGCCTCAGTCTTTGACATTTCAAGCCGTTTGATCTGCAAATCAGCCCAGCGAAAGCGCCTGTTCAATCACGTGTGTTAATTATGCTGTACATGTTTATTGACGAATACTACATACCGTTCCGGAATATCAAGCAACTTCTCCAAGGTCAGCTTTTTGACCGACTCGTTCCATTCACACAATCTGCCATGGGCAACTTGATCCCGGACAAAAGTTTCCACATCTTCTCCCAATCTAGTCTCCAGGTTCACGAGTTGATATTGTTCCAGCCTTGCGCGTATATCAGGCTCTGGTCGACTCGTGGCGAGAATGTGGATTCTGGCTCGATGTTTCCCCAACAGTTCTTCGAGGAATTGCAAGAGCGACCCCCGCTCGTCATTTTTCGCGGGGCACTCATCCAGAGCATCAAGGATAAGGAAAAACTCGCTCTGAGAGGTTTCCAACACTATATCGAGTATTTCTGCAAGCTTTTGCTGCTGTGGCATACTGCCTCGATGGCGATGCTCTTCCCAGAGTTTGATCATAGATGCAGGAAGTGTTCGTGGGGTGAATTGTCGCAGTATAGACCTGATCATGTTGCACACTTTTTGTGTTTCGTCATTGCTGAATTGAAAGTACCAGTAGGCAAAACTCCTTGATGGATCAGACATGCAGAATTCCTGAATATCTTGAATAACTGTAGAACAGAGGACCGATTTTCCGCAACCAACTTTTGGAAAGGATTAGTTTTGATTTTGTGAAGATTAAAAGAACGCACCTGCTCCATAAAGCCAACAGATCTTTCCGGGCGTGGTCTTCCACTCTTTATACTCGGGCAAGTCAAGAAACCAATTCCCCGTGTCCGGTGCCCGGTGTTTTTCATTGTTATTTTGGGCATCTGAGTAGGATGCCATGGACAACCAGTCGAGGATCTCTCGGTCTTGCAAGCCTGTTGACATTAGTGTATGCCCTTTTCGAAAGGCTACCATCTAGCAAATCTCATACCTCTATTGTATGATTGGATATTCTTCAGCCTTTCCACCGCATCGTCAATTCCATCCAGCATATGTTCGGCTTGTTTGCTGTGATCTGTGAAAATAAGCAAGGACTCTTTCTTGTTGATCTTGACAAACGGAAGGTGGTATTACCTAGATCTGCCGTAAGATCTTTCCACTTTTGAACAGCCTGCTCTTTCTTTTCGACAGTTTCCTTGAGGTCCTTGAGCGGCTGTTGAACAAGGGCCGTGATGCTTTTTAGCACACGGGCTTTCAGGGCATCAGTTTCTATCATCATACAAAAAACCGCTGGACTTCAAATCACATACCAGTATCGCTTTCGTTTTGTGCCTTTTTCACCTCTGCCGCGTACTGAAGAACAGCCATGTAGACTTCAACCAGAACGTCTTCCAACCCCCGATCGCTTGCCACTTTTCTCTCTCGATAATGATTGTCAACGATCGCATAGTAGGAAAGAATGCGGGATAAATATTCAGCTGCCTCGAAAACATCGTCCCGACGTTCAATTTCGTTCTTGATAATTGTCAGACCAATAGAAACAACTGACCATGCACTTGATGCTGAGCCTGATTTAGCAGATATACCGGCTGGAACTCACTCAAGCACTCACCATGACCAGTCGGATCAAAAGCCACCAATGTCTTGATAAGATCCTGCGCCTGCAATGCATATAGAATGATATTCTTGGCCGAATCACGAAAGTTGATCTGGCCCCCATCGCGCTTGCGGATCTTGAGCCCCCCTTCTTTGTACTCGCGGTATTTCTTTTCAGTTATCTTGATCACATCTTCGATGGCGTTTGCGACAGGGGAAGCGGTTTTCAGACCCAGGGCCTCGCGACATTCTTCGTCTAATCGTTCCCCAGCCACTTCCCAGAGGTTTTCCCTCTGGGGGCTAACGGTTTCACGGAGGCTTTCGTTTTGGGGGTCATCGGCTCTGGCACCTCGCGTGGAACACACGTCACTATCGACCTTGTTTATGACGCGACTTTGTGTTCTTGGCGGGGGCTGTTCGTCATCTCGATCTGCCTTTGTACAGTTGAGTTTAGCACAGAACCTCAAAAACATCTTGGATGACCCTTTGGACCGTTCTTTCCCTCGTCCAGAGTTGAAAGGATTGGAAGAAACAAGGCTGGCCGTCAGCCTGATGATGGGACGTTTTACGTGTATCTATGTTGGCCTGGCATGCATATGCTAGCGGCAAATCTCACTGTCTCATTGGTTCATGCATGTGGTCCATATCAGTCCGCTCGGCAGGTTGCGAGTTCCGATTTCCCGAGCGAGTCCTGCCAATCTGCCATGTCTAGTGATGAATCAGATTATTCCGGTAGTACTAGATTTCATTATAGAGATTTTTTATATAGAACAGACTATGGTACCACCCTGCACTCCCGGGCCGCCTAGAAATTCGCAGCACGGGCATAGATCTCGGGAGTCGGAACACACATGTCCGCCATGTGCGGGGTTTGTCCGGCTGTGGCTATCTAATCATCCCTGATCTGCGGCCCCTTATTCGTCGCTACGCGTAACCAATCCGATGGGTCAGCCACGGCTCTAAGATTCTCTCAGCCCAACGAATCGATCGCTTTCGTATGTGATTCTCATATGGGAAGTATTTTCAGGAAACCCTCATTTAATAGGTCGATCACTACAAACCCGAACTAAATATAGATAACTATAATCGTAAATGTAGTACCTCTACGGCATTAATTTCTGATCTTTCGCGCGCCGTGCTCTGGTTCGCTGCTGTGCTGGCCGCCTTGCATCCTGCCGCCCCACTTCTCGTACCCCATCAATTGTCAAAATCAACTCCTCTCTCGTCCAGATCTACGGCCTTGGCGGCTTTTCAGCCTTTCGGTACTTCTGGTGCTAATATATTCTGCATAATAATTATCCAAACCAGTGTCTAAATCAGACGTGAAATGAAGGATTCTGTTATAGAGGAATGACATACAAAAATAACCGAATCGTTGAGTCAAGAGTTCGTAGAGACTCAACTCTGAAAGGGGTCCTCGACTAATCTACGATCTTCAAGGCTTCAGCATCTCAGGGTTACTCAAATGCAACCTAGTCAGGTAAACAAAGATACTCCCTCCCCCTAGCCAAACAAAAAGGCATAAAAACATACAACAGAAGGGATTCGCTGGTGGTCACCCACCCAACTACTAACCTCCCGGCGTGTGGCTTAAGTACGGCTGAGCGGACGGGAAGCCCTGTTCTCCACACCCTGTGGTCGTATGTACTATCCTCCACTCCACTTCGTGTCATATACCATGCAATTGTGTTATGTGATCCCGCGATACCCGCAATACCCGTTCCGACCTGACGTAACCCGCTTCCCCGCCCCCAGTATCCTACATCCTACCTACCCTTTTCCTCTTCTATCATTATTCCCCAAAGACCAACTTAGCAATATGTCTCGAGCCCTCCATCTCACATCAGCTCTATCACGCGCCTACCCATGGGTAACCGCCCCCTTCATCGTGAGCGCTCCCATGCGCGTCATGTCCGGCCCGGCTCTAGCAGTGGCTGTTTCCCGCGCCGGCGGCCTCGGCTTCCTCGGTCCCAATATCAAGACCCAGAATACGGCTGCTGATTTGGCAGAGGCAACGTCCCTAGTGGAAACGCTGCGTGCGTCTTCATCTGCTATCTTGCCGAGGACGGCATATCTTCCCATCGGAGTGGGGTTTCAGCTCTGGAGCGATGAGTTAGACACCGCTGTGGAAGCCGTTGAAAAGTTCAAACCATGTGCTGTTTGGCTTTTCGCTCCGGCTGGGGGTCAAAAGGATCTAGATACCTGGTCTCGTCGGATCCGTACTGTTTCACCGGGGACGCAGATCTGGGTTCAGATTGGGACTTTGGCTGAAGCGAGGGGTCTTCTTACTGGGACGGAGAAGCCAGATGCGGTGGTGGTGCAAGGTGCCGAGGCGGGGGGTCACGGACGGGCGAAAGATGGATTGGGTCTGATTGCTCTGCTCCCCGAAGTGGCCGATGTATTGGCGGGGAGTCAGATTCCTGTTTTCGCGGCGGGAGGGATTGCAGATGGACGGGGGGCTGCGGCGGGGTTGTGTCTTGGGGCGGAGGGAGTGGTAATGGGGACGAGGTTTCTGGCTGCGTCGGAAGCGAGGATTAGTCAGGGGTATCAGGGGGAGGTGGTGAGGGCGAGTGATGGGGCGGTTTCGACGACGAGGACACTCTTATATAATCATATGCGGGGGACGTTTGGGTGGCCGGAGGAGTATAGTCCTAGGACGATTGTTAATCGATCGTTTGTGGAGTATCAGGCGGGAAGGCCGTTTGAGGAGTTGAAGGGGCTTCATGATGAGGCGCTGAAGGCGGGGGATGAGGGTTGGGGACCGGAGGGACGGTTGGCGACGTATGCAGGGGCGGCGATTGGGTTGATTCATGAGGTGAAGGATGCTGGGATGATTGTTCGGGATGTTCGGGAGCAGGTGTTGGAGAGGTTTGGTGTTGGGGGGGAGAAGTTGTAGATTTGTGGTTTGTTGGTTTGATATTGTGGATGATTGAATAATACTGGTTAAGCTGTTATCTTCTTAGACTTGATTATTACATCGAATGTTGAAGGGATGTGGTGGAGAGTTCATCAATCGCCTCTAGGCATAGCTTTTGCGGGCGGATTCGACATGACTTTACACCATATCAGGCGCCCTCTCCCATCTAAGATCTAAGCCTACTCCTCAACCCTGTTTCCCTGACAGTTTCAAGAACTTGTCATTCTTGTTGAGAAACTGCTGTGCATCTTACCAGGGTTCATTTCACAAATTGTGTATATATGCATCTAATCTAGTAGCCAACGTGTCGATTGAATCTACCCGGATCAGGATGCACAGCCTAACCGGGAAACTCGTTCGAAGATATTATAATGCGGAGCGATTGGCTCATACTGCGTACACTGTTGTGGTCCCTCAGTATCAGATTGAGAGTTGTCCCAATTCTAAACTGGCTACTCTTCCAGACCATTCTCGCATCAACTTTCGTTGCAAGCAAGTCCAGATAAAAATCATTGTATCCTATTTCTGTCTCGAGATTCCCCGATGCGATTCTTGGTGTTGTAGAACATAAGAACATTTCACCCCACAGGCTTCGAAGCCAAGGGACTTGACTATACAGTACTATGAACTGCTTACACTAGAACTAGGAGAGACTATTTCACCACCTATACCTACAGATCTCTACTGTTTTCAGATCAGCTTACTTTAAGCTAGTTGGATTTGCTATAATGACTATAACTAATGCTATTGCCTTTATCTGTTAGACTAGACGATGTCGCTGTTGCTGACGTGTATCTTCGCCGCACGAGGTCTTCCTCGGTCGCTTTTTCATCAGTTGACGGTCCAGCACCGAACAATGGAAGTCAATGATCATAACGCGGCGTAGCTCATCGTTCCACAAAAGATTCTCCACTCGAAGGTCCTGATGTAATACTCCCAATGAGCGAATCTTCTTTACAGCTTTTGAGATAGAGCTAGAGATGTCAGGGCTTGTGGCTTCGGTTTTGCTGATCGGCTTGCCTGCCCACGCCATAAGTAGCATATGTTCAATCTCTCCCGCTCTATCCAAGAAGTAGATCTTATCCATGTCGATTGCCCCGAGAAACACCGGAACCACCAAGCCCTGCACTTGCGAAAGAATATGATAGATGTCTGCTTCGCGTGACACCTCGTTCCAGAGATAAGTAGTAATTCCTTTACCAACAACAGTATAACCATATGCTGCACAGGTGATTTTGAACGGCGCCCCGGACGCTCCACAGCGTCCCATGGGGGTACAGTCATCGATATCGTCATCCAGCTGCCGTTTAATCAGTTGAACCAATGTCTCAGCCTTGATGAGGTGTCGACTGCCGCTTTCCCCCTTACGGTGGAGTGTTACATTCGGGCAGTGCTCGTCCAGTAAGCCCCCTTGCTTCAGACTGAGTAAGCACTTTTGAGTACAAAATTGCGCCTGATGATGTTGATTTTGATAGCTCGGGGCATGCCCGGTGTCTGCATGGCGTGCCGATTCTTGCACGGATGAGGATGACGTAGACGCCGGCGGAATATATTGTGCATCTGGGGGGATCTTTCGCAATTCTGCAACTGGGATTTGTGAATGCTCGTAATCAAAACTCGTTGTCCATATCGGAAGCAGCAGTCTCGCATTATTTCGCCAATCCTGGTCACGCGTTGTGGAACGAGAGCTCATGAGACAGAGGCACAGCACACGGGCAATACTTGTTACCGGCAGCTGAAAGCTATGATCATCCTCGGGGTTCACTTCCATGTTAGGTTCGCAGAGGTGGTAGTATAAAGTAGTCGGGTCATCATAAGGGACTCGCAGCAGAACCAGCGCCAATCCATTTGTCAAATAGGAGTATTCGAGCCCTTGCTGGATCATGACATGGAACTCTTGGACTAATGCCGACCCCGTTAGCCGGGCCGCATTGTATCTCAATTTCTCCTCTTCTTGCGTAGGGACAAAATCGGGCGCCACCACCTCTTCCCAGAAGTCCATCGGTCGCAATCCAGAGCGAATATTTTCGACACTTAGCTTATGAGGTGGTTTGTACTCCACCGTTGTAAGGATGGAGTCTGAATCACCCCGGCGTATGCAAAATTGATCCGGTCTTGAAGGCCGCGAGGGCGACCCTTCTGGCGATTGGCTAACTTGAGGAGGTTCAAGAGAGTTTGCGTGATTGTCAAAAGTGACTCCATCACTCAAGTGGAACTCGTCTCGGGCGTCGGGTTTCTTGCAGAGCGCTGCGATGATGTCACGAACATGAATTTCCACACCAAAATGTTCATAGCCCTCCAAATCTTTTTCACTGCTTAAATGTCTCGCGAGTGCCTGCCCGAAACCCTTCAGCGTGATGCGTGGAAGGAATAGCTGCTCGGCGTCCTGCCCTGGTGGTTCCAAATAATGGCAAACCGAGCGGTAGATTTCTTGCTGCTGGCTTTCACAGTCTGCCCACGGGAGGAGTCGTAGCGGACAACGTTTCCCCTTGGGTGCTGGGATATTTCCTCGAGTTGAGCGAGACGGATCTTCGACTCTCAAAGGTCGCGAGATCAGGTTGTGGCAATGTTAGATTAGTTCCCCAAGGGTCGTTGGTCGTGTTTGTTCCTGTAATTGCCTTCGCTCTTCCTCGGACCTTAAAAAGAGCTCTTTGTATCTGGGGAGTTGTTGGTTGCCATGAGCACTAGAGTGTGGGACGAGGAATCGTGTTCCACACGCATGTCACATCCAGGTTGAATAAGTGGGGATGGATGGAATGGAAGGTGCACGAAAGGGAGGGGCGTGTCAGCTGATCGCAGCGGTCGGTCAAAGTAATCTTCCGTTAAAACCTCAAGCCCGGCATGACATGTGATGTCGTCGACTTGTTGTAAAAAAAACGTCATGGCTGTCTTCCTTGTCTCCATGCCAGCTTTGCGATACTCTTCAGAGCGGTAGTATTTTTCTGCTGCTTAATTTATACCAACTGGTAGTTAATATCGTGTGACCAATAAGAACCCTGTTTTCTGCTGGCTGAATCGCCAAGCCCGCTTCCTGTTGACAGAAAGGACCAATGAATGATACTGATGCCCCGCGGTACCCCACAGTACCCGCTCCCTTGCTTCTGTATCCTAGTATATGAGGGAAAGACAGAAAACTTCAACGGGAAGCAGGTCGGGGAATCAGATACCATATAAGAGAAAGTTTAATAACCGATTATGTTCCGGCTGCTTGTCCGAAACATTGTACTATAAGGATATAATCTGACAGGAAACAAGTAGTCATAGAAAAAAGAATTGCTAGAAAAAGAAAAAAAAAAAAAAAAAAAAAGATACTAGAAGTAATAGACATCATCAAAGTCAAGATAATGACTCTGATTAACAGAAAAAAGGAGTATTATAAGTGTTTTGATCAAAGGAACAGCAACAGATTAGCGGTTATTATCACTTTTGCATACCTACAAGGATTTCAGGACAAGGACGAAAGAGGCCTCGAGGGAAAGGTGATTGAAGAAAACAACAACAAAAACATGGAGTACGCTGGTAAGAGAGAAAGAAGTTCCGGCCAGCATGGCCGGCACAAAAGGTGAGCAGGCTTGAGAGATGAGATGAGAAATGATTCTCGTGAGATCAAGTATGCTGACCCCAGGCATGGCCGGCGCCCTGACATGGCAGAGTTTCGGAAATTCATGGAATCCCTGTTTAGGAAGTATATGATCACGGAAGACGGGATAAAAATTACTTACCTGACAGAATATTGCGACACCACGGTGGCGACTTGGATCGGCGGTCTGGAGGAGTGAGAGTGAATCTTCCGGAAAGGCGGCCGGAAGAAAATCAGTGGCAGTATGAATTATGGGACGGACATTCACACATCCCAAAGGGAGCCTTCACCACGTCCAGGCGAAAATGCGACCGAATTACGCTGGAAGAACAATACCGAGTCAACACTCTGTTTGAGCGGAAGGAAGATAAAATGCAAATTATACATGTAGCCAAATCTTCCGAAGAAGGACCCGGAGGAGAAACAGAATGGAAAAAGAAGGCTATTACGGAATCCCTAATGTGGGGAACCAAGGGAAACCAATCATATCTGTCAATATATACTTATGTCTGTGATGCCGAAGGAAGATACTATTCTGGAAAAATCAAAGGTGCTGAAAATCCTAGACTGGCCGAACTGTAACTCGGTTACGGAAGCCAAAGCATTTCTGCGGGTTGTTGTATATTAAAAACGGAATCCCTCCCGGAGGAAACAAGCAACGACAGACAAGAAGAAAAATATTCCGCCCTATCTGGCCGGAACATACCCAACTCAGAAGACGACCCCAGACATTGGATGCCACCAGACATGCCCTTCGTGGTTGTGGTCTCTGCACATTCGGAACACTAGCCAGTGGAGTAGTGACACGAGCGTCCAGCTAGGGCTGGGTTTAAGATAGGGGGGAAGGAAGGCAGGGAACGGAAAGAACACCGAACTTTGAAGCAGAACTGAATATACGAAGTAAGGCGGGAGTGAGACCGAAGTGAAAGGAATGTGGTTCCAAACCGAGTAAACCGAACCAACACGACAAACCAATTCCTACGGGAACGAGTAACACGTCAAATACCAGAGACAACACCAACACGGTTGAAACCCCTACACTCAAACCTCACGTGCAATCACCCATAACCACCTTCCATCTCCTGTGACAATCTCTCTTTCCTACAATCAACCATCCGCCGAACTTCGGGAAAATGACGCCGGCAACAAAGAGTAAAGGCCGGAAGGCCTCAGAAGACTGTGGACGGAAAGACAAGCAGGTAAAGAGACCTAAAAAAACGAGCAATACAAACCTCGAACAGAACTCAACCGAGGAGGAGCCAGACTATACATTCTCGGACATTAAGGAGGCAATAATCGGGGAGGAGAACCTGACAATACAGGTGCAAGCCCGCCAGCAAATTGAGCCTAGCATCGAACGAACGAAGAAGTTTAGGGAGGTTTGTTAAGCAGCAACAACCAAGGGAGAGCTGGCTGCTGCAACGATCAATTACATGCAAGATATACGATATTTTGACATGGTCGCGACAAGTCAATGCGCGGTAGCCGTTAGAGAAATCGAAAGAAGGCCAGCAGTAATCAAGGAATTCGACAACGAGACAAAGCAAGTGTGGGATCATCTAAAAAAAAGATCGAAAGAGTTTTACGATACGACAGCAATAGCTGCGCGCAACTGGATCAAAATTGAAAAACGGCTCGGCAAAGAAAAGACGGACAGATTGAGGACCATATCGTGCAAGTCCACGTTTTCTAAAGATGTTTTAAGCCTAATAAGCCAGACCAGTGCGAGTGCTGATAGTATTTTGAAACGGATAAACCGAGTCGTCTACGAACGATGCTCGGGGCCGAAAAAAACAGGGGATCAACAGGGATCCCATAGCAAGGCCTTTTGACATCACTAAAGCGGCCAAGATCAAAAACGTCCCAGCTGCGCTGACAAAGGGAGAATTGGAATCTATCAACGCAAAATTGGACAGAAATGGCTTCATCGTCCCGAAGGACTTCGTTGAAGAAATTCCGACCAAATCGAAGAAGAACGTCCCGTTGTTCAAAGAATTGGACCTCCGATTCGTTCCCAACCCTGAAGAAGCCGTCCTGAACCGGGAAGAACTACGAGAGACCCTCTCGAGAATTAAAGATCGAAAGAAGTCGAGCACAACCCCCCTGAAACCCAGGACCAGGAGCACAGGGAAAGAAAGAAGCCCAGCTTCGCCTGCAGACCGGTGCATTTGCAAAGACACCCTGGAAAGGGACTTATACAAAGTGCTGACGCTCTCGAGAAGGAAGATGACAGCCAGCATTCTGAACACCTTTCTAGAATCATGTCAAGGCATCTATGAAGGGAAACCAGCTCTCTGTCGCAAGCACCTAGAAGTGATCCTGGCTGCGGCTCTAATCAGAACGGATGAAGATGAATCAGAATTATTGGATCAATTCCACGCTTTGGTCAACTGTGGAAAAGACTACCACAACCTTAGGCGGGAACAGGGATCCTGGTTTTGGTTCCAAGGGGCAAAGGCACCTGAACCGCAGGAAGTCGAGGACCAACGGCCCATTTTTCGATACAAAATCACAAACCCAGGGTTCGATAACGGCCTGGTCACGGTGGAAAGGATCGTGGAACTTTTGGGCATGCGGCCGGAAGATAGGGAGAGCTGCATGAAGATAAGAGAGAAGGGGTTTGCAGTGATCCGCGGACTCTTGTCCCACCTGATGGAGGGAACTGAGGGCAACACCGTTTTGCAAACAGCAGACACGGAAGCCAAGGTCTTTAGACATCACGGGAACCAGGAACAAACCGAGACGACGATTGGAAACATGCAATTTAGTCTTATATAGCAACTCCTCCGGCAAGACCTGAAAGTTTATCTCGTGGCCTTACTGCTCAGAAGTACAAATGAGTACAGGTTGTTCGCATACCCAGAGCCGGCGCGACAATATACGCTTGACGCGGGGAAAGCTTCAGTAGAACTGGACAGTCACCCTGGAGAAGTCAGAGCAGGTGGCAGAGACCCGGAAGCCTTCCGACTCTGGGTTGTCGCTAAAACGGATACGAATCGCCGATGGAAAGCGGGTGACGAGCTGTTTGCGGAAGAGCGTAAAGGGTTTTACAAGACACTTAGGGAAAAGATATCTTCGAAAGGACCTAGCGTGCAGCTGAGCATTGATGAGGCCAAAGCACTAATAGAATGGGGATCGTTCGAACAAAACTTATCTCCTCTGACCCCGAACGCGGGAGATATTGTGGTAGTGCACAGCCTTTGTCCGCAGGTCCATGAAGTAAGACTGTCAGAAAGTCTTGAAATCCCTTTGTGTTTCTTTGCTACTGATGCTGAAAGAGAATGTCTGGAAGGGCGTTGGGGAGGAACGCTGGAGGAGTTGCAGAAGCCCAACAGGGAAAGGACAAGCCTAACCAGATGGTCTAACGGCCATCCGTTAGAGTACAGGATCAGCGAGACCTGGGGGGCGTCCTTGCTCCTCCTGCCGGCGACAAAGATCGGGCTAGCAATAATGGGGGAATTGGACTGGGAAGACACATCCGTTTCCCGCGAGCTAGGGGTTCTTTTTGAAAGTCCTATCGAAGAGGCCCGAGAATGGATGAGGGGTCGAGAGCTGGAAGCCAGCAGTGCTTTCCGGAAAACGTGGGCGGACTTTGAAGCAGTAGAACGTCGCTGCTTCGGCGAGGTATCCGCATTTGAGATGTTTGCCAAAGGAATCACTAGGCAGGAACTAGAAGAGGAGGCCAAGGAAGTGGTCTTCGTAATGAGTACACCAAAGAGGATTACCAAGAAAAGCTCAAGGTCGCCCGAGAAGACAAGTTCCGGCCGTCTGGCCGAAACAAAAGAGGAACTGCGTCAGTTGGGAGGTGTCTCGATGACACTGATCGTCAGGGCACATGTTATGGAGGGAAGGGACCCAGAGGATTCCCTATCAATTATTGACGAGGCACCTAGGGAGGAAAGCTTGGAGGAGACGGCGCGAGGAATCCTGGAGTGGGGAAACGAGTTGAAGCGCAGCCTCAGGGAGAATCCTGCTGCGTTTCTGGAAGCTTTTCTGGGATCCTCTTCCCCAGACCGCGGGATGGCTGCTCTCCTATTCTCCATAGCAGTGAAAGGCCCCTCTGATGATGATATAGAAGGATTCTTCCTCCTGAACAAGGCGAAAATTATGAGAGAAATATACGGGGAGGGTTGGTCGCTGAACGAGCTGATGGCGCATACAACCTCCGCCAACGGGATGATTTATTATACAGGACCTATTCGGTGGGAATTGTACGGCCGATTCTCAGCGCAGCCTCTGAGCAAAGGAGACGAGGAGGGGAGAAAGTCGAATGAACAATGGAAGGGGATGATCCAAACCGACAACCCGAAGATAAAGTCCATTCTGGATGGGATGTGTGCCGAGATGGACTTTTCAGAGTTGATATGTCGGAAAGACGTGCGCAGGAATGTGGCGGTGCTCCTAACTGAATATGGTCCTCCCAAGGGTCGGCCTTACACTGGCTGGGGAGTTTCGTCAAGAGATATCTCGACAGGGAAGAGTTGCAGAGCCTGGAAGGGTTCGACAAGCACTTCTCGCTCAGCGGGGAATCTTTCGGCCAGGGAGAACGGAGCCTTGGGGACGGCGGACAAGGTGGCAGACAAGGTGGCGAACTGCAAAGAGAAGGACAAGGGAACGGGAAGGGAAGATCGGGCGACAGAGACGGGGAGCAGGATGAACAGGGCGCGGAGGAAGGAGACGGGGCTGATGGTAACTAAGCTGGAGGGGATAAGAATGACCTTGAATGATCAATGGGGTATCGTATCGCTTTAAGATAGGGGGAAAGGATGCAATGGGGATGCAGATCTGGATTTAGATTAAGATTTTAATCAAGATAGGAGATCTGTTTAATAGGATTAAGGAACTGGACACAATAATAGTATAAGATACTAAGACAAGTGGATATAGATAGGTGAAAGACAGAATAGATCTGATTATTCTACTTCCAGAAGTAACTTATATATTAATGAAAAAGTCAGATTCAGATAGCCAGACGAGCATAGTTCTAGGTTTGTTATTCATTATTATTTATAGAGTATTAGATAGAATGGCTGTTGAAAGAGTTAGAAATGCTTCATATAAAAACTACTAAAGATAAAAAATAAAGGTTGAAGACTGGAAATATAGTTGATACCATATATAAAGATAGAGGTTGAATTATTTCATAAAATAAAGGCTATTGGAAAGATTGACCGGGATGTTTGAGAACAGGTATCAAGAACATCTGGTATAAAGGGAGAGAAAAACCTGTAGATCAAGTGATTAGCTAGGTTGATATTGTGGGTTACTTGAATGGTGCTGATTGAGATGTTCTCTCCTTAGACTGACTATTTTATCCTATATTGACGGAGGTGATGGGAAGTACACCGGTCGCTCTAGTCATGGCCAGAGAAGTCTTTTTTGATGTGACATTAAGGCAATCAACTGGAGCGAAAATGTCCTTGATGCCGACGAACAGCTGATAAACACAGGAGTAGGTGGGAAGGGACGATACTCGGAAGAAGGTTCCTATAGTAGTATGACTTTGGGAGGGTAGAGATTGACAATAAGATATTTCCGGGCCCCAAATGAGTCACTACCTGTTCTATGGTGTTATGACGATAAGGGAGATACCAAATGTTACTATTTCTAGCTGGTCGGAAACACCAAGTGAATATGGCAAGGCACTACTGTAGTTGGGTAGCTGTCAGCCCCTATGACCATCCCATCTCTTCATCCCACCGTATTGTTCTGGCTCCTCCCCGTATCATCGCACTATACTATTGTTTGTTGTGTTGTGTTGTCTTTCTCGTCGACGAGCAGCCGTGCGAACATGATCTTCAGTACAGAGGGTCCGATCGCATTCCCCGCACCAGTGAGGGGTCGCAGGTTGCTCGCAGGAACATCGGGGACCTCGCTGCCCAATGGTCACCGAACTCGTTCGGGGCTCGGGGATTTCTGACTAGAGGACGTGGACCATGTCCTGCATCTTGCCTTGGAGCTACGTCAACAGCCTTGTCTCGTCCATTGGAAGTTCGGTTGTTAAGTACAAGGGATAAACAACTTCTGGTATGTCGTGGTAGATAAGGTAAATTAACGGTGGGGCAATTTGACAGATAGGGTTCAGCCTCACTCTGTACGCGCGGATATTGAGTATAATTAGGGTTGCGGAAGGACCTGACACGGATGGACAAGCACAGGGCTACAATGATCGACTCCCAGTGAGGTGGGGACCAAGGTTCCGGTGACATCTGTCCGACATGGCTTACGGAGCAGATAATCCCGACATGTACTACTATGTGGATAGGTGGAGGTTGGGGGGGGGGGGGCGGCTTCCTCTTGGGGAAAGGAGCTGCGGTCGCGTCGGTGACAAGGACTGCCCCACCCTTCTTTCTCCTTTGCTCTCACCCAACCTCTTGATCTCTTCCACACTGACTGGTGTCAAAATTTATGGCAATTGCCCATCACTACAGTATTCTCCGGCACGACTCCACCCATGTGACATTTGTACCGTCGCTGAGTCGCTGGATGACGAAACCGAACCGATGGAGACAGCTGTGCTCCAACGCGAGTCAGTAGGCATCAAGCATGTGTCCGTTAGTACTCGCCAGACTGCCCGTGGCCCAGGCGCGAGCGCATGTGACCTGTCACATTTCACCTCAAGTCCCCGGCACGAACCGCCAAGTTGAGTCAACACCAGTACAAGTTTATCCAAGTGAGAGATGGGCATACTGGGTGTGATCAAGTAAGTTGCAATGCTGCCAATGACTCAGGCAGATGATGGATTGTTGCGGCTAACGGATGCTCATCTTGGTACAGGATAGCTTTCAACTGCCGCGCCCCAGAACACCAGGTGGGAAAAAAACCAGGTGGGGTGGATCCACCCCGTCGTGGGTTGAGACTTGAGACAGCTCGTCGGACAATTCGAGAGACTCCCGCAGGCTCTCCTGCCACGCCCACCTATGACGGACCGCCAGGACTGCATGCTGACTGTCAGGCCTGCGGGAAGGCTCGCCGGGCCGTCCCCGGGGCAGTATGATTGGATGTGGACGGCCAGGCTGGGTTCGGGCTTTTTGTTTTTTTGGTCGGGAATCAATCATGTTGCGTCGGGGTTCTCTCGTCCAATAAGAGCCTTCGCTGCCACCTGGAGGTTACCTTCGTTGCCTCATGGTCGTCAGGCAAGTCCAGCGAGCAATGCATACAGAGACGAGGGGTAGCAGCTAAGGATGCCCCCAGGCTTTGCATCCAGGACAGTATGTCCAGCCTGACTTGATGGACTCCAGATTGTTTATAACGGATCCTTTTTCCGCTCACTGTCGAGCTTGAATCAGAACCAGCAGGTTTATGATTCCTCGCTTTTAGCACAACCTTCTCATTCAATTTCATTATGTTCTTCTTAAGCGTGATTGCCCTCCTTGTGACCGTCACAGTCGCCGACGCCTATTCTACATTCGACACGACCTGTACCTTTCCTTCCTCGGATATCAATTTCGTTTCGGCTCCAAATTCTTGCGGCACCCTGCAGATCCTCTGGTCGTCCCTATTTACGCTATTAGCCTGTACCTGGACGGTACTATACCTCAATGTGCCGCAGTATCATCGAAAACCACGCCTATCAAAGGCTCGAAATACGTGGGGGGCTATCGCGTTTGCTGTGGTATATGTGTGGTGGCTGATACAAAAGTATTGGAAGGCTGCAGAATGGTTTGCCATAACCCTTCTGGCGCCGGAATTTACCATGGCCAAATATTGGGACGACTTGGCCATCGCCAAATCACTCATGGATCTATCAGCAGAGGGAGAACGTCTAAAAGGAAAACGCAACTCGCCGGAGACTCAACCAAATGACAAGAAGCCAGACCCGAATAAGGCGATCAGAACCCACGAAATCTTGTCAGAGCTCCACTGGAGCCTGGACCATATTGCGTTTGCTAATATGGGAGGATTCGCTCTTGAGTATACCCCAGAGCCAGACACTGCGCCCAACATTGACTCCCCGGGTGCAACCAGTGGGGAATCTGGCAGCTCATCGACAGGCAATCCACTGGGCTCCATAGTGAAAAGCTGTCTGTCTGCATTCAAGGACATTCTTTCATGGTTGAAACCTAAAGAAGTCTCATGGGACTATCTACCGAGCAAGTATGACCGCGATCACAAACTGTGGTATCTCAACGCCGACGACATAATCAAGCTTTGCGACTTGAAGGGAGTAGGGGCAAAGAAAGATCGCGGCGAGCAACACGACGAGAAAGACGAAGAGAAGAAAGGCGAAGAACGGAAAGACGAGCAAACCACCCAGCAGAGAAATCTGGAAACAATTATGCACAAGCTCCAGATAGAACCAGCTGAGATTGCCGATCGCTCCAAGTCGGACATCCTCATGCGCGTGATTGCCGTCGGTCAGATCATATGGGTCATAATCCAGGTGATCGCGCGGGCGGTGCGCCATCTGGCAGTCACCCAGCTGGAGGTTGCTGTCGTCGCATTTGCCCTCTGTGCGATTATGATGTACTGGCTCAATCGACATAAGCCCAAGGGCGTGAGCCTTCCCGTTCTCATTCCATGCGATTCTCCCGATCCCGATATAAAGGAAATTTTGAAGAAGGAACTGTCTGAGACCTCGCCAACTCCTCAACAAAACCCTCCCCAAATCCCTAGAAGAGATGGCCTACCGTGGTCGGCTCGCTTCCGCAGGATATTCCTACAGTTTTTCGGCCAGGATGGACGAATCCGAAGCAAACCAATCCGAAATGGGTTTACAATTAGTGACGCGGATGCTGGGCGCTCGGACTTCAGATCTCAATTTGCCGATGTATCTCTGATTGTCGGCGGGGTGGTCTTTGGCGGAGTTCATCTCGTCGCATGGAGGTTTGCATTTCCAACCCACATCGAGCAGATCCTCTGGTGGGCCGCCGCGGCGTGGTGCGCCTTCTTTTTTCCATTTGTGGCCGTGCAGTTCTTCTACGTTGATACAATCCATCGCCGGTTGTTTGCCCCAGTCCTCAGGATCCTGTTCAGAGTTCTAGATAAGCTCGGCCTCGAAGATCTTCCTCTGGCTTTTGTTCCAAAAACCTTGAGGGAGAAAAAGGAACTGGAGTTGAGGCCAAGATATTTCAGAAAGAAGAACCCACCAAGAGACGCAGAAACGGGAACTCCGGAAGGTAGTGACGCAGCAGATTCTAAACGCGTGGAGGCGGGAGTACAGAATTTAGTGCCAGAGTCCTCGAAACATGACATCTCAGCAGCAAGCCCAGAAACGGCAAACCAGGCAAGTAGTCAGGATACAAAGAAAGACTGGAAGGGTGAGATCGACTTGTTGATCGAATGGTTCTTCTTCTGCTGGACCATGTTCCTACTCGCTGTCTACGTTGTCGCAAGACTCTTCATCATCGTCGAAATGTTCAGAGCGTTGGCTTATCTGCCCCCGGATGCATATTATGGCACATGGGGATCCAATCTTCCAGGATTTGATTAGCAGGATCTCCTATTTCCTCTGTTTCTCTTTATTTAATCTTTTCTTCTTTCCCCTTATTTTTATTAATCTATCTTTATTTTTTTCGTGTTTATGTGAGGGGGCGGGGGGGGCGGTTTCCCTCCAAAGTTGCAAATCTGCAAGCGTTCAAGTAATCTCATGAACGGTGTTAGATGTTGTTGGGAACCCCGATGGGCTCCCACGCCGGTAGGCAACGTAGGGTCACGTGACGCTCCTCCCTACACCGCTAGTTAGTCCATATAGATGGCCTACGAGGCCCCTAGCTAGATCATCATCCATCTCATTCTACACGGTTGAATCGCCTTAGTAGCCACTCCAACAGATGTTTACCAGTCTTTCTTATTATCTACTTAGAGCTGGATGAAGATTTTTCTCAATAATAGCATTTTCTCCATCTACTACATTTCAAAGCCTATTCTATTTCCCTCTCCAATCCGACCACCATCCCACCCCTCCCTAATACCCTAATCCTAACCCACAAACCAATTACCCATATCCTATTCCTTCCCACCACACCCAGAAGAGAAATCCTACAATCGGTGACCATCATATAAATCAAGAAGAAGAAGAAGAAGTAGAAGAAGAAGTAACGACGGGCTCTCACTCCCAAATAGCATCCTTTCATATCCTATCTTATTCTATTTTATCTCCGTATACTCTTTACCTTGATAAAGGTATAATTAAACTTTACGTGGGAAGAGATACCTATTTGAAGAATATAAACTATGGGCGGGGTGGATAGTTGATAAGGTTAAAAGGCTGCTGCTTCGTCATGAGAATGTAATAAATTGGAGGGAAGAGAAGAGAAGAGATTATTTCCACCAACGGGGGTGGGATTGGTTTGTTTGCGATGGGGGATAAATATCATAGATCTCTACGTCTTATTCTGCTTCTTAGTAGTAGTAGTAGTAGTATTTTTATCATACAACGACAAAATAATATTTCAGGATATTATTACTTTACTATGACTGAACGATATCGGCGTATTTACGGAGTACAATTAAAAGATTTGAAACCTGAGCTGTTCACGTGTAAAGAGATATTATGACTATCGACGATATCTACCCCTACGAATCAACATCTTGATGACCGCTTATACTTTCCATGGGTTCAGAAGTAGCAGTATCCCTCGGGCAAATCATCACCGTCGCCGCCGGGGTTGGCAGCCTGCTTTCCACCCCAGGTAGGGAAGGCCTTAGCACCAGGGGTCTGGGCCTGGACTTGAGTCTGAAGAGTCGTAGGATGGATGCCTCCGGTGACCGAGTTGGGAGCCTTGGGGGTGAAAAGGGCGGAGGTGGCCTGGGGGGCAACGCCGACTACGCTGGTTTGAGCAGCGGCCGAGGAGACAATGGTCTCAGCGGAGGAGAAAGAGATGGCGGCAGCCGATGAGATGGAAACAGCTTCAGCTGAATGGGTGGTCTTGACAGATTGGGCGGAAGCGCTGGCGGACACGCTGGCGGCAACGTGAGTCACAGCGGCAGCGGAGGTGGCCACGGCAACAGAGGCAGAGCTGCTGGTCTTGGTGGTAGTAGTAGTGGTGTTGGAGCTACCGTTAGGGCTCATGCAAGCAAAGCTCATCTTCTTGGTGTATTCGGAGCTGTCGTCGCCGTAGACAGCCTGGGAGAGATCCCATTCCATGCTGACGTAGGGCCAGCAGATGCGACCATCCGACATGGTAACCATGTCACCCGAGACGTAGATGTCGGTGCTCTTGAAGGCGTCGCCGACCTTGTTGCCCTCGGCGTCGACCTGCTGGAAGTAGGTGCCGGCGAATTCACCGCGGCAGCCCATGGCGAGGTAGTCGCAGATCGGGTCGGAGATCTCTTCCCAGGTGATCAGGGCGGAGCTGTTGCCGAAGGTGGCGACGTGGGCGTTGGAGCAGTCGTTGGATCCCGAGGTCACCCAAGTGATTTGGCTGTCGCCATCCTCGGCGCCGACAGTCGAGGTGGCCTGGGCACCGACCTTGGTGTACTTGTCGCTGAACAGGGCGAGGGCGACGTTGCGGGGGTTGGTGCGGTTGCTGACGTGGGTGTAGCCGTCACCCATCCAGGTGTTCTCGGTCACGTCGATGGCGCCACGGGACACCCAGGCAAAGATGTAGCGGGCGCTGTCGGCGAAACGGGCCAGGCCGCTGTAACTGCCGGACATGCCGCCCATGGGTTCACCCGAGGCACCGTTGGTGGTGTTCTCGTTGGAGATCTTGACGCCATCGTTGGTCATGCCCTGGGTCTTGGTGTTCAGCCAGATGGCACCCTGATCCTCGGCACAGATACTGGCGTAGGGAGGCTCGTCGGCGGCCTCAAAGGCAATACCGGTGTTGTGACTGCAGCCCCAGGAGCTGGAGGCGCCAGCGATGGTGACGAGGGTACCGTTGTCGGCAACATATTCGATGCTGTCTCCGTAGTGGCCGGAAGCATCACCGGAGTAGTCGGTAACGACGAAGTAGGCACCATAGAGACCGGCACTCTCGGAGTAGACCAGGTCACCGTTCATGTCAGGGGCAGCGGAAAGACCGTCGGAGGCGTGCACGTCCGGACCACCCAGCCAGGTCTTCCAGGTCTGCTCGCCGTTGGTGTAGCGGTGGAGGACGGGGACGGGGGTGTCACTCGGGGGAGCATTGGTGGTGCCGGAGGGCATGGCCTCGTTGGTCAACAGAGCGAAACCATCGTTATGGGCGATGAGACCACCAGCTGGGTTGTGTTAGTAGGGTTGGAGATGGTGGACAGGTTACGTACCTTCTTGACCACCGCTGACGGTCACAGTGGTGCCCGTGGCCTCAAAGGTGGTAGGGTCGAGCTGCTCGACGTGGACGTCAGTCCCGCTGGAGTCCAGGTAGGCGAGATAAGCGGTCGATCCATCAGGGGAGACAGCAAAGGGGGTACGACGGTGGTGAGGATAGCCAGTCCAGTAGGCAGCCTTGACGGGATTAAAGGAGCTGCCGAGTGCCAGCACGTCAACGTGGGTTTTGAGATTGGACTCGGTAAGAGCAGCAGAGGCGCCCAGCGCCGCAGAAAGGAAAGAAAGAGCGAAAGACCCACGCATGATGGGGTAGTTGGTCAGCTGTCAGTAAAGAATGTGTAGGCTGCTGTTCTGGTCATGGTGGGTGAGGAGGACGGATATATAGACGGACCCCTGGGAGGGGCATAGAATATGAGCAGGAGTATGAGCAGTGGCAGGCGCAGATGAAAGTGAGACCCTGATGGGGCGTGGCCCCTGGCTAATGGAACCGGGGTTTCATCTTGAGCGATGGGAGGGTCTCGATTCTTCACCGCCCGCCACGGAGAAAAAGGGTCTGCTATAGGGCTATATGACAGCTGCTAAGCTGCTATACTCCCGCTGCACCACGCCACAGATCTGAAGAAATCTAACTGTCAACAGCAGGCAGCAGTCTCTGCATGCAGTGAAACGAGGTGGATCCACCATGAATCAGACACACGAGTCAATGCCGATTCACAGTAACAAAACATGCTTGGCAGCGGGATGTGAAACAGGGCACGCGGTTCTCCGGACGATTTCCGGCGAGCATCGATTGGGGTCAGATCATATAGGCTATTTGCCCCACCAACTCATACTGCCTATCTGTCAATACACAGACCAGGTGTTAACCAGAGACCTTACCAATGCGTAGCCCTCGTACGAAAGGGATTGATCTACGGGAAGGATTGCTATCGCCTATCAATGTGATCCTCTGACATATACTATGCTACTCAAGGATGATCGTATCTTCCAGGTCTGCTGCCCGCTGGCCTCGTCGACCGCGCGACATGCCTCCCCGGGATCTGGCATTTCGAGGGCTGTCGCCGAGGTCAACCACGGCCGGCTCCCGGACCATCAGGCTCTGGTCGGGCGGGGGGATCGGATCTTGGGAGAGATACCACTGCTTGTGGAACTCATTGAGGGGAACCGGGGTATCCACGGCATAATACCGCTGCATCGTATGGATACAAGGCACTCCGAAGGTGGTGGTGGTGACGCCGGTGCAGGGCTGGATGCGGGGTTTGTAGGGTGACTCGGGGAGATATTCTCGCAGGATCTTGAACGTCTTGTTCAGCGCATGTCCCGATACGTGCTGCAACACGTCGCGGAACAGCGGGATCATCAGATGGGTCGAGCGCCGCTGTTTCTCGTCCTCGAGCTCCTGCAGCGCTTCAGTGTATTGTTTGGCCAGCATGCGCTCAATCGTCTTCACCCCCTTGGCGATGTCATTGGTCGAGGACTCCAGCTCGCGCTTGATCATCCGGTAGGGAGCGTCCGTCCGAGGGGTGGCCACCTGGCCGAAATGAGTGTAGGTGTCTGTGTAGCAACGGAGAAAGCGGGTCCGGACAACCGGCCGGAGCCATTCTGTCTCCATGTAGGTCACCAGGGGTTGATAGGCCGGGTCTTGATACTGAGTCTTGAAGCTCTCCCATTGATCCGAGTACTCCTGCGTGGTGGGGGCCCAGACCACCTGCATCCATGACTTTAACATTTCCTTCCACCGCCGATCAACTTCGTCCGTGTACTCCTTGTTGGTGACGGGAACCCCTTCATTTGTAAGCGGCGGGTTGGCCCTGAGCTGCTGGTGAATGGCGACCTTGGCATACTTCAGAATCTCCTTGTTGATCCGAGTGATGCAGTGGACCACCTTGACCTGTGGCCAGACGGCCTGGCTAGCGTTGATCAAACTCTCATCCTTCTCGACCAGTACCGTCAGCGGGGGAGGCAGACCCAACCTGGTGTAGATCTCCGCCAATCCTTCCAGAACGAAGCGGTACGAGGCTTCCCGCTTGTCCGAGACGAAGCCAAAGCCGACGAAGAAGGGTTGATTGCGAGCGCTGACTCCGGTTATATTGAGCAACGACATGTTATAGCGGGCCAACTTGAACGAGCAGTCGAAAGCGAGAAAGTATGGATTCCGGGCGATCATCTGCGCAGCCGCCACGTGGGAACAGAAGATGGCCGGACCGTGGGCACCCTGCTCAGCGGAATATCGCCGACACCAATCATTTTCGGACAGGGCACCGATCAGGCCGTCGACCGGGGAGCGACCACCCAGCAGCCCCATGTCCAGTCGATGGCGGAGATTGTAGATGTCGCGGGCCCGGATCGGGGTGTTGGGATCTTGGAATTCGAGGATGGAGATGATCTGTCGTGGAGGGAGGCTCTGGTGCAGCATGGCGGCGATTTGGTTATGATGGCGCTTCAATGCCGCCCGGCGGAAGGAAGGGAGGGACGAGGCGGAGGCGCCTCCATGATTATGTGTGGGATCGTGGACGATCAGACGCCATTCGCCAAAGGTCTTGTAGAAGCGAATGCCGGCCTTGAAAGGGCAGCCGATCCGCCGGGAACGCGTCTTGCGCGCGCCGGTCGAATGGCTGGCGGTGGCCATGCCCCGATCGCAGGAGACATCGACGGCCTGGACCTCGCCGGTCTGACGATCGGGGCGCGACCTGCGCTTGACGACGGCGAAGCCATTGCCTTGGGCGAAAGCTTGGAGAGATTGCCAGGCGGCATCGAGGGAGGGGAAGCGTTGCAGAGGGGGCGGGGGAGGAATGGGTTCATTGGAGGCTTCGGAGTCGGACTCTTGATCGGAATCAGCGCCGTCCCGGAGTTCGGACGGATCGAGGGGGAGATCCAGCAATGAATCGAGAGCGTCCTCCATCGTTGGCGAGCTTAGTCGCGTCGAGAGGGGGTGCAGTTTGGCATGAAGGAGGTGCGTCTTGTGCGTCTGGTCCGGCGCAGTTAGCCCCGGATTATCTCGGGCCGGGTCAGGTGACGGGCGGCGGCCATACAATAATGCAATAAGGCATAATGCCTTAGGCACAAGGCATTCAGAATCAGGCATCAATGTCAGGCATAATCAGGCATAAACATCAGGCATAAACATCAGGCATAAACATCAGGCATAAACATCAGGCATAAGGCAGTAAGGCTATCTCCAATGTCATTGGGATCACAGTTATCACATTCCCGGAACAATCTTTTTTATCAATCTCTTCGCATCAAAACTAAACATCTCCTAGATCTCACCGGCAGCTACCACTCTGTATATCAATTTCCCTAACCAGGCCGATGAATGAATCCACAAGTATAATCCCAGCTCAACAACATCTACTAACCACTAGATAGGGATGTTTTGCTGTTTAGCTGTCCTCACCCACTCCAAGATCTCTTCCAACTCCTGCTCGTATTGAGAATTCGGCACTGTCCCTCCATATGACACGAGGTACTCTTCGAATGGCATGACGTTAATAGTGTCAGCATAGAGCGACCGGGCAGGATGTCCAATCTTCCTCAAAAACAAGAGTAGCACCCGTCTCCGTTCGGAAAGTGACCACAGTGTCTTTTCCTGGACACACTCCAGACATCTGCGGACATAAGGTTCCGATTCAGGAGCCTGTAGATCAAGCTTGCATGTCATCATGTCGAGCATACCAAGGATTGTCCGGAACCTGGCCCCCCGTTGCTCCCAATCCCCATCTGACGCTATACTACTAGACTTGATCGCCTCTTCAACTAAGTGAAAAGTTGGCTTAGCTCCCTGGCCAAGGAGATAGATGATATTCTCCAGCGAGCCCAACCCGCAAGCCAGCTGCATAGCCTCATCGAAATATTGCCGTAACAGTGGTCCCCGAGCAAGAATAAGTTCCACAAGGTCCGTGGATGCGAAAGCCGCAGCGTGATGCAAAAGCGTCATCTCCTTGATATAATTGAAACGGGACCAAAAGTCAGGCCAATATGCTGGGTATCGAGTGTAAACATCCACTCCATTATCAAGAACACCCTTGATCAACTCGACACGGTCTTTGTGGTAACTTATCGTCCTAAATCCTTGGAGGGTCGCGAATGTAGCACCATTTACAACGAGGAATGGAATGTTTTCGTCATCACTCTTCGTCATTATCACATGGTCCAATACTGGAGGTGCGTTGGAATAAGTTTCATTAGGTAGCCAGAACTCGGCCATATGTTCTCCTCCACGGCCTGCGATCCTCAATTTCGTGTGGCCTTTTTCCCAACATTTAACGAGTATGTCGGGATTCAGTCCTCCGTTCTGATAACAACTGGAGATGGCACGTATCTGACGGAAAGTGGCCTCCTCAAGATTATTTGGCAGGCGGAACCATCCTTCCTCTTTTCCCATGATTAAATAGGCGCTAGAACTGGATTGTAGTGAAGAGGCTGACTGAAATGATGATTTAAGAATGAGGTGATGAGTTAAGGGTTTCCTTGTAGAGGTTTTCAGGCAATCTTATATAGCCCTGTGTTTCTGCCAGCTACCAATGATACTTTGATTGGCGACGATATCCGGACCTGAATACCAATAACTCATTGACCATTCCTTGAAGTCTGCTACTTGATTATGTCGAATGTCTCCTAATTACCATCCGTCAAAATATGGTACATGCCTATGTCTACCTCTCCAGGCTATGTAATTCCGAAATAATCATACAAACCAATAAAATCGCTACACCTGATATGATGAATGGACATCATGAAATGGAAGGTGCCTAATATGTGTAGTATATTAACGATTAAATACATGATAGAGTTGCGGTTACGGCAGTTATCCACATCCGACAAGAATCTTTGTACACTTTTCACTCTTCAATTGAATGGGAAGATACCAAGTACAAAAGCCATTCTTTGTTAATTTAAAAGTCTGTCTGAAGGTCTTGCAGCGTAAAATATGAACTTGGTATTAGATCTGACAGCGCTCTGAATAATGCTTTGTCGATATCACTAATTTCCCGGCATTATGAATATGAGCGGAACTTTCACTTGCAGGACATAAGAAATGTAGAAGAGACCCCTTCTAATAGTATATGAATAAATTTAGCATCAACTACTATGTCCAGAAATACATCACTACCGTCAGCAAGTAGTTTATCCTATGAAAAAGAGCGAATGCATCTCGCTTACTCAAGTAGGAAACGGCTATCCCACGTTATCATATCCACTATGAACTACTATCAGGGCACTAACACCCACCGCCCCACTGTCGTGACTCGTGAGCCTGAAAAATAGTGCTGACTGGGCCATTCCAAGGCTAATGGTTCAGACTTGACCTACCAACTACCAAGATTTCCCACGCATCCCAGCCGACCCACTGATATCCTCTCCTCCACACCTGTTTACATAGTGCAGCTGAAGTCTTACTCTGGTACCCCACTTAGTGTGAACGGCTGCCAGGATGCCTAGGTACTCGCTTTGCCTATAAAGGGGCTGAGCCTCTTTCTGCATGTGCATGCACCTACCTCATTCCAAGCCAACTATTTCGAAATGGCTGCCACTGTCTCAGGATTTAATCCTCGGACCCAACTCCTTCCTCACATCGTCGATCACTATGCCACGGTCAAACCCGAGGCCATCTACGCGGAGTATCCGGTCTCGTCCATGGGCTATGAGGACGGCTATCGACCGATCACGTTCAAAGCCTTTGCAAATGCCATCAATGGTACTGCCTGGTGGCTGGTGGATAAGCTAGGACCCGGCAATGGCGAAATTCTGGCATACGTAGGACCCAATGATCTTCGATACCCGGCATTGATACTGGGCGCCATCAAGGCAGGATACCGCGTAAGTGATTGCATCAGATCTCGCTTTCTTGCGTGGTTGGCAGTGATATTGACCTGACAGATGTTTCTTACCTCCCCCCGGAACAGCGTCGCTGCTCATAGCAGTCTGTTGAAACGGCTGAATTGTACCAAGCTGGTCGCCCCGGTTCCTCGTCCGGCCTCAGTCACAGCCATTCTGGAGGCACAGACGCTGGACGTGCTAGATGTCCCCAGTGTGGATGACTTGGTCAACAAGGAATATCCGCATTTCGACTTCCACAAGTCATATCCAGAAGCCGCCGAGGAATCTCTGGCTGTGATGTTAGTTCTGCTTCACCGTAAATTGAGCACATACTGACCTGTCAGCCACACGTCTGGCTCCACCGGTATCCCCAAACCGATCTTCTGGACTCATGACACTGCCAGCAAGCACATGCATATGACCGTCTTGGATCCTCCCGAGGGCTTCGACAGTCAAGACAGCCGATTGTTTGGCAAGAGAATGTTTCTTGTTCCACCCCCATTCCATGCAGCTGGGCTGGCCTATTCGCTGTTTATCAGCATTCCTGTCGGCACAACCATTATCTTTCCCGCATCCGGGGGTCTTCCTACCGCTGCGGCACTTGTAGAGGCTAGGAAGAAGACCCAAATTGATGTTCTTTTGGGTGTACCGTCAATCATTCAAGAGCTTTCACAGAGCCCCGAACTCCTAGACTACTGCAGTAAGCACCTGAGCTGCTTGGCGTATTGTGGCGGAGATCTACCCCAGCTTATTGGCGACACAGTAGCGTCCAAAATCCGACTTATGAGTATGTATGGCGCAACGGAAACAGGACTCATCAACACGATTCACTCGAAAACAAACCGTGATCCGCTCAAGGACTGGAGATATATCGAAATTAATCCCCGGATGGGTGCCGAGCTACGCCATGTTGCTGACAATGAATATGAGCTTGTTATGGTCCGCAATCCGGAGTACAAAACATACCAGTTCCCTTTTACCATCTTTCCTGATCGACAGGAATATCACACCAACGATCTGTTTGTGCGGCATCCTGATCCTCATAAGCCAGACCTCTGGCGCTGGAGCGCTCGTACCGACGATGTGATTGTTTTTCTTAACGGTGAAAAGACGAACCCGGTGTCGATGGAACAACACATTGCTGCATCTAATTTAGAAGTGACTGCCGTGTTAGTGGTTGGGGCGCGCCGCTTTCAAGCATCCCTCCTAGTCGAGCTTGGAGAAAGACATCTCGATGCAACAGATTGCGCCGCCATGATCGAGAAACTCTGGCCCAGCATTGAAGAAGCCAATGCTGTGTGCCCAGCCCATGCGCGCATCACCAAAACCCATATTCTGTTCACCAAGCCTGATAAACCCATGCTTCGCGCTGGAAAGGGAACCATCCAGCGAGCGGGCACGCTGGCTCTGTATGCATCAGAGGTGGATGCCTTGTATGCTGATGCAGATGAGTTGCAGGGGAACAGTGAGCAGGCCGGTCCTGGCCATGTGGACGATCCCCAGATTCTCTCGGATTATATTCGGCAAACGATGATCAATATCACTGGGTGGGATGAACTCACCAATAGTGAGAATTTCTTCCATCTCGGACTGGATTCTTTGCAGACTATCACTGCCACTCGGACATTCCGAAGAGGCCTTGACTTTGCGGAGTTCAGCCCCAACCTGATCTATCTGCATCCTTCTGTGACGGAACTCACCGAGGCGGTGCTGCGCATCCAACACCATCAGGAGGCTTCTGCAGAGGCCTTGAAGCAGGCCCAGCTACAACAGCGGGAGCATATACTGCAGGAAATGGTCAGAGAAATAGCCACCAGGCCCAGTGGACACATCAGTCTGGTGCCAGAGAGCCATACAGTCATCCTTACCGGCTCGACTGGCAACCTGGGCACATACATTCTCGACGCGTTGTTGAGAAGCCCATCCATTACCCACGTGCATTGCCTGAATCGCAAAGCCGACGCTATTGACATACATCGTCAAAGGAGCGAAGCATACTCATTAAACCTCGATCTATCCCGCATCAGCTTCTGGACGGCAGATCTATCCCAACCAGACTTGGGTTTACAACCCGACATCTTCACAACCCTACAACAAACCACCACACTCATCATCCACAACGCCTGGGCCGTCAACTTCAATCTCTCCCTCCCCTCCTTCAAACCCAACCTAGCCGGCGTCGTAAACCTAATCAACTTCGCTCAATCCCCCAAATCCCCCCACCTATTCTTTATCTCCTCCATCAGCTCCACAATGGGCCATCGCACCGACACCGGCCTGACACCAGAAACAGTCATCCAAACCAACATTCCAGCCCCCAACGGCTACGCAGATAGCAAATACCTCGCCGAGCTACTACTCGACCACGCTGCCCACCAGAGCCATATACATACCTCATTCGCCCGAGTCGGTCAAGTTGCCGGTGCAGTGCGCTCGCCTGGCCTATGGAACAAAGCCGAATGGTTCCCGAGCCTCGTCATGAGCTCTCTCCACATCGGTGCTCTACCTGATACGTTCGGCCCGGCTCTGGATCGCATCGACTGGATGCCGATTGACCTGTTAGCTGAGGTGTTGGTGGAGTTGGCGCTGGATGAGCAGAGTGTCCATGGGGGAGTCAACGTGTATCACCCGGTGAATCTGCATCCGTTGTCTTGGGAGGATATTCGTCCGGTGGTGGCGGAGGCGCTGTCCAAGGTGTCGGGGAAGATGGTGGAAACTGTGCCGTTCCGGGAATGGGTGCAGCGTGTTCGTCGGGATGTTGAGTCGGGACAGCCGAGCGAGGGCGATTTGCAGACAGTGTTGACGAGGAATCCTGCGGCTAAGCTGCTGGAGTTTTTCGAGGGGGTTATGGCTCAGACTGGACGGGAGAATGTCCTGGATACGGAGGGTACAGCGCGACTGAGCGAGAAGCTGCGGATGGTGGATGCGGTGCGGTCGGAGTGGGTTGAGAAGTGGGTGGGGGAGTGGGTTGATTGATATTCTGGGAGGCATTGATATCACCAAGATTCCACAAATTCATCGTCTCTTTGGTTAAATTACAAGCATTGTGGATTTGACTTGGTTGGTGTTGGTGTTGTGCAGGTCGGATGAATAATTAGTTGATCTTATGCAGAGATCTCCAGCGCTGGGAAGAATCCAAAAGAGGTACGAACAGCTTGATATACCACCATCCACCCACAACATCATCCAAGCATCATTGGTCTAGTGGTAGAATTCATCGTTGCCATCGATGAGGCCCGTGTTCGATTCACGGATGATGCACTCTTTTTTCTTCCACCCTCAACACTATCCATGTGGATACTCCTCATGTTAGCGGTCTGGACCATCCACCTAGCGTATAGGCTACTACAAAAAAGTGGAGGTACAACCCAATCCAACCAATACTTTGTAACCTAACCGTAATTGCACTATAGCTCAATGGCGAGGTGACGGTCATTTGCGCCACTACTCCCAGAGTCAGCAGAAGACGCAGGTTCGATCCCGGGTGAGGTGAAGACGTTACATTCCTTTTCTCTTCATTACGGAGTAGAATACTAGCAAAGTCAGAAGACGAGAAACACAAGATGGGCAGCATCTAGTTTCCAATGTCCGCCTGCTATGGATCGCTGATCACGGAGTAATAGCGAAATGCACTGGGACTTATTGTTGTGGGTTGGCAGTTGCCTTCATTGGCCGATGTCGTATTTTTTTTTTTTTGCTTCGATGTTGTGTTGTTGTGTTGTTGTGTTGCGGGATTAGTAATGGGATATGCATGCATACTTTTCCATGATGCTGCAAGGTGAACATGTTTTTTACGCAGGCGGTAGACTCTGGTGCTCTACAGTTGGTAATCTTCTTCGGTTCTTTACCAGTATATGGTACGGTTTGGCAGCTGCTAAAAGTGGCTCTTTACTGCAGCTGTTGGCTTCTTTGTCTCTAGGTGGTAGCTGTAGCACCTCTTAATATATTTACTCCTGGTCGGCTCCAGACTTCCCCAATATCTAGACATTAAATGACACAACCACAATGCAATTTCTACTCTAGATTTTAAATATTTACACCTACCCAGCGGAGCAACAATTGCAGGATCTTATACAGGATGAAACCCAAGTAACAGCAATCATGCCAGCTCCACCGAGATGGCAGCTATCTGGAGATGAATGACAGATTCAACTCCAGCGAAGACCACAAACCTTTGATTGGGAGCATAAACAGCCAAATGCCTCCCTTCGATTCCTTGATGAAATGTACATGAGCGGAATCTCTCTCAGTTACTGGTACTCTTTCGGGAGTTCGTTGCTTGTTGCTTACATAGCTGAGTTATGTTGTGCTATTGTGCATGTCCGTCCTAGTCATCTAGCATAGGAACTTATGCAGGGGAGTGACAGCCGCACAACCAATTAGAATTTATCCGGAGAAAGAGATGTCAACAATCCCCGGGCTGTCAACGCGCGATGCTCTGAAATAGCATTCAACCCATCCATCCATTCCCATGCTTCAAGACCACGATGATCTCATCTCCAAATACAAGAAGACTAACGCATCAATGCCTAACCCGATCACAGCCTCTACTTCCCGTGGTCCTATCCCTACCCCCGACAAGGCCCTAGACAGTAAGTACACCCAATTTCCCACTCTCAACCCCGAATCCTGCACCCTCAGCTAACCAACCAACCAACCCCAACCCAATGCAAAATACCTCACCCATTCCACCCCCATCACAGCACCCTGACCTAGACGGAAAAAAAGGCGGGGTAAATCCTGCAATCGTATAACCGGGGCGATAAAATCACAAGTTCCTAACCTACCCTAACCTAACCCAGCAACCTCGGAAATTACCCCAGCCTCATATGCACCAGTCTACTCCGCATGGAGAAATCATCGGACGATCACATGTGAAAGCTTCTTCCCGTCAAGCATGATGCAGCGGACCTCTACATACTAGTGTAGTTTGCTCCGTGGACTAAACTACTAGGTACATCCACCGGATATGAGCGGGTTGTTACCTATCTAGCGGAGTTAGTGCTTACGGACTGCATTCGGCACGGGATGACCTATTCAGGATTTGGGGGAGGGATTTGTTTGGGTAGGTGAGATGTTGGTGCTACTTATTAATTAAGAATTAATATATCACCCGAGGATGGAGGATGGTAGGTAGTATGGGGGATCGGAGATTCTGTTTAGGTTATATTATTAGGGATTGGGGGATGAGGTTACTGATGGCTGGATTGGGGAACTATCTCCTCTACCACTATAGTCCTATTAGGTCTATTCCGTACCCGTACTGTACTCGCATATCCCATGCTGGGTAATAACCACATAGACAGCAATCTAATCAACCACCCTATCTATCTACAATCATAGACCATAATCCATCCCACACATAACATACAACATACCCAAACCAAACCATCAATCTTAGTAGTATCTAGTATCTAGCACCTACCACCCCCCCACCAACTCCCCAACCAGCACATCCACCCCCCGTATCCCGATCCTCCCTCCCAAACGCCAAAAAAACCACATCATCCAAAAACCCATGATACTTCAATCCTGCCTCTTTCCACGCAATCGACGTAACATATAACATTTCCGTCTTATTTCCCCCCTCCTCCTCCCCATCCACCTCTACTCCTCTCCCCCTAATCCAAACCGGCTTCCTCGACACCCCATACACCTCAAACGGCGCCCTCTGCCAAAACAACATCACATACGGTTCATAAACACTATGAAACCCAACGAAGGATTTATGCTGGAAGATAGTCATGACCACCGTGTTTTCCGCAGTAGGACGACATAGCGGATCAGATCGAGAGCAAAGCGTAACCGAGAGGGAGTTTGTCGCTTGGTGGATCGATTCATGGGATGGGTTCATCAATACCGGGAGGTATTTTTGGAGACATTTGGTGTCGGAGATAGCAGATGCAGGGGAGAGGTCTTGCCCCGTAGAGCCATCCACACCCACCGCGGCGAATTGACGCGTCGGGGAAATGTCATAGTGGATGTAAGGTCTGGCATCGAGGTCCCAGAACACGAACCAGTTCTTTTCCACGGCTAGGTAGGGGGACAGGAGTGGGCGATGGAGTTCAGTCGCGTAGCGGAATCCGTGATCTATTATCACGTCGGTGGCGGGCCATTCGACTAACACCCGGAAATCGAGAATCCATTGTCCGAAGCAGGTGAGGGCTGAGTTGGAGCCGTAGATTGTGTATGGGGCGTCGGGGCCGTAGAAGACGCGGGCGTCGTGAGGTCCGATGCTCATGGCGAAGAAGGCGAGGTCGCCTGTGCAGAGGGCATTATCGGGTGGTGTTGCGGCGATGGGGAGGATGAAGGGGGGTTCGGTGCAGCGGAGGACGCGGCCTTGGGATTGGAATTGGGCGTTGCAGACGAGTTCGGCGAACCAGACGGAGTTGGATTCATGGTTGGAGGAGGAGGTGGTGGTGCGGTTGGTGTGGAGTTGGGCGGTGATTATCCATGTTGAGGGGTGGATGGGGTGGGGGATGATGCTGGGGTTGATGGCGGTGTGGGTGAGGAAGTCGATGGTGAAGTAGTGGTGGTTTGGGGTGGTGAGGGATGAGATTTCTTGGTGGGTGTTTGGGATGAGGGTTGTGATGGTGTCGGTGTCAGTGGTGGTGGTGGTGGTGGTAAAAGGCAGGGGTTGGGCGTCGATGGTGATGGCGCGGTAGAGGTAGTGGAAGGTGATGAGAGTCACCACGAGGAGACCTCCCAGCACGAGGCGCAGCCACCGGGCAAACATGGTTGGACCCAGGTGCGGTTGTCGGACGGGACGCGGGCGATTAATTAGGGTTGCATCCGAGGTTGGCCAGACTACAGAGTAGAAGCTAAGGACGTGCGGAGTTGCGATCGGAAGCGGAATCAAAGCATGTGAAAGAAGGCGATTGATCGACAAGCTCGACACTATTGATACTAGTTGCGGTAACCCCGCTCGAGATTGACAAGTGATGTGGCAAGAAGGGACCAAGGCAGAGGCCCATGCGAACTACGGCTGAGACATTCATTTCGGAGACTCCTGGACGACTCCAGACAGACTGCTAATTACATCTCCGGTACAGCCACTGCGAAAATCGCACACTCGGCTCATCAATCACTTTGGTCACAATCTCCGCCAACCACAACGTCACCGGCAACAGGATCAATTGCGCCATCAGGAAATTCACCTCCAACCCCAAAGGCCCCGTGCGGGGAAGCGGAAGCCGATCGATCCACCCGGCACAGTTGCTGGCGTGCGACTCGCGCGCCCATCCCACCGCGGCGTATAGCCGATCCCCCAACACCCACAGCACCGGCCCATGCACCAGGTAGAAGGCGAACGAGATGCGACCGAGGTATTGATTGAACGGGGTTTCGAAGAAGCGCTTCAGCCACGGCATCCGTGCAATGGCTGTCACGAGGAATGTGGCCGCCCAGAACAGGTAGAACCATTTGTAGTCAAACACTGCTTGGGGCTTCAGGAACGACAGGTAGTACCAGCCAGGGGATTCCCGAAGAACTTGCAAATCCCAGGTGCGAGAGGGAACACCACCCAGGTAGATGCTGACGCTGAACAGAAAGTAAATAATGCCCTCCTGGAACGGTTCTAGCATGAGAAAAACATCCGGTAGGTCATCTCGCGCTGCCAGTAGATCGAGATCGCAGAGAAGCATCCCCACGATAAACAACGCCCCGAACCACCCATCGGCAATGTAGAGAAAGTAGACGATCAATCCGACCTCTCCCCACAATCGCATGTTGCGACGACATCGGGAAAACGCGAGCAGCGCGGTATAGACGATGATGGACCCGCGGAATTCCACCGGAATCGACCACGAGTGGAAGTTGTACGTGAACCAGGGCTCGCCGCCCCCCCGGAAGATGAAGCTAAAGTTCTTGAACTCGGTGTACCAATTCCACAGCTCGGCGCCGTAGCTATCCTTCAACTCGGGGGTCGCTTTGATGTGAAAGAGGTGGAGAAAGGTCATGTAAACCAAGGTGGTGGCAATGACTGGGAGGTGTAGTCGCAGCCATCGGCGGAAAAGAGCAGAGGCCAGATTGTCGCCCAGCTGGAGATATTCGCCCGCCTGGATCAGCGCCAGCGGTTTGGCGGACAGCACGTACCCTGACAAGACGAAAAAGACGCTGACGGCAAAGTGGCCTCCGGAGAAGAACGTGCGAATGCCCGGAAAGGCGACGAGATAGTGTTGTTTTTCATACCCATACGCATTTTCAAAGATGCGCTCCGCACCCATCCCATCATGAGCCCACAGCTCATGGTGCCCCCAATACACCAGGAACGCAGCAAACCCGCGCAGCCCATCCAAGTAAGCAGTGCGCCGGGGCTTCCCCGGGCTTTTCTCGGATCGGCACAGAAAGGAAGGCAACAACAAGCTCAGCCAGCGGGATTTGGCTGGAGGAGCCACCGCTAAGGGCAGACCCGGCTTGTCAAGAATTGGGGACAGAGAAGGGACGGGCATGGCGACGCGTGTTAGGTTAGTCTGTCTGACTGTGATGAGCAGCGATATTTGAGGAGAGCTGACGCTGGCAGATTGCCCGAACTCCGATGGATCGGCACTCGCTCAGCTCTTCATTTACCCAGTGGCAACAAGCACATGCATCGGGGTCATTTCCCATCCGGCTCATCTCCACCGAGGTTGTCTCCATCCCCAGGATTTCAATGGATCGTCGGGCGTCAGATAAGCCTGATCCAATCGCCTGTCAGGCACGCTGCTCGGACAGACCCTAGCGAAGCTAAGACGCGTAGCGCACGCAGGTCGGTGGAGCTCGTAATCGGGGACGGGACCATGCCCTGAATTGGCCCTGGATTATTGTCTGCTCTGAATCCCGGCCTGCTGCGGGGGAGTGTCTGTGCCGCAGAGCTCATAAACAAGGCCTCGTCCTAGGCCAATTCCCCTGGTCAGACTTCACCATGCAGATGAAGACTCCTATGCCCGGCGTCTGCCTCCCACGACACGTTCGCCGGGTGGTGCCACTGTTTTTGGCCGTCTTTTGCCTCGTGTTTTATCTTTCCATTACTGGCACGTTTGGGGAGCTCCGTGGTCTCTCGCGACCCCCTAGCAAGTGCAAATTCTTCCCCCGCAAGATCTGGCAGTCGTGGAAGGTCAATCCGTTTGAATTTGAAGAACGCGATTTGACGGTGGCCCGTAGTTGGACGTCCACCAATCCGGGGTACCGCTACGAGGTGCTGACCGATCAGAATGACCTGCATTATGTCGAGACGAACTTTGGGCCGGATGGGTTTGATCGTCCGGACATTGTCGATACCTATCGCTCCTTGACTGCCAAGATCATCAAGGCTGATCTCCTCCGCTATCTTGTCATGTATGTGGATGGTGGAGTGTATGCCGACATTGATGTCGAAGCCCTCCGACCTCTGGAGCGGTTTATTCCAGAACGCTTCGACGAACAAGACATGGACCTGATCATCGGGGTGGAGATTGACGAGCCTGACTTCAACGACCATGCCATTCTCGGGCAAAAGTCGCAGTCCTTCTGCCAGTGGACGTTCATCAGCAAGCCCCGGCAGCCCGTAATGATGCGGCTGGTGGACCATATCCTTGAATGGCTGCACGATCATTCCGTCAAGCAGGGTAAGCCCATCTCCGAACTCGAGCTCGACTTTGACGACATCATCAGCGGGACGGGACCGTCAGCCTTTACGGGTGCTGTCTTAGCGGAGATGAGTTACCGCACCGGTCAGGAGGTGACATGGAAAACCTTCCACGACATTCCCGAATCCAAACTCGTCGGTGGAATACTCGTGCTCACCGTTGAGGCATTCGCAGCAGGCCAGGGACATTCCGACTCGGGCAACCACAACGCCCGGTCGGCATTGGTGAAGCATCACTACCACGCGTCTGGCTGGCCCAACAACCACCCCCGGTATAACCACCCGGTGTATGGCGAGGTGGAGCAGTGCAACTGGAACAAGCAATGTGTGGCGGAGTGGGATGCCAACACAGCGGCGTTTGCAGCCATGTCACCAGAGGAACAAGCCCAGCAGATTGCCATGAAGCAGGCATCGGATGCGGAGGCGGCAGAGTTGGCTGCATTGGACGAGATGAATGATCTGGATCTGGGGCTGTCTATCGAGTGAAAAACTAGGAGGGAAAATAGAGAGAGTCTCAACTGGAGGACACGAGGTTATGTCCCGGAGTCCGGTGCTGGTGGCAGTCAAGGTCTGTTACTATGGTTTGGCGCATGATTTGGCTTAGATGTTGCTGAGCAGCGTTTGTATCTACCCTCGGCAATAGCATTGATTCTAATTATCAATTCAGTATATTTACCATTTTCCCCTCTGGCTTTACAATTGTTCGCAAGCAGCAATATGAAGATTATCCTCAGCAATCCCACTGACCGGGTGGTTCAAAATCACCAAGCTTCCGTGGCCCCAAGTGGAGATGTCTGAAGCCAATCTAATTCCCTTTCTTGGCAGCCCTAGTTGCTCGACGGCGCCGCGCCAACTCCACCGGTGCCAGCTGCTAATCTGAGACCCGATGAAGAAGCAATTCTTCCTCTGAGATTACGCAGCTCCAGAAACTAGCGACAGCGTGCAGCCAGCTGCAGCCGATGCTGTCGCAAGGTGCCAAGGCCACCTGGTTGCAATGTCCGACACCATCGTTCAAAAATAAGGTGGACGCAGGAATCTACCAACCGAAACATCAAACATCAAACATCTGCTAAATCACTAGACTGTCACTTCCGCTGTCGCCATCGATAGTGTGCCAACTGCCCACCGAGCGAAGGAATGTCGCCATCGCTCCTCGCCGACCGCACCCGGCCTATCGAGCCAATCACACCGCAGGGATAATCAGAAACCTCGCCCGCATCACCAGCTTAAAGCCCCGATCGCCGTCACGTCGCACGCCTTGCTTTTTCTCGCTCTTCCCAAATTTCGGTCGCGTCATGGACGCCATCAATCCCGTCCAGAAGGGGCCCTACACCTCCGAGACAGCCTCCGTGTCCAAACTCGGCGACCGTATCGTCCAAGATGAAGAGGCCCAAAACCTCCGCAAAGGGCTTCAACAGCGCCATACGCAGATGATTGCCATTGCCGGTGCCATCGTAAGTCCCCATCCTCTCTTCTTTTAACCACACCCGCTGAATCCACAGGGAACCGGCCTCTTCCTCGGCCTCGGCAGCGCCATCCAGACCGGCGGCCCGCTCGGAGCCCTACTCGGATATGCCCTGATCGGGGTTGTCGTGTGCGCCGTGCAAATCGCCCTCGGCGAAGTCTCCGCCCTGATGCCGGTGACGGGGTCTTTTGTCCGCCACGTCGAGATTCTCGTCGATCCGGCGCTCGGGTTCGCCATTGGCTGGAATGTCGTCTATGGATGTTTCATGTCCGTTCCGAGTGAAATCTCCGCTGCCGTGGTCCTGATCCAATACTGGACGGACCTTAACACCGCTATCTGGATTACCATCCTGATCGTCCTTTCTGCTATCGTCTCCCTGCTTTTTATTCGCGTCTACGGTGAACTCGAATTCGGCTTCGCTATTCTCAAAATCCTCCTTATCATCGGGATTATTCTCATGGGGTTGGTTATTGATCTCGGTGGTGTCAAGGGGACTCCTAGACTGGGATTCCATTACTGGAAAGACCCCGGCCCGTTTGTTGAATACATCGCCAGTGGTTCATGGGGCCGATTTCTCGGCTTCTGGGCCGTCATGACCAACGCCGTGTACTCTTTCTCCGGAGTCGAAAGTCTCACCATGGCAGCAGCGGAAATGGAAAACCCACGACAGAATATCCCGCGCGCATGCAAAAGGGTCTTCGCCCGCGTGACCATCTTCTACTTCATCGCCGTTCTTATTGTCGGGATGATCGTGCCCAGCAACGACCCCAGATTAGGCAACGAATCCGGAACCGCCACACAAAGCCCCTTTGTCATCGCTGCGGTTGACGCAGGAATCAAAGTCGTCCCGTCGATCATCAACGCCGTGGTATTAACCTCCGCCTGGTCGTCCTCGAATCAGAGTATACTCTCCGGAACGCGGACGCTGTATGGGCTCGCATTGAAAGGCCATGCCCCTGGCATATTCCTGCGCACGACCAAGCACGGCGTACCTTATATGTGTGCGGCGCTGCAAATCGCGGTCTCGTGTTTGGCGTACCTGGCGTGTTCGAATGGCGCGTATACGGTGTTTAATTGGTTATTGGATTTGACGGCGGCCGGGGTGTTGGTTTCGTGGGGGACGATTGCGTTGAATCATATTCGGTTGATGAGGGGGTTTGAGAAGCAGGGTTTGGATAGGGGGGAGATGCCGTGGCATAATTGGTGGTCGAGTATGAACCCCTTTTTTTACCCCCTTGAAGATGGAGTGAAAGCAGCTGACAGAACAGTCTACTCATCTTACTTCGCCCTAATCACCTGCATTATTGTGCTCTTCACCGGTGGATTCCCTGCCTTTACACACGGAAACTGGGACGCTTCATACTTTGTCTCTTCATATCTGTAACGACCCCCATCCCAGAATATCATCTTCGTGTACTAACTGATTATTCAGGGACATCCCATTGGTATTGGCCTTCTACTTCGGATACAAATTCTACAAAAAAACAAAATGGGTTTCCGCGTATGAAATCCCCATTCAGCAGGCGCTGTTGGAGGCGAGGACTGATCCGGATAATGTTCCCGTCCGGGAGGGGAAATGGACGAAGTGGAATTTCTTGTGGGGGTAGATCCTTATACATATATAGTAGGAGTATTAGAATTAGTAATGATGATTGTGATGTGATCATGACTGGGATGGTTATGTTTGGAGTGGAGGATTAGCCGATGTGCTTTACGTTCGGTAATTACCGGTCTCCCAACCGTGATTTATTAGCATCAGGTACGGTAAGTAACCACAATTTGTCCCTCTAGTTGCCCTGACATCCCCAGATGATCCACACCCTATGGAATACTCCATCCATCCATTGACACGAACATGAAAATCTCCGCAGCAACCGGCAGGAGATCGGACATATCTACCGACCTGTCCAGCCCATCCCATCTGATATATCCAGTGCCCGATTGGGGTTAGTCTCTCTGTGCCTGAAGTTGACTGATCTCTCACTCGACACATCGCCACGCTCAACTCTCCCCACAAATCAAATTCTTGTTAACGAACATAAATATGACCGCCCTTCCTACCTTTTCTTCCGTTTCCTCATCCCTCTTTTTTCACATTGTTTCTCAGTGAAATCCCCTCCGACGATGCCATCTCCGCAAAACCAACCCCCCCACAATGATCAACCCGGCTCCACCACCCGTTACTCTCTCTGTCATCTAAGTATCGAAACACAGCCACAGCCATCCTCATCCATGGTCATGACCATGACCAAGCCACGGCATCCACCAAGCACCGACCCCATCTTCAGCCAGGGAGAACCCCCCTCCCCTCCCCCCGATACTCCGCGGCCATTCCACACCGTCGCAACTGATCCCGATCCCGAACTACCTGTTGCTGAATCCTTCGATGATCATTGGGCCGATGAGCTTCTTCAATCTGGATGGTTGGTAGAGGATAAGACAGCGATTGAGGAGGGTTATTATCCCTCACCACCAGCGACAGTGACTAAGATTGTGTCGTCGGGTGTGAAGCGGAAGGCTAGGGTTTCGGTGCATGTGCCATCTACTCCGACGCCGATGCGGATGTTGGAGAGGGTTGTTTCGCAGAGGGTTATTGGCAAGAGTGAAAGGAGAAAGAGGCAGAGAATGGTGGCAGTGGAGGTAAGCAGGCCGAGGGGGTTTAATCCGGAGGAGTATGAGGAATTGCAGATGGATGAGATGAGGTGATACTTTGTTAGGTGGTGCTATAAAGTATTGGGAAGATAGCAGGGGGATGTATGATGATGGAAATTGATTTCGGGAATAACCCACGGGTTATATACTTACTATATACTTTAGATATCATTACCTTGTACCATTAATAAATGCCACCATCACTCTACCCTCAAGTATCAGACACGATTCAACCCCTCACTCTCCCCAACACTCCCCTTCACTTTCTCCCCATCCACCGGACGCTCCTCACTCCCACTCACAACCCCCCATAACACCCCCGAATCCCTACACCGATGCGTCTGTCCCATCCCATCAATAATCCACACCCGTTTCCCATCTTTATTCAAGGCCAAATGAGGTACCTCGATGGTATCATCCGCTGCACAGATAATTCCCTTCCCATTTATCAGCTACCACACAGCATTTTCATATATTGAAGGGAGGGGGGTGTTACCTGCGCAATATAATCAAAACAATGAGCCCAATGTACTCTATCCTCATGGTCATCGCCCGAATGAGATGGACTATGGTGTTGGGATGTCTCAGGGAAAATAAGTCCTCTGAGGACGGTGAGGCAGTGGAGTTGATGAAACATGGAGATTCCGTAGGAGGTTATGGTGTTGTTGGGAGTGTGGACTTTGAGGGTTCCGCCGTTGGGGGGGAGGAGGGAGGTCCATGTGGTGTTTGGTGATGAGGTGGGAGTGGTGGAGAGGGGATGGAATTTGCGGGTGATGGGGGGAGGGTTTGTTGGGCAGATGTGGTGTTGGAGGTGGTGGGTTAGGGTGGGGAGGGGGTTTGAGGTGAGGATTATGGTGAGGGTGAAGAGGAGGAGGAATATAGCTGTTGTTGAGGTGGTGTAGAGGAGGCGGCGGGATGAGGGCATGTTGGTTTATGGGTAGGGAAGGGTGCTTGCGGAGTGGGATGGGATAATCATGGTACTTTAGGGACAGGTCGAGGGGATGGCTGTCTATTCTTCCCTGAGCTTCAGTGATGTGACAGGTATCACTTGTGCCTTGTGTGCAGGTAGCCCGATGCAGCGCGGCGGGGTTACATCGCGTCCTGTCTAGGGGTACCTTGTACGCCCTGAGGCACCAATGAACAGCAACGTGAAGCTACAATCCTGATGTGACTACAAGGCTGAGTGCATTACAGACCCCGTCATTTAGGCTTAACCAATCATCATCCAATATCCACTATCGGCTACCTAGTGTGATGCAGGGATCGACAATCACACTCAACTGTCCAACCCCGCTCCATCGGCTGCCTCCCATCTAGACCCAACAGACCACTGCATCTACGCAATCTCCCCCAGCTCATCCCCCCCACCAACCTCATGTGACTTATACCACCCAAACAACTCCTTAAACCTCCTCGACATAACCCTCGCCACCACCCCCTCCGGCCTCCTTATCGCCGCAAACCTCTCCACATCCACCGAATTCTCCTCCTGCCAAGCCAAAATGGCCTCAAAATCCCGACACTTATGATTGACACTAAAATCCGGAAACGCGTTCAACTGCGCATCGGCCCAGAAATGCGTATAGATGTCGACGTTCGCATTGCACATTAAATTCTGAAGCAGGATGTAGATGCAGTGCGAGATGTGCGTGCGATGCATGTCTGACGGTGGCGTCCCCGGCGGCCACTTCTTCCCGTAGTAGTGGTCAAAGTACGTTTCACGACGTAGCCAATCCAAGCAATGGATTTGATGGAAGATGTCCAGGCGGCCGATGTAGGCGTCGGGTCCGAAGCCGAAGCTTTCCGGCCATTTGGCGGCTTGGGCGGGGTCGCGGCCTAGTTTGATCACGTCGTTGCGCGTGATGGCGATGGGGTTGATGTTGGCGAGGCGGTTCCAGGCTGCGTCGACGGAGGGGCTGGGTGGTTGCCGGTAGATGGGTAAGGGATTGGGCTCGACTAGGGTTGCGTTCATTTGTTTGGTTAGGAGGGGGATGGGCAGTTGGTCGAACATTGGGGCTGATTGGTTTGGTTAGGGTTCAGTGGGGAGAGGGGGAGGGGGTACTGACAGTATTCGGATGTTTGACGGAGGAGTTGGTTTGTGTCGGTGCGGAGGAGACTCGCGGTGATGGTGAAGAGGAATAGTGATAGTGTGAAAAGCGTGGCATTCAGCCAGAGGAACAGTTTGTGTCGAGTATGGCAGCTTTGGGGTTGGGATGACTCTTTAGGAACATCGTCTTCGCTTTCGGGGATGCCATCGAGCACATCACGGTCTCGAGTACCCAGTGGTTTGTACGCTGGAGACAGTGCCGACTTCATTGTCAAGGTTGCAGATTCTGTGCGATTCTTGCTGAATGGAGTCTGGTCGGACAGCTAGGTAAAATATCTTCTCCAGCAGTATGTACAGGTCAGCTGAATGTATCCACAATTCCCAGTATCCGCGGATACCGCAGTGCTGGACATCATTTCCTAATTCAAACACACGACACTGCAGTCATGTCACAGTGACACAAACACAAAGATTAGGCAGCCGTGTTTGCCGCCAAGTATCACGAGTGACACGTCGGTTCTCTCAATGACGAATGCAGATGGGCTGGACTTGACCTGACTACAATCAGGCTACACATAAATACCTTTACTCCTCCCTTTTCATCAACACCTTCATCTTTCTCACCCCACCTTGACCCTCCAGAATGAAATATCCCCTCCTCCTCGCGGCCAGCTATGGCCTACTCCTCAGCCCTCTGGTGGCCTCGGCACCGACCCCCAAGCGTATGCATCCCATCAAGCCCTTCTTAGTGATGTGACTAACATACAGCGCTTTCACAGCAGCTCTCATGAAGCTCCGAGTCAGGACCGATGACTTGACTGCTCTTCTCGATAAACGCGATGAAGATGCCACGGCCCTCTACGCCTACATTGCCGCCGACTCCGAACTCGACAAACGTGACGAAGAAGCGACGGCGCTGTACGCTTATATTGCTGCGGATTCTGAACTCGACAAACGTGACGAGGATGCCACTGCGCTGTACGCCTATATTGCCGCCGACTCGGAATTCAACAAGAAGCGGGATGAAGATGCCACCGCGTTGTATGCTTACATAGCGGCGGATAGTGAGTTGGATGATTGATGGTTGGGTGGTTACACTGCCATCGGGACACGCTCCTTAGCTTAGCTTAGATTAGCTTAGCTCTTGCTTGTGTTTTTGCTTTTGTTCTTTGTTATGGAATCACTACCTAGTACTTAGATAGTCTTGCTTTCCATTATCATTGAACACTAACAATACTTGTTTGTTGTGTAACTTCCCGTTTCTTTAGGCTATTTACACAGTGACCAGACTGTATAATGTTTCCGTAAACTGAAGAAAAATACCTGGTCCCCGAAAGTGTCACTGGTTTAGTCGACTACGACTGGCCATTCTTTGTCACTGTGCATGTGTACTTCCTAATAAAGTAACGTCTCGGAAACACCCGCCCAGGCAGCCAGCGGTTACGTGCAACGAGGACCCCTGTCAGTCACGGGCCAGCCATTGCTTATCTCCCCTCTTCCCTTCCCAACCATTCCACCCAACTCACATCTTCTCCTTCTATCCATCCCAGCGCACGCTAAATGTATTAATCCAATCTCAACATGGCGGCAAGCTGTTCTCCCGCCGCAGACAATACCTTCGGACCAGTCCTGGCTTGTCCAGCCACCTTCGACTTCACTCTACTATTCGAGCAAAGCATCCTCTCCATCGGCCCCTCAGCCTTATTCCTGCTGCTAGTCGCGTGGAGAATCTGGAGCCTCCACCCCGAAAATATCAAAACCGTCGCGAACAATGCCTATTGGCAAAAGCTGGTATGTCGGATTCAATCAGCACCACTCGTGCTAATGCCAACAGGCTGTTGCGATCTGCCTGATTGGTATACAAGTCGCGTCGGTGGTCCTATGGGCGCGTCACAACATCCTTCGCACTGCCATTCCCGCCGTCTCCTTATCGCTGGTAGACGCATTGTCAATCACTTTTCTCTCGGCCATTGAGCACAATCGCTCCGTGCGCCCTTCGTCGCTTCTAAGCATATATCTTTTCTTGTCGATCGGATTCGATGCGGTGCAGGTACGCACGTTGTTTATCCGGCATTATCCAGCCTCTCTCGCTGCACTGTCCGCGGCATCGGTCGCTCTGAAGCTTCTTCTGCTAGCATTGGAAGCGCGAACCAAACGCCGGTATCTCAAGGCACCCCATCGTGACACGCCGCCCGAGTCAACCAGTGGAATCTTTGCTCGCACTATCTTTTGGTGGCTCAATCGTTTGTTTCTTGCTGGATTTCGAAAGCTTTTGACACTCGAAGATCTATTCCCGACAGACGTGGACTTGAAATCAGGCCCTCTGAGACAGAAGATCCGTGTCGCCTGGGAAAGGTGTATGTACTCTGTTCCTACAAATCATGTGCTATTTCTCATACTTGCAGACAAATCGAGCAACACACGCAGCTTGATTCTTGCGACTGCAGTCAGTCTAAGATGGGCAATTCTTCGAACCGTATTCCCCAGGCTCTGCCTCATCGGGTTCAGCTATGCACAGACGTTTTTTATCCAACGGGCAATCGAGCATCTGCACAAGCCTGATACGCAGATGACCAGAAATGAAGGCTACGGCTTGATTGGTGCCGCGGCGCTGATCTATGGGGGAATCGCAGTATGTAGCCCACCACCCACCTGTGCACGCTAACAGTCTAGATATCTACCGTCCACTACAAACACCAGCTGTTTCGCATGATCACCATGTTCCGTGGTGCAGCTGTTGCTTTGATCTACGACCATACTTTGGTGATTGGCGATGGGGCATGTACTGAATCCGCCGCTGTCACGCTCATGAGTACCGACATTGATATGATTGCACGGTCGCTGGAGCAAGCCAGCGAGATGTGGGCTAGATTAGTCGAAATTGCAATCGGTATCTGGCTACTAGAACGGCAACTCGCTGCCGTCTGTGTGGCTCCGATTCTTGTCATTCTTTGTAAGTCCTTGCCCTGTGGGTAATCACAACTAATGAGTACCTCAGTATGTACATCGGTTCAGATGTACATGGCGACATTTATGCCTGCTAGGCAGAAGGTCTGGGTTGGAGCGATCCAACGCCGGGTGGGAATGATCTCGACGGCACTGAGATCGATGAAGAGCGTCAAGATGCTTGGGCTGTCGGAAACACTCGCTACAACCCTTCAAGGACAAAGGGAGCGCGAGCTGAATCTATCCAAAGACTTTCGTTGGTTAATTGTCTGGCTGAATGTAGTTGGTAAGTGACCCTACTATTCAGTCGCTCCTACTTACCAGAACAGCGAGTTTGCCTCAGATGTGTGCCTCTCTCGTCACATTTGCAGCCTTTGTGATTCGCGCCAAGATCGACCACTCGCAGCCTCTGTCAACAGTACAAGCATTTACGTCGCTTGCTATTATCGGTCTCATTACCAGCCCGGCTCTGCAGCTATTGTCATCTATTCCGGCAGTAACAGCCGCCTTGGGGGCTTTTGACCGCATCCACAAGTTTCTAACATCTCATGCAATTAGTACACAGCCAACGGAGCGGAGCCCTGAGCCAGATGTCGGAAACGGCGGCGATAGTCATGACTCTGAGGTCCAACTAAAGATACTAGCACCTAAAGTGCACTCTGAGCTGGTTGTTGCATTGGCCAATGCCTACATCCGCCCAGGTGAATCTGACTTTTGTCTTGAAGACATCGATTTGAAGGTCAAACCAAACACCGTGATGATAGTGACCGGCCCTGTTGGAAGTGGAAAGTCTACGTTGTTGAAAGCATTGCTAGGTGAGGTATCCTGTGAGCGAGGAACGCTTGCAAGAACATCAGATGCCGCCTACTGCAATCAAACCCCCTGGCTCCAAAATACCACCATTCAAAATAACATATGTGGAAAAGACCTGGACCTTGACTGGTACAGAGAGGTGATACGGGCATGTGCATTGGAGCCGGATATCTCTCGAATGCCACACGGTGATCAGTCCGTTGTAGGCAGTGGGGCACTCAAGCTAAGTGGGGGACAGAAACAGCGTCTAGTAAGTCGTCATGCTAATTCCTGTACAATGCTGACCCGTACAGGCATTAGCTCGGGCGATGTATTCCAGGAAGCTGTTACTTGTCCTTGATGATCCCTTGAGTGCTGTTGACAGCAAGACCGCGCGGTTTGTCATCGACTCCCTTTTTGGTACCAACGGACTTTGCCGAAGAATAGGCGCAGCAGTCATAATGGCGACTCATACAGGTCGGTAAACAGTCTAGATATCTGATTATCTCTAATTTTTCACGAGACCAGCACTTGTATGTTGCAGACGAGGCTGTCGTCCTAGGTTCGAATGGACGCATCGAGAAACAGGGCCCTGTGCGCAGCTTATGCCTAGCCTCGTTCCCAGATATAACAGAAACCAAATCGGAGAGCGTCCAGCCTGACAGTGACGAGAAGTCGACTGCTACCAAAAAAGTTGAAACACTTACTGTTGATGATATCGCTGACATATCCCGCCAAACTGGTGATGCTGCCGTGTATTCCTACTACCTCAAGGCCATTGGATGGCGCCACACATTAGGCGCCTGTATAATCATTATCATACACACGTTTTCTTCCATTTTCCCGCGTGAGTATACCCATGTGATGCATTCTCTTTCTGACTAGTCTTAGAGGTATGGTTGGAATTATTCACCGACGACGATGGAAAAAAGGCTGCCCAGTTTATCGGCATCTATGTTCTGCTTGCCGTGGCTGCGTCAGGGTCGCAAGGGCTCATGATTTGGTAGGTCTTCCACCAAACCATTGATAAGTACTGACAATAAAGGCAAATCATGATCAAGATAGTCTTAAAGTCAGGACTGGAGCTACACAGGATTCTCGTTCAAACCGTCACCAATGCTCCGATGCATTTCTTTGCCGAGGTCGATTCCGGTGTCATCTTGAACAGGTTCAGCCAGGATATGACGCTTGTAGATGCTGTATTACCCACCATGGCTTTTGGCACAGTTTTGAGTATGTCCATCTATTTCTTTAGGTCCAGCTAACAAGTGTAGGTGTGGCACAATGCTTTGCCCAGGTGGCTTTAATCTCACTGGGCTCTAGTTACATGGGCATCACCATCATTCCCTGCTTACTGGTATTGTACGGCGCGCAAAAGGTCTACCTTCGAACATCCAGACAGCTCCGGTTCCTCGACCTCGAAGCTAAAAGTCCGCTCTATACATGGTTCGTAGAAACGCTCGAGGGCTTGTCTACGATTAGAGGTCTTGGATGGCAACGATCATTTGTCGCCGAGTGTCTAAGTCGACTGGATGATTCTCAGAGACCATACTACCTTCTTTACTGCATCCAGCGATGGCTCAATGTTGTTCTCGATCTACTCGTTGCTGCCCTAGCGGTGATTCTGATCGCTCTGGCCACATCTTTACGAGGTTCGACAGATCCCGGGAAGTTAGGAGTATCCTTGACTGCAATCATGGCCTTCAGTCAGACTCTACAAGATGTAGTCTCCAGCTGGACATCACTAGAAACATCGCTTGGTGCAATCGCAAGAACGCGCTCGTTCGAAATGAAGACACCGTCAGAGCATCATGCCGAGGAAACATTTATTCCTCCACGGGCCTGGCCTCTCCACGGAGACATCGACATTACTTCTCTCTCCGTCTCTTACGAGTGCGTATCTCGATCGACATTCGGAAGGTTAACTAACTCAATGCAGTGATGTCACACGTGCATTAGACAACATAAACCTTAGTATAAAAGCCGGAGAAAAGGTCGTGATAAGCGGCCGAACTGGCAGGTGAGTATCCCACCTAACACACGAAACACCCCTGACCCACAAAAGCGGAAAGAGCACCCTCTTCTCAGCCCTTCTCAGACTTGTCGACACTGAAACCGGCACGATCACAATCGATGGATTCGACATTTCCATCATTCCCCGGAACATTCTTCGCTCCAGCATCATCGCCATTCCCCAAGACCTTTTCATTCTCCCAGGCCCTATCCGCTTCAATCTAGACCCCTCCGGTCGTTCTACAGACGAGGTCCTGATTTCAGCATTGGCGAAATCCAACCTACTTGCGGTTACTACATCTCGCGGTGGTCTCGATGCAGAGTTGTCATCATCTACATTGTCCCAAGGCGAACAGCGACTATTTGCTTTGGCCGTGGCGCTGGTCAGGAAATGGAACAAAGACAATGATGTTTGTACTGGCGGCGGGATTTTGATCCTGGACGAAGCAACCAGTGGAACTGATGCCGAAACTGATGGGTTGATACAAATGATCATTGAACAGGAGTTTACGGGATATACGGTTCTGCATATTTCTCATCGGCCGGGCATGGTGAGGGGTGTTGATAGAGTGGTGGAGTTGGAAAATGGTCGAGTAGTCGGTTGATGTTGAAGTATGTGATCTTTTAGACTGACAGAGATGAATTGAGAGAATAGGAATATTATTGAAGGGAATGCAGTTCTGTTTGGGTTGTCTCTTAGGACAGTTCGGTCCTTATACTCAGATATCACACATTATCCGTGACGGATCTTCTCTGAGTAGCTTGATACGCAAATATGATTGGACAGGCAACCATTCACTCGTATCCTGGCCTTTGCTACCCTTGATATTTCCCTCATCAGTCATGCTGCTATTGCTTGAACTGGTTGCCTTGTCTTCCAGACATCAGATGCGTGGTGTGAGAATCAGCACAGCCTTAAGAAAGATAGGCACGGGGATTACTCAAGACAGGAGATTGCAGAAATGTTTTTATGTTCGGCATGCTTCTCTTTATCGTCGGAATCCTGCTATTTCTTTGTCTGTAAGGCGTCTCCAACGAGGTCATGAGTATTATGGTAGATTCCGAAATGATAAAGTTTCCTACAGGGGAATCCTCCGCTACCACAAGAGATGTTCCAAAGTAATGTCGATACGGAAGTTGTCGGTACAAATCGAAGATATACTATATTTTCTTAATATTTATATTGCAACTTCCCAAGATAGACTTTTACAATGAACAAAGAAACTTTTTGTACGGATTCATTGTGACACAGACGGCAAAGAACAATAAAGATCTTCAATTTAGTCAGAGAACTAAATTAGTCTCACTGGATCTCTTCTGTCTTGATCCGGATATCGTCGTGGAATTGATATGCTATACAGAGATATATAAGATAGAATATAACCCAACATTTTCCCTTTCATTTTCCTCGCCTCGCTGCCTGCCGTGATCCTCTACGCCACACATCTCATCCCATCGGGCCCTCCACCTACATAGGAGCCCCCTCATACCTCCGCTGACCTTCTCTTCTATCCATAAAGATTCTACTACCGACCCAAAACACCATCATGGCTGTGTTTCCAATGGAACTTTTCGGCATATGTGCCGACTTCATGGATAGCAAGACCTTTGTCACTTTTAGAATGACGAGCCGGGCAATGAATAAATTCATTTTGACCAATTGGTCATCTGCATAATTCGTCCCTCGTATCTAACATCACACTTTGGCTCCCCACATACCATTCCGATGCAGTACCAGCGATGAAATCCCCGCGGTATACCATTTCCCGGCAAAAGGCCTGCACCCAGTGCTCCAACGCGAAAGTCAAATGTGATCGCAGAACGGGGAATGGCCGGTGCATGAGATGTGCGCAACGGGGTCTGCCATGCAGTTATCTGAACGCGGATGCCCCAGACAAGTCCCCTAGCAGATCCCATACTGATCGAATCGAGCCCAGACCTTCAAGTCGACTTTCTATTTCAGGACTAATCTCATCAGTCCCGAGTTCTGATGGTCTTCTTCTACCCACCCCTGCGACCAGAGCGTATTCAACCGAAGTCCCAAACGTGGCGATATCAGGGGCGTTCCGAGCAGATGACGCCATAACAACAAATACAAGCTCACCTGGATGCCAAGATAGAATTGACTTCTCCAACCTGGACCTCCTCTGTCCCATCAATGCCGATGATATCAGAAACCGCTGGATTCAGGCCTACACCCCGGTCCCTGGCCAAACCATCAAACAGTACCCTACCAGTGTCAGCGCTTTTATCTACCAGATTTTAAAGTCCTATGCCGCAGTCGGGGTGCATGGTCGCGATACTCTCCCATTCATCCATCCAAAGCAACTGATCACACAACCGGCGGGCTCACCACTCACCACATGCTTGAGCCTCGTCCGAATGTGCTCCAACGCACTTCCAGGCAGCGCGGATGCCGCGGCCAATATTCTCCATCGAGAGATGTACAACCTCTACGAGTTGCGAGAGAGATACAACGACGAGGCTCTCTTCGCTGCATTCCAAGCTTACCTCATCTACGCCATGGTTCTCTTCTTCCGACTCAACCAAGCCTGCAACGACCACTTTCGTACTATCATGACCAATCTCCAGGATCTCGCCTGTGCCTCGTCTCGCGGAGGACTTATCTGCGCGGCTGATCAACGCCGAGCACGACCTCGATGGGAGGAGTGGATTGTCGCTGAGGCTAAACGACGGACACTCTACGTGATGTATCTGTTTGATAGCATCCTTTCTACGCAAGAGGGCCTACCGACATTTATAGGCACTGAACTGAGTGGCTTACCGGCACCCGCTAATCGGCTGCTATGGCAGGCGGGAACACGATACGACTGGGAGAGGGAATATAATATCCACATGGCGGAATGGATGGAGGGTAGTTTGACTATTGATGAGCTTTGGCCTACGCCGGATGATATAAGTGAGACTGGACTTGGTAGATTGCGTGATAGAGTGGACCGTTGGCTGGAGAATCTGGATGAATATGGGACTATGCTTTATGCGATTATGAGATGTACGCATGGTGATTGAGGTATATATTCAACGCAGAGTGCTGAATGACACGATATCAACATCACAAGTCCTCTATCTTCGAACTAAGACACATACGCGCCCTACCCGACTTCCAAACCTATACATGAACTTATTACTCTCACCTGGCTTTGAATCTACTCAGTATCCATCAACAACACACTCATAATATCCAACCTAGAACGAACAAACGCAAAAAGCAAACTCTCATCCAGACTCATCAACCCGCCCCCCCCCCCGGGCTAGATTATCAAATTCCGCACAGTAATTCAGCGTATTAAACAGCATGATCGTCTCCTCCACCATCCCAGTAATCGATAGATTGACAATGAATGCCTTCCAAAATTCGATACTCTATCGTCGTTTACACCCATCATTCAACCCCATTTTCAAACAGACACGGAAAATCATAGTATTATAGTTTTCCATGAATATTGCGGCAGATCTGGAAGTTTGCTCTACGATTAATAAGTCTCGAGGACATAGTTTGATAGGAGCCCCTGGCTGTAGAAGAATTAACCGGGAGATGAGTATAGCAGAAGGACACAATTCCCGAGTCGCGGAGTTTAATACATGTATTGGGATGGGATCCTCTATTTGGAGTAATCTTTTGATGACGATGGAGTTGGGGCTTGGCTCGTGGTATCGGTTACTTGTATTTTATTGTTGCTTTGGGTAGGAGCTTACATATCTTGATTAACTAGTTATAGACTCTGAGCAGCTCAGGACTTACCAAGTCGACTAAAAACCATAGCTAGGTGCTAGCCAGTCATTGTATGTCAACATGTACACCATGTCCTTTGCCAGCCGCCGTTGGGTTTTCTATCCTACATGCTGTAACTTTTATGAGGGGATTACTATGTATAGTGGGCAGTGCTCAGAAATCACTCTGTATTATGTTGAGTGAGCAAGAATGTCATGTGATATAATTATTCCACTGTATTGTTCAGTGTCTGAGGTAGCTCAAATTACCTGTTAAGTAATAGTGTCAGAAATAGTTGGGCGAGCAACTTTTCAATCCAATTAAGCTGGAGAAGTAGAAGTAGATGGAAGAGCTGTTGGATGTCCTGTTCTCTATTCTTTACCCAAGACCCCTCGAGTTGCCGTCCGTCCAAGATAAGTTCGTTTATATACCACCATGCTAGAGGCACACACGGTCTCAGTTTCCGAAGCAGGTGTTCAATCTGGACTATATACATTGGCCTTTTCAGACACATTACAATGAATCTGGGTGATAATCAGAGTCACGATGACGCTTCCTATCAGACTCCTCTAATGGCTGAAAAACAGCCTCATCCTCCGAGTTAATCTCGTCAGGAGGAGTTTCGGCCCGACGACGTTTTCGTGTGCCCGTGGGCATTTTTTTGACAGACCCTTCATGTCGCTCCTGGGCTGCCTGTCGTGACTCAGCAACGTTTAGATAATCACACAGGTCCCTTGCAGATATTGTAATTTCTTGGTCAAGATCTGCATACCCCTCGGTTTCATCCTCGGTCGCGAAGTCCTTGAGATTTAATCTCAATGGTGTTGACTCCGCAGGAAGGCCATCTATTGTGCGAAACATCTGTATTCTAAGTAAGTAGTTCACATAATAGGGTAAAGAAGCATACCTGTTTGTCAACACATGCCGCAGATAGCTCCTTTACTCCGTTCACAATTTCAAAACATGGCTGCCAGATGGAGAATGATGCTTCTTTCCCCCGGTACTCTATATCCAGAAAGACCACAGCATTGATGCTGCCATCAGAGTTCAAGATATAATCATCCGCGAGGGCGGGGATACGTCGACCTTTTTGCGAATAGCAAACTTCAATCACCACTCCGGGATATCGCGCTTTGGGATGACCGAAGGATGCATCTGGCTCGCGTCGAGCATATAATGTGTTGTCATCGGCTGAGTCATAAGGGAGGTCTATCTGAGATGATGCAAAGTAGTCGACATCTTTAGCAAAGTCGGCGCCATGTCCCCCGTTTAATACAACCGATTCAAGCTGCGATATGATGTCACGAACCACCTTGGCACAGAATGTGTCGTGGAGAGGAGACGGCATACGGATAGTTAAACGCGATTTGAACGGCTCATAGTCATATCTATTATGTGTCCGTCAGCAATAAAGAGATGACTAGCGCAGACAAACCTACCGGATCTTTCTGCGTCTCAACAGATTGTTCCTCTTATCAACCTGCTCCTGCAATCCATCATGCTCGCCGAGACTTAGGGAGTACTCCGTCCAAGGATCCTGTCCCAATCCGTGGGAGTGCTTTTCGATGATCCGTGCTACTCTCGACAGGGAGGCTTTACCCGTCAGGGAAGACGTCAAAGAGGGGTGAACAAAGCTGTTAGAAGATGCGGTATCGACCGCCATAACACTTAAGGCCAATGTAGGCGTCGAACATTGGCATTTTGGTTGGCAGAATCGACAGCGAAGGTGTGATGGTGGGATGGTTTCGGGAACAACAAACTCTCAGGGATACTGCCGTCTGGTACCGCCTGCCTTAGAGGTTTGACCTCGCCTAGGCATTACTCAGTAACATCCAGGATACACCACATAGGTAGGTATCTTGTCGTTGCATTTCTCATTGCGAGGGAAGAAGTTCCTGTCGAATATTGACAGCAGACCCACACGCGTCGAGTAAGATGCCGGCGAATAGATGATTTGACATCCGTCAACTCCGGCTCGAAGAGTGGGTCAGTTGTGGATTGGGCGGGCCACATGACCAGATCAGGGGATCCACATTAAATGGAAGGGCAAGGATCGAGTGGTCAATCAGAGACGCTAGATATAACAATTGTTCGGTCAGAAGAGATATATCTCTTGGTCTCATTTAGTGGCATCGACGAAGTTTTGTCGACCGGGAAGATATAGACTGAGTGGAGGTAAACCTTCTAGTTCAAGATCATAGAGCCCATAATAACTAGTGACAAGTGAGAAATTCCAGGGCCTCATCTTGCACATGATCCATACTCGCATATTCACCACGCCAACACTTTTTGATGATCCTTCCGCAGAGAATATGATCAACATCTGGAAATGAAGTCGGCCAACGGAAATTAGGGTTTTCCGGGCTAAAGAAATAATACTTATGCGCCTGCCAGGAAGCAATCGAGTACATAATCCAACCAAGATGCAAGATTTCGATCTGAACAGTTAGATCATTCTCATTAACAGAAGTGATATCAGTATCAAGAGGAAGGAGAATAGACTGGTCGAAATCTGTGATCTTCAGCTGGTCATCAAAAGCCAAGATATTATGAAGAGCAATATCATCCACAAACACCTTATGAGAATGAATATATGAAAAAGTCCCGATGAGACTCAATATCCATGTAATTTTGAACGTTTCCTCAGGCTCCGGATGGGATGCTAAATAATTCTCCAGGTCTTCTTGTGCACGGGGTAGCTCAATCCCATCCGGAGAGATATGAAAGCATATTATCCCTTCATAACTGCCCAGACGTTGATAGATTTGGATCTCAATTTCTAGTGTTTTTCGGTTGATTTCGTTCATGTATTCTGCATCTCCAGGGTCCCGGAGTTGAGATTGCTTGGCTTTTTTTAACAACACGGCCGTTTCCTAAGTCCAGAATCACCCCAGTCATGCCGGTCGCAATTACTGGGAGACCAAGGTAAGGGTCATGAGAAGATTGGGAAGGTTTAGTATAGTCAATATTTGCGGGTTCGGTCAGTCGGTCTCCATCGGGTCGAGGTCGAGGATTATGCTGCTCTCGATCGGTTTGAAGCGGTTGAGTATTGGGATTCTCCTGGCCGAATTGAGGGGGTTGGAGGTGTGACTTGAAAGAATCTTTAGCTGAATACGATAAGAACTTAATCATGCCTTACCTGGGAGTCTTCTGGCCGAGTTCCAAAGGGCCAAGCGATATTGCAGATCCAAGTCCAGATCACGGAGAGAATCACCATTGGTAGTACTAGAGACGGTGGGAAAGATATGCGCGAAGGAAGCAACCGGATGGGAATGGAAGGTATTTATCTGGTGGCTGGTAAGCCAGTTGCCAAAAATCGCTCCATATCCACCTGCATCTACTGGAAGGCTACACAACATACACGAAGCATAGAAGTTTACTAAATTGCAAGCAGAAAAAAAGATTACAGAACATGACCATACTATTTACACTACTGATTTCGACATGTTGAACAGAAGAAAATCCTGTTTGTGCTTGGAGCCTTACTGGTAGGCTTAAGAAAATCAACCAACCATGATGGAGGTGAGTGCTTTAGCGTCTCCGGACACATCTGGGGAGTTGGCTCTGGAGGACTATTCTGGGTGTGTTCGCACTGGATGAAATACACCGGGGCTGGGGTTTTGAGGGAGCACACGAGAAAGGCTGTGAGAGGTTGTGAGAAAGCAAAGTTACGAGGAAGGCTACGAGGGAGGTATGAGGAAGTTTATGGTCTGAGGCGATTCTCTAACATCCCAGTATGGAAATGGCCCTCTATTTTGCCACCTCAAAGTACCGCTTATCATACACAAGTAACAGTTCGATAGACATCATCAATCGAAGAACCCTACGACCGTTCCAGCATCTGCAGTGCCTCGTCCAGGGAGATGACCTTGAATCCCATCTTTGGCAAAAGCATACCAAGCATAACACTGGAGAATGCAGCTGTCTGATCGACCGGCAACTCCAACACATTATCCCCGATCACATAGACATCGAAATCCAAATCAAACAATCTGTATATCGTGGCCATCACAACACCAGAAAGACTCAGACCAGACTAGTATTCACATTAGCCCAGTTTCATCGGAGACACGAACAACACTTACAATAATGACGGTCTTGATATTCCGCGCCCGTAGGATCTGCTCGAGAGAGTTGCCCATAGTTGCAGACCACCTGGTCTTCTCAAGAACAAGATCCTTCTTATCGACCTTGAAGCTTTCGTGAATCCGTACATCCGCCGAGCCACTTGCAAATTCACCATAGGGTGCGATTAGCCTGCCAAATGGAGAAGTGGACTGGACTTCAGGTTTTCCAGCACTGAAGGCGAGGGTCGAGAAGATAGTAAGAGGATGAGGAGACTTTTCGTGCACTGCATCATTCCACTTGGCGCAATTGGTGATCATAGTCTGGCCTTCGCGCGTGTCTTTAACGGCGTTGATGAGAATGGACATCATATCTAAATTGAGGACCGCATAGCTGTCATCAAAGCTGAGGGCAGTGTTGATTGAGGACATTATAATAATGTAGGGGGCATATGTTTCAAAACACTGGAGGAGAAATGTCGGAAAGTAAAAGTCCCGTTGTAACAAAGAAACTGGAACAAACTTCTGGCTGTATCTATACCACTCCCGCCACGCCGGAGTTGAGAGTCAAAGTGGGTCCTCAACTCCGAAGACCGCCGGAGTTCAGCTTGCCCCTCGGACCCACTCCGCCAGGGTCGCTCGATATAAATCGACATTACTTACTCTTACTTCCTACTATTCTCAACAAATTACCAATTACGCAAATTGCCTACACGAGTCAGAATACCCACATCATGCCTTCCGAGGGAAGTGCAAGGCCGTCTGATCCCGACACTGCAACCGCCCCTCCTTCCGAACCGCCCTACAGCATCTTTGACAACCGACAAAAGTGGTTAATCATTGTCATTGTATCGACCGCTGCAACTTGTTAGTCACTCATAATATTAATAAAACATCAAGCTTACTGACAATTGCAGTCTCCGGCTTCACATCGAACATATACTTCCCCGCTTTGCCGACCATTGCGAACGAGCTCCATGTCTCCGTCGAACTGGTCAATCTCAGTGTCACCTCGTACCTCATCTTCCAAGGCCTCGCACTCAGCATCTGGGGCCCTATCTCCGATGTCAGAGGTCGTCGGACAGCCTACGTGGGCACCTTTATCGTCTTTCTCGGCGCATGCATTGGCCTCGCAGAGACCAAGTCCTACGCCCAGCTTATTGTCCTGAGATGTCTCCAAAGCACAGGCAGTGCCAGTACCATCGCCATTGGATCGGGTGTAATCGACGACATCACGACTCGTGCGGAACGCGGAGGCTACATGGGGATTTTTCAAGCAGGATTGCTCGTTCCAGTTGCTGTTGGCCCAGTAATTGGAGGAGGCATAGCAGAATCGTTAGGATGGAAAGCAATCTTTTGGTTTCTCACCATTTACAGTGGAGTTTTTCTCTGCCTCCTTGTCATCCTACTCCCCGAAACGCTGCGATCAATCGTGGCCAACGGAAGTCGAACCCCTTCGAACCCCTTAACCAAGTTTCCATTAGAATTCTATTAAAGAACAACCAAAATCCCATGGCAGGATGCCCAAACCAGCCAGTCCCATCTCGCAGCAAAGAAACCCATCAACATCTTTGGCCCACTCCGCATGCTCATCAGCAACCACACCGCCCCGATCATCTTCTTCCTCGCCATCTACTACGCCGTCTGGCAAATGAGCATCACGGCCATGTCCTCTCTCTTCAAGAGCCGCTACGGCCTGAGCGAAATCCAAATCGGCCTCACCTTTATTGCCAACGGTGTCGGATCCATGATTGGGACTCTAGTGACTGGCAAGATCCTAGATGCTGACTACCGCCGGGTGAAAGCCAACTACGAGGCTTCCTTTGAGGGGGAGCACGGAAATGATACCACCACCCAATCAACACGCGACGATGACTTTCCGTTGGAAAAAGCCCGCCTGCGACTCGTCCCCATATTTGCCATTTCCCAATGTCTCTCTATTATCCTCTTTGGCTGTACAATCCAATACCCGCATAAAGTGCCCATTGCCATCCCTATCATATCGACGTTCATCACCGGCTGGACGGCCGTCTCTACACAATCGCTTATCATGACCTACTCGGTGGATATCTTCCCTGATAAGAGTGCCGCAGCCAGTGCGAGTCTGAATCTAGCAAGATGTCTGTTTGCAGCGGGTGGTACGAGCTTTATCATGCCGATGATCAATGGTGTTGGGGTTGGTGTTGCGTTTACGATTTGTGTGGCGGTGCAACTTGTGGCTTTGATGGGGCCGCTCATCCAGTGGAAGTTTGCTGCGGGGTGGAGGAAAAAGGAGAGAGAGGAGGCTGCTCGACGGGCGGAGGTGAAGGATTAATTGGGGATTTAGGAGGTGCTATTGAGTTGTTCCTCGGGTTGGTGCTTGGATGTCGGAGTGTTACATAGAATTGCGGTTTGTTATGCGTTGGGGTTGGTTCTGTCCTTGTGTATTATAGACAAATAACTGTTTTTATATATTTAATTATAACTTATGTATCATAATACTTTCATGGTAACGGGGAATTGATGTATAGACCTAGCTAGAGCTTCTCCAACGTGCTGCTCCTTTCAGTGTACCCATCACCCTTATAAGACTCCCCAGTCAACTTAACCTTAGCATATCCCTCACCAAGCGATGCAAACAGCGGCACTCCCACTTTATCACATCCATACCTCGCCACAACCCCTTGGCCTTTTGAAGACTTCAAATACGCAAGAAACGACGCAACCCTTTCAGCAACCCCCATTCTGGCATAAGGACTACTCAAAGCATAGCAAGAATTCATCAAGATATCAGATGAATGATCCGGCTCATAAAAGACCCTCAGATCATCAACGCGACCTTGAGATAGCATAGTAAGAAACGTCGACCGATCGCAGAGCAAATATGCCCCCGCGATATTCGCTTCAGTTACCGCTTCCGACGGGGTATATAAAAAGCTTTCGTACCAGCCTGCATCGGGATCATTCCACGGCTGGCGACGACATAGATCCCAGATCTGACGCTCTTTCCACATTGTTGCTGAACCATCGGATCGATTGTGGAATGTCGCTTGGGCGGTAGCGATACGGGAAAAGGCGTCTTCGATGGATGGCGCTTGAGTAACATTTGCGGGATCGTCTTGTGGACCGGCTAAGCAGAAATGGTCGTGGAATATACACCCCTTGTTCTTGGCCCATCCCTCGGATATTGAGATGTCCTCTTGATCGCGCTCGTAGGTGAGGGCTAGGTCAATATGTCCGTGGAACAAGGCAAGTTGGGTGTTTCGGGAGTGGTTGCAGATCCATTGGATGGAGCCTGGATGATTATGAAGGGTTAAGTAGTCTTCTGCGAGGGCTCTGATTAAACCTGTGGCGCCTGGTTCGGTTTAGTGGGTGGTCGTTTGTGCGGATGTTGGGTTCAGCTCACCGGCACCGCCGTTTCTGTAGGGTTAGTATGGGGATGGTGGAGGGGACTTGTGGCTGTCAGCTTACCCGATTCTAAGGATTACTTCTCCTTTTCCGTAGGTTTCTCTTGGATGGGAGTCAATTTCTCCATGTTGCTGGATGGTAGTTATTTTGCTTGGTGACATGTGGATATCTTTGAATGATGATTGATGAAATATTCAATTTGATGTGCTTCGATTCATTTGGTATAATCCCAAGGTCTGATACAATGACGATATTATACGAGTAGCACGAGTAGCAGGTTAGCCGGCCGTGTCGGCTATAGCAGGCAACTCCACCGGACATTCTCCGATTGCAGCCCCGCGGCATGCGGAGGGGCAACTCCGCGATCTCCGACCACGCGCTGCAAAGGTCTGGACAATACTTCAAGTGTCAGTCAGACGGAGAAACTAGGGGACTATTTCTTACCTCAACGAGCAGATAGATGCTGAGTTTAAGCTACTGGGAGTCTGGGTGATTTGTTGGTCCAGTGTTTTGGAATGGTTCCGCGTCTGTCATTCGTCAGTGGAGCGGCACGGCTATTCCCGTTGGCTACTTGCGCCCCACCCAGATTGCAGCGCGCCTTCTCCAAGCTAAAAGTCTGTCTTCACTTTAAAATATTGAGAATGATTTCATAATCGACGGATTCCGCAGTGGATCGGATTCGATGGTCCTGATGATTCTGAGCGACTGATATCACATGGCTTGGGCAAGGTTCGAGGCATTGGTTCTTCCACCAATCGTCCAGTCAATGGCTCGGAAGTCATCCCTCCATCTCAATTCTATGATTGACCTACGTACTGGACTGTCAAACGAATTCAAATTCTCTTTCGGTTTCCTCATAAGCTTTAGCACGCAGATTTTAAATATGCTCTCTCTTGTTCTCATCGTGTGATTCACTCAGCCAGAGGTTTTAACCCCTAACCATGGATCCCAAATTGATGCCCACTATCCCGCCGAGGACCCACAGGTGAGGGTCTAAGAGACCTCTGGATAGTGAATATGAAGCGACAGAATGTTAAACAGGCTTTGGGTTCCGGGAGATCGGCAATCGATGATCCTAGTTCGTTGCTAAGCATCTAGTACTGTCTATGTGGTACCCTGGCCCTGATCACGTGCACGTTGTCGCAACAAGAAAAGAGAAAGAGAGACAAGCAACAAGACGAGAAGGACAATCCGGGATCGCATGGCTCGGGATATATTGTGAGTAGCCTGCTTCCGTGGTCTTACTTGTCTCGTCAATTATCCTATGGATAATGGTATTACTGGTCTCTCGCTGCTGATATATCCCAATGACATGATTGGCCAAGCTAGCGACAGCTTGCAGCGACGCGTCGCGGTGCCCCTCCATCATCAACCTCATCATGTTGGAGACTCATCGATCCATGTTGCTCGTGGGATAAGGTCCTCATAGTTTATGTACGAAGCTGAACCATTTGCTCTCTTGAGTGCGACTATTCAAGATGAAACTCACGCACAAAGACTACAAGGTCGCATGGATCTGCGCTTTGCCGCTGGAAATGGCAGCCGCAAAGGCCATGCTGGATGAGGTGCACGATTCACTGTCTCAGCCAGCAACTGATTATAACGCCTACACCCTTGGCAGTACTGCTGGTCACAACATAGCGATTGCTTGTCTACCAGCTGGTGTTTATGGAACCACATCAGCTGCAACCGTGTTGTCCCATATGCTGCCCACATTTCCCTGTCTCCGGTTCGCGTTGATGGTGGGCATTGGAGGCGGAGTTCCCAGCAAGGACGCCGATATCCGCCTCGGTGATGTGGTGGTCAGTCTGCCATCTGCGATGTATCCGGGTGTGATCCAGTATGACTACGGGAAGACCCTTCACGATAGACAGTTTCACCAAACAGGCTCACTTAATAAGCCCCCGCAATTCTTGTTGACAGCAATATCTCAAATTCGCAGCAACGGCATGATAAGGAATATGAAATTGATAGACGCCATATCTGATATCCTGGAGAGGCATGGCGATATGCAACAGAACTTTTCGCGACCAAGTGACGACTGGCTGTTCGCTCCATCCTACAGCCATTCAACCAGCAACTCTGACTGTTTGGCTTGTGATCAGAGTCAACTGGTGGAGCGCGCACCCCGACCAACAGAAGAGCCTGATATCCATTATGGACTGATTGCCTCTGGAAACCAAGTCATGAAGGATGCTAAAACAAGAGACTCGATCGCGCAGCCATTTGGCATCTTGTGTTTTGAAATGGAAGCTGCAGGGATTATGGACCAGCTTCCATGTCTGGTCATTCGCGGGATTTGTGATTACTGCGACTCTCATAAACACAAACAGTGGCAAGGATACGCAGCCCTGGTTGCCGCTGCATATGCAAGAACGGTCCTCCTGCAAGTCCCACTGCATGATAGAAACACCGATGAAGTACGACATTCTGGCCATTGGATGGTCCCATTCGACCAAAATGCAAGATTCATGGGCCGAGAGGACATAATCGTTAGGCTTGATCAGTGGCTCACACAACGAAACCGACCGAGCAAATTGGCCATACATGGACTGGGCGGAGTTGGAAAGACTCAAATAGCGTTGGAAGTGGCTTATCGCATGCGAGACACATATCCCAACCTTTCGATTTTCTGGATTCCATGTACCAGCTATGAGAGTGTCGAACAAGCTTACATGAATGTGGCTCAAAAATTCGGGATGTCTGGCATGAAGCCAGAGGAAGTTAAAGAGGGTATCCGTAACTATTTGAGCCAGGACAGCGCTGGAGAGTGGCTTTTAATCTTTGACAATGCCGATGATCTTGACATGTGGATGAACGATAGCGACACTGGTCCAGCATTGAAGAAGTTTATTCCTCGAAGCCAGCAAGGCCATATCCTCTTCACAACTCGCAACCGGGCTCTAGCCCTGAAATTAGCCTCTAACCTCATCCCAATTTTGGAGCCTGATCAGGATACAAGCTTGTCAATGCTCGGGAGCTTAATTGACAGCGATCTGCTTGTCGAAAAGGATGCTGCTATCAGGCTTCTGGAACAACTCGCCTATCTCCCACTAGCAATCACGCAAGCTGCATCTTATATCCAAGAAAATGAGATTAGCATCCCCAAATATCTTCAACTCTTGGAGGGAAACGAGTCCGAGACTATAGAGCTCTTAAGTGAAGATTTTGAGGATGAAGGGCGATATGACACAATCCAAAACCCTGTAGCGATAACATGGTGGATATCATTCCAACAGATTCTGCAGTTGAACCAATTAGCTGCTGACTATTTATCATTCATGGCCTGCATAAGTCCACGCGAAATACCAAAGTCTCTGCTTCCTCAGCCCGTTTCTGAGAATGAGGGGATCAAAGCCATTGGTCTTCTCAAAGCCTATTCCTTTGTTAGTGAACAGTCTGAAGGTGTGTTTCTAGCTCTCCATCGACTTGTCCATCTTGCCACTCGGAATTGGATGAAGAACAATGACATGTTTCGCATGCAAGTATTAAGCACAGCTGATCAGTTCTCAAATGTTTTCCCAACCGACGATCATTTCAATCGCACCTTATGGCGGGAATATCTACCACATGTTCTTGCTCTGATTGATGAAGATGACTTTCTTGAAAAACAGCATGAGTACACTCAAATGATTACAAGAATTGGAAACTGTCTTTTTCAAGATGGCAGGCATAAAGAAGCAGAAAGGCTGGCCCTCCAGGTGTTACACATCAACCAGTGGGTCCTAGGGCCTGAGCATCTTGAGACCCTGAGAAGTGTGGCCAGCCTTGCATTAATATACTGGAATCAGGGCCGATTGACAGAAGCGGAGGGGCTCGAAGTCCAAAGTTTGAAGACCCGCAGAGGAATATTAGGATCGAAACATCCTGAGACTCTGAGAAGCATGGACACTCTTGCATTAATATACTGCAACCAAGGCCGGCTGAGAGACGCAGAGGAACTTGGAGTCCAGGTACTAGAGGCCCGCGGAGAGATACTGGGATTCAAGCATCATGAGACTTTGAGAACTATGGCCAGTCTTGCAGTCACATATTGGAATCAAGGCCGGTTGGTGGAAGCAGAAGAGCTCGGAATCCAGGCTCTAGAAGGCTGTAGAGATATACTAGGGTTTAAACATCCTGATACACTGTTTAGTATGGCCAATCTTTCAGTAACATACTGGAACCAGGGCCGATTGACGGAAGCAGAAGAGCTTGGAGTCCAGGTTCTAGAGGCCCGCAGGGAAATACTAGGATCCAATCATCCAGAGACTCTGAGAAGTATGGCCAATCTTGCAGTGACATACTGGGATCAGGGCCGGCTAACAGAAGCAGAAGAGCTTAGAGTCCAGGTGCTAGAGCTCCGCAAGCAGATACTAGGATTGTATCATCCTGAGACTCTGAGAACTATGGCCAATGTTGCAGTAACATACTGGGATCAGGGCCGATTGATAGAAGCAGAAGAGCTTCAACTCTAGGTTCTAGAACTTCGCAAGCGGATCATAGGGCCTGAGCATCCGGAGACTCTGGCAAGTATGAACAATCTTGCCATTATCTTGCATTATTTGGGAAAGACGAGTGACGCCTTAGCAATGATGGAACAATGCGTTCACCTGCGCAACAAAGTCTTGGGACACCAGCACCCACACACCATATTCTCCACTCAGACCCTCAATGATTGGATAGCAGCGAGCAACGCCTTGCTAAATCTGCCCTTATCAGCAGCTGACGAAGAGTAAAGCAACCGCCATGCTCATGAACCTATCAGCGGTTGATGTCAGCCAGTCGGAATAATATCGCCCATCTCAGAAATCGAATGAACTGTCGGTCCCTGAAGGACATTTCTTTCCCGTCATCCACTCTTCGTTGGTTTGAGAAATGCGTCCCCTGTCATAAGATCCAAGGGTCCACAATTGGTTGATCTGACGTACCTGATCTTGCTTCCTTTGCTGCATGTTGGTGTGAATGGCCTTCCAGCGCCAGCAACAGAGCCATGGTGGTGCAATAACAAATGATATACTCAGCACTGGGCCTTATCCGAAAAGAGGCCATGGGGAACTTCGCCAGGGACTGCGACCTCACCAGAGCCCGGAGCAGAGACCAGACTATAGGCGACTGAACCACTTAGTCCTGCAGAAGCGCTCCTGCAGACTGTCTGGAACTACGTGAGTCATGTCAGTTTCAACGTGACCTCCCTTGTCACCACCCGTGATGTTTGGAAGTGTCCTATCTCAAAATCCATCGTGTCGATGTCGTCAAGAATGATGCCAGTCGAACAGCATCCTGTAAACCCAATTCATGGAAGCATGGCAGACTGACGCAATCGGGAGCTTATCAACATGTCCAATCTAGACTTCAATCCAAACCAAGGTTGTAGCCGGGATGACACTGGCAATTACCACCTTATGTCACGACTGGCTCCACTTTTGCACGGGAGCGGAGTGCCTAGACTGTGCCGATCCATGGTTCAACAATGACTTCATTCATTGTGCCAATCATTGCGGGAATGCCGAACCTTATCTTGATCAGACCATGTCCCCGACAAATTGCATCACGGATATGAACGCGTTCGGAAGCCAGTGTCTCCATATTGCTGATATAAATCCAGGATCTGGTGTACTCAGCTTCGGACGCATATGCCCTATTATTCTCAAGGCACCAAAGTTAGACCGCTTCATAGATCTGTTATTGTTCACTACAGCATCCCAACATGTTCGAAAGCATTGTCACTCCACAGCTACATAATAGACAGCCTCAGATCCCGGCCCGAGCTGTCCCCGCACCACTCGTTGCAACAAATATCATCGACATCCGGACCGACAAGTCAGAGAACCAGCTACGTCAGTCCCTCGAGGATTGCATCCATGATGCATGTCACGGAGAGGCCGCCATGCCCGAGCTACTGCTCTGGGACGAGAAAGGTCTTCGATACTTCGAAGATGTAACCTACGCTCCATCCTACTATCTCACAAGCGAGGAAATTGGTCTCCTCGAGAAATACAAATACCAAATTGCCAAGAACATCCCATCAGGAAGCATGCTAGTCGAATTAGGGAGCGGGTAAGCCCCCCTATTCCCTACCACAATACCAACAAACTAAGCAACAATCAGCAACCTCCGTAAAGTCAAAATCCTCCTAAACGCCCTCGATGAACTCGGTCGAGAAGTAGATTACTTCGCACTGGACGTCTCCTTCCAAGAGCTTGAACGAACCCTCGGCGTGGTGCCCCCTGGTACATTCAGCCACGTGCGCTGCTTCGGACTCTTGGGAACCTACGATGATGGGCGGGAATGGATGCAGCTCCCTGAGATTCGATCACGATCGAAAACAATCATCTCCCTGGGTTCAACACTAGGCAGCTTCCAGCGTCCCGATGCCGCGGACTTTCTAGCCAGCTTTGTCGGCAAAGCGTCCGGAAGGAACACATCTCTCTTGCTTGGATTAGACGGATGTAAAGATCCAGAACGAGTGCTGGCCGCTTATAATGATCCGGAGGGTGTGAATCGTCGGTTCATCAAACACGGGCTTGAACGGGCCAATGATATCCTGGGATATGAGGCATTTGATCTTGAGAAGTGGAGTGTTACCGGTCGATGGGATGCAGAGCATGGGAGTCATAATCAGTATTATTTGCCCTCTGGCGAGGTGGCTCTAGGTGGAGCGATTGTCCCGGCTGGGAGAAGTATCTTGGCGGTGCAGAGTCATAAGTATGATGCCGATGACAGGGATGCGTTGTGTCAGAGAGCTGGATTGGATGCTGTTGATGCGTGGGCCTCGGAGGAGAATTATAGTAAGTTTCCTTGTTGTGTTCTTGTTGTTATGATGTTCGACTTGATTGATTCCTGTATCTTGGACCGGATAACTGATCAACATCACAGATTTGCTTTTCTTGCGGAGTCTATAGAACTAACGGACATGACTATGATTTGAACACCGCAGGTGGCAGAATCGCCATTGTTATAATGGGTTTGATTTCAAAAGGTTTTTTTAAGAGAGAGACAGGGGCTCATTGGGAAATGATAAACTTTATAATCATAATTCTCTAGTTTATTGGGAAGTGGTACAATTCGATGTCAATGCATTTCGTGTATCACATCGCCGTATCTTCTCTCCAGGATTCCTATTTTTCACAATTCACGTTAATATGTCACTGGAATTATATAACCACAGTCGAACGATGAGTCCTCCAACAATAATTTCAGAATGCATCACTCTATAACAACTCACCACCGAATAGTAGAAACACTGTATATACCAAGCGAGCTATAGCCAATAGCATCAAACGCTCCAAACCACCGCGATCTGTGATTGGATAGAAACCACGTGACTACATTCCGAGCGGAGTGCATTTCTCCAGACGGGATGGATGCATTCATCCAACCACCATTAAGCCCGTCAATACAATGCCCCCTCAACGCACCGCAGACACCAAAATATCACAATCCAACCAACCCCCAAAACAAAAAATATGGAACCCCGACCGCTACCAGCTCTCTAATGACGCATTCGAAGTATCTAAAATCTCCACGTTGAGCGGACCGGAAAACTTCACCGAGTGGGAATTGCGCATCAGCATCTAGTTCCGCATGTATGGGGTGTGGTAACTCATCACCGGCGCCGAGGAAGCTCCCGATGAGCCAAACTGGAGCGAAGGCAGAAAGGATAGTCCGGAGTATCGGGCTCATGAAGACGCCTACGCATACTGGGCGTAAACAGACGCCAAGATCTGTTTTATCGTGAAAGAGACGGTTGCAAATTACATTGAATCAGAGCTAGACGGATTCATGTACTGTCAGGAGATGTATCAACATGTAAAGAAGAAATACACTCCGAAAGAAAGCTATTGGGTGGGGCGATTCTTCAATGAATTACGCGATTTGAAGCTGAAAGACTTCCACTCGGTGATTGCTTATGCTGCGAGGTTTGATAATCTACGGGAAAGAATGACTGCGGCTAGAGAGTCGTCGACGCTGCCTCAGTGGTTGGTGAATTCCATTTTTCTGGATGGTTTGGGTGATGCTTATTGGAGGTTTAAGCTCATTATTGACCCTAATGGTCGGGCGATCAACTCGGATGATACGATGGATTGGGATGAACTTGTACGACGGGCTTCGGATTATGGAGGAACCTTACAGAGCTGTCCGGGTTTAGCCTCTTGCTGATAATCCTGAGTTGACGGAGTAACGGATGTATCTTTGTTATCTATAAATTATGTGAAACTACTCTATGTTGTTTTCAAATCGTTGTGTAGTAGCTGAGAGAATCTGGCGCAAGAAAGGGACTCGGGGATTCTAGAGGAAGATCACTTTTATCAAACGCCTCAGTCAAAAGGTCACTAACACTCCTTTTTCCATAGACCTGGCAGGCATTCTTAGGGTAGGAAAGTTACAGATACCAGAGCAGCCTTTCTAGATGGGTGTGGTTTTAGGGGTTTCATCATCCTGTGAACCAAAGGCTCGTCAAGTAACGATGAACTTGCTTAACATTGCCCTCTAACTATTCGTGAGAATAAAACCATTGTAATGTCAATGCATTTAGTCTCTGGAGATGGAAGTCAATCCTTAATAGACGTATTTTCTCCACAAGCCGCTTTCCAAGCAGAAAGCCTACATTATTTTACCAACTTAGTCTGTGTGTTTGATAATATACCAGGCTTTGATTATCCCTCTATCACCAGAACTCCCATGTCTTCTCCAAGTCCATTCCTTCCGCCACCATCTTCCACCACATCATGGTCTTTGGATGACACACACGTCCCCCATTAACAACAGACTCCACACCTACAATAACACTGAACAAATTCACATAAAACCCACATCACAACCCCCTTTTATTCCTCCGCAATGTCTCTTCAACCTTACCCGCCATCTCGGTGAGTTGAATCCAAGACATCGTATCAACAGGATTCGTAACCCTATCATCCATCTCAAGACCCACCCTTAAATCCCGATACTCATGCGTAAGCCCATCCAAAAACAACGCATTGACATACCACTGCGGCAGAACCGCATCCTCATGCGCTGTTCTCAGCTGTCGCTGCAAATACGTAAATCGGTACGCGTATGCCCTCACTGACTCAAAGTCCTCGAGCTTCAACCCCTGAAATTGCCTTACAAAGGCACTGATCCAAACACTTCCTTCGGGACGATACTGCTTCACCAAATAGCTATACAACTCCCGACAACCCATTGACCTATCTAGACCAACTTGGATATGTTCTGCAAGCGTTGCTCTAATCTCCCAACAGATCAGCAGGTCTAACCGCTTCCAGTTCCTGAAGGCTTGGACGTGGTCCAGAGATGTCGGGGTGAGTCCGGGATCATTGGGAGGCTCCTCGGTTCCGACGACAAGATGTCCGACGCCTTCGAGGCAGAGGTGCATCTCGATGTCGCTCTGCCACTGGGCAAAGTTCTCCGGCCCTGTTAGCGTGGTGATTTGGGCTCCTTTGAATATAGTGGTCGTCGAATTTGTAGCGCTCGGGGTCCCATTTTTGGGGGGATGGGGGTCCGCTTTTTTGGTGTCGGAGGTGCGGTGGGGGGCATGGTGTGGAGGGTCTTCAATGGGGTGGGTTGGACTGGTATGTTGAGGGGAGATTGTTGGAAAAATGCATGAGAGAGTCCATAGTGGTTAGTCACGTGGCTTGTATCCAATCATAGATTGCAGTGTGCTGGGGTGTTTGATGCTATTGGCTATATATCAGACCCGTGGATACTCTGCTTGATGTATAACTTTATTGTTCGATCGAGAGTTACTATGGGATGATACATTCTGGATTATCGTCAAGGAACCAGCCGAAACCTAACTCCTGTCGTATACTTCCAGTGACACATCAAGATGAATAGAAAAATAGAACTCCGTTCTATTGTCAATTTATTTTGATGCTTAGCGTTGATGATGACGCGGGTTCGAACGGTGAGTTGAGAGGCTAATAAAATAATAAGAAACCAGCTAAGTAATTGAGAGAAGACCTGTGCATATATCACCCCTTAGTATACACCTGCCTCTTTATCTTAACCAAACCAACTACCCACAAATCTTTCAAAATCTCGGAACTCCTTTGACGCGAGCACATGCATGGCCGATGGCCTTTTCTCCGGATGAAGAACCATCATGTACCGAAGAAGATCTCTTAGTTCCTGCGGCATTTCCACCTTGCGTGTCTCCTTATCAAACGGAGAGATGGTTCCCAGGTCTGGTGCCACCTTACCAAGTCATCTAGCAGCATCTACCTGTTCTTTAAAAATAGGATCATCCACATCTTCTGGACGCGGAAGATCCCACTAAGGGAAGAGCTGCTTAATCTTTGCCATGGACCACGAATCATTGATCAAGGGATAAGGGCAGCCTTTCGCGCCTAACACGTCAGGCTTAACCCATTCAAGTATCATCGCGGCAATTGCCCAGACCTGTGATGGCTCAGTGCAGGGTGCACCTAAGTAGACTTCGGGGGCGCGCATGGCGAAGGGCTGGCATTCGCGAAAGGAGTTCGATGGAACTACTACACAGCTATTAGTAAGGGTATGATTTCTAGAAGGGATTAGAAAAGTGTACCGAGGCCTAGGTCGTCAACTTTGGTAATGATAGAGTCGGTGTTGAGATTTGAGATAAGGATGTTGGAGGGTTTAAATTCTGGGAGGGGATTAGCGGCTGTCCACTCTAAGATGGTAGATGTGATGCCTGTGTTGACGTGCTGATGACTTTCTAGAACAACGCAACTGGTCAACGTCGCCCGGAGGAACGACATAATGAGGGCGTCTGTATCTTGGTCGGGCTGGTATCTCACGTCTGCGAGAGTAGTGTCCAACCATTCCAAAGCCAAGTACTGTCATCGATCACATCGTACATCTTGCGGAAGCACTCAGCCGAGGCGACACCTGGAAAGTGATATACCTGTTGTTCACGGGTCATGCACTTCATGGATTTGGCATCAGCTACTTTGATTATGGCCCTGTGGCAGTTAGTCTGGAATCTGGATTAGGCTTATGGACATACCAGTTGGGGGCATCAGGGAGCTGGCGAGCGTTTTCATGTGGAACAACTGCAGCTTTAAAAATGGTGGAGATGTGTGTGTTATCCCCTGTCATTGTGCGGAGAATGCGGTAGTTCGATCGGGCTCCTCGAAGGAGAAATCCAGGTACAAGTGACATGGTTCCGAATAAGGTTCCTTGCAGGAGGTGAGGTTGAACCAATCGCTGGGTATAGGGTCCACGGAATAACAAGGCTGCAGAGAGACAGAGTGAATAAATCTCTGACCGAGAGACCTGCTGATTAAATAGCTGGTAAGCATGACGCACAGAGGCCTCGGGTGTAACTTGTCGGGCCGCCCCCTACAGGAGTCTCTATATTCCAGTGCGATTTATTGCTTTCGCCATCTGTGACACTGCATGCCCATAGGTTGTACCAGCAGAGAGGTATTCGGACTCACACATTCTAGGATAGCTTACTGCGAGATCCCGTGTCTGTAGTCGACCATCCCGCACTTATCTGCCACCTCCTACACTTTGGGCCGAATTTATAGGAATATCAAGTTAGCTTTGGTGAGATGTTCCTAAAAGCAGGAATCTGCCCTCCTATTGTGAGGAACCTTCCCATTGTCATGATCAATAGTCGAATATATAAAGCGTACTCTGCCCATCCGGGATCTGATTCAGTGTTCTTCAAGTCATGATCCTACTATTGATATGAAAGAGTTACCAACTCGGCTATCTGTACTCTAAGCTTACTTAGGTAATCACGGGCTGAGCCATGTGAGATCCCAAATCCTCACAGACACATCCACTCTATCACCCCTGGATATCCCTACATATCATCATGTCGTTAATCGAATATGCGTTCAACGAAGCCATTCTCAGATGGACATTCCCATCATCTCAGCCACATCCGGGGATGATTGGGTTTGAATCATCAATTCCATCGACGAATATCACAAGAAACGAGCTTTTGTTACAGTGAAGACCCGCTTCAAGGGCAGTGCTGTGTTGCAATACGAAAACATGAAATGATCAAGATTATCACGTGAATATCACATCGACCTATATGAACTATACATGCTGTGGGACATGTCTCTCCGCTTACTCGACAAAAGCCTGGGTGACTTTACACTAGAGTATCTTCAGACGAGACGAAGAGGAAACAATCAAGATCAACTGTGTCCCTGAAGATCAAGACAAGCAGATTGTGAAATTACAGGAATCCCTACCAAACATCGTATCAATACGAGCTGCTATATAGCAGGCCAAATAAGTCGTGTGTTTCATGATTGGAATGATCGTTCGTTGGATAAAGACATCCCCGTGATTCTCGGTTTCGCTTATTGAAGGTTGATCACTTTCACCGCAGGCATCAGCATTACCAAGAATCATCGAGAGAGGAGGATCTTGAGGACTTTCTCCTCCGGCTGGTGTTGAATTGATGCTCTCTGATTGACCGTCAGGTGAACAGGTTGCATACGCATAGGTAGTAATGTGATTGCAAAATTTATTTGATGCCTTGGTGGAAAAAAGCTCTTCGCAATGCCTTGGGCTGGGGATTGGTACTTATTAAGAGAAGGAGGCAACCATTCCTACATTGTCACTTTCTGGCCACTGTTCTTAACCACTGAAACTAATAACAAAAGAAAACCAAATGGGAAGAATTGTATCTTTCACATTTCTTCCTAACTTACCAATAGCCTTCTTGGGTAATTATCGTTTTCAAGAAGCGGCTAGATACTATACACACCACTGTCGCATGACTTATACATCCCAACTGTCTGACTGAAATAACCACATGTTCCGGATTTCCAGCAGTCCTACCATCTTTTAATTACAATCTCTCAGCTACCACCGAATACCAATTTCTTAGTTCTCCCTAACTCCTAGTGAATGGGCAATTTATCTGGGTCACATGATCAATGCACGGTAACATCACGTGAGACAGTCAATGCCAAGTCCGATTTAACTAGAAATGGAAAGCACCTCGGTTCAAATCATACTGCAACAACAACAAACCAGGCAAACTAGACAATTGCCGCGTTGCCAAACAATGCAAATCCCCGCGGTCCAATCAAGCTTAGTTTGAGGCCTGACAGGATTCATTCAGGATCAGCCATCCATCCAAAGCCAAATTGTTTGGTCGCATGTGTTTGCATTTATGATTCATTCTCTTTTTTGACAGGCTTCCCGCATCGAGTATATAAGACATGGTAGATCTCAGCTGCCATAATACATCTACTTCCCTTATCACTCCTACTGTATGCTCCGCCCCACTTGCCCTACTCCGTATACTCTCTTGTACTGCACCATGCCATCAACCATCCTCCCCAAAGCCCTCCAAAAAGGCGACACCATCGCCTTCATATCCCCCTCCGCACGTCTGAACGATCTCCTCCCCCGATCCCTCGCGCGCGGCAAAACATTCCTCGAATCCCTCGGCTTCACCATCAAGATCATCTACACCAGCCTCCCACCCACGACAACCATCACCGAATCCATCCGCACACGATGCGAAGAACTCCACACAGCCTTCCGAGACCCCTCCATCCGCGCCATAATCTGCACCATCGGCGGCGCCCACGCCAACGAAATGCTCCCCTTCCTCGACTACGACCTCATCCGATCCAACCCCAAGATCTTCCTCGGCTACAGCGACACCACCTTCCTGCACTACGCCATCGAATCCCGTACCGGCCTGCGCACATTCTACGGCCCTAGCATCTTAACCGATCTATCAGACTACCCCAACCCAATCCAATTCACCATCGATCACTTCCTCCACGTCCTAACCCCCACAACTAACACTCCCATCGGGCCCCTCCCCCGCTCCACCATCTGCACAACCGACCACAGCGCCTTTCTCTACGGTAACGACGAATCCACCACACCCCGCGAACTCACATCCAGCCCATCATGGCGCTGGCTCCGTCCTGGCAACTCCACCGGCCGTCTCTACGGCGGAACGGTATCCTGCGTGGTGCGACTCCAAGGGACACCCTACGCGCCTGCATCCTGGGCCGACAAGATCATGTTCCTTGAGTCCGCGATGGGGAATAATCTAGCGCAGCCGTACTCGGTGGGCGAGTTTCGCAGTTCCCTGGTCGATTTGGCGTTGTCGGGGGTGTTGCAGCAGATTCAGGGATTGGTTGTTGGACGGGGGTATAAGTATGATGATGAGATGCAGGATCAGTTGGCTGATGTGATTACGGAGGTGTTTGATACGATTGTGGGGAGGGAGAAACACGTGGAGATTCCTATCCTGATGAATGTGGATTTTGGACATACGAGTCCGTTGTTGACGTTGCCGGTTGGGGCGAGGGTGAGGTTGGATTCGGGGAGGGATGAGTTTGTGGTGGAGGAGAGAGGAGTGGAGGTGTAACTGTGTACCCCTTTATAATGATTAAATAATGATACCAAGTGAAAATACTCAGTCCAGTGAAGTTGAATGAGGGTTACTCCCGCGATGGTGGAGCCCGTCACGTTGACGTCATGCCACTTGACCCTCTGCATTTTCTCTTCTCATCACTTTGCCCTCGCAACACTCAATTCCATGCCAATAATCAAATCACTAAAATGTTTATTCTCGCATTTCTGCACTGGATAGCAGACTATCTGCTATCCTGGGCCAAGATGGTCTGCCCTGTCGTCAACCCGGAGGAACCTCGCTGATGCGATCACCTAGGTCCAAAATCGCGAAGTAGGATGGATCACCATCGAGCGCAAGGTAAGCCCTGAAACCGGAATACAGACACGGTTACTCACAGCAACCAGACGGGAAAACAAATGCGAGAGCAACAGCCATTATGGAAGAAAATGAAGCTGATCCTCCTATTCAACCCATTAACCGAATGGCTAGATACCACCCACCTAATGCGTCTTTACTTACACCACGCTGCAGTTGAAGAAGGTATCCCACACCCCCTCACACCCCAACCCAAATGCATAACCCTTACCCAAACCGTACAGGAAAAGAAGAAGCCACCCCCTCCTCCCGCACCCGCATCAAAGCCTTCGTCGACTTCTACCACATCAACATGAACGACTTCACCCCCTCCGACATAACCAGCTATTCCACATTCGAAGACTTCTTCATCCGGGCCCACAAACCCGGCTCCCGACCCATCTACCTCCCAGACGACCCCACCACAGCAGTGGTAGTCGCGGACTCGCGCGTCGTCGCATACGAAGCCGTCTCCGAGAGCAAGAAAATCTGGATCAAGGGGAATGATTTCTCCATGACGAATCTGGTCATGGATAAGCAGCTCGGGCCGAAATTTGCCAATGGTCCCGTGGCCAGCTTTCGATTGTCGCCGCAGGATTATCATCGTTATCATAGTCCGGTTTCTGGCACGATTAAGGTGTTTAGAAGTATGCCGGGGGATTATTATGAGGTGGATCCGATTGCGTTGCGGAGTCGGGTGGATATTTTGACTAGGAATGCGAGGGATTATGTGGTGATTGAGACGGAGGAGTTTGGGGAGGTGCTGTTTGTGGCGATTGGGGCGGCGCAGGTGGGGACTGTTAGGTGGGTGTTGCTCTACGTTGGGTTGGATTGGATTGGGAAGGGGTTGGCTGATCTGTATAGGATTCATTCCGAGTTTCAGAAACCAGGAGCGAGGATAGAGAAGGGGGATGAGTTGGGAATCTTTCAGTTTGGAGGGTCGTCGATTATTGTGGCGTTTCAGCAGGGACGGATTCAGTTTGATGAGGATATACTCAAAGCGAGTAAGAATGCGATTGCGGTTGATGTGGAAGTGGGCATGAGTCTTGGGCGGGCTGCGAGGGAAAAGACAACTTAGGGCTATGCCGATAACCCCTTGCTGTTACAGAGTGAGGATCAGACTTACTACTCGTCCCAGCTGCCCATCTTACAGTTATTAATATACGCAGAAAAACATGTATTCAATATTTACATTCCACATCATACCCTACTCACCACATCCCCTTTCCAATTTCACCGCCAACCGCCTCACTCCACGACGCCATCTGCAAAAACCCATGCGCCAACGTCTCATAATGTCTCCAGGTAGACCTGCACCACCGCCTAAGAGACGAGAAATCTGACATCAAGTTTTGAAGTCGTCGGCTGAGCTGATGCAGTACCTGCCTCTGTGGAAGGAGATTAGTGCTGGAGTAAGGCCAGATTCGTTGGTGTGTGATGGGTCAGTGTTGAATTCGACTCGGTGGATGGGGTTGTTGTTTGATGGGTTAGGGTGGGAGGTTGGTGATTCTGGAGGTTTGGATGTGATAGAGGTTGGGACTGTTGAGGGAGAGCGTGGGGTGCGTGCTGAGGAAGATCACGGTGGTGGTTTTGGATATGTATATGGTTGTGTGACATCATAGCTGGGAACAGGATATGGTGTCTGGTGTCTGGTGTCCTTGGGGACCTATTGTGTCTATTCTTTGGTTGCTTTACTATGTATGATATCTCGTAGTAAGAAATAGCTAGATGATTCACCACTGCCAATTGTCCCGAGTCCTACCACTCCCTTCTAAGTAAATCTACCATGTCCATTCATCCGGGGCTAGAAGTCCCCACCGGAGGCTTTTTAATAGCATCTTATATTAAAGAAAAGAACCATCCCAGTTTTCACTCTCAGTTCTATCACACAACAACCTAACAAAGCACCCCAATCCATCCCATCAAACCCCATTCTGAACAGCATGCACATGAACCGCCAAATCCAGCAACCGATTCGAATACCCCCACTCATTATCATACCACGCCATGATCTTAAAGAACTATGCATTGATCGAATCAGCATCCACCATTCATATTCACTATAGAGCATGCATACCTGAGAATTCAGCTCCGCACACGCCGGCGCATCAATAATAGCACTATACGGACTTCCATTATAGTCCGTACTCACGAGTTCTTCATCCGTGACTCTCAATACACCAGCCATGCTGGATTTGGATGCTATTCGGAAGGCTGAAATGATTTCGGAGATTGAGGTTGGCTTCTCGGTGCTGATTGTTAGGTCGATCATTGAGACGTTGGGTCTGTGGTGTATCGTATCATCTTAGTGTTAGTATACAGGGATGGGTAGAAAGATGAGTAGTAGAGTGAACTTACGTGGGCACCCGGATCGACACGCCAGTCACCTTTCCACTTAGCTCAGGAAGCACTGAAGCAATGGCCTTCGCTGCGCCAGTGGTAGTAGGGATGATATTGTTGAAGACGCCGCGACCTAGGCACCAACAAATTAGCTTCCAAGTATAGACCATATAGAACAGGGGGATGCACCAAGCCGCCGATTCTTCTGACTATACCCATCCAACACCTGCTGGGAACGAGTCGCCGCATGAACCGTCGTCAGGAAACCCTGCACGATACCAAAATTCTCATTCAGCACCTTCAACACCGGTGTCACGCAGTTCGTAGTACAGCTTGCATTGGAAATAATCCTGTTGTCGTCAGTGGGACGATACACGTCCGAGTTCACGCCGTAGACGAAGGTCGGCGAGTCCGAGGAGGGTGCGGAGATGAGGACCCGTTTGGCCTGTCCGTAGACAATATGATCCATGGCGAGGTTCTGTTTGGTAAACTTGCCCGTGCATTCGAGGACGTATTCGACGCCTAGGGTATCCCATTTGAGGTTTTCGAGGTCGCGTTCTGAGGTCAGTGTGATGGGGGTGTCGTTTATGGTGATGAGATTGTCGGAGATGATTTGGATGGACGTTGTCTCGTCGAGGGCGCCCATGGAGGAGTCGTAGCGGATGAGGTAGTTTAGGTCGTCTACTGTGAGGCATGTGTGGTTGATGGCGACGACTTGGATGTCGGATCGGAGGAGGGATGCGCGGAGGACATTGCGACCTGGGATGGTGAGTGGTTGGGTTGTGATATTAGGGGAGTGATGGTGTACCTATCCGGCCGAAACCGTTGATGCCTACTTTGCAGGTGAATGGAGATGTGGTGATGCCCACAGGAGAATCGTTGGTGGAGGGAGCCATGGTTGTGTAGATACGTGGAATCAATACAGATATTGTTCAATAGGGGGTATGTAAATGGAATGGATTTCAATGGATGGTATTATTGATATAGATCAAGTAGAAGCTTCCCTTTCTAGTCAGGGATCACTAAGATTTATAGATATATCAAATCGACCTGTTGACCTGTATACGACGTAGTCTCATATCACGGTTACCCTGAATCGGCTTCCAACAAGTCCGACAGTGCCTGCGCAAAACATGATGTGTACAAGTGACCGAAGTCCATTGCCGGTATCGTCATTGGATATTTGGGTTGTCAGCAGGCTGCATAGCCGATATCCGCCGAAGACCAGACTCGATCTCAAGTTCCGCGGAGATGGTCAAATCCGACGACTGGTTATGATGTAAAACCTCGACATTCTCGGTGCCTTGGGGTTGCTCGGGATGGAAAGCACCGATACTCGGAATAGTGGCTGTTTGCAGCAAGTTAACAGGAAACGAGGCTGTGGCTTTTGATCGGGATTGTATGCGGAAGAGTCATCCTCCGCATTCTCATACATTTCTATCGGTAGAAGTATTTAAATCAGTGGTGCGGCATGATACCTCGGGACAGATCCATCCGTGGAAATAGGTGATTCTGTAGGTTCTGAGTAGAGGAACAAGTTAGTGCTTTCTGGGCTGCAGGCATGGTACCATCGTGGACATGGTATGGTTTGGGTCAAGTGGCGACTGGGTTATACTTACTTGTGGCCAATGAGGCAATTGGTATACTTCGGACATGTTCAAGTCCGGGTTGCCTGGTAGTCGGTGAGACTCGGAGCTTTTCTTCTCCGGTCATTTCCCAAGAAATCAGGGCCGGCCAAATATAGGATCTGACATGATATCACCTTCTGGTAAGTATGAAAATGTCGCATCTGCATTTTATGGCGCAGTTCTTCCACCTCTCGGATTGTTTCGGCAGGCCAACTAGCCTCGCCTCGTTTCAACCTTGGAACTGCCACCCAACTAGGTAGGGATGAGGCTACGTATCACTCGCAAATACCGACCTAGCATCATTTCAGCAAGGTACACTACCTGCATACGTGATGCGTTCCCGGGTCGGTGGCAATAGATTTGTGTATTGTTAAACACATCCAACGTGGCAATTCAGTTGCTCGAGGTGATCCCTGCGCAACCAGTGTATTTTTGAACGGCAACCCTGCATTCTCGTGAGGCTCAACTTCACGCTTGGTACTACTGTCAATGGGTATATGTCTGGGGACCTTCAAGTCCTGGCTCTAAACCTCGCTGGTCTGAACCAACCGATGCACATATAGCAACCAACTCTGGACCGTGAGAATGCATCAGGAGACCCCAGACCGTTCCGGATAGTCGGCATTTCGACGTAGACCAACATACGGGGCCCCATACCCCTGGCCTCCACTCCACAGAATCCGGTCTAGCCGTCGCCTTCGCTTTCTTTATCTGCCTACAGCGTCCTTGTTCTGCTCCTATTCCCGTCCATTGCCATTTTCCCACTCTGCTCTCATCATTCTAACATGCCTACACCCAATGGAGTCGTCACCGGCATGCCATTTGTCGACCGAATCTGTCGAGTCTCCTGGGGCTGGTTCTCCATCTCCATGAGCACCGGAAGCATCGGTACCCTACTGTACAACACCCCCCATCAATTTCCAGGACTTTTAATCATCGGGAAAATCTTCTTCATCCTCGACATCGTCACCTACACGGCCATCTGGTCCTCTCTCATCACCCGATTCCGTCGAAACCCCCCAGCCTTCACAGAAACCTTCAACGACCCCGAAGAAGCCTACCTCATCCCCACCGCAGCCCTAGGCTTCGCCACCATCCTCTTCGGAATCGAATGCTACGGCATTCCCGCCTGCGGAGACTGGCTCAAATACGTCCAACTGGTTCTCTTCTGGATCTACACCGCCATAGCCATCTCCCTGGCCATCGGCCTCAACTGGCATCTATATCACACCCGCATGGCCTCTCACCAACCCTTCTGCCTCGTCCGCCTCCTCCCATCTTTCCCCGCCATGCTCGGCGGCACCACCGCCTCCCTCCTCGCCGCCCCCCAACCCCCCACTTCGCCACCCCGATCCTCATCGCCGGCACCACCCTCCAAGGCTTCGGCTTCATGATCTCCCTCTTCATCCTCGCCGAATACTTCTACAACCTCCACCACCACGGCCTTCCACCTATGCGTCGTAGACCTCAAATGTTCATCGCCATCGGACCCCCCGCTTTCACCGCCGTCGCGTTAATGGGCATGGCTGAGATCGCCACGGAAAAGTTCCCATCCTATTACATCCCCTTAGCAGCACACGTCAACACCGCAGAAGTCCTCCTCATCCTCACCATCTTCCTCTCCATCTTCATGTGGATTTTCTCGTTCTTCCTGTGGATGCTCGGCTGGCTGAGTATCTTCGCTGCGTGTCATGAATGGAAGTTTGATATCACGTGGTGGGCGACTGTGTTCCCCAATACGGGGTTTGCTTTGGCAACGATCAAGATTGGGGATTTATTAGCCTCGGAACCAATTCGGTGGGTGGGGAGTGCGGCGACGATTATTCAAGTGGCGTTATGGCTGGGGTGTTTTTCGCTTCATGTATGGGCGTATTTCACCCGGAGGGTGTTGTGGCCGGGTATGGATGAGGGGTTTGGGGCTGAGACGCATCTAGGGAGGGGGTTGGATTTGGAAGGCAATGTCGTGTCTTCAAAAAGCTCGTGTGCGTCGTAGGTTTATATGTATGATGATACTTTGTATTGAATATGACCTGGTTCTGAGTTTGGGGTTTGTAGCGATGTTGTGCTTTTGTGTCTGGATGGAGAATGAAATGAGTCCTGAGGGGATAGGAACTAAGCAACTCCTTGATTCATCGGCTCAACCACTGATCCTCATTTCTTGATCCATTGCGCATAACACTATTCTCAACATGACATGTCACAAGTACAATCATGTACTATAGTACCTACTAACTATGAACTAATCACTCTCTTTCCCTATTCCTTTGCCGTAGTAGTACTGCTGATATCGAATAATGCTCATAGGTGATTCTGAACATTGGTCTTTCAATCATTCCCCCATAGAAAGAACTCTTCTATATGAGCGATTCCTTTTCGTGATTTATCCAAGTATATCGTGGTTATAATGTACAGTCATATACTAATTCGAATATATATTCCGGGACTCTGCAGTCTGTTGATTGGTCGACGGCTACATGGATCTTTAAACCCATGCATATAGATCTCCGTGAGCATAGTTTCACAATAGACTATATCCAACGTCAGACAGCCCAAACACAGAAATATAGCTCTTGCGGTTACACCTCAATGAAGTGGACATCCCGATTATCCAAGCTACTAACCACAACCATAACCATAACGATTACCGCAGGGGACAGGTAAGTCGAAAACCCGAAGGCTAATGACATTCACACTATCACAATGTCACCAAGTAAATAAAAATCATTAGGTCATGAAGGAAAAGAAATACTGCGGGGATAGCCAAAACCTCGACGCGTCGTGTCGCCTCCTAAGGAAATGAGCTACGACAAGGTGGTCGGTCCTAACCCGTACAACGATTTAGTAGTTTAGGGAACACCATCAAATGTATAAAAATAAGTAAACATGAACAAGAACGCCGGATTGTATGCACCACATATAAAGTGGAAAAAAATAATGTGTATAGCATGTCCTGGTTTCGATCCAGGGACCTCCGGGTTATGAGCCCGGCGCTCTTCCCCTGAGCTAACATGCTGGTTGTTGGAAACAATGAACAATTTTCTGGTTCATTCGCCACTTGCATTTCACCCGCATGCCCCTTTGGTTCGTTTTGTATTACTGTAGTATGTGGATGAGTGCCATGGTTGAATTGCGGGGATGACCCCCTTTCTTTTATTCAGTGGGTGTGGTTTATGTGTTCATTGTATGCGATTCATTTTATTCTTTACATGATACTACTTTGGCTATCTGCTGCACTCAGGTACCATTTCCTCTGCATTGCTCCGCGGCAGCCTCCTCCAGATCCCTCTCAAACCGGATGAGGTCTTCATTTTCCGAAGAAGACTCGCCCGAACCAGGGACAGTCTCCTCGGTAAACCCACCCGGAGTATGCATCCAGGCCTTTCCTGGTTTCTCCACCGTTTCAACAGCGGTCGGATTAGATCCCTTAAGGGGACAATCTCTACTACTCCGATAATGACCGTCTTGACCACATGCAGAACACTTACTTTGTCTCGTGAATAATCTATCCCCGTGAACCCGCCGAGGCTTGCCATTGCTACCCTTCTCCTGCCGCAGATAACACGGTCCGCAGTCCGGATCGTCGGTGAGAAAGTCATCATTGACGGGCATGAATACCGCCTTGTAGGTGGACCTATACGACTCCTGGAGATATCGGGGATGAACGAAACTACTAATCTGACGGCCCACGGCGTGGATCGCGGCTATAGCGTGTCGGCAGGGGAGCTGGTATTCTTGAAAGTCTGTACAGGTGCAGGTCGACCGACTCAGGTCAACCTGTCTCGATCGGCCTTCACGGCTGACCTGGAAGAGGGAGTCAGAACTGATGATAACCTGGTAGAATCGCGCATGTCCCGCCTCCTGATTTAGAATCTGCTGCGCATAATCGGTGAACTCGATGGAATGGATCATCTCTTGGGTTCGACACTTGTAGAATTGCTGCGATAGATCCATATACATCTGTTTCAATGCTTCCAGGAGGGGACGTTCACGCAGATCATACATCCAGGTGGCACTAAGCGGTTCAAGCACCTTCGAGGTGGCGTGGCCAAATCGAGGGTTGGGGACGGCATGACGAGCCCACGCTGTCGCCGGAATGCTGGTAATGTAATCGGCCGAGGCAGCATCGATGTTCCGGATATGGCGTATCAGCTGACCACATTCTTCGCCATGAGGAGTTTGCATTGCCTTTGTGAAGAGTTCCTGGACGCGCTGCGGGGCTTTCCGATCATGCAGACTGGTTTGGATGTGTTGAGGACAATGGCAGTGACATGACTTGGGTAATACCTCTGGAATTACTGTTTCAAGGCCCGTGGAGTGGTCACTCATGATGGTGACCGAGGGGTCATCCATGCCAGGGAATGCTTCTTTGAGGTACTTGAAGAAAAACAGCCAGTTGTCTTTGGATTGCTCCCCTGCAATTCCATAAGCCAGAGGCAGTATCTGGTGGTTCGAGTCAAAGGTGGCGGCAACCATAAGGACCAGTTCCCAGCGATTCTTCCAAGGCGTCGCATCCACCGCGATAAACGGCTGGCAGTGTTGAAAAGCCTCCACTGTTGGACCCGGTGCCATAAATAAGCGATTGAATGCCCCTGCAGAAGTCTCGAGTCGATAATACCCCGAGCGATCGGCATCAGCCATGCGGCGTAGGTATGCAGGAAGCTTTTGAAACGATCTCACATCATTCTCGTAGGCCGCTTTGTGGGCAGCTTTAAGGGTCCGCCAGGCCTGCATGTAGGTGACATTGTTCCCCTGGGCCATCTCTGCCGCCCGTAAGGCCTTGGGTTGTAGGGACGAGTCATTGTTGTAGAGTTCCTGGTACGTTGGTTGCAGGTAACGAACGGATGATGCCGACCTCCAATGCGTGTGAGTCGAAGGGGAACAGCGATGTGGGATCGACACAGTCGTCTTGACATGTCCGTCCTTGGTCAGAGAGAATCGCAGGCGAAACGGACATCTCTTGTCCCTGCAGATGGCCCTGAATCGCCTTTTCTCCCGGGTGAGGATATGGTAGGAGAGGCCGCGAGCCACCGTATATTGCAGCAGCGTTTCACAAGCGTCCTTGATGGATGGATAGGTGGAGCCGATGATGTAGGGATCAGGCTGGTCCCTGGGGATCGGCGGTGGGGGGATTGGAGGCGTGCTGGATCGGTAGCTGGCAGGCGGGCTTCCCGGGGGAGGCATATTCACAGGATGCGGAGAGGTTTGGGACGCTTGGCGGATGATATCTGCGACAGTAGGGAACTCGGGCTCGGAACCGGGTCTCGGAGGGCGACGGGGGGCAGTCGGTGCCATGATTGCGATTCTGAACGGGCGGGCCTGTAGTCAGCATGAATTCGTCGGGAACATGGGGTAACCCACCTCTATAGGTCTTCGGGGGTGTTTTGGTAGATGGCCAGCATGGAGCCACGCGCAGGGAAAAAATGGCCGTGAGCTGGTCACAAAACGGGGGCTACGGCGGCAACTGGGCGGTCGGATTTACTTGCTGCCGAGCCCGATGAGGTCACCGCCCGGAGCCAGACAGCAATTCGTGCGAGTCGCCCTGCATCTCTCTGGTTCCCTCACATCGGCCCATCTCTGCATACGTGAAAATGTTGCAGTCATTGTGAGACATGATCTCTACGCAGAAGACGTAAAATGCCATCGAAGAACAAGGACTCGATAGGAGACCAGTGTTTGCTGGTTTCTGCCCCTCGATGAATTTGTCAATTTGATGGGTGCGGCAAGTGGGCGGCAGAACAAAAGCGGTGATGTTAACTGACAGCCGCAGCCTGAGGAATCCGGTCATCTCGGGGGACACCCTAAATAGGACTAGGCCAGGGCTGTCGAGATAAGCATCGGGTGGCTAGCGGGAGGCTAGTTGAGGCGCGCAGCCACTGACATCCTCAAGGCTTGACCCTCCCTAAGAGATCCACCGCAGACTCGGCATTCCATGGCTGGACCATTTGCCAGCCCTCATTCCAACTGCCAAGAGCCAAGAGTCAGAAGCCAAGAGCGAAGGATCAACCAGAAACCACCAGTCGAAATCCAACGGGAAGGGGAGAGGAACAGAGACTAAAGGATCAGAAGAAGATATCTCATTTCGGATACACCATTTCACTGCGCATCGTAATACCCGTCTTCACCATGATCTGGTTCTTCGCAATCGGCCCCTCACTCCCCAGACTCTCTGCATCCGCATCCGCATCCCCATCCACCTCCACCTCCCTCTCCCCCTCGCCCCGACTCATTCCCCAATTATCCCCTGTGTGATTGCCCGACCGAGACCCCAACCGACTCATATGATATCCCGGCCGGGTACGGCTCCGACTCTTTCGGGACCCGTTCGACAGGGACACAAACCACCCAGGCAGCATCTTTTGAATCGGATGCTTCAGGAATGGCAAACACGCACAGATAATTCCCGTGCTGGCCTCGATGGCACTCCACATGAGCGCATCAAATGATCCCCATGTCGGATCCGTCGTCTTAGTACTGGCCTCCATAGCCCACATGCGAATAATACTCGTGACGCACACAAACAGCCCCATGCCGAACACCAACATGACCCCAACCTTCCGGATGCGGTCGAGGTGCAGCTGTGCCAGTACAGGTAGCGGCATCAGACACACCCAGATGTCCATCAGCGTATTGTAGCCCGCCCACGACCAGCGGAAGCTAGCATTACTGACGCATTTCTTCGGGATGTGTTTGTACCAGCTGGCGCGGACAGGGATGCATTGGAAGATGGTGGCGATGACGAAGCCGAATGTGCTGGTCAGGACGAGCGAGATGGTGATCCAGCAGATGAGGCGGAATGTGCGGTTGGGAAAGATGCGGAGATAGAAGGCCAAGAAGGAGAGTTTGTTGAGGCAGAGGACGAGTTTGTAGAGGATCTGGAAGAGCCAGAAATACTGTGACGCGAATTAGGGTCTGGTCGGATGGTTGGGTTCTGGATCGCTCACCTTCAGGGCTAGAACAACGTTGCCGCCGGTTTTGACAATATCGGCCTTGTGTCGACCAAACGCGAAGTGGCAGGCTAGCGAGTCAAGGTTAGCATGGGGGATGCGAATTGGCACAATCCACATACCCAAGTCACCCATCACGGTGTTCACAATTTGCACGGCCTAGATATGGTGAGTCAAGCCCAATAAACGTGGCCGGGGTGCATACCATGGAGAACGAGATGATGATATCGTCCGCCGAGAACGTGCTCTTGATATAACCCTTCCATAGTAGTCGATAGGCCACCAAGACGAACGCAATGCAAGTCAGCACTGCGGTCACCTTGACGAAGAGAGGACCTTTATTAGGGACATCGGACGGACTTTCCGTCATGGCGGCGCTGCCAACCTGGCCGGTGGACTGAGAAGGAGAGAAGAAACAGAAAGGAACAAATCATAAGACAAAACAAGAGGAAAGAAACGAGCGTGGGGGAAGGATAAAGAATGAAAGCGTCCGGCTGCTACGCAGAATCAACTCTGGGATTTCTCACGACGGCGACCACGTGGAAAGAAACGGTCGCCTTATAGTACCTCCGTCCATGTACCGGGGCATGAACGGCTCCTGGTCTAACAGCTGCAGCAGGGATCATTGAATGGGACGCCGAGATCCTGCATGGCCCGGGGCAAACATGTACCTAGCCTCTCCTTCGGGTTACGGCTTTGGAAGAGCCTAGGCACAGGAAGAGTCTAACTTATACTGGCTGGATAGCGAGGATAACCGTATCTACACCAGCAGCCTCTGATCAGAGTGGTAGGTATACATGGACTTAGGGAATAGTCGCCTTGCAGGAAGCACTAGAAGAGTCCGTCCTGGTCGGCCAGGGGTGCCTCGTACGGCGCACACACGACGATACTAGAAGCCTCACTGGCATAGACTGAACAATTCAACTCACGGCCAGAGTGTAATTGTACTGTACGGTTGTACACCAGTGGATCGCGTAATAATCCTGGCAAATTCTAACGGAGTGGTGGTGGTGGGTCCAGGATGGCGCCAGGGAAAGTAGTGTATATTAGGGCCGGTCCGGTCCCGATACATTGATAACAGGATCCACAGGGCCTGCCAGTGATCGCGAGTCAGAGTGAAACAGACTCCCCGATGGCGTGGCACGGGAAACCAATGTCGTACCATGTTTGCAATCTCCGAAATAAAGCGATTAGCCTGGTGGGTGGCCCTTACGTTGGGGACCACAACGCGACTGTGCGGCCTTTTTAGTACCTATTTTTTTTTTTTTTTGGGAGTTTAGGAACAATCCTTCGTAGGACGCCACATGGTATATACCCAGTAGGAAATGGGATGGATTCAAACCCAGCTGCACCAGTCGGAACGTCCGGGAGGTGGGCGGCTTATGCCAGTGCCCTAGCATTCATCCAGGTCAGAACTAGTGAATCCTGAAAAGCCAAGAGGGTTAGAAATCCGACGTAAGCTGCAGCCACGAAATGAGCATGTAGAGAATAATAGTAATAATATCTCGCATTATAATGTCTAGTCCGGACCAATCTCGGCACGATTGGCCCCATCCGGCCGTCTATCTGGCATGATGGAATCTATCTATCTAGTATCTACAACTGAAACCGGAAATCCGGATGGGCGTCTCCGAGATCTTCTGCCTCTTGCGCCATGTCGGGGGTCCACTCCTTGGTGGGCTGGCTGTCGCGGCGGCGATTTTCCGCGCGCAGGGCGAAATAGTAGACCGTGCACGCCAGCCCGGCCACCACCGCAAATGCCAACCCAACTCCAAACCCGGTCGGGTATTTGGGGGCCTCGCTGGTGATGAAGACATTTCCAGACACAAACGCGCCGCAGTTGCCGAACGCGGGAAGCAAGCCCATGCCCACACTGCGCTTCACCCCTTTGCCCAGGTTGATGCACAACCACACCACCGTGATCGACATCATGATGAATGCCCCGGAGGCCACGAAGAACATACCCATGTAGCGAACGCCGGCGGCGGGAACTTGAGCCAGTTCAATACTCCATCCGATGATGACCAGAGCAGAGCCGAAGATGGTGAAGAGATAGCGGTGCCGGAGATGATCGCTCAGCCAGGCGCTGGAAAGGGTCACGACAAAAGCGACCGCGTAGACAGGGATGCTGTGCTCCTGAGCAGAGCGGCTAGTCCATCCAAGGTCTCTCAGAATGGTAGGCTGGAAATATACGAGGGAGCTGGCGCTTTCTTCGGCGCCGAGGTAGGCCAGGACACTGTACGAATCAGTGGCTGGTCAAAGACATCATCCAAGAATAACGGAGGCCTACCAGATCCAGATCTTCCAGTCCGCAGCCATGCTGATCACGCGTTTGAAGGAGATAGGGTCGTCGCGGACGCTGCCTCCGTCGGCTTCCAAACGAGCGAGGAGCAATGCCTTCTCCTCGGGTGTCAAGAAGGTTGCATCTTCGGGAAAGGGGACAATGATCCAGTAGCAGAGGAGACTGACTCCCATGGTGATGATGGATTCGATCAAGAACAGCCTACATGGTGAGATACCGGACGTAGTGAGAGCGGGACAATCTTACCAGCGCCATCCCTTGTACCCGTCCAGATTCAAAGGCGTTATGAGACTCGAGAAGAGCTAGACCGTGTCAGCGATCATCAATAAAGGCTTCTTGAAGCCGGCTTACCCCGTTGAATGCACCAGCCGCCATATTTGCGCTGAAAAAGATGGCATATCGTCGAAGGAACTCATCACGCTTATAGTAACTGCCGATCAAGTATGCGCAGCCTAATATCTCGATCAGCGACGGTGTGTCAGACGGTAAGATGAATGGGGACGAACCTGGAACAAACCCGGCTTCACACATTCCCATAAAGAAGCGACACGCAATCAATCCACTGGCGGTTTTGGTGAGGCCCTGACCCATCACAAACAGACCTATCGTTCAACCTCGCGTTAGCAAACGCCGCTATCCAGAATGGCGGTCGCCTCACCCCAGGTAAACATGTAGAGCACCAGCATCTTCGGACCGAATTTCTTGACCAGCAAGTTCGCTGGCATACCGAAGATGACGTAGGCGACGGTGAACATGGTGACAGCCAGGTTGTAGTCGTTGCCGACCAAGTGTAGCTCCTTGGTCATGCCTGCAATCTTCGCATTTCTAACCGACACCTTCCGTTAGCCTTCTGCGGCGACGTCTGCTTGCTAGGGGATTCTCACGCAATATTCGACCGATCCATAAATGAGACGAGGAACAGAAACCACAAGGCCGGGATGACTCGCCAGTCCAGCTTGCGCAGGAGCTTCTTCTCCAAGGCCGGGTCGATGTCGCCCCGGGAGGCTTCCACGATCCGTGGCTCAATATCCGGCTTCTCCATCGACATGATTCCCAAGTAGTTGTGTAATGGTGCGGAGAGGATGGATGAGGGGTAGAAAAGGCGCTTTTCCGTGGCGACACCCCGAGTTTTGTACAAGCGGCAGTGAAGGGCTCGGGATTTCCGAGCGGCAAAGAAAGAATTACCCTGCAGGGAATGTTGCAGGAAGGCCAATCTCCGGAGGAATGCATCCCTGCACGGGGATAAATATTAGACCATTTGGCGCTGCACACCACGGCGATACAGCCTGCAGAGTTACCGATGGTGGAAAGGGTATGATAGGGGCCCCGTCGTAGCCCTTGCTAGCCCATGTTAGTCCCTGCTAGCGGGCCCCACGGTAATATGCTTGAATACACCAGTCCCAAGTGCCACCCATGAATCCTCGTAGGCTCGTCTGGTCCTGAGCCAGGCCCTTGGCAGGGCACTATCCACGCCTAGTCGTCCGCTTTGGGAAGGTTGCCGGAGCCCTTCGTTTTAGGCCTCGAGCCGGCCAGCCAATGCTCGGACAGTCGCACCGTGACCGGTAACAGGCGGAAAAACCCCTGCAATGGTGGACAGTAGGCTACTAGTTGGGTCCTCTGAGTTGCAGATGCCAAATCACGCCGTTTGACAGCGTTGCCAATCAAGGCTTCAGGCTTCAGGGCTTCAATTCAAGCACGGTTATCACCCACATGGTGTGATATGGCGAGAATCATGATGTCATCCACTGGATCCACCGACCTGGCCACTTGACTCCGTGAAACGTGGATACGAGCACGGAGATTCAGCTCAGCTGTGACCATTTCCAGCACGTCCTGCCGGAGGAGGCCGATATCGTACGCTAGAGGTGGCCATGGCAGCACTATTGTCTCGTCTCAAGCCAGTGATCCCACATCGCTTGGTAGCACGTGGCCCTGCACATGGTATGGTGCTGACTGCAGATAACTCGTTTAGCGTCTTCCGCGAAGTCGTTCTTTGGGTCCGACTAGTATAGTACTACGCAGATAAGTGTGGTCCACCAGGCCAAGTTCAAACCGGCTTTTCAGGTCCAGTCTTCGCATTGTGTTTCCCTGTTGACTGCATGGTTCCACAGTATGCAAGAACCGAGGAGCCATTCATCTTATCACAAGGGGCCTTATCTGAGACAGAAGACTCCGTTTGTAGGCTCTTGCGAGGCGTGATTGGGTTGCTACAGTGGAATATCTGTTTGTCAGCCTTGACTGTTCTGCTCAAGCCTCAAGGGAGGTGTTCCTGATGTATGTTCTGCATCCACAAGGCGGGGCTGACACAAGATCGATGTTGTCTCGGTGCTGGCGAAGAGTCTCGAGGATGGTGACTTTGTCTTGGGGGACTTTGAGAGTGGATGGCGGGACCGCGATAACCGATGATCCGGCGCACCCGATCATGTGATATATATAACATCACGTGACTCTCTCGGCCACTCGATGGGCGATGGCGACAGAAAGCAAATCTCCGATCCACGGACATCTCCATGGCATCTGGATGGACCGCATTCGCCAGACACTGGGACTCGCTCCCGATTTGCTGGCCTGGAGGGCGCTCCGAGGCCCGCGGATCCCAAGCACAGTAATTCGGCATCCACTCTGGCGCTGCCGTTCCACCATCGCTTCCGACGCGTTCGACGCGGCCTCAACAGCGCCACCGGCACCGCCTGCCATCGTCCTTCGGGACTACCAGGAGGAATGTATTCAATCGGTGTTATACCACCTGGACCAAGGGCACAAACGCCTAGGAGTCTCGCTGGCAACTGGCGCCGGAAAGACCGTCATCTTCACCCAGTTGATCGGTCGAATTCCCCCGCGAGATGGTCGCCATGACCAGACCCTCATCTTGGTCCATCGAAGGGAGCTTGTCGAGCAGGCTGCGCGACACTGCCGGCTGGCCTATCCCGATCGCACCGTGGAGATTGAGATGGGGAACAGTGTCGCGTCTGGGTCGGGCGACATCATCATCGCCTCGCTCCGGAGTCTCACGTCCGGGGATAGAATCTGCAAGTTTGATTCCAGACGCTTCAAGCTAGTCCTCGTGGATGAGGCACACCATATCGTGGCGCCAACCTATCGCAGTGTTCTCGAGTATTTTGGCCTCGACGATCCGTCGCCCGATTCGCCCGCTCTGGTCGGAGTGTCGGCCACGTTTTCGCGCTTCGACGGACTCAAGCTGGGCGCTGCGATCGATCATATAGTGTATCACAAGGATTACATGGATATGATTGATGAGAAATGGCTGTCTAACGCGTTCTTCACCACCGTCCGGTCCGAAGCGAATCTCTCCCGAGTCAGAAAGGACAAGTTTGGCGACTTTGCCCTCAGCTCACTCTCCGAAGCCGTCAACACAAACAAGTCGAATGACATTACTGTACGTGCCTGGCTGGCCAACGCGCAGGATCGCAAATCCACCCTGGTGTTCTGTGTCGACATCGAACACACTAGACAGCTCACCGAGGCGTTCCGGGAAGTCGGCATTGATGCCCGCTATATCACGTCGGGAACTCCCAAGGACATGCGGGACGAGCAGCTGCGCTTATTCAGGGACCAGGAATTTCCCGTGCTTCTTAACTGTGGTTTGTTTACCGAAGGCACCGATATCCCGAATATCGACTGCGTACTGCTCGCCCGGCCGACACGGTCTCGCAATCTTCTCATCCAGATGATCGGACGAGGCTTGCGGCTATACCCGGGGAAGAAGGATTGCCATATTATCGACATGGTTGCTACCCTGGATATTGGTGTTGTTTCTACCCCAACTCTTTTCGGCTTACACCCGGATGAGCTCCTAGAGAATGCAAAGGCCAAGGATCTCAGAGACAAGAAGGAAACAGCAGGGGGGCAGTACACTGAACAGCCACCAGAGACCGAAATTCCCGCTGACGAGTCTGATGTGTCCGATGACATCAAAATCACCTTCACCAAATACGACACCATCTACGACCTGATCCATGACATGAAGTCCGAAAAGCACATTCGCTCCCTCAGTCGCTTCGCCTGGGTGCGAGTCGACGAGAACAAATACACGCTCTCCGATTCAACCGGATGGATCACCCTCGACAAAGAAAAGCCCAGCCCCAGCAACCAAAACGCAAATGACACGTCAGCATCCTACACCGTTCACCACGTCATGAAGTTCAAATCCACCACGGAAACCACTCAGTACACCCGTCCACGTCTTATTGCCACCGCCACCGACTTTGAGTCGGCCGTTCATGCCGCAGACACATTTGCGGCCTCCGAGTTCGACGAGCGGTATATCTCCACCCGACAGCCCTGGCGTCAGCATCCCGCCACCGCAGCCCAGGTAAATATGCTGAACAAGGCGAAGATCCGGAACGGACGAATCGCCCCTGGCGATCTGACCCGCGGCCAGGCAGCAGATCTGATCACGAAATTGAAATTCGGAGGGAAGAAACGGTTTGACAAGACGCAGAAAAGGCGTCGAGCTTTCGATGACAAGGCTCGGGAGATGGCCGAGCTGAGGAGACGCGAAGAGGTCCGAGTGGGACCTGTAGAGGGGTGAATACTATCAGCGTTGATATTGCTCCTATCGCTCCCCAAATTCTCTCCTATCTGCATTCGGTTCATCGAACCAAGTTCAATGCTAAGTCATATCAGGCTAAGCTAATCCAATTCATATCCCGTTAGCCTATTGGAGCATCTTAATTGTGATGCTATCTATGTAAGCGCTTCTTGTCAAGCAAGTTCATGTAGCTTGAATGTTTATCGAATCCCTTAAAATCCCTAATCTCGCAGTATGAAAGACCGCAGCAGCGACATGTACAGAAAGTCGGAGGTAGTATAATATACAATGTGATAATCAAAGATTTACAATGATATGTAAGTAGTCAGTTATTACAATCTCTATTCTCGTACTTTCAGCCTTCTATTTTTATGTCCAACTTTGTGTACTTTGTCATACTTACTGGATGACTCATTCTGAGGTGTGGTTAAGGTATTTGTTATCTTTGATAACTGACTGTTCATAGCCAGAATTAGAATCCAGGTCAAGAAACTACAGTTTGCTTACAGTTATAGATGCTATACGCAACCCACCTAGCAGACTTCCTACGTTTTCGTCGCAGCATCCAAGGCTTTAAACAAAGAAGAATAGCGAAACTTCATATCACAGTAACTCGGGCTAAGAACAATAAGCATCACCCTCCCAATAACACTCCGCCACCACATGTTGCCTACAGCTCTATAGCTTCCTCCATCAACTCCAAGATCTCCGTAATTTCCTTCTCATTCCTCGTCCACCAGGACAAGGTAAGGTCCGATTCCTCGGTTTCAGTAGAGCCCAATTCCTCAATATCTGTAGATTCGCTTAGATACTCCCTCGCCTCTTCCAGGTCTCTCCGATAAGTCTCAATATCAAGACTGTCAGCACATAGCAGTCGCGCCTTAGGGCTCATCTTTTTCAGCAAAGGAAGTATAACCCCATAGTTTGGTGATCCACTCTGGGCCAATTCCAGATACCTCTGGACCTGAGGAATAGGTTCTGGGTTCCCTAGATCAACTCGAGCCGCCATGCACCGCAGAAGATCAGGCCGATGCGGGTCATGAAGGGGATATACCTTAAGGGCACCTTCCAGTAGGTCCACATTGAGCCGAGCACCTTTACGAAGTAAATGTACTGCAGTTTTCGAGCAATTCCTCCGGACAGCCATGTTGAAAGCACTATCAAGATGTCTTCGTTGCTCTGGCTGATGGCGAAGAATAATATCAATAACGATTGGTTTCAGCCAGCAAGTAGCAAAATGTAAAGCCGCCGGTTCATCAAATGTATCCCAGATTATTCGTTGAGCATCAAGACTTAGAATCTTTTCCAGTGGCGTGGAAAAATCCACGCCGTTTTTGGCAGCAAGCCAGAGTTGTTTGGCCGCGGATTCCATTTCACATAATTTCTCCAGAACCTTCCCACTCGTAAAGCTCGCACCATACTTCATGAATAATGAAATCCACTCCTCTGCTAGCTTCTTATCCGAAAAATCACCGACCCAATCTATCATCCGCCGTTTGGTGTCACTATTCTCATAAGGGATGAGGGTGACATCGGCACCCCTCTTAAGCAACAGCTTGAACATTTTGATCCTCATGCTGATCACAACAGCTGCCAGTAGCCGGGGCTTTCGGTTTCTATGTTCTTCCCCGAGATCAACTTCTCTTACTGTATTGCGAACGGTTCCCAGTTGCCGTCGATAAACATGTTAGGGTCAAGTCCTGCATCCAGATACTTTTCAAACGTGATCATGTCGTTCTTCAAAATCGTTGCTCGTAGGTGACTCATTGCTCCAAGTCGTTGATTGCGAGGGTCGATTTGGCAATCCCCTTCTAAGCATGGAAGGGACCCAAGATGCGGTTCTTGGTGGCAATTCAGGTGATACTCCCGGGTTTGTAGCGCATATTTCTTTAATCGTGTATTGTACTCTCCCTGGAGCTTTTTGTTGAGACCCGTGCATGTCTTTTTCAATTTGAAATAGGACAGATGATCAAGATACCGAGTACACCAGAAAAGTAACTCGTTCGGCAGCACTCTGCTCAGGTAATCTTTCCCGACTTCCGGCATCGTGATAGAAGGCTGGGGGATGAGGTGGAATCTTGAACGAGAAGATTGAGGTTCGATTGATGAGGTGGTGAATGGACGGGTTGAGAGCTTGTAGTGGTTTTGGGTCTACAAGGATTGCTTTCGATTGATCGTATATCATAGTTTACTAACTTTAGTGCCTGCAATTTGATTCTTTGTTATACTTGGGAAGGTGCGGGGTTGTCGTAATCATCGTAATACGTGGTACTACAGCTGTAGGATACATCTCTCGAAATGGAACAAAGAACGATGACTCTCCGCCACTGATAAGTAGCACCTAAACACTGAGTACAACAAAGAATGTCAATACAACTTTGATGGTGGTGATTATTCAAAGCAACAGCCGATGCAACCTCATTGGGTACATCAGCTTTGTTCCGATTAATATCGCGTGAGTCACAAATATGCTTCCTCAATAAGGGGAACATCCTAGAACAATATCAAAGATCTTGGAACTCCGATAATCCCATATCTTGTACAGCCTGAAGCCTTCGTTAGCAGACAATTACCATGGATGATGATCTGAAACATGCTTGTTGTATTGCCTGAGGCAGTAATTGTGGTAGCCTGAGGCCTTCATTACCCCGCGGGGCTTATCTTATCGGCCGGAAGCGAGACGGGCCGATGGATGAGTCAGCCTGTGGGACGGGATCACGCCATAGTGGAGTTTGGGTTTAATTGAGTTGCCGGGGACTCGAAAAACTTTGGGGAACTTGACTTTTGGCTCTTTCTCTTACTCCGGAACTAATTCACATCTCCTTAATTAATTAACTTTCAACATGTTGGCAGCACGTACTGCTGGGCGCTCGATTGCCGCAGCCCAAAGGGGCTTTGCAACCGCCGCCCCCGTGAGTTCTGTGGCGCGGAGTCATAAGGTCGTCGTGGTCGGCGGAGGTACGGCCGGTCTGGCCATCAGCCATCAACTGCTCCGCTCCGGCAACTTCTCTCCGAATGACATCGCCGTCGTCGACCCCTCCATGTGGCATCACTACCAACCGGGCTGGACCCTGGTCGGCGGTGGCCTCAAGACCAAGGAGGATCTGCGCCGCCCGTTGCACGGCTTGATCGACCCGAAGCTCAAATTCTACAACCAGAGCGTCGGCACCTTCGCCCCCGAGAACAACTCTCTCACCCTGGGCAATGGCGATCAGGTCAACTACGAGCAGCTCGTGGTCGCGCCCGGCATCAACATCAACTACGGCAGCGTGAAAGGATTGCCCGAGGCACTCGCCAACCCGGATTCGCTCGTCTCATCCATCTATGGCTATGATACCTGCGACAAGGTCTTCTCCACCATTGAAAAACTCAAGTCCGGTAACGCCATCTTCACTCAACCCGCTGGGGTGATCAAGTGTGCGGGTGCCCCCCAGAAGATCTTGTGGCTGGCCCTGGATTACTGGAAGCGGGCCGGTCTGTACAACCCCAGCAACCCCTCCAGCTCCGCCATCAAGATCGGTTTCGCCACCGGTCTTCCCTCCATGTTCGCCGTGCCCAAGTACAGCGCTGCCCTTGAGGGTCTGCGTCAGGAGAGGGGCGTGGAAGGTCTCTTCCAGCACGACCTTGTCTCCATCGAGGGCAACAAGGCCACCTTTGCCCGGCCGGACGGACAGGAGCAGGTGACGAGACAGTTCGATCTGCTGCATGTCGTTCCCAAGATGGGACCTCATGCCTTTGTGAAGAACAGCGCTTTGGCCAACGAGGCTGGCTATGTGGATGTGGACGCCGGCACCACCCGTCACACCAAGTATGCCAATGTTTGGTCCGCAGGTGATGCTTCCAGCCTTCCCACCTCCAAGACCGCGGCAGCCATCACCTCGGAGGCTCCTGTTCTCGTCCACAACCTGCTGAGTACCATGGAGGGCAAGACTGCCGATGCGATCTACGACGGTTACGCCTCATGCCCGCTGGTGACCGAGTACGGCAAGGTCCTTCTCGCTGAGTTCAAGTACGGCGGAGAGCCCAAGGAGACTTTCGGAAACTGGTTCGGCATTGATCAGAGCGTCCCTCGTCGGGCATTCTACCACCTGAAGAAGGATTTCTTCCCTTGGGTGTACTACCAATCCCTGGTGAAAGGTACCTGGGCGGGACCTAAGGGTTGGACAAACTAAGATGAGGCTGTGACTTTCATGTACAATACCATTTACGGCGCAATCGATGTTCACTTCCATATACCTAGTACCAGCTGGCGTTTGATCCGTTTCTTCTGTGTTTCTATTCCTTCGCCTGCGGTTTGCCTTGAGGTCGGCAAGGTGCAATGATTTCTGTTGGCTTCTGGGGCATAATCACTTGGTAGGTAGAGAAGTATCAGGTGCTATACTACCCACCGGTACCCTTGGCGAGAGGATGACATCAATCGCTCGACCGGAGTGATGCACAATGATGTCACGTGATGGTTCTCGTTGATAACTTGCTGCCTCAGGCGTCAAACCGCATCACAGCCAATCGTCCAGGAGCAGGCCAGATAGTGGAACAACGCATCATGACTCTGCTCACTGGCATAACATCCACTGTGTGATACCTATGGTCGTTGCTGGTCTCGTCGAACATATGCCTCATGTTCGAATGATGCGCTGTTTCTCTCGGACCTCCCATTTTCCAGTCATAGAAAAGATTCAGCTAGACAATGAGTAGATTTTGGGTACGAACGATCCTCGGGGTAAATCTTGAAGCCTCATCTCCCCCTTTCCCTATTTTATCTCGGGGTATCGTATTATTTTCAGCAGGGTGATAGATGGGGTTCAGACTATGCTGCCGATAAGAACCTCTTCTTCTATCATTGATAGCCACACACTGGTACAGTATTTCTCATCATCCAAGTACGCAAATCAATCATGATCTTTGATGCTCAGTCTCTGCTCCGAAACACAGTCAGGCCCCGGTCATGTTAAGTATGATTGCACCCTTTGCCCACAGTATTCAATGGTTCTTTTGGAAGAAAGACACATCTCTTGAAGATTGCTTTTGCAATAAAGTATTCGTCCGTATGGGTATTGATTGATTTGTGTTATCCCGAATCTCATTCTGATTTCATGCGGCTTCCAAGATAATTGTAGTATCATTCTTCCTGTCGATACATTCATAATATCTTGAGTCTTTTCCCCTCTTTTTATTCTCTGTATGCCCTGTTTTTATGTCATGTCATTGTTCACGCTCTTCCTCAGCTAGGCATGCCCATGTCTCGTAAAGGGATGAGTTGAGTAACACCAATTTCACTATATTGAAATAACCGGCGGATATCCGAGATCATTGATAGTAACCCGGGATATAAGAGAAAAGCTGATGGAAACGTTCAGGAATAGTGAATCAAGAACTGAATATAAGTGGTCGCAGTTACTCAGGGGTGGAAGGCGATAGAGAAAGAGGGAGAGAGAGACCTAAAGAGGGAGAGAGGAGAAGCGGCAGACAGAAATTTCTGCTCGGGGTGACTAACAACAACTTGGGGGTGAATAATCTCAATGGGACTAGGCGCTTCTCCTTATTTCCTTCTTCGGGGCGTTTCTATTTTTGGCCTGTGTTACTGTTTCCATGGCTTGAATTGTCAGTTGAGTTGAATGGCACTATTTGACTCATGGTGGGGGTTCTGCTTTGCTACAACGCTTACATGACGGCCGCGAGGGATGCTTGATGTTTAGAGTGGCTCTCTGACCACCTAGGAGATCCTAGACAGTCAAGAAAGATCATCCTGAGCAGAGGGATATGACTAGTTTATAGCCAAATTCCACCCGTGGGTCTTTCTACGGGCTGGAGGTCGATGTAGGGCTGATCCGAAGGGAGGAGACATGAAAATTCAATCTCTTCCCGTGGTTACCTCACAAACAGACCTATGAATGGCCTATAAGATCCGGTACCGAACTTAGTCTGATCTGAGGCTATCGCTTTTTAGGTTTCAATTCTATGTTATAGAGTTTGTGTGATGAATGACCGGAACCAGCTGGTCTCGAATGGGGGACTCGCTACTTCACGGGAGACATTGCGGACAAACTATCGAACCGAAACCGCAGATATTATCACAGCCATAAATACTCACACATGAAGCTGTGTGGAGTAGGGAAAAAGAAAAGACCACGTAACCAAGGGATCAGCTGACCTGCCTGCCCGCCTACGGAGAAACGGGAGGGAGGAAATTCTCCACCGTGAATAATGAAACCCATCCCTTAGGTTTGGAAATTAGCCAACACCGTGTCCTTTTCTCTATCCCCTTTTACCGAAAGCATTTCCCTTAGTCTTATGTTGGCTATATACTAAGAACATTCCCGTCTGTCGTCTTAACGCCGGCTATGATTCGATTACGAGTCAGTCAAGAGCCCTTGATCCCAACGCCAGATAAGTGGCGGGACTTGAGACATGGCCAGAATGTTGCCACTGCTTGCAGCAGATTGCAAGCACAGGGTGGAAGCCCGGGGTGGATTCAATGTCTCTGTCCTGAGCCACTGAAAAAGCCCAGCCTCATGGGCGGATATACGCCCATAATGGCGCACGTCACGAATAACAATCCGAAAGTGCCCTAGTACGATTACTAGGTGCTATCTACAGCATACATAGCGCCAAGGACTCCTTTGGTTTGTAGTCAATCGAGCCACTGCGACCAGTACCCTTAGTAAGCGATGGATGTCCTTGTCATGATTCCGCTGGAAGGAGCCAGTTGGCCAGATGCAGCGCACCCAGCATCCTGCCTGCATCATGACATCCCAATCCCATTTCGAGATCTTTAATCTCGCTCATTCTGCTAGGGATTCGCAGCCGACTTTCCCTGATTTCCTCTGTTTACCGATTGAACTCCGCCCGAACCTGATCAGGGTGCACCTCAGCACGAGAACAGAAGGTTCTAGCATACAAGAAGCGAGGACGATAAAAGAGCGGTATTGTGCCACGGTCAATGGACACCAGGTCTTAAGCAAACTGTGGCAAGTCAACCGGGAAGCGAGAAAGGTGGCCTTGAGATTCTATCGAATCCATCTGCCGTGCATGCTGAGATGGGGAGTACCCCATGACAACGCAACCGTTTGAATTGAATGGATTTTGGCTGGAATTGGCTTTAGCGCAGATTTAACGGCAGCCTATTTACGTATGAAGGAGCGAAAGTGTGTAGTATTCTCTGAATTTAGCTCACTCGTATATACAACCATCCTCTCCACTAGCCCAATGTGTGTAGCCTCCCGATCCAGCATACATAAGGAAAGCAAGAAAAGTAAACCAAAGCAACGCCATTATATACAAAATGAGCTCGTCTTAGCTTCGCCTGTCGGCTACTAGACTCCAGTACCACGATGAGGTGCGAGCTCGTCACTGGAGGTCCGTGGCAGCCACCGCTTAGCCAACCGGACACCCGCTCTTCGCTGGGATTTGAACCCTGCACAAGGCATGGGATTTTTCTGTCTATCAACTCTCGTCTTGCTTCAACCTTTCCTTGTCAGTTTCGGTAGTGCTCCACGATGACTGACTCGAGGTTGGACGCAGACCTGCTGTCGCGCTGTACTGGGATGCCGTGGCCGTATGTCGTATGGGGAGGATGAGAAGTGAAGAACGACCACGGTTTGTTGGTGAGGGGAAAGGGGAAACGGGGGAACGGGGGAAAGGAGGAAAGGGGAGGCAAAGGTGGGAAGCTGAGGTATGGTGGTACCGTCGGGGATGCGGCAGGGGGGGAGGAATGGCAGTCAACGCATCTAGAGCAGGTTAGATTGTCCATAGACAGGTGGATAAGAATAAGCAGAAAGGGGATATAAGTAGAAGGATAAGAATAAGCAGGAGAGTAAGAATAAGCGAGAGAGTAAGAATGAGCAGGAGAGTAAGGATGAGCAGGGAGGTAAGAATGAAACGATAAGAATATGAAGAGGGCTAATAAGAATAGGAGTGACAATGTGAGGAGGAGGAGGAGGAAGTGTCAGACTGCTGAGGAGGAAAAAGAAGAGGCAGAAGAGAAAGAGAAGAGAAGGGAGTATAAGAGGAGGGCGAGCGGGCAGGTGAGTCACCCTGGTAAGAATCTCGACAGGCTGGGTGATGCTTTCCTGACGGCATCCCAGGGCCAAGATGGTCTGCCCTTGATCGCACTGCCCCCTCCCTTGATCGGTTCCCGGCTGCCTCAGGGTTACTTTCTTCAACCCTGCGGATTCTACTTCCAACAATGTCCTCGGGAAATGGCCATCTCTATATCTGCCACCACCGTGGAACACACAATCTCGAGATCCTAGGACCCTTCCGCACAGAGACCCCCCGGTACATGATGCTAATCTTCTTGGACAGTCATGCACCCGCAGAGGCTGACATGATATCTTCAGGCCAGACATGTGCAGTACCCGCAACCCTCTGGGCTGACCAAGTTCCGAATGGAAGCTGTCCATCGAGACAAGTAGTCAGTACATTTTCAACTCTCTAACCAGAATCCGGCTAGCAGGTCCGACTTTGAGATAGATTGTCTTATTCATAACCTGATTGCCTGCTTGAGCCAATCCCGGCCCCTCGAATCTACCAAATGCCCTTGGTCCATGACGGAAGGATAAACGAAGATGTGGAGATGAAGGAGGCAGACGACCTTTGATGAGGGTGGCATGTACAGTGTAGATACGATCAATTGCATCCAGAGGAAAAAGGTACGACATAGTGCTACCAGCGACGGTGAAGATGAGAATAATTCGGAGTTCTGGGCAATCCTTTCTAATTGGGAATGCAATGAAGTCTGAAGTAAGATGTGAATCAGTTTCTTATCTATCTCGGGTTCCCATACTCGGGGTCCCTTCATGCATCCTGTAAGATATGGCTTTGTTACCTGCGGAGTTGAAGGGGCTTAAGTAGATTACTATTGCCTTTATATGCCTTTGACTGACATCATGTAGAGTGCCCGCTATCCTGAATTATGTTCAGCTTTAGCTACTGTCAGAGTTACAGCTATGGCTACACTCCTCGAGTAGAATCTTCACTGCTTGAGTGGATGGCTGAGGCCTGACTCTCTGTCTGAGGCTAAATATTGTTGCTTGAGGGCTTATTCTCTGTGCCTCAGGCTACGGTCTAGTTGAGAGAGGCAAGGAAGGATCCCAAAATCAAGATGGAGGAAATGATCAGGACTCTTTTTTATTGATTTACTCCGTTTACTATCCCTCTGATCCTGACCGCGTTACACAAGGTGACTTGCTATCGGGCCTGACCCCTATTATATCAACATGAACTCGACCTATATTAACTTGCCTTGATGCTAAAGTTCTCTGACAGTAGCACCCTCAGCGCCATCTGGAGATTGAGTTGTTTATCTCGTTTCGTGGGAAACTCTCTTCCTGCTGATTATGGCTGTATCAGTGACATTCCTCGAGTATGCCCTACCTACCCCCTCACTCTCACTGGCAATGGTTCTATGAAGAATGACCTGGGGTATTAGTCTTCTGGCACAAATATGGCTACAATCAGTCTGGGGGTGCTGGACAACATCTCTGATGTCGCGACCGGTCCATCTTCATACCAACAACAGCAGAACGTTCTGCTACAGGGGACTGTGTGAGAGCACAACCGCTGACCGAGTTTACAGAGCCAGAGCCTTTGGTGCCTTTACACAATATGAGTTAATCTGGGAGCGACACAACCTGACCAAACAGTGGTCATGACGGATGGAGTTGAGTTGCGCCCTGCACTGGTTGCCCGCTAGAGGATAATTTGCCTGGGTGTAAGAACCCTGATAAAGGCTTAGGAACGTCCCAAACCTTCGTCAAATCTTATGAGTATCTCCTCATCGAAAGCAAAAACCGTGGGATCCCGAGGCAATTCCGGGAAAGAACCGCTTGATTGGGTCGGCTGTGCCTACCGCCCGGTTCTGCCGCCCCACTTCCCGCACCCCAACAAAAATCCTGAAGTGGCAGGTTCCCGAGTCCACCTCACGATCCAGAGTCATCCGATAGGTAGTAGCACTGCGTATTCCTGGCTCTAGTATCTACCGAGTGTGAGCATCTCAACAATCAGTTTTTCCGACCAGTCGATCGACGTAGGGACAGATGTGGGGATGTGTAGGTGGTCTGGCGGCGTAGAGGGATGGATGGAGATTACGCGGCCGTCAGCGGGAACGAAGCCTCAAGGGAAAAATCTGTCATGGCACCAGGCGATCCTCGGATGGTTTGGCGTGCCTGTGAACGCACAGTAGATACGAATATAGAGTTCAGATTTTCAGCAGCAGATACAGGCCCATGACATTTGCGTCTCAAGGCGCACCGACTAGATGTGCGGGAGCGATCTTCAAAGAGTTGGTACTACTGTGCTGCGTAGACAGGATCCATCAACCACCAATGACAGGAATACAACTACAAGGGTTACAAAGAACATTAGGGAAGGAAAAAGGTCATCGGAAACGAAAATGGGAAGTATCATGCAACTATCTAACATCGAGCAAACTCCATACTCAAGCACACCAACATCAAAGTGTAACAAGAGGGGACACCTTTCAGACCTCCTCGACACCCACCAAGCCCGACCGACCGAAGTCAAGACATCATGGCAAGGTAAAGATCATCACCACTCCCTGGACCAGTGTACCGGCACCCGAAACAAGTCCATCCGAAGATCGATCGTAACAGGGCGCGCAAATGCAAGGTCGAGTCGGAAGTAAAACGGCTTCACTTTAGGGCATCGAGGACATGGAAGTCATCAGCAAGGGTGGAGATTCTGTGGCTCTTTAGAAGAGCTCAGAGGTGGGACGTCTACTCTAAAGTGATTCTTTGAACTGTAGGCGAGAAGGTTAGCAGGCGTTCTTCTATGACATGGGCGGAATGCCAATGTATGGGGGAGGGATCACTCACGTAGAGTCGCTTAATTTTTTCAAAGAGTTGGGGGGGGAACGCCCTCTTTATACGATTCGGAGTGGGTCGCCACCCGCGCTAGTCGTAAGCGAAGGTTTTCTGTCACGTGTTGTGTATTCACTGTGGCCTCAGGCATCCGTCACCGAGACCTGCCACGGTGACCAGCCAGAGTTCATTAGATCAATCACTTCTCTATATGGTAAAGTTATCGGTGTTGAAGTAGTTAAAAACATATTCCTTAACACTGAGATTGTTGTTAACAACCTACGATAACCACGCGCTATTCTAACTCTGAGATATACTTACCACCGCGTGTCTATCCTATGGACTTTACCCCCCATTTGAACAGCATTTCCGCGATATACTCATAACTGTTCCAGAATAATAGGGATGTAGCTTCTTTAGTCTGCACATTAGGATTAACTTCTTTCTCTAACAGCAACTCTATCACTAGTAACCATCCAGTCCGAACGGCTTCGGTCAATAATATCCTACCGTCAAGATTTCTGGGATCAACATTTGCCCCTTGTCGGAGAAGCAGTTCGACTAGTGGCAAACTCCGACGTGCAGCTGCGATGTGTAAGAGCGTGTTGCCTTCAGCATTCTGCGTGTTGGGATTAGCCCCTTTCCGGAGCAACAGTTCCAGAATTGTATACGAGCCCGTTCTACAGACCTGCACAAGAGAGCTTAGAGCACACAAGCTCACAGACTCGATATTCGCACCCAGATCCAACAATAGTTGCACGCATTCAGGGGTGCTATGCTTGGCAGCAACTACCAGCAGGATTCGGGAATCCTGCGGGCTGGTGACTTCGATGTCCGCTCCCTTGTCCATTACCCGGATCACGTCGAGAGAACCTTCTTCAGCAGCCACGCTGTAAGACCGCGGGAATCCGTATCCATAAGCTCAGCACCGGCCTCGAGCAGTAGCGGGATTAGGGATACCTCATCGTGTTTCGCTGCGACGATCAACGGGGTCCCGTCATCGAATTCCGGGAGACGGTCATGACAGGTGGCGCCATGTTCGAACATAAGCTTCACAACCGCTTCAAAGCCATACGAAACAGTGAAAAAAGGTATATCTCAGACACTCATATCGCGGTAATTATGTCTGACCGTATATAACAACGTCTCATATTTGAACCCTTCATCATTGATTACATCGTGGTCGACCTGATTTATCAGCACTTGCATGATATGCTATCTGTACACGACGGCCGATACACCGTGGATTGGGCATAGGATATAATCAGCTAGCATATGTAAAGCATACACCACGAGTTCGCAATACATCTCGTCATATAATCTGAACCGATTGTAACATGCCAGCCCTTCATAGTCAGAATTAGTCTGCAATAAGTCAGCATTTCCAGCTGAGTATAGCCTATAACAGATATGACGGAGACGTAATACATCATCCACATTGTAAAGTTACTGATATATCAGCAGAACAATCTTTATAAGAAGATCCATGAGCCCCGTCATCTCCAATACTCGAGCTTGTATTGGAGAATGTCAGGGAAGGGGCGGGATGAAAAACAGTTTTGATAATACTAGAACTTACATGGTCTTTCCAAGCTCCTTACAAGTTTCCTTATAGTTGGGTTAGCAACCAGCCATACCAAGACTATAATATCCATCGGGCATCTCATCCTTTCCGGCCAATAGTTGCGAGGGTCCAGACATGGTGTTTACAGATGATCTTGAAAGCGTCTCTTCTATTGTTGCTCTAGAAGATAACCCATGAGAGGGAAGCCTTGGAAAGCGCCTGGTCTCATAGAACCGCCATTATAATCGAGAGGCGCTACAGTCTGAGGAAGCGTGCATTGCAGTACTTACCCACGAGGCTTTAATTACATACCTTTTAGGTTGCCTCAGGTTGCTTCATGTAGTACGTACGGAGTAACTGCTGTAACGTACAAGATCCAAAGGCCTCTGTAGAGGCCTCAGGCATGCACACTATAGCGGTGAGGATTCTGCATGTCATGAAAGCACGCCTTACCTCATACAATAAGCGGCCACTTCCGGTGTCAACTCCCTCCCACGAAGCGTTGTAGACCTTCTAGCAGGAGTCCACAACCACCACAGTTGAGCGTCTTGTCGTGCTTACATCTGGAATTCCCTGCCGAATGGCTGGTTCTACCAGCCTCTTCACCAATGAGAAAGCGATTCAACCGCCCCCGAACAGCTGAAGAGCCACGATCTCCACCAAAGAAGATAAGGAATTGAGAAATATGGCGGAGGAGCTGGATGAATAGAAGCATCAAACTCGGTACTTGGGTAGAGAATAACTGAGGGGTAATCACGATGCCGTGACTTCAGCCGTCTCTCGAGGCCCCGAATCGCAGGTGTCACGACCCTTCATACAGGGGCCGATGCGAATCACCATGATACCCTCGCAAAACGCCTCGCCAGCTATCCTACACTTCCAGCGCATCCTCCGAACTGACCTCCCATGAACCCACCCTGATGAGCCCAGCATTGATCGCCCTCTGTAGCGCCTGCTGTGACGGACTCCTACCACCCAGAACGACCTCGACTGCTCCTGGAACAGAACGATGAGTATAACAGACCAGCATTGCGGACTGCCTCGCAATCTGCGTTTAGACGGGATGATAAACACGACGGACCTCCGCATTCTATTGCGAACGGCGGTTCATGCCCTTAGTTGGCTCCGCCCCATGCCCATTGGTGACCTGCCATTGGACACCGCATATCCCCAAGGTCCACCTTGCATGTATGTATAACCCTAACCGGGCACCCCAACGCATCCGCATACCAATGTCCACAGACCCAGTAGACAGACACAGACGCCTGTATGACAACTCAGGCACGCCTACACACTCCTGGAATGACCTTGAGAGCGATAACATCAACCTAGATTGTATATCCAGACGGCTGCCAAAGCCTCACGTTACGCGGCGGATCATGTGATAATAGGTATCACAAGATGCCAGACTCCCACGAGTAAAGAGAGTATAATGCAGTGGTTAAAAGACGAGAGAGAAAGGATAACAATAGCTAAAGACGATATTATACCGGGCCGATCAGTCATATATAAGCGGATAGTAGCATATAAAAACATCTAAATCCTTTAGAACTGGCCAAAAAAATGAGAATAACCAAAATCTGCTCTAATCAAGCTTATAGCAGCTCTCTCTCTATTATCCACGTTTTCGCTACTGTTCACTACAGCAGTAAGCTTTATCTATTATCGTAATAGCCCTTGAAACACAAGTTCTGTGGTTGGCGATGAGATTCCCAGAAAGATGCTGTTGAAATAAGGTTAGTGCCAAGCTTCAATAAAACCCATATGGAAAATCTACCAAGATCCATGTCGGGACCCGTTATCCTGTGTTCCTCAACCTTATTTCAACCGCATACCATAATATCAATAATACATCTATCCTTCCTCGGAGCCCATCAGAAGCCCGGAATTGCCAAATATTTACATAAAGACTCAAACAGACATACGTGCCCTGATCAGAAACATATGTATTTTAAGTTTCAGCTCTTTAAATTCTAACTAGTGCACTTTTCCTGCTCCTAGAGTAAGCAGTTGTCACGGTGCCTGCCTGAATCCTGCCTGACCCTGTGTGGTTGCCTGATCCCGTTCCCGAACAACGTCCTTATATAGCGTGCGCAGTGTAAAGCCATTGGCTTTACATCCTAGTCCTTTTGCTAATAGTGCAGCGGGATGTACCTGGAATGCGCATCCAGTATGCTCCGTGACAATAAGCATCAGATAGCATTGAGCTGGACTGCCATCGCAAAAATAATTAACTAGATTGGATATGAGAGATATATGCTTGTCTTGAAGATAATTTGCGAAGCGCGCTAGCACTGAGCAATACTAGGTTCAGTCCTGCTAGGGAAGTTTCCAGCTTCAAGGCTTCTTATTAATTTAACAAGTTATACAATTTCAGCTTTCTGATTAGTTATTCTATTTATTTATAACATGACTTAAACTATATTGCCAGTACTCACCGCTTCAGCTTAATAAAGGTCTCAGAGGGGGTCTTGGGGGGGGGGGGGGTCTCTCAGTCTATATTCAGATAACAGAACCTTTTAGTAGTACTTGATAAAGTTCTTTAGGAGTATTTAACTGAGTTTTTTAGTAGCGCTCGACAGAGCTTTTTAGTAGTACTTAATGAAGGTTTTTAGTAGCCCTTTAAATGTGCTTGACAAAGCTCTTTAGGAGTATTTAACAGAGTTCTTTAGTAGTATTTAATAGAGCCCTTTAGAAGCACTTAACAGAGCTCTTTAGTAGCGCTTGATGGAGCCCTTTAAATACGGTCAAAGTGCGTTGCATGTTGCTTACTAAGGCGCTTTGCAATGCCTTGGGCTGGGGGCTTCCCGCAGGCCAGGACCTAGTAGAATTACTGAATAGCTTCTTATGCAGGAGACTGGAGGGTTGTAAGATGAGGGAGTGTAGTGATATATACAGTAAGAGAATACGTGTTCATATACCAGTATATGAAGATATGAAGTGGGTTGCCTGAAGTAAAGGCTATTGTGAAGTACCGTTACTAACTGATGGAGAATGGAGTGGTGGTTCCATTGAGGCTTGGTAGATTGTTATCTAGAGGGAGAGTCGGAGAGAAGCCGCAGCCAGTCGGCGGGTAATCACGTGACCCCGCCAAGCGTGGGATTATGCAGTCGGGACAAATCGGCCCGAGCGTGGTTAGTCATTGTTGTGTATGTGTAGTTATTCATAGAACCAGTACTGTGTAGAGTCGACAACTTACTCCCCCTCCTCCTCCTCCTACTCCAAAACCTCGACGAATTCCAACTAGTCCAGCTTGCGTGCCAGCTCGATAACTGTCCGTCCTGAAGTATAGAAGGCGAACCGCTTCCACGTTGCCGAGCTCAGCGGCCGTGTGCAGCATAAAGCACAGCAACGAAAGGGTAGGCCTTGACTGAGCTTCCTGAGTCAGGGAACTCTCAGAATTGATCGATATCATCGCTGAAGCATGAAGCCTTCGCTCTCTCGAGTTCTGCACGGGGAATTCGGGTGGGAATCTCGGAGACTTCGGCGGGATGATTTCATACTATAGCCATGCTGCTCCTTCTATTGCACTATTCAACGCAACAACTCTGGAAGTCTTGGAAAAGCTCGTGATATGGTCAAAATATCTCAATATGAATACTTACTGATGGTCTATACTAGATAGAGACCTTTTGAGTGCGTCGCCGATGGTATCATACCCTTGTGTGATTTCTTTGTCCCTGGCTCTTTAAATCAATGGTTGACAAAGGCACGCAGACGGAGGATGAAGAAGAGGGAGAGGGACTACGAGTAGAAAGTGAAGAAGATACATGTTCAGATAGAAATAAGGAAGATGATGAAGAGGAGAGGAGAGGACACTAGGAAATAAGTCCGAGCAGAAGATAGGGTATGCACGCATATCAAGATAGGAACACGCAGGTTGGAACCAGGGATGAAAAGCAGAGAGGAAGAATGACTCGCAAGCAACTAGCTGACCGGTTGTAGATCACTGTGAAAGTTGAGTTGTTGTGTTTTTGCTGTGTCATCGAGTTCTTCCTATGCGCGTAGCCTTCTCGTTGCTTCACTGCATGATTCGGGTTTCATGGGATTCGACAGGCGTTCTGGCTTTTATTCTTGCTTCCACTGGAAGCGCCTACATAGCTAGCAAGACACTTAGCGGGCTCCAATAAGCTAATAGATATGACTTGATTTGACTTGACAGTTCACGTGGCATGAATCAGCAGAGCCACTGATGCCGAGGGGCTTGAAAATCCCATAAACTGTGTTCAGTTTCGTCAACATCTCCTCCCATTCACCTTGTGCGGTGCTTAAAACCGTCACAGCTCCCCCGGCCCCAATTCGCCATGTCTGTCTGTCGCCGTGGTCCGGGGAAGAGCAGAACGCAGAGCGGATTAGGACTGAAAAGCTGCCACCTCCGCCGAGGTCCAGGAAGCCCATGACGCCGGAGTAGACTCCGCGTTTGCGGCTCTCGATAGACGAGAGATGCATGCAGGAGCGTTCCTTCGGGGCACCGGTCATGGAACCAGGTGGCAGGCATCGCTGTAACGCCGTCAGTCCGTATGCTGACATGTCAGCCGAGCGCAGTTGTGGCATGTCTCGCGCAGCAAACCCCGGTTGGGCCGAGTGAACTTCGCCTTTGATATGTGTGATCATCGAATAAACACGTCCACTGTCCTCGACCTCGAGGAGCTTTTCAACGTGAACACTACGAGAACCACAGATCCCATAAAGATCATGCCGGATGAGGTCAGCAATCATGAGGTTTTCTGCGACTTCCTTGCTGGAGCCGAGGATTTCTCTGGCTTTCGCGAGTGTCATGCCGTCGGATTTCCTCACCGTGCCTTTCATTGGTTTCATCTCCAGTGTAGATTGACGGTCCCAGTTAAGAAAACATTCGGGGCTGCTGCTAACGATCTTGACATTTCCGAGTTTTGCAAAAGCACTGAATGCGGCAGGATTGTACTTTTGGAGGCGTTTGTACAGTATCCAAGGAAGGCGAATGCCATCAGATTCATTCTCTGGCGAGGGCAACGTTATTGTTGTTTCGCAGGTCAGACATAGTTCGTACGATTCGCCCGCGTGCATTTCAGCGGTACAAGCCGCAAACTGTTTGTTATAGCTTGCCTCGTCCGGGAATTGTACCACACTTTGACTGAGTACGGAATCTAGTAGCTTAGCATCAGATGTGAGATTGTCGGCCTTCGGCATAGCGTGAGATGATGAGTCTTGTAGAAGCTGCAACGTTTCATCAAGCCACCCGTTATGCAAGTTGTCGGCCTCCAATGTGGATTGTATAGTGACATGGCCTGTCTCATGGTCAAGGATAACGCTTCGTTCGGTCCAGAGTAAACTGGCATCCGCTGGATCTTCTGAAGAGGTGCCGTCACCGGACGAACAACCCCCCGAAAAGTTGTGGGCGTCATTCTTTGGACGAGCGAGACAAGCAAGACCCATCTCGTAGGAGAAGTATCCGAGAAAACCTGCCCAAAAGGGGACGTCCCCACTGCCAGAGTCGACTTTCCTCATATCCATCAGATATCGGAGGACATCCCAGAACCGGTTCACGGACAAGCGCGTCTCGGCCACCGTCTGTGCATGGGGGTAGCCGAGCTTTTCCGTAACAAGCCTTTCATTCTGTGCAAAGTATTCCAACCTCCAACTGGTAGGGCTTGGCACAGATATGATGCTATGCCGTCCATTGGATTTGAATAGGACAACAGGCGAACCGGGGCTATTGAGGGTCTCGCATAACGCTGTAGCATCCGGCATCTTGGTGTGGAAATGTCGGAAGGAAGATTTGTTTGAACTAGATATGGACCAGTTTAACAGGGTGTGGGCGATGTCGGGCAAAGAAGTCATGTCGCTTGGAGCTTGGGTGAGGCTGTTAGTGAGCATTGGAGAAATGCATCGTCTATTGGCTTTATTGTATCGGAGGGCCATTTCCCACCATTTCCTCAGAATCTCACTGCATGCTTCCCGGTCGGACTTGCAAGATTCCGGATGGAATTGGACCCCCCAAAAGGGTCTGCTCTGATGGCGCACGGCCATTGGAAGTCGGATCGAGTCGCCGGAGCTGTGCTGTTCAGTAGATAGCCATGCAAGAAGACTAAGTTCTTGCGCTGCAGGACCGACGAGTCTAATGTTACCATGGTCATCGTGGATTGATTCTAGCTGAGCATATAACGAGTGGTACAGTGTGATCTCTAGATCTTGTATGCGGTCGAAAATGTCGGTCTGGGAGGTTTGCACTCGACGAACTTGACCGTGAAACGGATGTGGGAGCCGACGAATGGGAGCTCCGTGGCGAAGACATAGGCTCTGAAAACCCAGGCAGATTCCGAAGACGGGCAGCATGTCCGTCGAGTCCAGATTCCAGATGTCCTCCATGATGCCAACATCTGCGGGGATCCGCGGATCCCCGGGTCCTGGCCCCAGGACGACAGCCTCGAAACATTGGAGAAAGGCCGCGAGGTTCCCGTTGGGCCATGTGGAGTCAATCTTCAGGACGGTTACCTTGACATCGAGGACCTCCTCGAGCATGGCGACAACATTGTAGGAGAAGGAGTCGTAAGCATCGACATAGAGGACATTCTTCGGCCCCGCCCGTCCGTGGGCCTGAGGCCCCGGCGGTAGTAGCTCGTCATTGCCCAGTAACGGCGCCATGTATTATTAGAAAAGAGGAGAGGAGGAAGAAAGCCAGGGGAGGGGAGGAATTGCCGCCATGTCCCGAATCATGTCCACATTCCACAAGAATACTAATAGATACTAGTAAGTAGTAAGCCTGCTAATCGCCACGAGGACCCCGCATCGATCCGATCCGGTATTCATAATCCATTGATGTTGGAAGAATTTTTTTGCCCTCGGGCCCAAGTTCCTCCGAGCCCCCACACGAATGACTCCGGATTTCTCCGGACTCCATCCCGCGGTGCTTCCCGAATCACGTGGCCAGCGAGTCCCGAACTTCTCCGGAGCATTGCAGCGCGTGTCCCCCACGGACAAAGAACTCCAGCCGAGAGGCTTGATTCTGATTACTCCCTCGTCCAGACACATCCACCCGGCACGAATCCACAACCCCATCGTCATCCCAATGGAACTGCACCATCCCACCCCCCCGGAGCCGTAATCCCTCCGCGCTGCCTCCTCCCCAGGCTGCCGGAATGGCCGGCCCCAGAAGCACTCGCTGCACCCCCGTGTCAGCACTCGCGCCATCCAGATCTCTTACCAGCATCTGAATCATCGCGCCCACAAGACCAAAGTTCGCGTCAATTTGGAAGGGCGGGCTCCCCCCGTACAGATCCAGGCCATTGTCAGCAAAGTTATCTTGAATCGCCAGTGACAGCTCCGAGTACGCTTCGTCTGTGTTGTTCAGAAGCCCCCAGCAAGCGCTACGCCACACCTTGCCCCAGCCCGTATTAGAGTCCTCAACTCCGGTACCCCGGGAGTAGAGCGTTGTTTCGACAGCGTCGGTGATGGTCTTGTTAAACCCGTGGACTGCGGAAATGGCGTGGCCGGGGTACCAGCCATAGAGATTGGACAAATGACGGTGGGTGTCATTCTTGACATCAATATCGAGCTTCCATTCTTGGATTTGACCCCATGAGCCGATGTGGATGCCTGGGTCAAGGGTCGAGAATTGGGAGGAAATGGCAGCTTTGAAGGAGGCGTCGTCATCTCCTGATGCTTCCCAGCCACGAAGGACGTGGTCGAATACTTCCCAGATCAGTTGTTGGTAGTGGGTGCAGCCGAAGGTCTAGGGTGTCAGTCAGTAGTGCTCAGGTGCTTCCAGCTCGGTAGATTCTTACTGTTGGCCCATGCTCGGGGGAATTGCAGGGGTTGACAACCAAGGTGCCATCTCGGAAATATTCATCTTGCACAAGCTGGGATAGCCAGAACTGGGCAGTTCCCTTGAGGATGGGATAGCCTGTCTTGCGATACCAGGAGACGTCTTGAGAATAATCAAAATGATCCCACACATGATGCGACAACCATGCATTTGTAGCCGGATAATCAGCCCATTGGGCGACATTTTTCATCCTATTCCATGTCAGTGCCGAACTTTCCAGTGATATGGGACTCACGCTGTATGTCCAAACGTGTTCATCTCATCGTGCGTTACCCAACCTTCAGATGTCCCATACAACAGCTCCGCTGTCTCAGCCCCCCGAGGCAACCAGGTCTCAGCTATATATGACCAGAGTGGCTCTGTCTGCTCTCCCAGGCCCGTTTGATCCACAGCCCAGTGGTTCATCTGTAGGTTGATATTGGCGTGATAATCACCGCTCCAGGCCGGAGAGTAGGCCTCCGTCCATAGTCCTTGTAGGTTGGGTGGCAACGATCCCGGTCGCGAGGATGCGATAAATAGATAACGGCCAAAGTCAAAAAGCAGGTTCTCAACGTATGGATCTCCTGGCTGAGTATAGGATGAGAGGAGCTCAGTGGTCGGCTGGTCGGCTGAGCCATTAGGATCTGGAAGATTCAATGTGAACTTGCCAAATATATCCTGGAAATCCTGCAGATGAGATGACTTAAGTACTGAGTAGGATTTCTTTGCAGCAGCGGTGGCTGTCTTGAGAACGGTGATGTACGGGTCTTCCCCTTGGAAAGAGAACCCTGCTTCAGTATTTCCATTAGTAGTATTGTAGTTAGTCCCAGCAGTAAACACGAGAAATACTTCCTTTTCTCCCTCAGGCACTTTGACAGTAGAAGAAGAGCAGAAATCGGATGAGTTGTTAGATCCCGGAAGAACGATAGTCACTCTAGCATTGTAGATCATCCCGATTGAAGGATATGTCCGGCCATAGAGACTTATGCTATTCCCATGGCAGCTGACATTCGGGGCAGGAGACGTGAGTTGATTTTCCAGACCAAATGTAATCGCTGGCAGCGAAGAATTCGAACTCAGTCGGTAGGCGCATACATTATCTGGATACGAGCAGAAGGCTTCCCTGATGCCAATTAGCGCCGATCTATCCAATCTGAGGGACTCACCTTTCAATATACTTGTCCCCAGTGCTGAAATGGTCCGAGTAGATCGCCGATTCCAAGTCCAGGCTCCGACGGTATCCGTTGATGTTGCTCAGTCCATCCATGTCAATGGTCAAATTGGCCAGCACCTGATAGGATCCATAGTAGGGAAACTCCCCTAAAAGCGCAGAGACATTGCCGGTGCCATTCTGGAAGATCCATTCTCTGATTCCCGGCAGTGCGTCTGCTTTAGATACGTTTGGATTTCCGCCAGAATATGTCTGTTGCTATCGGTCAGTACTATCATATCTTGCAGAGCTGACTCACGAGGTCTCACGCACTGGACTTTCAAAGGGTCCCCCACGCCACAATGAATCAACATTGAGATTGACAATTTCCTTGTCGTAGGAACCTATGGGCATGGCTGTTGGACAAGTCAGGATCTGATTGGTGAAAAGCCCGATCTTAATGTAGCCTACCCCCCAGTCGTCCATTCCCCAGAGGAAACGCCGTAGTGATGATACTGCTGTAATTACCAGGAGAGTCGGACCATAATGACTTGGCTGCCGCTAAGGGTAAAGCCAGTGTATAAAAGGCTACTGATGGTCTGGAGACAATCATCCTGGATCGCTTGGTTGTTTGGTGTCGGATTCCAAGGCGCGGGAGGTGCATTATATTATATGTATATATTGTCCCGAGGGGGAGGGGAGAATCCCTGATAGCATCCACTCTCCGATTACGACTAAAATGCGCATTACGTTCATTGGAGGACTTATTCGACCAAGAGGGGAAGCCTGTGAATGCATGATTGCACGTGACCCGGGAATATAGGCTAAATGACTGGACTATTAACCGCCGCCTCGTTGGCCTTCTGCCACATCCGAATCCGACGCTCATGACCAGCATTAAACACGTCCATCCACTCTGCTTCGAACGGAGGCAATCTACGCCCCGGCTCGCCTTCCTTCGGCTCTCCTGCCAACTGCCGGAGGGTCTCAAAGTACTCCGGGAAATCGGGATTGATGGTTGTAAACGCCGGACCATCGCCCTTCACAGCAATCCGATCTTGTTCCCATTTCCGCTGTTCCTCCACCGAGGGCAATTGGGCTTTTCCAGCCAGCACTCTCGCGGCGGCCACGGCCTGCCATTCAAAGATTTTGAATGTCAATCCAGCGCCAACTCCTCCCACAAACACCAAAGAGGGATCGTTCTGATGGAAGACATGCAGATACAAGTCCGGTACACGGTTATTTCTCGTCGGAATATCTGGAAGGTATGGCAATGTCCAAGTAAAGCCAGTACCGAGGATGATGTAGTCCACATCTGAAACTGAGGTTCCATCCTCAAAATACACCGTCCGCTCTCCATTCTCACTGGAAATGCGCGCGATCGATGGCTGTCGCTTGATGGAAGGATGTCGGAACGCCCAGTCTCCAAAGTAGGGGTTGTACCGCCCTCGAACCACAGAATAAATGGGCGACTGAGCAGAACCGATCAAACTAACTGCAGTATCTGCAGCAGAGACTGACGCTCCAACTGTTACAACTTTCTAAAGACGGTCAGCGCTGCACAGTTAGCTCGAAAGATGTGGATAAGCCATACCTTGCCATGATAGCGTTCAGGACCACGGTACTGCTTCGTGTGCAGTACATTTTCCGGATATTTTTGAATGAATTCTGCCAGTCCTGGGATAGCTGGCACATAAGGCACTGAGAAGTGGCCTGATGCGACCACAAGTGCATCAAATGTCTCACTCCACCAGTAATCCTGCATGCTGGACTGGCTGGCACGGCGCAGAGTCAACACCCATTTCTCAGTCTGGGGATCCTTGACTGCCCGTTCTACAGTCGTGTTGTACTCTACAAGATCCTGATAGCCATTCCGATTCAATAAATCCTCAACAAACTGCCGGATCACCGTGTGATGACGAAACGGGGTGTCGGGTCCATGCAAGTTAATAGACAGCTCAGAGCGGATTGCTGGGATGGGCTCTTGTGAATACTCCATCGTTGAAGCATCAACATTGGTGTGCAAGTTCGGATAGATATGGGAGTCGGTAAAGCGATGTTGAGTTAAGGCCGGTGTAAACGCGGGCAGATTGGATGGGATGGGAATGGGAACATCTGCCGTTCGGGCAGATAGCTTATCAACATCCAGAGGCACATGTTTTTCATGTTCCCGCGACACCCTAGCCGAATTAATTATCAGAGAGACTGCTTGTGGCAGCAATGCGAACATACCAGCATCCACCGGCTTTCTCCTGTCTCTCAAACACCCGGACTCTATCAAACACTTTCTCCTGCATCAAGGCGTCCACGGCAATGGCACCGGAGGGCCCAGTGCCAATCACTGCAACACTCTTAATAAGGGACATATTGAAGGAGGATTAACGACCGGACAGTCACAGCTCCAGTCGCACGTTCAATCGATCAAGTTGTCCTCAATTAAAAGGTCATCGCTTGATGCCAGCCCTGGCGCCGATGGCGTCAGCACTGCCCATTGAGGGTGGAAATCCTTTTCTTTTCTTCGGATTTTCGACACTCTCGGCCCTGATTGGTCAACCTCCCGACCCCGAGGTGGAGCCATGGCCGTTCCCGCGGGCCTTCTGCCAATCAGCATGGACCTGGGTTGCCGAAGGGCGGCATTCATCCCATTGGACGGCTGCCGTCTGGCCTGAGGCCGACGGTACTACTTCAAGTAGTAGAGTAGTAGTAGTATTAATAGTGGGTTTCTTCTCGGCCGTCTAAGCGCTTCACTTATGCGAAATTCGAAGCCCTGCAGGCCCACGTGGTGCTCCACGGGATCCCTACACACATTGGGGTCCAAGCCGAGGGAATAAGGCTGCACCGTTTGCAGGAGGTTCAAGGACGGACGGCCCAAGCAGTGGGAAGCTGAACGTAAGAAGACGCTGGAGCTGGACAAGGGGCTGCGAAACCCGTACCTACGCGGCCGTGGTCGTGCAGGTACGCATTGGGCTCGCGCAGTCTCTACATAAAATGGGAGGCGCTGCAGCCACACGTTCTGATTCACTGCCTCCCATAACGCCAGCACGATGCCATAGCCCTCAACAGATACATATCCACGTGAGTATCGGCGCTTTCAGGAGGGGCTGGGTACCTCGCGACGTAGCCTAAGTTAGTACGGTTCCTGATTCAGTAGCCCTAATCCATCTGTTCTCTCTTCTCTTGATGGTAGTGGATCAGGGAAACGGAGATACGTACACCTTCCTCATCAATCTTATCAATCTTATCAATATGATGTACAGATTCCTACCTTCCTTCCCCATCCACCATGAAGCTCCTTCCTTGACAGCATGCTGCCTGTCTCAGGTCTCATTGGGCTTATTCTCCTGTCTTCTCTGTTTCTTCTTTCTCTTCTCTTCCTCTTCTTCTTTTTTTTTCCTCCTCAGATGCCACTTGGCTAGATACGTAGATCGTTTCCAGCGTTCTTATCTATTTTCCCTTCTAGCACCGTTCTTATACATCGTATTCTCGATGCTTTCCTCCCCCGCCTCCCCTGCAGGAGGACCTCAGATGGCCCGTCTGAGTGTCCCTCCTTTCTCCCTCTCCTCCTTCTTCTCCTCCTCCTCCCGCGCCGTGAAGGATCCGGTACATCCTTCTCGACGCCCCGCTCCGGTCGGTTTCCGACGTTCCTCTCCTTTGCCTGCCTTTCAAGGCGTTCGTTCCTTCATCGTGCCCCAGGTGAGCACATCTTCGCCTTCTGTTAAGAAGCCCTCTTCTGCTGTCCCTCGTTCCCGTGGTCAGGAGTTCCTGAAAAGGTTCGACGCCACTCACCCTCATCCCCCTGCCTCTCGTTCCCCCCCCCGGTGGCTCCGGCCCAATCCACTCCTTCTGTTCCTCATGGCAAGCCCCCCAGCAGCACCCTGCGGTTCCTTCGTCGTCCCTCTTCATCCTCCCCTGCTTCTCGTTCCCACCGTGTGGCTCGTGCCACGTCCACTCGTTCCCGTGGTAAGAAGTTGTTAAGTTCATACCAGTACGCCAAAACGGAAATCCGCTGGCCATCTGGAGAACAGACGGAACGAAAGGCTCTGTGTCCCAACAGAAGTTCCTGCAAAGGTTCGACTCCACGCACCCTGGTTCTCCGCCTCTCCTTCGTCTCCTGTGGCTCCGGCCACGTCCACTCGTTCTGTGCCTCGTGGCACGTCCATTCCTCGTCCTGTTGAGGTTCCTCGGGTCACATCTACTCATTCATATATCCCCGTTCGTTGTGTGGCTTCGGCCACGTCCGCTCCTTTGAAACCGAAGAAATCGGTTCGTTTCGTAGGGACCACCACGGTAGTGGAGGTCACTCGGTGGATTGAAAAGTGGAGAGATATCCACAGGTGTTGCTGGAAGTAAGTCTTCTTTTTATTTTACTTTTTTTTTGAGCCTCTCTTGTTTCATGTCACTCCTTGGCTTGATATTTTCTGTATATCCTATCTTGTATCTTTCGGTACAGTCAAGCCGGGGCTCTTTACTTCTAAGGCCAGGTCACAGGTCAGGGTGAGAGACGACATCGAACAACTCCAACGGTGATCGGGCACCGTAGATACCAACAAATCAATTAGTTCCGGCTACCAACGAATGTCTAGCGCCGAACACTGCTGTGATACGATAGGTTTCGCGTCCTGTTTTGCTTATCGACTTGATACCGGTACCCCGGGTGTCGGAGGGGCGGCATTACCAAGAAACGACTGCGATAAACGACCGGGGTAGGCGTTTGGGGTTGCTTGGAAGAATTGGGTTTCTGTGTGGGCAGCAGGGGCTTGGGGAATCCAGCAATCACGTCTATTGCGGCAACTTTTATTGGCGGTTTCGAGGTGTGCAAGCACAACGACAGAATCAAGCAAGCGACCAATGCAGTGTTCGGTTAGCGACAACATTTCAGCGATGCGACAGTGACTATCGATGGGACTCTACGATTGTTAACGGCCTGCGGAGTTTGTTCAGCGAAGGGATCGCAGATGTCGGGGGATCCGGGGGAGGGTGACGCGGGGGAAATTTGCTTATACTGGCGGGTTTTTGGCGGGCGTCTATGGATGGGAAAAGTGCTTTTTTTGTCTTATGTCTGGAGTTTGGTGTTTAGCCCTCTTTGGTTGAGCTGGCAGGAGTTGGGGGTTGGGAAAAGTGTTTTCTTTCTATTCTTATCTCTTTGCTTTCTTGGGTCTTTTTTTTGGGGGGGGGGAGGATTTCTGTACTATATCTACGGAGATTTCTTCCTGTGGTCCAGGTCCGGCGCGGCGGTGGAATTTGTGTCCTTAACTAGGGGTGTGGCTTCGTCATCAAGTCACCCCGTGTCCCAACCCGCACTCGTTTGTATTCTCCAGGCTCGGCGTGGTCATGGGGTTTATGTCTTTAGTTAGGGGGTTGTGATTTCGTCAATGGCCACTCTGTACCCCACAACCTTTCTGGCCATCGTAGGATAGTCCGTATGTGAAGCGACACCTGGCACGGCATCAAACCTCGGGAAAGTCAAGCCGTCGGCCTGCACGATGTGGACGCCTTGGAGATGGCCATATGCCAAGTGGAGTTACCCCAGACTTACGTGACGGCCCGGGCCAGCCATGCAGGACATCTATAGTAGATTTAGATAGTACTCATGCCCTGACTCACCATCCATGACTACTCCACTGGCCCTATACTTAGGTTGCACAGCCCCTGTCGAGTAGCCAATGGGAAGGCAGGCCGGTTCGTCCCTGAAAGCTTCTTCCGGTTTCTAGCGGATCTCTGTCTTTTGATTGGCCGGCCCGATGTATAGCTACAACGTTCTTCCATAACTATGCCTTTAACAACCGTCATCCTAGAGTTCTGCGTCCCGATCCCACCCGTCCAGCATCATGACATCCCTCATTCGGCCGGTAGTATATGAAACCCTCCCACCTCCCCAAAGCCTTTCGAAGACCAGCTTTCCAAACCAAAAAAAAAAGGGGGGCTCACTTACGAAGTTACGAGTTTCCTTGTGTTAAAATCTAAACAAACTTCTTATCCCGAATAACCTCAATCCTCAAGAGATTCGAATATATCTCTTCGATACCTAACTCTTCCCACTCCGTAAACATTCTTTATCCTCAAGAGATCCGTACCATCTCTTCTTTTCTTTTCCTTTTCTGTTCAATACTTATACTTCCAATCCGAATCAACTTACTATCTCAAGAGGTCCGAATATCACCTCTCCTCCGGTCGACCAAGTCTGAGAAATCCGACCTATCATCCCCCTCCTGAAAAGAGTCATCAACCCTCTCCACGAAACAACCCACCCCAGCAGTCATACAAGATGGCTACTCACGCCTCCAACCAATTCTACCACCTCAACGGACCCCGTCCTCACCCTCGCTGTGTCCAGTTCAAGAACAAGAACAAGAACAAGAACAACAAAAACAATACCACCTCTCATAAAGACGATCAATTCATTGACGTCTTCCTCCGGCCTCAAACCCGACCGAGGCAGAACCAACGTCCACCCACCTACCGAGTCCCCTATGGACAACGCAAACCTTCTTACAACAAACAACCTCGTCCTTATGATGAAATCACCAATCCTCGGCCTCAATATCCAAAGAGGCCAAACAACCCTTATTACAACAATCGTCCTTACAAAAACAACACCCATCCTGGACAAGGAAAGCCCTTCTATCGTACCGACCGCGACGGAGACGTTCTTATGCAAGACGTCTTCACCAAACCCTCCAATCAATCAACTAACCGAGTCATCAAACGCGGACAGCAAAGGCTGCCTCGCAAATACATCCAAGATATTGAAATGATCGATGCTCCGGTCGATTTCGATGGTGATACCATTATGATGGATGTCTGATTGTCAGTTGTTGGGATGTCTGCTTATTTTTGTGTATAGAGACTGATTGATAGTAGGATATTCATATATTCATCCATTCATCCAAATAACCCAACCTACTACTAACCATCAACCAACCAGTCAAGGCATTTAGCGGAGGAAAACAAGGAAATCAGGGAAGCAAAGGCAATCAATGGAGGGAAACAAGAGAAATTAGAGATTCATGTCTTGTGTGATATCTTGTTTTATGGTATCATGATGGAGGAAAAACAAGGAGATTTGGGGTTCATGTTCGTGTTTTGTGAGAAGTTTTGTATGGCTCACCTTGGTCAGGTTTTTAACCTTGCACGGAAAGACAAGAGACCGACAAGGAAGTTTCCCTGGCTCATCAACCCAAATGGGGGGTGTTGTCTGATGAAGAAAAGAAAAGAAAAGAAATTGAAAAAAAAAATCCAAAGATCAATCAATACATACATGTATCTGCCTTCCTGCGTAGATAAAGTAAACTTGTAGATCCCTGCTAATAGTAGAAGAACCAAGCGGTTTTCCACTCGTGAGACCACCGCTCCAACTCCAACTCCTGCAAGTCTTCCGCCGTTGGAGGATCTTTCTGGTCTCGTTCATCCAACACATCAACAGAGGAGTCACGCTGCATCATTACCCCCCTAAACGCTCATTGAGGAACTTCAGACGTTTACACAACCACACCACGTCCAGCATCAGGTGGCGTAACTCTTCACGAAGAGCAGACTCTCGCTTTCTTGTCTCTGCCAGATCCAGCTCAACCTTCTTCCGCTTTACTCGTCATCGTTAGAGGACCGCTTCTCACACCTGTGTCCGGACAAGACACACGACGAACACCGGACGCTTAAAATCTCAGGGATCATGATGCACACCTCGTTCAGATGAAAACAGCGCTTGCAAGAGATGATAGATCCTCTTCCCGTGAGCCATTACCTCGATGTTGTACCGGGATTTCAGGAGACATTATAGTCGCTTTATCAGATATGATGTGAGATCATCCTCAATATTAGGATTACCTGACTGAGAACACATCATTTAGCCGAGTAGCCACTTGTCGTAGACAGTATTATCTAGAAGCTTCACGAAGTCTCAGGGATCTTACAAGTTCTTCGTACTACATAGACATAACGTACCAACCAATACTCACATTCTCACCACACCCGCATCCCACCCACTCCCAAACCCAAGAGCAGCCACACTCCGCGTGAAAAAACAGTCCCAATACACTCGATCCCACTAGAGCGACTGTAAAATACTACTCGAGCACGACAAACCAAGCCAACTCTAAGGAAAAGAAGTCACGAGACAGACTGCTTATCTCCCGTCCTGAAAACCCAAGCGAACCATATAAGTCAATACAGGCCTTGACTGGGTCAGCCCAACACAACAAAGCCGACTAGCCTGCAGCGTTTATATGAAAGGATGGTATTTCGTTCAGCATGCATCCTGCAAATATTGCACACTTAGCGGGCCTCCATTAGGCTAATAGAATATGACTTGACTTGACTCCTGCAAACATCGCCAGTGCTACTAAGTACTAATCGACTATCAAGGGATGATACAGAACTTGACAGATGCTATCAGGACGGGTATGTAGCCCACGTCCATCGCAAGTTTTTCTCCATGATAAACAAATAAGCAAAGTAAGTTGTGAATGTATAGCTAGCTATAAACTGGTGCTTGGATGGTGAATGGGTGCTAGACATGCATAGAGACTCAAGACCTCAAAAGAAAGAACTTTTCCGCCATTATAGAAGGATAAGAAGGTGTACACTGACAGCTAAGAGAGGGAGTGAGATTAAGCTTGACTCGAGGTTCACGAGCAGGGAAGGGGTAGGTGGGTCCGGATACTTGGGTCAACTTAAAATATATACTGTGGGGTGGGCAAGGCTTGGCGGTAACCTTATTTTCACAGTACCTGTATGCTGAGTCATGGGGCGTTCTGTTGATAACTACGCCGCTACGGAGTATATATATATACTAGATTACTCGCGCTTTACGGACTATTCAACGACTGGGTAAGATTTGTCATGATAGAACGGGCTGCATGCAAGAAGTATAGTTCACCAGGGAAATGGTTAAGAATTAAGGACAAAGATAGCGTAAAGGGAATGAGTACAATTTAAGTATTTTAACGAGGAATACATACTATCAGAAATATGTTTGGTGTTAGCAACCATGGTAAGTCCGGCTATAAACTATGTAGTCCTACCTTTTCTTCTAGAAAACTCCATGGCCCTTATGTTTTGGAGAAACCATCAACTATATAGAAAAATGGTTCATTTCTCGAATATTTTAACCTGGAATACTAGCATAAAACTTCACGGGTGCTCACAATTTTCTGTCAGGTGACTGTCATGTGTTGCCGACGGACCGCGGCAAACACAAACCTATCAAATATGCCAAGCGAACGGGGCGGTGGAATGGTTCTAGGAAGTCGAAACGACCGCCTACGAGGATTACGGATTGGCAGGCTTTCTAGCTTCATATTCTAGCTTCAACGGAGAAGCGTCTACGGAGCTAGCATTACCTTAGCGGGCTCTATTGGGCTAAGATAATATGACTTGACCGGACGACTGGACTAACCATGGCTGTATGCAGTACGTACAAAAAGGATATCATTTCAGTGAGGGGGGAATCTCTTTTATACCTCGGTGGGGATTCCTTTGAGTAACTTGACGTGTTTCGAGTTCAATCCCTTGCGCTTGTATGTCCACAGGTTGGGGTACTTGTTGGCAGATGTCTTGAACAACGACAGCATGGCATCTTCGTCAACATACGTACCAGCCAGCCAGCGCTGGCCAGTATCGGTTCCGAACGCGCGGCGAGCATGCGCCACCCGACGATTTTCGAAAATGACACATTCTCCGGGCTTCATCTTCAGCTCGAACATATTTCCCTCATCCTCAAGACCATCCGAAAACTTCTTGAGTGCATTCGTGAATTTAGGCAACTTGTGAGTACCAAAGCTCTTCACCTGGAATGGGGCCTGGAAGGGAGGCGAGTAGTTGACGTGGGTGAGAGCATGTTTTACAACCTCACCATCTCGAGTCTTCCTTTTGGAACGTTTCAGCTCAAAGACAGGCCACTTGTTAGTGTAAAAATGATCCTCATGATTGTATTCGTAGTGCACTTTGACTTTGCTCAGAATATCATAGTATGGGAAGTGCTCCTTTTTCATGTCGTATGCAACACGAAATGTGTCCACGAAGAGGGATTCCCCTCCCTCGCAGGAGTTCTGCAAACAATGCAGGAGCTGAAAACCAGGCGGTTCATTCATGTACATCAGGTCCATATGGAAGCCAAGGAACTGGTTAGTGTAAGCGACATTCTTGGCCTGTGGGATACTCCGCACATCCCATGTGGGTCCGTAGAACGTATTACGGAGTGGCCCCATGCGAGTCGCGATCTTCTCGACCATCTCGCGTGAGTCTGGAATGTCTTTAACGAAGATAAGACCCAGTTCGGCGAGGGTGCGCATGGACCATGCAAATGCGATGTCGTTGTTCATGAAGTCTTCAAACGTGATCCAATGTTGCCAGTGTTCCATACGACGTTTATCCCAGAATGCTCGCCAGCGAAACTTCCTCGCTGCGTCAGCTTCTGCAGGGTTCACGATGGGGAACTGAAGATTATATAGATCGTATGTGGAATAGTGACCAGACTCTTCCATAAAGTCATTTTGCCACAACACGCGCAATTTTCCTCTTACGACCTTGGGTTCGGAGGCTTTGATGGTAGTGGGGATATCGCTGGTGCGGAAATTGCGTTGTTTCGAGTGCGGGTCCACGCAGACAGGGCATTTGCACGCGTCGCGAAGGACGATATCTTCGATTTCAATAGGCCTTCTGCCAACCTCATCAATCACAAGACCTTTCTTTGTCCTGAGCACTGTGTATTTGTCATCCCTATACTCTACCTCGCCGATCTCCTCGAGATCGATTCCTGGAGTCTGTAGCAGTCTCTCGGTAAGAGTGATGGGTTCCTCTGGTCCAAGCACTTCCGTCGATTCCGTGTCCGTCGCTGGTCTTTTGTTTGGATTCGCTAGTGATTCAGGATCGGTATCCACAGGGGCCGTTGACTTGCTTGGGGGGGGCGCAGCACCAGCAAGAGGAGCACCAGCAGAAGGCGCACCAGCGCCAGCAGGAGGAACGGCGCCGGCAGGAGGAACAGCGCCCGTAGATGAGTAGACGCGACGGCAAAGAGTCGATGCCGAGGATGCAGAGACCCGGGGAAGGCGGAAAGGAATTCGCAACAGGCGGGCCATGGTGAAAAAATGGCAGCAGGCTGGCCTGCTAAGTAGACATGCAAGCCCTGCACTGCACGCTTGAAGGAAGAGTTGAAGAACAAGCGGGGAAAGTTCACTCACCTGCAAGACCGTCGGGGAACACCGGCCCGGTTAGCTAGGCGGAACCGGAACATCTCATGTTCCGGTCCGGATGTTGACTCTGGTTCGGCTTCTTTCCACCATGCGAGGTTATATTATATATCTAGCTAGTACACGATCATAGCCGAAAAGACCCGTTCCGTGATTCCAGGCAAGCAGGGTGTGGAATATTTACAGAATGGAATACATCACGCTAACTACCAATTAACGCCCGCTTTCGTCATGACCGAATCAAGACCCATCGGGGGCCCGTTTACCGGAGAAACTTCTCCACGGCACCGCCGATGTTCTTCAGGTCCAGAAGGAACGTGTCATGTCCGAACAGTGAGACGTCCTCTCCGAGTTCGATGTGCTCGACATTCTCATTCCCAGCTGCCCGAAGGGTTTGTGCGATTTCTCGCTGCTGCCAGGCGGGGAAGAGGATGTCACTGGCAACACCCATCACCAAAACCGGGTGGTTCTTGAGGGGCGCCAGACCAGCCACGAGATCCCGCGGTGGGGCGTCTGGTCCTGCCTCTCCCCCGACAGCTTGATCCATCGAGGGAGTGCCTGCCGTCACAGACGGTTGCTCCTCGTACGGTTTCTCCGGAAGGGTCAAGCTGCACGCGATGTCGCTTTTCTGCAGAGTCTTCCCTCCCTCGGCAATCTTAGCCTCATACCCAGCCCTCCGTTTCTGTGTCTCGGACTGGTGATCGTAGCCGAGGTCAAACAGGTCCATGGCCTTCGACACATAGAGTAGACTGTTGGGATCATATTCCAAGCAGAACTTCTCTCCCGCATGGTCCAAGTATGTCTCAATCAGGAAGTCCGGGCACAGAGCCGGCTGCTTGCTGGGGTCTGCACGCTTGCGGCCGAACCGATTCTCCCATTCCGGTCCACTCCTGTATGTCACTGTGGCGATCTCTCTGGCCAGCTTCATGCCCGAGTGAGGCGGGATCGAGTCGTAGTAGAATCCCCGCGCCCATTTCGGGTCCATCATCAGCACCTGCCGCTGAGTGTGTCGCATGGCAATGCTATACGGGTGACTTCGCGCACATCCACTGATGCTGACAATCTTGCCGATCCTCTCGGGGAAGAGCACACCCGCCGCGAGACTCTGCATACCACCCATGCTGGATCCGACCGAGGCGTACAACTTGTCAATGTCGAGGGAGTCCAGAAGACGAAATTGTGCCCGCACCATATCGTCTATCGTGAGAATCGGAAACCGGGTAGCGTATCGCTTTCCATCCGAGGGGTCAATCGACGAAGGTCCAGTACTGCCATAGCATCCTCCGATGACGTTGGTACAGATGATGTAGTATTTGTCCGTGTCCAGGGGCTTGCCGGGCCCGATGAACTTCTCCCACCAGCCGGGCTTGGGGTTGGCTTCGGTGCTATGAGCGTGGCTGGACGCAGACAAACCCGTGTGTAGCAGGATAGCATTGCCCTTGTCGGGATTCAACTGGCCCCATGTCTCGTAAGCGACATCGAATTCCGGTAGCACACCACCCCAATCCAGTAGCAAGGGTTGTTCGCAGTGAAACTGTTCGTGGTGACCGGTTGTGTAGGAGGGCTCGGGCCCCGACTGGAGTGACCGTGCGGAGAGTTGAGCGGACTTGGCATCCTGAGCGTCGAGACAAGGGAAGGACATGGCGGGATTCGATGCCGTGGCGGACTGTGACCTGCGCGACGGGACATGGTGCAGGGCCCTGGAATGTGCCTGTGCCGGGTATGACGTGGATGACGGGATTTGGATTCGACGACCTCCACCCAAGGTAGAGAGGCTCTCGCGCTGGTTGAGCCGCGTGGCAGCTTTCAGAGCTCGAGGAGCTGAGCGTGCGATACCTGAGGGACCCATGGTGAGCCAGAAGCAACGTTTCGTTGCCGGATGTTGCTAGACGTTGCCGTTGTAGATGATAAGTAATTATGATGAGACTGGGCGGGAAATCCGGGGAAGGGGGGAAAAATCTGCTGATGTGATGCCGCTCCTCAATGACGTGATCGCCTGTCGCTGTACTGTGTGTGTACCTAGAGGAAGGAGCCTGGCCAAGATAAGCAAAAAAAAAAGCCCTACGTGGGGGTCGAACCCACAGCCTCAAGATCTCTGAATTCTCACGATGAGATTTCTTCTTCTCACAACACAAAGTCGCGGAAAATAGAAGTCTTGCGCGCTACCATTGCGCCAGCAGGGCAGTTTTGTTGATAATGCCATCGATTATTAATGCTATATTCCCTCTTTTGTCCCCACTACGTTGGTACTGTAGATGACGGCCAGACCGGCCAGGCTACAACATAATACTATAACAGTGAACTAACATAAATCTCGTGGCCTGGTAATGGTCACCATATAGGCTCACTCTGAAGAGATATCTGATGGTAAAAGCCCCCATCCTATCTATGGAAATATTGGTGGGAGCTGAGTTTAGTACCTACTATATTTATACTCATATATATACACACTCGGCCGTCAACGACCCGGAAAGAACTCAAGCTATATTCAGGAGATAATACACACTACTAACATAAAGCTCCATATTCGCAGCAGCATTCTCACTGTCCTAACATATCAGAAATTACCGAGGAGAAAGTAAAAGATAAAAGGCAATCCCATGTGGTGGACTTTGTTTCTGTCATGTAGTATTGAGAGGCAGTGTAAAGACAGATTACTCAATCCTCCTGCTCCGGGGCTTCATGGACACCAGGAGTAGGTGACCTTTCTTGCGGGCACCTTTCACCCGGCCGGAGCAGATGCCCCAGATGCCATGATCGAGAGAGTTCTCCAAAACGAGTCAAGATGCCGTGGAATCCGGTAGGAGGTGAACGTGGCTCCGGCTAGGTAAGAGTTACATGTCAGCTCACAGTTTAATATTAGTTGGCTTTATATGTTAAAGACATACCTCTCCCATGATGCTCAGGCTCTCCGTGTCCCCAATCATTCTAGCAGCCATAAATGTCATCAGGATGTTCATATTATGGATCGCTATATCTTTCTCAGTAAAGCTCAATAATTGGGACTCCCGAAATATGAGACCCTCGAGGCTGTAGTGGGTCTCTATAATTCTCAGCTTGTAGGTAGCAAAGGTGGTTATGGCCATGACCTAGAAGCAATAAGGTGTTAGTTTGCAATACTAATAAATAAGTGATAGACATCCAAGGCTCGACTTACCGGTATAATAGTGTGACTGGGAAAGTCGTCGCTGCGCAGACGACTAATCATGGCAGCCAAGATTGTCTGAACCTCTCTTATAAGAAGTCTGTCGTCTTCCTCTGTCTCATTCAGAATGGCGATCATGGTGTGTGGAGTATTGAGAGCTTTTCTAGCCTTCCAGGCTGCATATGGCTGCCCCCAACGGCCTTCATATAATATGTCATCGAACTCGTCTGCGAAGATATCATCACTACAGATATTAGACTCTCCTGCTGGAAGAGATTGCAGATCAGAGTATATTAATTAAAATGTCTTACCTGGGCACCCAATTTGCGTGCTGCATCAAACTGACTGACGGATTACCCGGGCCCATATCTCGCTGGTAGATTCTAAAAAAATCCTCGATTGCGTACATAAGATCAAAAGCTTTATCACCTACGGTTAGTCTCATAGTCTCCTTCCGACCCCATTCCTGGTTGATTTTTTGTAGATGCTCCCGGGTCTCAGCATCGGTAGGATGAGGGGAAAGAACACCTTCCACTCCCAAAGGATCAAAGAAAACCGGTGAAGGAGAATCTACATGAGTTCTGCTCGGTGATATACGCAGTTCTTGACATTTGATAGGAAGAGCAAGATATGCGTCGTCGTCAAAACTCTCCTTCCTAGATCTTGTAACAAGATCAAATGTTTCATTCAGGCTCTTCAAGACATTGTCCCGAACCTGTATAATCTGCCGTCGACGAGCAGTACTAGAAGCATGATAGTGGAAGAAGTGCATGTTGATTGATAACAGGACTGTTTTTGTATTAACTGTAGTTTTCGAAGATGTGAGAAACGACAGGTAACACCAAAGAGGGGTAGTTGAAGCAATTGCTTTTAAATAAGTCATTGTGTAATCTTTCAATGTGAATGAATGATCAGGGTGAGACCAGCAGTTTGCGAAGTGAAGATGATCAATATCAGCTATTCATCGGGATATTCCATATACCAGATGAACTAGCGTCGTAGGCAAGGCAGGAACCGTCACTGGTTTGAAGGATGCCCCATGGGAGTATCCCGCTACCGACGGGTCCAATTCAAGGAACAAGCCGGTGGGTCCAAATATCGAGCAGTCGGTCCACTCTTGCCATGCTGTATCAAACCGAATCTCCGATATCGACATTCTGCCGGGCCTTCCGAGTCGCCAATCTCAGAATTATGTCTTATGCTAGATGGCTGGGTTGTGGCCTCATGTGCCGAACTGGTAGTAGGATTCACCCCCAAAGCCCACTTGTAGCAGATTCTGACAGTTATAGCTAAACATGTGTACAAGTCGGATTCTTCTACACCACATACTCATCTCCCACCGCAACCGCCTTTCGCTAGTAATTATGAAAGATGATAGGAAGCGCATAAAGATCAAATCAACTTCCTCGTGCTGTCCTACCAAGCTGCCAATGTTGCTATGAAAGCCACTTGCGTGTGGATACGCGCTTTAATGCCGTTGGGCATTATGTAGCAATCACTAGAACAGCCAAAATACTGTCCATGACAGAAAATATGCAAACTCGATGCTACCTTGCACCAGGGGGTGGCGGCATCGATTGTCTACTGAGACGCGCTGCCTTGGCGATCAGTACTGCTGTCACGATAACTTGGGCGAAGTGCCTAAGACTTTCAGCGTCCTCAGCAAACCATGGTCCATAGGTTTCCATCACCAGGAATTCGTCAGTCTGTATTCCTCTGTTCAGGTAATCCTCAAGGGATCTTTTATATTGGGCGAAGGTAATGTAGATCTCATGCCGGTTTTGCGATACCAATAAAAAACTGCAGAAGGGTTTGTTAGTTTATTACCTGAAAAGAGCTTGTCAGAGATAACTTACTGGCCATTAAAGATAGTCATATCAGCGGATGTTTTCATGAGCCACCCACAAACTTCGCAGGCTTCTTGCATGAGGATCTGCTGGCTTGCCCTATCACGGATGCGTTTCTTAACCTCTACAATAGCCATCGTGTCCAGCTCGGATTTCGAGTTCCCAGTCAGTGGCCTACCATACTTGTCGGCATCATGTCCAGGGGACATGGCTTGATTTCACCTATTCGGTAGTACAATTTTGAACAGGACCAGTCATATGCAATGCTTGACACTCTTCAATTGAAAGATATAAAGATGTCCAATTTTATCACCTCCTAGCGCAGATCCATCAACTTACGCCGCGCTGACGATCAGGAGGCCCGGAAAATATCATATCTGTGCTAGTCTTGTCATTGGTTTTGATCGAGTGCTTTGAGACTATGATCATCTTGCTTGAGGGGTGCGAGTCAGGCGCGAGATTATGAGCTACTGAAAGAACCAGCCGGGAAGAATGTTAGAAGCATGCTGCTGCAATGTTACTACTAGCAACAACGGATGAAGTAAGGCGAGAGTATATACAAATTGGCTAATCTTGTTTGTCAACACGGTAGGAACTGCTTTCGAGAAGGAGAGCATCTGAGTTAGGGAGGCGCTACCGCAACATCGACCAAGCGACTGTTGAATAATACCCCTGAATACAGGTAACATGTGGAGTAGTGGAGTGTAGATATGTATTGTTGGGGACGCGAGGCAGAGGAAACAACGTGATATTGGTTGACTCCTACGTTGCCTATTAATATTAAAGAACAACATGACTGTCCATCACGTGACGCATAACCGTTTATTGCTTACATGATCCTGCTTATCCTGCTTACCAGGAACATCATAATATTGTTCCGTGGTCACGTAACACTAGTTATCCCTCCAGATTAGTACGGGACGCGCCTGCCAAAGGCGGACGCGCGGTCTGACCGATTTTCCTTAGGGAGCATCTTCCACTTCTTCATGTATCTAAGAGAATATAATATAACCATCAGATTAAAAGACTAAAGCTAACGTTCTTTACGGACGGAAGAAACCATAGTATCTAGTAATAATTTTAATTATCAACAGCTGCAACCACACGTTCTGCCTTCTCCGCCTATTAATATGTTAGACAAGACCTGCCATGCGCCGGGGGTGCTTTATACCCCTCATTTGTTCCAGGATTAGGCCATCTAAGGCTCTATGAATCTCTCAGCTTAATTGATCGGTAATTACCCTGGGAGGAAATCAAAAACATATAGGGATTGTATAAAGACATTTTCATCAATGCTGGGATAGGATCTACTTGGCAGGGTGGAAATCCTGTTAATTAAGGAAGGGTCTAAGATTTCCAGATGGCCGATATTGTATATCCACGATTTCAGTAGCTAGGATTGGTAGGAACACTATCCTACTACCTGTTATTCCCCTGGCTTGGAGATCTTTCTTTTCATCTAATTAGAAGCTTCAGCTTATTTTACAGAAAGGCCCCCCTGGAACAAATACCGATGACCTCACGACTTCCTGTATCGGTGGGCCGGGGTTCCGGGAAGTCCGATACGGGTTCTTGTTAGATGCCTGGTATATAAGGCATCAGGGGCTCTTTGTCTATAGCGAGATCATTCGAACCCTTGATTTGAAACCTATCAGTCAGGACGGTATATACAAAATAATGCTGCGGTAATAGATCTATACAATCCACAATTCTACTAAGTTATACAATCCAAAGATATATCGTTGTCACTATGAGAATTCCCGGCTTGCCGAGCTGAGGAGACTCGTAAAGCCAATAATCATCCCAGTTTAAGGTGTTGCGAAGCGTCCGAGTAAGCATCGTTGATGCATTCTTTTTTCTTCTTAGGAATTAGAACATCTAGTCGAATGCTTCCCAGAAGATTTATCAAGCATGTAAAGGGCTCTGTTAAGTGGCTATACGGGCATCCGCCATACTTTCTGCTCACCTTATGTACCACGTCGAGAATTGTCTATTTTTATAACTGGCTGCTTAAGACGTTAATCCTATGCACAAGGCCCAGTGTGAGGCCGTGTCTGAGGCTCTAGGTAGATTTGTAGACGGTATACAGTTTTACGGGGAATACATAACTCTGTAGATAGTCCACGGTTCTAGATATAACTCTGCACAGCTTTGTATATAGCTTTTTATAGTAACTCATAACGAATCATATTTCCGTATAATAGGCCACCTTATTACACAGGCAGAGTAAGCAGAAAATGTAGTAGTTGTAGCGGACGCCGGTATGGTTATACCCCGGCCGGCGTGGCTGTGCCGTCTTTTTATAACAGGCTCTGTTAAGTGTTTCTAGAGGACCCCAAAAATGCTATCTGTGCTTCAAATCTGTAATCTGAAGATACTATGTAGGGATCTGGTGCCGGGAGGGTTAGTACGGTCTTCTGAACATTTTTCTCTCTTATGAAGCTCAAGTGGCGAGTATCTAATTCACCCGGAGGTCATGTTAGCAGTGAATGAAGAATCCAATCAACAATCTTATCAGATTACGGAGTGATCTGATACCGCAAACTCCTAGATACTGCCCAAGACAGTGGGTGCTCATGTACGCATACCCAAAAATAATAATGTCTGCCCGAAGCCCGGAATCATGCCTCGGAGTACCTACCCCAGGTTCAACAATCACACATAATATCACTGACAGCCTCTTTCCGAGGCCAAATCATGTATTCTCCATACTTTTCAAAGTAGTCCAGAAGGCCAAACGAGGTGTTTTATCAGGCCGTTTAAGAACAAAAAAATCAAGTAGAGGCATAGGTTCCTATGAACCATTGCTCTACAAACGTCAAGCCCTACGTGGGGGTCGAACCCACAGCCTCAAGATCTCTGAATTCTCACGATGAGATTTCTTCTTCTCACAACACAAAGTCGCGGAAAATAGAAGTCTTGCGCGCTACCATTGCGCCAGCAGGGCGATTTTGTTGACGTTCGGGTAATTTATTAAAACTATATTCACTGTTTTTCCACTTAAAATAGGTGGCGGCTACCTTAGGTACCATAGATGACCCACTAAATTGGATTCCAACGTCTATCTATGGGCCGCAGATTTTGAAGCGAAGCGAGTAGCATAAAGCGGGGTCGGTCCGGAGGAATAGATAGTCCGACCCGACGGTGTGGTAAGCGAGATCGTTTGTGATACGCCAAGTGGCATTAGTGAAAGGCTAAATGCGCGGCAGTGCTGATGAACCGAAGCGTGTAATCAAGGCCGCGCTGGTAACTATTGGTCTGCTTAGTTGGTTCTGGGGTGTCTTTCAAGGGACAGTACTTCTTTTGGTAGCTCTTGTTGTGATATCTGTATGAAGGTACGCTTTGTAGGTAAACACATATATTGCATATCGGGCAACCCCATAGCGTATGGATCTTGAGCGGTAATAAAGAACGCCAGAAAGTATTAGTCTTGTCCATAAGCTCGTGTGATTAATTAGCAAAGAAGCAAGCTGAGGAGTGGGTAACAGGGGGATTGCGTAGAGATATTCTGGTGATCAAGATGTTGATAGGTAGGGGATTGCGACCATCAAGCAGCGGAGGGTCACGCCGACAGTGTGAAGCAACGTAGTAAGCACCGTATGATGCACAATTAAGAGCATCTAGCTTGTAAAGAATATCTAAAAGCGTAGTACTTGATTTATCTGAATACGTGTTCTGAAGAGGTTCTTGTGACTTCCCTTGGCGGGATCGATCTAATCTAGTGTTAGTGTTACGCAGCGCTAGCGCGCTTCGCCGGTTATCTCTCCGGGTGTTGCCGGTGGGGCCACCCGCCAATCCATATCGGAACAACCAATAATCCGTTCTCAGGGAAGACACTTGTAGACACTTAAAGTTGTACAAGCCTTCAAAGTGTCCCGAGGCGTAGTAAGGTATACGGTCATGACATGCAAATGCGCACAGGTTTTATTAGGCTTATAACTGGTCTATCTATATACTCTCCCCACTGAATGGCACGGCAAAATACCCCTGCTGCAGCAAGATCTCCTGCCATTCGGGCTTGCCAGTGGCCAGGATCAGTGATGGATTTGCGTGCGTCGGGAACCATCTTTCTTTCCGGGTATGGGCTTTGCTACCCCCTTCTAGTGCTGCTCGACTCGCTCGAGTCTGTCGCGCTCGCTTCGTACCACCCTGCTCGTCGGAGACCACTCCAGTCAGCTGGTGCCGATATTGCGCGAGACGGACGTCGTAGGCCATGATTCCTCGAATGTACGGGCCGAGATCTTCGGCAATGGGTCCCAGGCCGTTTTCAAATGAAGGAGCCAAGCGTCCTGTAGGTGCGGGGAACACATGGTCGGCCCGCATAATGGGCGCGAAAGCCGAGAGTAGATCTGCCTCGGTTGTGTCCGTGGCTTTGGATTGGTCGAGACTGTCCAGCACTTGTGCGGCTCGCGTAGTCTCGGTATCTGGTCCACCGCCCGGTCCGAAGGTTCTCTCGAGTAGCACTTCGAATGTACAGGCAATCGCAGCGGGAGTATGCGAATAGTTAGGCATGATAACGGTGTCCAGCAACGTATAGCCCTCGGTATGATTGATTCGCTGCTTCTCGGGCATCGGAGGGACGGAAGTATCCGTAATGTCCAAGGTTGGGTTGACGGAGCAAGGGGAACACAGAAGATCAAGGGCACCCCTCATATCCATCCACTCGGACGCCTGTCGTAGCTGGTCCAGTCGCCCTAGGTTCGATATAGCTTGGTCCGGTTTCGGCCTGGCGTGGGCCCGACTCGCCGATTCTTGCATGCTGAGCTGCCACCAATCAAAGGACTCCTGCTGAGATTCTATGGCAGCGTCGATTTCGTCACACATCAACATATCGCGACCAAACCAGCCCATGTACGGTTCGTACGTGTTCAGACTGAGCACTCTAAGCTGATCGCCATTCTTGTCGACGTCTGACCCCTGTGGCCATCGATCGATTATCCAGTCAAGACCTGACTTTTCGCTACCAACTGCCATCTGGCACCAAAAGCCAAGTTCCATAATGGTCCGCCGAAGGTCTTTGCCCGTGCACGCATAGAGGTCCCCAACAGCGTTGCGTTTGAGCATGTGACCCTCATTTGCAGCCAGGAGGAGGATATAATCGATGGCGAGATCGACCGGGGGTGCTCGATAACGAAGGATGGCATGGAACGATATGTCCTGAGCCGGAATGAGATTCTCATCGTTACAGGTAATGATAATCGGCCGTTTCGACTGATTGATAAGTGTCAGGACTCCAGACCAGAACTGCTTATCCGTTTCGAAGAGAACGTCGGCTTCCTCTAACAGTATCAGCGACTGTTTTTGATATCGAGGCCGCTTTGAATCGGTCTCTTGAGAGGCGCCCTTGGTATCGGTGTTAGTGTTGCGTGTTGACTCTTTGGCAGTGTGCGATTTGAAAAAGCCGGCCAACTTGTTCTGCTTGAGATTCACTGGTTCCTCATTCTCTGAAGAGGTGGCTGGCACCTCGCCAGGGTTCGGGTTATGCACTAGATGATTTCGAGTCATGTCACCCACGCGCTCCACAATATCCTTGGCGCTACGGCGGTTTCCAGGATTGATCTCGAACACTTCGAAATCGAGCTCCTTTGCCACAGCATAAACCGACGCCGTTTTCCCACATCCCGAAGGACCACTGAGAAGGATGACGTTGGATACGCGGCTTTTTTCACCCCCCGACTTCGAACCGAGAGCGAAATCACCGGATCGAATCAACGTTCTCTTGGTGGTCACATCACCCGCTAGTTCATCATCAGAACCGTCGATGGGGTCCAATTCATACGCTTCATCCTCACTTGAAACAATGAAGCCGTCTAAATTTTCATTCTTCCGTTTCTTCCGTTTCCTTTCTTCCAGATTCTTCTTCACTTTCTCATCCTTCTTGGAAGATTTGCCCGTGTCAACTGTCGAGACCATCAAATATTTCAGCCAGTCCCGTAGCATGTATGCTTCTCTAGTCGTTTGTAGCACTTGCTCGGCCGATTGAGGAGCGTATTTCTGGGCCCAATGCATCGTGTCGAACTCTCCGCGATCGAAAGCAGTCATGGAGCAGGGAAGCAACGAATGAAGCTTCGTTACGGCTGGGTGACAGGATCCTGCGAGTGATTTCTTGTCGTCTGATGTTGCCCACAGCTGTCTAGTCACAGCTGTTTGTATGACCTTTCCGCTGGCGGCATGTCTTGAAGGGATCCGTAGACTAGAGGGAGACTCAGACGAGCACTTCCTTACCAGCTGTGAAAGTACGCTTTCGTCGTCACCAATGCTGACTGCCGCCATCTTTGCCTTTTTCCGATCCCACTCCACGGAGTAGCAAGTTTTATTATCCTGTGTGTCGGGGTCTTCGCGGATACCTCGAACATGAACGAGATCGCGCGGAGGCCAGATCGGCTGAATGGGTTCGGGAAACTTGGTACGACGGTATTTAAATGACGTGAAGGGTGTGGAAGACTGTGTCGACATGCCTGTTGATCCTGTCCCGTGGCCTGGGGGAGAGTGAGTTGTCGACTCCGTTCCTGCGGAGGTCTGCGAACGAGGGTTAGGCTCCTGGGATTGCGCGACAGTTGTATTTGGCTTGCGTGTGGCCATTTTCGAAAAGAATGGATGGGTAGGCTTCATTGGCTGTTGGACGACTGTAGAGGAGGCTGGGGCGACAGGCAGAGAGGTCTTGTTGCAGGTGCCATGCTTCTTCCGACCACTGAGTATATCATCAATCAGCTTTCCAATAGCATCCCCATTATCACCTTCATTTCCATATTTGATGATCACCAAGCTGCCTTCCGAGCTGGTAGGCTTCCCCTTGCTGCGTTCGGCTTTTTTCTTTGTGGGTTTATCTTCGACTCTCTTCGTAACCGGCGATGGCAACAGTTTCCCGTTAGGATTCAACTTGATGACTTTCTGCCGAGGCGACCTTCTTTTTGTCTCTTGGTCCTGCGTGGCGACCTGGGGCGCGATTTCTTGTGTATCCGGTTCTGGTGTAGTCAAAGGCGCATTCGACCCCTGGGCAGGAGGGGCACCGGGCTCGATCCCGGTGTCAGGTTCGGGGGCTTCGGAGGCATTGCTGAGTGCACTAGTAGACAATTCCTCAACCGGACTCGCCTCCTTGGCTTGAGATCGCGAGTTTGTGGATATGGCATAATTCACCACCGATCCCTGGCCAGGTGCCGCATCTTGAGGCTTATCCTTATCCGTCTTCCGTCTCTTCCTGCGGTTGGAATTCGGGTCATGATCTAGCGTTTCGACCGACATGGCGGACGGCTCGGGACTGAAGGTCAAGGCAAGGCCATGGCTGGTGGATGGTGGTTTGTGGACAGAATGCGGGCTTGGGTGATTGGTGACAGGGGATTGGCCGATTGGAATTGTAGATGCCGGGGGTTCTCGTCGAAAAAACGGGTGGATGGCTCGCTGCTCTCCCTGACCCATCGCCATAGTCGATCTAGATCACAACGATGCGTCCAGAGGATGATGCGTGCTCATCGCCTGTGAGGGATTGGATGAGGCCGCGGGAATGATAGACATCGGCTGCGTGGAGTTGAGGGGGATTGTGAGAACTCTCCAGGTCACATTACGCAGCAAAACGCACACATATAGAAAGAAGCCGAAGGTGAAAGCTATGAGAGGTATAATCTGACAGAATCAGGGGATGAGAGATGAGGGAGAATTCTCATGGTGCTGCTGGCTGCGCGCACGGCCCGACCGGCGCCGAAACCGAAAGGCAATTAACCAACCAAACAAATAGTAGACGCGCTCCCCGCCGCGCCACGCGACAGGGACGCGTCCAGGTACGAGTGCTCCGTAGATTACAAGTCATGATATGGCTCCAACGTGACTTTGCTATGCGATTTGGGATATCACTCAAAAAAAGACTCAATACAGGTAATCCAAATATCCAACCCAGATAGCTCCATGGCACTGACTGTACAAGTAGGACCGACCAAGAAATGAATAATGGCCTACCGAGGACTCAGAGGGCGGCAGTGCTCCGCCGCTTGGTCAGTGCATCGATCACTCGGGTATAGAACTTGGATGCTTGCTGGCGAACAAAGGTGATGTCCACAGTCAAGTATTCGGGGAGCACGTCAACCAGCTCCCGATCTCGATTCTCGTCCAAGAGCGGAATATATTGAAACTCGGCAGATTCAAAGTTGGCGGACGATACGTGAGGTACAACCAACTTGAAGTGAAGGGTTCCATTGCTTCCTGTCTGGATACAATCGTACAGATTGTCAGCCGGTCGCTTCTTGACGTCACGAATGATTAAGCCCGTGAGATCGGTATAGAGATCTTCCTTCAGCTGCGCAAATTGGGCGGCATGAGCGGCTTCCGCAGTTATGGCAGCATTGGCACGGTTCGCTCCACTCTTGATGGCACTTCCAGGCACCCTGGCTGCGGCACTTTCAAGGCTGGCTGCAGTATTCCGGGCCGCTGCCAGCTTGGTTTGTAGAGCCTTCACCTCAGTCTGCGTGGAGGAGAGCTGTCCTGTAGCCTCCTCAGCTTGTGTCTTCAGTCTGGCCACCTCCGCATCCCGTTCCTTCAGCTGTCTTTGCAGCGATCTGCTTTGCTGGCCAAGCGCTTTCTGCGCCTCCAACTCTGCCTTCAGGGAGGCGATCAGGTTATTGGAAGCATTCGTCATAGATTCGCACTGTTTTCGGAGCTTTTCCATGTTGGCGTTCGCTTCGACAATCCCTATCTCTTTCAGGTTCCGATACCGATTCTCCAGTGTGTCGCATTTCTTCGTCAAGTCTCCAATTCGACGGCGCAATTCAGGCTCGTCGGCCGTCCCGCTAAGCCTGGATTTCGTAGGGGAATTGTATACGGATTGCCGGCGTTTAGTCGGAGATCGTGACACTGACCGGGACTCTATCGGCTCGTCCTGGAGCATGGTCTCGTCTACAACGTCTGGAGCAGCGCTGTCTTCTACCGGCACATCCTTATTTTCCTCCGCTTCGGCTTTCCGTCGTTGTCTTTTAGGAGGTTCGGGTCGCTCTTCGGGCTTGTCCAGCGATTTACGTTGTCGGCTACTCGATGGAGTGTACTCGAATCCGCCATCGGTTTGAACGGAGCTTAGTGCGGTGGCGTTCTTCCGACTACGCGTCGGTAGAGGTTTCGTAGACTTGGTGGGCCTTGCGGATTTCGTAACGCTCTGCGAACCACCATCTAGCTCATCGTTCGACACGGGGGCGCTTTCTGCCCCCTGATCGCCCACTTCTGGTTGTGATTCTGCGACCTCGACCTGCTCCTCCGCGGCTTCTTGGGATGCCTGGACCGAGTTTCGGCTGCCCTTTGGTCTGCCCCTTCGGCTGCTCTTCTTCACCGGCGCCTCTGACGGAGCCGGGATGCTGGATTCGCGCGCCGACTGCGCAAGCGGCTTCAACTCGGCCGACTTGGACCGGGGCCTGCCCCGTTGCTTCTTCGTAGGGCGCTCTCTTCCCGAATCATTGGCCTGCATGCCCTCATCGCCAGACCCAGCCGGGCCGGACAGGGCAGCAGCGGCCTTTCTTTTCGGCATGGTAAAAATAGGGAGATATGAGTACGGGATATATATAGGAGATTGGATAGATTGGACAAGTATATCAACAGAAAAAGGGGCCTGGGATGTACGATCTGGACCTCCCGGGGTGAATATTCTGCGGATGGCTTCGCGTCATGTTGCTGCTAGCTGCGGGCCCGGCCCGACCGCCGCCCGCTGAACAAACAAACAAACAAACAAATCCGCCAAGCACCGAGGGATGTTACACCTGAGGCAGCCGGTACGCCTGGTCTCCCACGCGTGCGCTGCTCGGACGCAGCGTTTGGGGGAGGGTGCGTTGGCTCACATGATTGGGTAAAAGCCACGGAGTGCAGCCAATATACATATAGGTATAATGTACATGTGTATATATCTCTATCAGATAGAATACCACTCATATGTCTCAAAATCCTCCTTCACGAGCTCCCCCTCGGGCACCTGGTCAGCCGTGGCCGGCACCGCCTGGGGCCCAAAGTCCGGTGCCCAGGCCGAGTCCCAGACATTCGGATCACTCAGGGTATTTTGGGGTTGGAGGGCACCGATCCGGAAGTCCAGCTGTTCGCCGGCATCCGACGGCAGGCGCATGAAATAGCGCACACAGCGGGGAATCTCCTCGCGGACGTGGGAGATCATTACGAGGGCTTGATCATCGGTCAGACCGCGAAAGCGGGCGTCCGGAGGAGCGGGGAGGACTTTGACGACGCGCTTGAGGACGAATTCGCCATGTTCGATGAAATTAAGACACTTGTCGCGCACCGAGGCCGGCATCCCCGAAAAGGCTTCATCAAGAATGACGATGTCGGGCCGGTGGACGAGGGCGCGCAGGAAAAGGATGAGGCGCTGCTGGGCGGTGTTGAGCTCGCCGAAGCAGATGGTGTCGGCATATTCGACACCGTGATCGGGATTGTAGAAATCGGTGTCGGATTTGACGAGGGTGGGGAAAATATCGCGTGGGGTGGTGACCTTGACGGGTTTCTGGGTAAGGGAAGACGCAGCATCGGGGTCGAGTTCGGCGCGGAAGAAGCGCAGGATGGCGCTGACGTCGAGGTCGCGCTCGTGGTTCAAAACAGGTTTGGCGAGGAAGGTTTCGGCGAAGGCAGACTCAATGGCCTGACGGATGGTGAGCTGGCGGGGGAAGAAGGCGTGGATTTCCGGGGAGGAGTGGCCAAGACGTGATTGCAGCTCGAAGATGGACAGGCCCGGCCGGCCGGGTTCGGGGAGACGCGAGCGGCCAAAGAGTCGGATGGGGAGGGCGTAAGTCTGCGGGTGGTCCGACGTGATGAGCGACAGCAGCGTCGTCTTGCCTGACCCATTGGCCCCCAGCACTGCCCATCGCTGCCCACGCCGTACCTTCCAGTGCAGTCCGTCCTTGCCTTCGCCCTTGACCGACTGCGTCCAGCCTCCCAGCACGCATTTCTCGCCGTATTGCACTCGCACGCCGTCCATCTCGATGAGCGGCTCACCACCCTTGGGGGCATACGACGGGGGTACCACCGTGACTCGCCCTCTACCATGCAGAGGCGCCAATCGCATGTCCCAGATGAGTTGGCGATCGAGATGGCCGGCGTCGATAAACTCCTTGGCCTGCTCGTACGTCTGATGGACCCACGGGTCCTCCTTGGCGGAAGGCTTCTCGTAATCGCCGAATTTCTTCCAGACACTAAACACCTTCTCCGCTTCCGCGCGGGGAGCTTGTAGCAGAACCCGGTTGGAGTTCCCCAAGACCATGATGTGCGTGATCCAATCCGGAAGGGGGTCTTGTGGCCGTAGGGCGAGGACGAGTCGGGGGTCGGACTTGGCGGCCAGGCGCTGCAGAAGGCTGGAGATGCTTCGGACGGTGGCTGGATCAAGACCCATGAAGGGATCGTCGAGGAGGAGCAACTCGGGCTTGCTGAGGAGGGCCTTTGCGATCCGGGTCCGTCGGGTCTGGCCATTGCTCAGGTTGGCCACCGGCATGTCGAGCAACTCCTCCAGCCGGAGCTCGGAGATGATCTGCGTCAGCAACTGCTCATCGTGGACCTTTCCGTCTTGCTCCGACTCGAGCGGGTTCAGCGAGGTCTGACCCTTGAGATACTGACGGACCGACCAGTCTGTTTCCTCCCGGAGACTCTCGTATCGCGCGCTCAGGTAGGCTCCGCGCGTGCCTCCAATGGCCCCGGAACCCTCCCCGCTGAACCCAATGTATTGAATCGCGTTGCCAGCAAAGCGCAGCCGGGGATCTTTTTGGGCGACCTCGTCGGTGAGTAGATAGGGGTAGCTGCGCGCGGTGGGTGGCGTGCAGATGTATTGGCCGCGGAGCACATCGAGCATTTGCGTCCGTCCAGCGGAACCGACCACGGCCCAGGTCTGCGGGGTGAGACGCCCGTCCTTCGTGGGGGTCGACCGGGAGGGCAGGGTGAAGTTGAAGTCGGGGAAAAGGGGAGGATTATGGCCTTGGACGGCATCGTCGGAGGTGGGATAGTTCTCGTAGAAGGTGCCATTCTGGATGCGAATGAGCGGGGGCGCGACCGATGAGACGGAACGAGCGGAGCGAAGGAGATTCCAAGGCCGTAGCGGCCGTGCTCTCCAGGCCAGCTGCAACATGGTCTAGATTGTGAGGTCGAGAGAGTTGCGGGCTGGAAAATCCGGGGTGGAAAATTCTGCGGGTTCACTCCCGTGATATCACTGGCTACAATTATACTTCGCTACTACTACATTGTACGAAATAGTGGCTACACAGTAAATTATAAATACCAGAGCATGAGATGAAATGCCATCTTGACAATTGTTGCTCCTATCCCCGTTGCACTGACGCCTTAAATACAGTCACCAATGCGCCCTGTCTGTACTGCTCGGGACTCACGGTCAAACGCGCCAGGGTATTCACAAGACCAACAACGATACAGCAAGGACCTCGACGAAAGCACTGAAACGAACCCCCAAGCCAAGCGCCTCCCCGAGCCCGTATCAAAATCCGACTGCCAAACGCCTCTAAATCAACCACACAAGCCACACCAATCCCATCAGCCACAATAAGACATACCTGCGCCACCCCCAGAGGCGCACGGGCCCCCGCAAGTCTGGCCGACGTAGAATCGGCGATTCGAGACCAGAGCTTGAGGCAGAGGTGGCAGTGGCGGAGAAGAGCACTACCAAGAGATCTACTAACAAGTACCAATCATAAAACACTCAATTCCCGACGCCCATAGTCTTCCCCATGCATGCCATCCTTCATGTACTCGTCACTGTCCGTTCGCGCCACTATCGCCGGCCGGATCTTGGTTCCTACGAACCCGCGGCGGTCCCGGCCGGTACGTCCCCGTCCCAGCCAGTTGTGCTTCAGCTCCTTGCTTAGAAGTTCAATCTGCTCCTGTGCCCGGTCACCCGTCTGCACGCTCGCCAGGACGCTGAGGCACTGCAGCATCCGTCCTACCGTCTCCGTGATCAGGTGGGACGTGTCCATGTGCGAGGCCCGGTGGATGATGCTCGGCCACTGCGTCGGCGACGAGAATGACTGGAAGATGAGCTGGTCCGGGTTGGACGTGTTCGATGCCGCCCGGCTGCGGTTGCAGCTGAGCGAGTCCGACGAGTAGCTGTTCGCCGCCGCGTTGAGCAGTGTCGATGACTGCGAGCTGTAGCTGCCGAACCCACCGTCCAGCGACGCCGCTGTTGCCGGCCGTCCGCCATTGCTGTTGGTACTGCTCTTGGTCGTCACGCTCAGCGCTGCCGGGCCCAGCTTGATGCTGTCCAAACTCAGCCGCGAGAATGTCGCCTTAAGGACGTCGTACCGGTACAGGATCACCATGTCGCGAAATGCAATCAGCACCAGGTTGCGCACCTCCAGCTCGCAGCCCGGGTACTCGCCGTTGAACGCCGATGTCCAGAACTCGCTCGCCTCTCGTCGGTTCATCACGGATCCGCAGCCCTTGAACTCAAGATCCAGTGGCAAGAAGACCGCCTGAATGAATGGGAGGATTGTGCCGAACAACAGCATCCATACCTGTACCAGATGAGGGACCAGCTTCTCATCTGGAATACCGTTCAATGTATGGTTCAGAGATGCACATCCCGTTTCTAACAACTCCCGCAAGTCATCCACGACCGAGGTTGGAGTACGTTTCTGCACACAGCGCTGGATGTGGATTAGAACCAGTTTGTTGAGATCCTCGATGGCAATGCGAACATCCTCCCCGTCGAATATGACCATTAACTTGGCCTTGAGAAAGTCCCATGCGTCCTCCGGTGTCATATTATTCAATCCAAACCCCTGGAGCGTCTCCCGGAGAGCAGCCTCTGCCAGAACCCCCGTGGAGCTCCCCAGCGACGACGGCCCTGGAAACCCCCCTGATGTACCACCAGGCCCGGATGAGCTCGCCACCCATTCCAATTGCTCCGATTCTTGCGCCTTCTCTTCCTTCTTTTTCTCCCGTAAACCGTGTAGCAGGTCCAGACCGCTCACACTTTTCCCAAACGTAGTCGTCACCGCACCCGGCGAAGCAGGTGTAAACGAGTAAAGCGACTGAGGAGCATTCGGATCCGACGGCTTGGAGTTACTCGACGCTGATGAAAGGGGCAAGTTGTAATGATCGTCCCGATCCTTCAGGTCCTTCAGCTTCAACTTCTGACGCGATAAAAAGTGGTGCTTGTGCTTATCCTTATCCTTCTCCTTCTCCTTCTCGACCCCCACCGACTTATCTGCTGGGACCACTGTACTTGCGGACGCATTTGACAGATTGTACATAGACGTATTATTTGATGGAAACGTATCAGCCAAGCTTGTGGTGGACGCACTGACGATCCGCGACAAACCCCCGCCCGGGAACCCCATCTTGCTCGGTGATGGTAAGCCCCGATCCTTGCCGACGCCGTCCTTATCGCGACTGATCCCAATATGCTTCGGCTTCGAGAACAACTTCATCTTCGATTTCTCGCCCTTGTGCCTATGCTCTCGCTCCGCGGGGATTTCCAGCCCGGGCGGCTGCAGCGCCGGATTGCGGGGAAACACCACATTTGCTGCCGTCGTCGCGGCATGAGTATGTCCTCCCGTCGTAGACCCACTCTGATATGACGTCCCAGATGCACTGCCGGAGGTTGGGGGCGCAAACAAGGGTGCTGGAGGTGGCGGGGGAGGAGGGGAAGCGCTCCCGCCTCGCCTGGACCGGGAGCCGTCCTCGGAAACACCCCGCACGGTAGGAGGGCGCTTGGGGGGATTCTGTGTAGCCGTCTGTTGTTGTTGGAGCATAGCCGCCTGGGCCGCGATTCTGGAGGCGGAGATGGTGGCCTCGGAGGACGCCGTGGGGAGGGACGGCTCGAAGAAGCCCTGCGAGTGGTGGCGAGAACGTCTCTGCATTTCCGAGGGACCACCGCGACCCGACGGTTTTCTGCTCAGAATCTCATTATGAGGCATGAAGGAGACGGGAGATCGGACGGTGGAGGAGGAAGAGGAGGTGATTGGGGGAACGGCGGTGGTGTTGGCGGTGACGGAGGAGGTGCGTGGCGGTCGAGGAGAGGAGGTCAGCGACACCGCACTGGGGTTGAAGGCCGACTGGCGGGGTGAGATGGTGGTCACATTGGAGGTGATCGAGGAGGCATCGCTGCCGGAGGAGGCGGGGCGGGCATAGGCGTCGTCGAAGGAGCGGCGAGGGGGCTGTGGCAGTAGTGGAGGAGGAGGAGGAGGAGGAAGTGGAGAGCGAGACGACCCTCGCTCGGGCGACACCGGCGAGCGCAACATCGTGGGCACGGACAGACTCACGCGACGGTACGTTCCATGATAGGAGAGGGGAAAAATCAGAGAAGTACCCCTTGGATGTATCATGTACCTACAACAACCCGTGCGAGGCTCCAGCCGTCGCATCGCTCTATCACGTGTCTCTCGGTCACGTGTATCCATTGCCGGTCCAGCAAGTGTAGAATTCGCGCTATTGATGTGTCTCCCTTTGAGACTCTTCTACTGTAGGACACCTCCGTCTATCCGAGAAACCTTCTACACTTACGGTCTACGCCCGGGGACCACCTGGTCAGAATTGACATGGCGCTTACGCTTGCCAAACGGCTGGGTCTCGAAAGCAACTTCAACGTTCTCACTGCATTGTTACATCGTACGCAACATGGTCGACCTTCAACGCAGGATCTCGGGGACGCAGCGCGCAATCAAGGTAGGCATACTACTAACGGAGAAACGCAGCCCACGGGATCTGACCAACGTCGGAACTAAAGGAAAGGTAGTCAAAAAGATCAGGCTTAACATGTGGCCCTGGAGCCTGCGCATCCGATACTCACTGCCCTGACAGCTCTGAGCCCAGCCACCAGACATAATCACATTCCATCAGACCAGCCGTGAGGACTTGGTGGTGCTGCTATGGTTGTTGCTCGACGGGTCGGCAGACTCACTCGCTCGCTCTTCGAGCTCAAGCAGGAGCCGCAGGAAGGCGAGTGAGATCAACGATTCGGACCATTCAACCGAGTGCGCGGCGGTGGAATTCATTAAGATTATAAGGTCAGCATGTACCAGATCAGGGAGCGCTCGGGGCTACTGTCCACTTGTCCTAGAGATGCTTCCAGAGCGATTGCTCTCAATTCCATGAACCAAAGCAGCGCCACGCCGGGCCTAACGCAAAAGGGGAAATCGCTCGATTTTTCCGCAGGAATCCTGTACAGTAGTATACATGCTCTTTTGTGTCCAGCGAAATGAAAATTCACGCAACGCTAATCGTCGTCAGGCATTATCCGCATTCTTCGCGCTCTCCGCCGCCTTGGCAGCGAATTTCTCCCGGGCCAGTTCGAGACGTGACTTGGGCTTTTCCCCGGTGTCGAGTCCCTTGGCTTTGGCGGCCCACTCGCCCCGACGGCGCTTGTAAAGATCCAGCGCCCAGTTTCGCCAGACGGCGCGACCGACGAAGGAATCTCGCAGGGCCATTTCGTGCTGTGTGAGTTCTTGGGCCATGCGCTCTTTGACGAAAAAGAGGTCCTTGGTGGCGGGCCAGAGGGCGTCGACTACGCGGGATCCACTGCTGTCTAACGCAAGCTCTTCGAGGTGGCCTGTGAATCGAACTGCGAATTGACGGCGGAACTGAGAGGTGGAAGTGGGGAGGGCGATGGCTTTTTGAATGACGTGCGATGTGGTCGAATCTTTGGCGAGCGTGACGAGCGATTCGGGCGACTGTGCCAGCAGACTGGAATAGACCAAGCCGCTTAATGGACCCGGAGCAGTCAGCATGGTCTGAAGGAAGAGAGAGTTGTGTAGTTTGGCGCCTTTTTGGTTGGCGTCGGGTCCGAGTTCACTAGGCTTGTGTTCTTGCCCTTCTGCGTCCTCTTGCGCACCATCAAGCCCGAGCATCTGGTTCAGTCGCTTGGCCGGGTCGCTGTCGTAGGCCGTTTCGAGGACGCGGGCAATAGGGGCAGTGTCGACGCCACGCACGATGCATCGCTCAATCAGCGTCTTGGGAACAATCACTCGGGACCGCTCAACAAGGTTGGGGATTTGAGGGACAAGAAGTTCCACCGCGTTCTGGAGGTCGTCTTTTCCGAGTCTCTCAAGCACCCGGAGAACGACGTATCCGGCGGTGATGTTGCGCGCAAGCGAGCGTAGTTGATCGCGCATGAAGTTCTTGTAAAGTCCCTTGAACAGCTTTCCTGGCATGCAGCGCACAATCGTCTCGAGCAGACGAGACCCCACCGGATCGTAGAGTAGTCCGCGAACGAAGACGGTGCTTTCTGTGCCCTCTGCAAACTCATCGTCTGGGATCAGTCTCCTGATAATCGACTTAGCATCCTTAGCACTCGACTTGCCGAAATGCGAGAGCTCCAAGTACACCAGCACTTGAAGAACCGGGTTTCCGACCGGGTGTGTAGCAAGTGCCCGGAGATACGTATCATCAAGGACAGACACCATATCCTGCATGACCTTCTTCAATGTACCCTCGAACGACTCCGGTACGCTCCGCTTCTGCGCGACCGGATTCTCCTCTTGCGCATCGGTGCTGAGTACACCATGTCTCTCCTTCTTTCGACTCGCGACGATCGAATCACTCAAGGACAAATCGACCGGCTCTCCCGCCAAAACGAGCAGAAGAACCCGAATGGTATGCGACGCAAACCGCTCCGTCAACAAGTATCCCCAATTTCCTTCCAGTTCCTCAATGACCTTCATGAACATCTCCGCCAGCGACAAGTCAGGCTCCGGCTCATCGCCCTCCTCATCCTCCTCATGATTCCTCTTCGACTTCGACACCTTCTGCGTGACTCCAGGCGCCGCATGAATAAACAAAGTCTCACAACAATGACTCGCAAACCGATGCTGAACCAAGTGCAGAAAATGGCCGATGAACTTGCTGAACAGTCTCCGAATCTGGCGCATGTCGGACATGGAGATCAACTTCTCCATCAGGCGGGAACACGACTGACTGCACGCGATCTTCAATTCCTTCCCCTCAGCTTCCTTATAGACACTATCGACGAAGACCCTCCGCTCCTCCGCATCGCCGAACTGATTCGTTTCCAACACCTCGTTCGCACGGGAGAAATATTCCTGCTCCTCGGGGTCGAGAAGACCGTAGAAGGGCATGTCGCCGACCGGTGCACCCTCTTGGTCCTCCTGTCCAACATCACCATCCATGGGGATATAGTCCGCTCCCTCAACGATGTCGTTGGTCTCGTCGGTCGAAGGCTTCAATCGCTTGGGCACATCGTCTTCGGGGGCATCGTCGCGCTTGCGCTTGCTGGCCTTATCGGCGGCTCGGCGGCCTCTCTTGACCTTCTCGCGAGGCATAATTTGATGACCGAAATCCGCGGCGTAGAATTGAGGCGAGTGGGAAAAGGTGACGCGGGGAGGTGAGTGAAAATTCTGCGTGGGTTTCTCGTGAGTGTTGCTGGCTGCGGGCGCGGCCCGAACGGCGCCGAAACGGAATAGGCAAGGAAACATCCGTATCTACGGAGTAGAGAAACTGTACTTTGTCAACCGAGTCTACGATGACTGGAAAGGTCCTGGCAGCTACTGATGGCGTAGCTTATCCTAGATAGCAGGAATTCAGTGTCCACTGGCGTTAGTCTACTATTCTACGAATACCACTGGACCATGAGATTGGAGCAGATTTTCTTCAGAACGACTATCTACTAGGGACAACGGGCCTAGAACATCTTAGCTAAGCTCTAGGCGCGGTCCGCTAATCCCTTGTCACTAGCGAGTATATACTTCCCGAAGATCAAATGGGAGACAATCATAAAAACAAATCCAAGGAAAATACGCCGAAATCCCGAGCCAGAAATGAGACCACCAGAGCGGCGATTGCGGTGTTATAAAGTCTGTTAGCGCCCATCATGATGTTTATGATTTTGATGTCCTGAATTACACTCGGGGTGCATACTATATATACGTACTTGGCTCGGTAGCCGTAGACCCCCACCTGAGGATGGTAGCCAAGCTCTATCACAGGAATTCTAATTGACAATGTATCGGAAGAACAGATGATGGAGGACTTTTTAGACGGATAAATTGCCTCTGAAGGGAGAGATATGTATGTACAGATGTTTTAGTAGGATGAGTAAAGTGTGCGAGATCTGTGGGGACCTGCACAGAAATTCTACCCAACATGAACTTATGAGAAGGGGGGATGGAAATATCCGATCCGACTATCCATCCAACTCGCAAAGAAGCTTTTTAAGGTGCCCTTTCTGGTGCCATTGAGATAGTTTGGAAGAGGGGCAATTGTAGAGGGTCAGCCAGCTATCCGTAATCGAACTTTTTTCACTTGGATCCCTGATCGAGATCGCCATGCGGAGGGTCGCTTAGCTTGTTGTTCCGCCCAAACGGTTACCTGTGATCATGCTCTAGAAGAGTCAATAGGATCAAGGGTGGTTTGGGGATCAAACGGTGTCCCCGTAGTTGGTGGCTAGGGGAGAGACGGAGGTTCGGTGCTGCGCATCACTGTCGCTTTCCAATCCTATCCACTTCTCCTGGTTCGGAACAAGTTCATGTTTGATCTATGACCATGAGAGCTATCACCTAGCACACTTGTTGATGCCAGGCAGATAAGTAGTGGGCAGCTAAATAGCAGGACTTTCCCATGCGTCGCGCTTGGTCTTCATCAGAGCGGATTGTTTATGCGGGAAGGTGACCTCGCCTTCTTTGTAGAAGCCTGACTCTTGGAGGTAGGTGATTAATTTCACGTTATCCACCCGTGGCTCCAACATCACAGTTTGAGTCCGCGAATCTGCCAACCAGCAATAATGCACCAGCGCACTCAACCAAATTGGCACACGATGGGGCCCGCGGAATTCCTGCTCCCCGATCAAAAGGTGAATCCCGCGGTCATAGTTGTCGGCGCCACCGATCAACGGGCCCAGCCGGTCTTCCTTCACCCAGTAGAGCTCGAAATATCCAAAAGGCTTGCCATCCCAGCAGCCAATCACAGGGAAACTGTGCTTACTGTTGAGGTTCGTGCGGAGAAACTTCTCCTGGTGCTCAATGGGGCCGGCTTCGCCCCAGCTGGCATTGACGCGGGGGTCGTTCATCCACTTGTGGAGAAGGTCGAGGTCCGATGGTCCCGCGGACAGGGGCTGGTCGAGACTGCTAGTCGAGAGGTTTGGAGTGTGGCCCGGGGTGGGAGTTCCGGGACCTGATGCAGGGACTCTGTGGGCGGAGGGTAGGTAAGGGACCCGGAAGGAGAGATATTGCTGCACACTGGGGATGTAGCGGATGTAGAAGACGTCGCCCTGGTGCGGGGGCTTGGGGCGGATGGGGTGACGGACGCCGTTGGTGAAGGTGTACTGGGTCGGGGGCGGGGGAAAGTACGTGGGAAGATGGCTGGTAGAGGCAAAGGGCCCCTCATTGGGGATGTAGTGCGCGATTTCCTGACCGGCGGTGTGGCTAAGATTGAAACTGTCGCGCGAGGGTGAGGCCACGCGCTGAATGAAAGGAGAGCCGGACACGGCCTGGGGAATGGACTGCGGGCTGAGGGTAAAGACAAATAGACGGGGATCGATCTGCCAAAAGCTGCGTTGACTGATGAACATGTTGGCCCAGGCCTGAGGGTCGTAGGGCTCTGCACCCACCGAGGAGTCCTCGGAGGCGATCAGGCCCATGCGCTCGAGCTTCTGGAGAAGGGTACGGCCCTTGAAGAAACCTTCGCGCTTAATGTATACCCGCCAGTCGCCTTTGGGCTGGCCAGCAGCCGGGGTGTTGGCGGAGGCGTCCGTCTGCAGACGGCTGTCGGGCGGGGGCTCATGGAAGTACCACCACAAGGTGACCCACAGCATCATGGCAATCTGGCGGGTGGGCGAGCTGACGGGCTTGTAGTCGCTGCTGGGAGGGTCGACGATGTAAGAGATGTAAAGAAAGTCGTCGCGCAGGGTGGGTGTCGTGAACCGGGTGACGCGGGCCCGGTGCTCATCGTCGCGAGCTCGACCCTGGTCGCCATCGTGGGATTCCACGTCGGTATCCGGGCGGTTGGTCGAGAGGACGATGTTCCAGCCAGGCGGGACGATGGAGTGGGTTGGGTTCACGTCGTTCGACTTGAAGGTGAAGCCACCAAAGACGGGGGAAACAGTCAAGGACTGCCCGTTGGGTAGATGACACATGTGATTGCGCATGTTGCCGGACGAGAGGGGAGAAGGGAGACCTAGGAGAGAGAACAGGAGAGAGGAGGGGAGTAGACGAGGGGAAAGAGGCGCAGACGAAGGAAAAGTTAGGTTGGAGGTGAGGTTGGAGCCTTGGAGGGCCGATGTGGGATGATGCGCTGTTGCCCCTCACCGATGACGATCGCGCGGCGCCAGTAACTAGCAGCCTTGACAGTTGACCGGCCTGGCTAAGACTTCAGAGATCAAACCCGTCCGACAGCAGTCCGAACGAATGCTGGGACTTGGCCTCCCTGATGAAGCCGAACTAGTGAACCCGATGGCCGCACGCGAGTCCCAGGTGCAGGGGAGTGAGTGAGATGAACCGGAAAGACATAGACATAGTAGTACTAAGTAATAATAGTAGCAGTGACCCACCGATACAATAATGTCTCTCATGTGTGGCTTATTTTGGTGGCTCCCGATTCGCTGCAGAAAGTCTCCGCCTTGGCAGTCACGCCGATGCGGAACCCCTATCGGGCTCTTATCATGTGGGTGGTTTTTTTCTTTTGGCATCCGAGGTGCAGAGTATGTATGAATTTTAAGGTCTGTCTAGTAAAGTGTAAGAGATGTCGGATCCAGTGCATAGGCACATGGGTTATCTCAGCTACAGATGAACTGGATCAATCAGGTTAGTGCCTACACCCGATAAATCATCTTCAGCAGTTGGACGCGGGCAGAGCCGGCAGCTGTACCAAGTTACCATGATAGTGTATGAATGGGTCCGGGTCTATAGAGCGGACCAAGGAAGTAGGTATTTTTTAGGATTAAACGGGGTCCCCTGTTCTGGAGAAGATTAGTATGGGATTCGCTGGGAAACCCTCCGTACGAAGCTCGGTACAGGGGTCGCTTCTTATGCATGGAATGCTCGATTGAAATGGTTCGTAGAGTATACAGGCGGTTTTGACAGCGATTTTGGTCTTGTTCTGTGTCAGTTTGTATTGACTTGCAGCCCAACAGATCGCTGGCAGGTGTGATTTAGCTCGTTTCTTCAGAAGACGCGAAAAGGCGAGGCAGCAGAGGTAGGAGTCGCGGAGAGGTGAATCGTATGAACAGGATGTATCTAAACAGTGCGTGCTTGGGGAGCTGCTTCTTCCACTGGCTCCTCCAATTGGTTTTCCTCAGTCGAAAGATTGACGGCAGCGGTCTCGTCCTCAGTGCCATATGAGTCAACATCGGCGTCAGCAAGTAATTCTTTCTCCTCCCGCATCTGCTTGGCCAGCGCAATCTGGCGTCGAAGAGAGGCGTCCTTTCTGAGTTTCTTGTTGGCCGAGAATTCGGTCAAGGCCCTGACCATCCGCTCCTCAACCAGCTGCTTGACATGGGAAGCCAACGCCCGATCCGTAAAGACTCCACCACACCGATAACTGAGCCACAGATACAAGATGACCGACTTGTGCAATGTTTCCAGCTCGTTGAGATATTCCTTGTTACCGGACACAGGCTCTTCGAGAATCTCGAGATTGAGCGCCTCAATATCCAACAGACGACCGTCGGAATGGTCGGCGACGCATTGGATAAAGGCAACGGCAGCGTCGCGGCCGGCGATGAGCCTAGTGTGCATAGGCGCTGCCATGAATGTGAGCTGGTCTGCCATCCGCAACCCGTCTACGGTATCAATGACCTCGGCGTTCTCCAGCTGATTCCGTGGATCGCACAAGAAAAACAATGGGTGAACCTGCGAGACCACCGACAACCGCTTGACTAGATATTCCAGTGGAACATTTTGCGGGAAGTATGCTGAGATCTTCTGGAAGACCGAGTCCGGAGGGAGGATCCCGGCAGACACGAGCGGAGGGGGTTCTGTCTCCATTGCCTCGCGGATGTAGAGGAGATCGATATCTTCTAAAGAAGTCACCCAACCAACGTTTTCGTCTTCCGAGCCGTCTGATTCATGTTGCATGGCAGATCGATATCGACCAGCCCGTCCACCAATCTGCTTGATCTCGGGTACGGTCAGTCTTTGGAGCCCGCCGGGGACACGCTTAATCAGAGTTTCGAATATGACGCGCTTGCAGCTCAAGTTCAGACCCATACCAATAGCGTCACTGGCAACTAGAAAATCGTAATCGTTGTCAGGGTCGTTGAAGAGCCTGGCTTGTTGGGTCCGGATCTCGGCCGGCAGACTTCCGTAAACAATAGCCGCTCGCTTTCCAGTGGTCTTCTCGATGTCTGCTTTCAAAGCGTGAATACCGACACGGGAGAATGACACTAAACAGTCTCCCTTCTGGAGATTCCTAAGATCGCCCTTGAGACTTCGATTCTGAACTTTCAATGGGTTCAGGCGCTCGTAGCGGTGGATTTCGAGCTTGTCACCCGTCAGAGCAGCCAGCTCTTTAATCAAGGGAACCGCCCTCAGTTCACCGCAGAGATGAAGTTCCGTGGCACGAGCCCCGAGCACGGCACGAGTCCAAGCCCACCCTCGATGAGGGTCCGCGATCATCTGGATCTCATCAATGACGCCCACCTCGTAAGTGTCTCCCAAGCTAACCATCTCAACGGTATTGCTGACGATCTTGGAGGGCTTCCCATCCTCCGCGAGCTTCACTTCGTCACCGGTGATGAGACTACAGGAGGTTCCATTCGCCTGAAACCGGTTGAAGACCTCCTGTGCCAGTAGCCGCAACGGCCCGGCGTAGAATCCACGACCGGACGTTTCCAACCGCTTCAGCGCATGGTACGTCTTTCCCGAATTTGTGGGCCCAACATGCAGATGGATGGTTCGCTGAACCGCGCGTGCTTGTGGGTACCACTCTGCTGGCCGTCGCAGATCTGCCATTTTCTTCTGTGCTTCGAGATTGGGAGCCGAATATTTTGAGGTGACATCCTCCGCGTACATATGAAATTCCAATTCACTTGCGAGGCCCCTCAATCCGTTTTGGAGGTATGATCTAAGCAGCGTATTCTTGACGTGGCGTAACGAACCAGCGCTCTTCCCATTCTCGTCCATTTTGCAGGCGTTCAGCATAGTCCGCTCGAATCGGGCCCAGTTGGCCAATGCGGGATCGCGCTGATCCGACAGCGTTTGCTTGTAGATATCTAACGCGTGAGATACCACCCCCGTGAAATCTTTTGCCGCTAGCGTTTGTCGGGAGTTTAGTTTGGAGGCGTAATGCGCGGAAGAGGGGGACTTTCTCGAAGAAGAATTGCCATCGCCTTTATTCGGAGGTTTCCTGGACGATTTTTTGCCCCTCTGCAGGACAGGAGATGTCGCAAAGGTCCGCCTTATGGGAGGAGACAACACCTGAAAGGTGCAGAAGAGGCAGTGACCACCTCTGCTGCGCCATGACTGCATTCCTCCGGACTCTGTTGTCGGAGACCAACTTTATGTCGAGCAATGGCCGTTGCGGTTCGAACCTGCGGAGGTTCTGCGGAGATCGGAAGTGTAGCTGGGAAGAGAGGCGAACGGACGAGGATCCGGGTGGGTGATGAGAGAGAAGAGCAATCACTGCATCTTCCTGCACAAGCGGACCCGAGGCGCAGGCTGCGTAGATTAGAGGCAGGTAATGGATTGGGAGGCGTTCAGGTTGAAGGGGTTATAGTAGCTGTAGGGGTGAAAATTCTGCGGGTTCGCCTCGCGTGTCCGTGACGGCGTGACGTTGCTGGATCCTGGCTGGCGGCCGCGGGCACTCACGGTCCGAACGGTGCCGAAACGAATTAGGCAAAGGCGGGGTCGGATCGGAACAATCGATAATCCAGCTCACCTCCGCGGCCAGTTGTTGCTTACTAGGAATGGGTCATTTTAGTGGTGTCTGCTGCGGTATCGACTCCAGTTCTATACGCGGGGATTTCCCGTTGCTTGGGGCCTGGGATAATTTATAGAGACTCGCTGGCACGCTTTGAGAAACACTCGCTAGAGGAACACGATCAAAGGAATAAGAACACATCAGGCAATTCGCAAGCCTCCGAAATCGGGTAGTACCAATGCCGACCCAAGTCTATAAAAGCACTAATCCACCATCTATAACCAAAATTATTAGCGCTGGGAGCGCTGCGACCGCAAGGTCGATTGTCGACGGATGATATCGCCGTTCATCCATGTTTGGCTCGCCCGGTCTTTCGGATCAAGACTCGTGGAGGCCCCGTGCTCGGGCCGAGGCTGGGATTGCTGGCGGTCCATGGACATCTGGCTGAGACTGGAGGCGCGGCGACGCATGCGCCGTTCCGCATCTGCAATCTCGTTTTGATTAAGAGATTCGGACGGGAGCAGAATGGCCCGATCCAGTGCATAGGGTAGGCCGCGATGGCGGCCACGAACCTGCATCGCAATGATGACAAGCTTGGAAAGAACCTGGAACTGACTGGAGAAAGACGCATTGACACCGGGGTACCCGAGCGAGAGGCCAACAGTGCCGTACGCGGACACGACCTCAAACAGCACCGCCCAGATCTGGAATGAATACTCGTCCTGCTGCTCGAGGCGCTTGCCTTCGACGATGGCGATGATGAACAGTCCAAGGAATACGTACCACAGATCAAAACTCAGCTGCTTGCGCAAATGCGCTCCGATATAGCTGGGCGGCGTCTGGGCATCATCCGAGTCATCTTCCTCTGAGGCATAGATCCCAAGGCTCTTCTCCTCGTACACATTGGTGCGTCGCAGGGAAATGGCAATAGGAAACACGGATATATACATCATGATCATGTAGGATACCTGAACGGCTGGATGTAGGTCCGACACAGATACAACGGAAAAGCCAGCGGTTCGAGTGCACGCTGCTTGGAAGAGACCGTCAAGGACACGGATGCCAGTGGACAGGGACGTCACAGTGGAATCATTTAGATCCAAGATAATGAAAAAGATCAAGTCAATCCCGTTCATGGCCACTAAAATCGCGAAAAGCCACCACGTTGCATTCCTTGGAAACAGTAGAGTGAAGCACCGACGCGGATGGTCCAGCAGAAAGCGTAGTTCCTCCCACAGCGGGGTTTCGGCGCGCGTAAATTTGGATAAAACCCAGATTATGAGGCGCAGCATACAAGGAAACCCTGTATTACCGATAATGATCAAGAATGTCATGAGGAGTAGCGGGAATACTGCGGTCTGGAACGAGGCCACCGAGTCCGGCGTAAGAGCAAAACCGACATCATTGAAGGCCGACTGAGCGATGAAAATGGCCCACCAAGGGCGCCCCTGTCCGATTTCAGTGACCACCTTGCCCCAGTGTGTTGTCATGATCCAGGGTACGAGGCATATGATGCCCAGGATGTGGAAAAAGACATAGTACGAGATCAAGACCACCGCCAACGTCTTCAAGGCTCGATATTCAATCCCGCCCAGCTCATCTCGTTGCTCCTCGGTCAAATCAACAAAGTTGGAGTTGCGGCCAACTGTGGCATTCCAGCTGAGGTATGGCTGTGTTGACCGATCGCGTTCCTGGGTAAGAGACCGAAAGAGATTGTTCAAGGTCGGTCGCCGCGTCGTGGAGCGGACCAGTGCAGAGGGATCACCGTCGCCCTTGGTCTCTCGGAAGGTGGGACGTGTATCTAATCGGGGAAATGTGGAGTTTCGCGTCCTCGTATGAATCATGTCCGGCTCATTGATGGTAATATGCGGGCCATCTAGTCGCCGCGGTCGATCCTCGTCGTCGTCATCATCATCATCCTTCCCCTTACCATCCTCGTCCTCTCCACTCATGTCGCATGGGCTTCGTTCGGGGTCGGAGGAACTGCTGGACATCTGAACGGGCGGCTTTATCTCCTCCTCATCCTCTTCCAGGACCTGTGGCACGCCGCCATTGTCATACTCCCGAGGACTAGGAATCCGCAGGGCACCTTTGTTCCTGCGCTGATTCTCCAAGAACGCAATGTGGTGTTCCGGACTCAACTGTGCTGGCATCCGCATATTTTCCAGAGTCTTCCCCAGCCCGACCCCCAGTTTGCGATTGATAGCAGTGCTCGGATCTTCGCTCGGGGGCTCTGGTGGCCCCCCCGCAGTGGGCGACGCGGGAGGCGAGTCTTCCCTAGCAGATTTCTTCCTCGCCTGCTGCCGGTCACCCGACTGACCCAGAGTATCACGCAAGACGACAATAGACCGCCCTGCAATGCCAGCTTCCTCCCGGGCGGAGGACTGCCCATCCTTGTCTTCACTTATTGTACGGAGGCGGGAGCGAGTATGTCGGAGGGCTCGCGCATCGCTAACGACATGTTGGAAGCGTTTTTCGAACCAGTAAAGGCGCACAAACACGAGCACGGTATGGATGAAGATCGGGGTGGTCAGCATGGAGACTAGGTAGAGGATGATCTGCTGGTAGGTATGCAGGGTATTGAGGTCGACGGTATTGAGGCCGCTCTGGGTGGCGGCGCCGGCCGCTTGGAAGAGGGCATCGGTGTAGGATAAATCGGTGCCGGGGTAAATGATGATCGAGGCAATGAATGTGATAGCAATGATATAGACATAGTGGATGAGAATAAAGTTCATGCGCAGGGTCTTCATCCATGGAATGCGCGAGGTGAAGCGTGAGGTGACCGAGCTCGCCCTCCGCAGCACGGTGGAAAACATCCTGCGGTTTCACCCGCGACAGGGATTTCGGGGAGAAAACAGACGGAACGATAGCGGGAATTTTTCCAAGAACGAAGGGGGGCTGCCAATCCAGGATGGCTGCCTGCCGATCGGATACGTAAGAAGACAAGGAGAGACCGGCCGCTGCAGGTCAGGGACCCACGATTGCAGCACTGGGGAGCGAGGGAGCGAGTACCAGCATGATTCGAGGAGACAGTAGATAGATACAATGGATAAATGCGATGGAGGCCGGATGGGGAGCAACGAGAGGGCGGAAGACGGCTGCGGAGATGGAAGCGGAGCACAGCAAACCTTCTCTCTGGTCTCGGTCATTATTGGGGCAAATTTGCGAGTCTTAGAGGCTCCAGCCTGTCACATGGCTCCTTCAGGTGCGGTAAAGTCATGTGACTGCGGCTACAGACGGTATAGTTAGTTAGTTAGTTTATGCATATGCTTTGTCATCAACTATACTTCAACGGGTTTACGGGAGTACCAGCAAGGTGATGGTTGATATCTGTTATTACATATTTCGCCACGGCTTTGCTCGCCCTAGGGATATCATACAGTAAATACCATCCCTACATCAACGGGCGTAGCGCACCACTCCGTGGACTCCGGCCCTCATCGCGCGATCGAGTCCGTGATTCCACCGTGGGAAGAGCGCCACTGTGCGACGCCCGCGAGGTAAGTCCGGGCGGGATCGTGATGTGGTGACTGACCACACTGGCAGGCAGCTCCAGCGATGGGATGGAAGTTTCTAGGAGCGAGGTCGGCTCAACCCGGGTCGACGTGGGGCGTGCATGAGACTCATTGTAGAACTGGTCCAGTCGGACGGGATCTCGGCAAAATTCCACGAAGCCGTTCAGGATGTGCTCTGGAGCGCGATAGAGGTTGGCAGAGTCGATGACCGGTTGTCCCTGAAAACGAGGGCTGCCCATGTCGTGCACGGGACGCGCCATGGGGGACAGTCGCGGGGAGAGACGATCACCAGGATCATAGGTGCCAGCGCGCGTGCGGAACTGGTCGCGCTCCAGGCGTTCGTGTCGGGGGATATCTCGAGTCGGCGTGGTCCGCGTGCTGACCAGTCGATTGGCCAGGAAAAGAAAGTCGCCTTCGTCGGTTATCTGTGCGAGGAGGCTCCCAGACCGGTGGATGTACTGCGGGTATCGGTAATCGGGGATGCCCCATGAATAGGACACTTCTACGTCCGCCGGGAAGGCGGATCGGGCTTCGAAATCCAGCACAAAGTCAAACTTGCGAAGCAGGGCTTTTTGAAAGTAATGGCGGTCCGGCGCGGCGGGCTGCGTAAAGGTTGCGGCCTGGAAGAGACTGGGCACCGGTCCCTTGGGAGGAGGAACCTTGAGTTGGACTCGGTACGGCTTGCGGAAAGGCTGCGTCTCGTCAATCGCGCAAGCTTCCGCAATTGGAACCTGAACAAGTTTGAGCCCAAACTTCTCCGCCGTCGAGGCCCACGAGAGCACCGCGTCCTCAATCAGTTTCGCCGTCGTGTTCATCCAGCTCAGCTCGATGTGGAAGCAGTTGTCCGGGTTGTGCAACCGATCGTAGTGAAGGTCGATGACCTCGGGACGATTCGACCGTTTGCGAGGATCGACATCGTACTTCATCGTCTTTGACAACATGATGGCCGCCTTATTCTTCAACTTCGAGGGCGTATTCGGGACCTGCGCGGCGGCCTCATCCAGACTCTCCGACCGGGAATGGCCACTGATGGGCGAGTCTCGCGGGTTATCCCCAGCCGGGGTCGAGGCGATAGGTTTGTCTGGCCGGATTTGAGGGAACCAGCCACCCCGGGATTCCGGGCGCGAGGCGCGGAACTCGCTGGAGATCTGGTAGAAGTAGTTGCCATCCCGGAAATTGTGTCGCTTCTCCACATGCTGGAACAGGCCGTGCTTCATCAGCTCGTTTCCGAATTCCACCGCCTCTTCTCGGCTGTCGATGTCCCGGAAGTTGTGGAGAAGCCAGGTAGTCAGTTCGAAACCAATGAAGCAGTTGTAATGCAATCGCCAATGCCATCTGCGATCCATCATCCGCACGCCCTTTTCGCCCTGGATCAGTTGTGCCAAGGACGACAACCCGATGCTGGACCGCTCCAGCAGCTCTGACTCGGGTAATAGCTGTGCAGGCGAATTGTCCAGTCCGGGATCCGTGAGCAGGATCCGGTCCAACTCAGCCGCCACGACTTCGGATGAATTGCGGGTCTGGTACATGATGTTCAAGGGATTCTGCTCCCGCTTCTTACTGGACGTGTCGAACAGCTTCTCCTCCGGAGGCACGTACTTGTGTCGCTGCCAGATGTGCGTGAGTTGATTGATCCCAAGCAGATGGATTTCTTCTTCATTGTCTTCATTGAAGGACTGCAGTTGGCGCCGGGCGTTGACTTGGAGGTGCATTGGAATCAGCACATAACGCGCCCTCCAGAATTGCAGCTGCTGGGCCGGGCTAAAGAGGTACTCGCGATGTCCGGCCACATAATTATCCGCGTAGTTCCAGTTGTATTCCTCCATGGTCGAATCCAGTCGGATGTGTTTGACTTCATATTGCGGACTGAGGATCGTTCGCATGGCGGGGGAGTACATGGTGAAGTTGTTGATCTGGTGCGACGCCAGCACGGACGAGTTCCGGTGGGTATACCGGGTGACTTCGATTTCGGCTCCATCGATACAAACAAGCCGATGAATCGTGTTTCCCTTCGACAGGAACACGGTGGCTCCGTCTCTTTCCAGACTGTGTGTATCAAACACGTTCGGCGCTTCCAGCGAATACTGCCCGGACACTTCGACAACATGCTTGCCAACCACGATCTGGAAGCCGTGGGAAAGACGCAACGATATCATTTCACGAATAAGCACACCCCTCGTTTTGGGCGGCTCGATGCCCTCCGCATCGTCGTTCGGGAAGACCCTATAGGGCGTTTGGAAATAGTCCGACGCGAGCTCGCTCGCCGTCGGAAATTCTTCTGTTGTCAAGGGCAGAATCGCGGGTGATTTCAAGCTCTTCCACTTGACGACAGCAACATGCGGCGGTCTGGGATATGCATGCTGCCAACGCCCAAACCAACTGGTGTCTCGCAAGACGTCTTTCGGAGTGTTGCACGGGTTGATGGAGCGAACCCAGGGAGCCAAGGCCTTGCTCTGCGGGCTCTTGGAAGCTGTGTCCCGCGAGCCCCCATTGACGGTCAAGGTAACCCTAGGATTTGGCCGTTTGATCCGGCTTTCAGGGCGAGCCTCATCGGGTATCGGAATCTCCGTTGTCGTAGTTGAAAATGATTCCGTAATCGGGCGTTCCCCCTGCTCAGAATCCTGGGAGGGTTGTTTTTGAGGTACTCTGATAGAGATCGGGCGCGAAGGTGTGATGGTCGAGCTATGGGATAGCTTTTGAGGCGTGGTCGGCGTCGATGACAGATCGATTACCGTCTGTGTAGACGCCGAGTCCGATATGCTGAGAGAATCCACGCTCCGAGAATCGGTAAGCATGCCGGTTAGTTTCTTCGGATTTGACGTCGACTGGCCTTTCGCATGCTCGACATTGACCTCCGTGCTCGCCTGGGCCCTGGGAGGGGTAGCGCTAAGACCCGAAGAGCGAAACTTATTGTTCGAGATATCCGTGGCACCCGGGTTGCAGAGGGCGCTTTCAAAGCAGGCTTTTTCGGGGACACCGTCCTCGTGGAAACGGGATGTTTAGGAACCGACAGAGTGGCATCAATATTCCGAGGGGCTGAGAAAGTGGACTGAGCGCGTTCACTAGAGTTGGTTTCATTCTCCCGCAAGCGAGTCACCGACCGAGCAGACAGGCGATCGTGAGCATTCGAGACCTGCACCTCGGGCTCGCTGGTTCGCTTTTGCTTCGGAGGTTTCCGGCGTTGACGCCGGTGAGGGAACGGTTGGAACACCGCTTCGTCGTAGTGGTCCATCCACGTGAGTGCTGAATTCGAAGACTTCCTTGACTTGGAAAAAATGGTGTCCTTGGAACTCGCCATGTTCTGGAGAAACGGCTCTGGTCGTAGACTATCGCTCAACTGGTGTCTGAAAGGGGTGTTACGCGTGAGGGGCATATTTACTGAGCTTAAGCTTGCTGGATTCAGGCCCCTCGCAGGGTTCGATCTTCGAGTGACCCCCTGTCCCTCAAGGAGATAAGGGATGGAGATGTTTGATTGTTCGCTTTCCATCACCCCCATCATCTGGATCTCATACATCCGCACACGCGGCACGAACACCTTCGATTGCTTGGTGACTGTGAACGGAATTGGTGCATTGGGGTCCTTCTTCAGGATGCGCCGAGCCTCCCGGTACGTTTCGGGGTTCCAGTACGAGATGTCAAGCCAATGAGGAATGCCATAGTTCCACTCGCTCAAGCGTGAAGACCAGTGTCGTGCACTCATCCCAGGAAATGAGCTATGCAGGGCCGACTTGGGGGAAAGGTGCGACCCCCTGCTTGCTAAGCTTGCAAATGACAGGCGCATTTCCGGTGAATATCCCCCGACTTGGATGTCACCGCCATACGAAGGACTTGGGGATTTCTGCACCGGCTCGCGGTATTTAAATAGCGGTACTGAATGGAGTGGCATGGGACTCAAACAGACCAGGTCAATGGCAATGCCACGATTGGTAAGCGCTTCTGTCGTAGAGGCTAGAGACTCATATGACACTTCGAAAACTCCACTCCCTGGAGTAATGACAATGATAGAAGTACCCGTATGGACCATGTCGCGATCAATATGATCATACGCCAGGTGGGATGACGCAAGATGAATTGCTTCGAGAATGTTTCCGCGAAGAGCGGAGCTGGGTCGTCCGGCGATGGTTGCAGACTGGGCTTTGGGGGCCACTTTGACCCCATCGATAGTCGGCGTGTTTATATCGTCGGTTGCCTTGAGGATGGAGACATCCCTCAAGAAGGTACGGAAATCCTTCTTCAACTCATCTAGGATGGTGGTCCAATGGCCACTCGCCATATCATTGACTACCACGCGATAGAAATCTCGTGTTGGAGCTCCATTCGGAGTGAACTCGTTGGTCAAAGTTTCGGTATTAAGGCCAGATGTTGGCCCGATGGCCGACGGATCATACTCCACGCGGGTGAATAATACGATTGTGACCAGGTGTCGTGCATCGGAACTGGCCCACCGCTTAAATAACTCTGGTAGGAAGCCATTGATGACTCTGCTGAAGAGAATGTCACCCGTCCCTTCCGCATCGAAGTCCCACATCTCTCGGGACATCTGAATAAAGAGGACATATTTGGCTGATTCGCTTCGAAACACCGGGATGGTCTGCGGAGAGAAGTAGCCCGAGAGGACCTTCTTACCCCGAATGAAGATATTCTTGACCGTCGCCTTGATACTTCCCATGAAGACGATCTTCTGGCCCTTGTAGACGATCCTCTCGGACAACTCGGACATGACCAGTCGCCACATGTCCGAGCGGACCAGGTACTGGTCGCGAAAGGAGATGTCCACATGGGAGGCCGAACATTGGGCCCGTTCCACAATCGAGATATGGACGGCGGAGCGGTTCTTGAACCCAAAGATGTTGGCGACGCTGCTGGTGACTGAGAGCTCGAGTTTGGAATGGCGGGTCTTGATCTCCGGGGGAAGCGGCTTGACGACGAAGAGGCATCTGCCCTGCAACGGGGTCTTGAACTTGGACCTGGGGTCGGCGGGCAGCAACGAGGTCAAGTCGACATGGCTGCCGCGCAGAGACCGAGCCCCCAGCTCGGCCTTGGCCGAATGCGGGGCATCGCCGGCGAAGCGCGCGGGCAGGATCTCGATGATGTCGCCGACCTGCACGCCGGTGTCACTGAAGGCGGCCTGATTGAACAGGATCTCCTCGCGGGAGAAGGTCTCGTCGTGGACCCACAGGGAGCACTGTCGGCGGTCTAGACCGGTTGACGCCAGGCGAGTGACCTTCTCATCGGGGGTCGAGGAGCGATCCCGCGGAGTCCCATGCGGGGGGAGCTCCAAAGTGCGCGAACTGGAGAGGGTGTCGATACTGGCGGCGCTCACCTGCCGGAGGTGTGAGCGCTTCATAGGCCCCCGCAACGACATGGTGGTCCGTCACTGTCGCATGACCATCATTCATTGGTCCGGGGAAATCCTGATGGGCGACACGGTCCAATGTCCATGGAATGCATGGATAACATAGTTAGTAGTTACCAGGAGTACGTAAGTAAGCGGGTGTTGCTGACTCGCTTCACGTGATGTGGCGGGCTGCCGGCGCGGCCCGAATGATGCCGACCCAGAATAGGCAATCCGTCGGGGTAGTAGTAGTATCCATGGTATTATTCTGGTTGCGTTACTCTTGTTGTTCTGCTTTTACGGTGTATCCATGTAGGAGGCCCTCTCGTAATTTCTTGATCATCACTATAGGGCGTTGCATTTTCATAGAAGACCTCGCGGCCTTGCCAGGTACTCTTACTCTATCAGAACTAGTAATATATATTGGGGCACATAGACTCCGTTCAGTAGTACTTCCCAAGTATATATACGTGGAATATTTGTTTAAGTTTCAACAGGTCCGTGGGGTGCTCAGTTGAGAAGTTTGGTAACATGTCCGGGTGCTTTCGGTATTGATTTGGATGTTGTTTGGTTACCTTTCAGTGAGCCCTGGCTTGCAGGAAGGCTTAAAGACCCGGAAGATGACGGGAGAAAAGCAAGCCGGCGAGTAAAACCAGCGATCCGGTCTCTCTATGGCGAATAGCGATTCCATTCAAGATCCTTGATTCGTACGGTCAGTAGCGTACAGACAGATAGTTATACACGACACGGTGCTCCCCAAACGGGGAGAAAACATGATCGAAAGTGACTGAGAGAAAGAGAGAAGTAAAAGCCCAGCGAGAATCTATCCATCCTCACTGTCACTGTCGACATCACTCTCTTCAACGGAAGCACTTGGAGCCCATTTACCCAGAAATCCCTCATTTCTAACAGGATCTTGGAGAGCCATATGATGTGACTCGGCCCATTCCAGGATTTTCGACTTCCGAATTCTTACGGTAGCTGTCTCTTCGCCCGATCCGGTCTCGCCAGCTGAATCTCTCGTCTTACGCCTCATGGCCGGCGTAACAGGCTCAACAACCCCCAGACCCTTTAGAGCCGTGATGACGTCCTCGGTCAACATCCCCGTCGCCAATCCAATGTCCTGCACTGTCATGAGCTCATGGGTTTGTTTCCTTTTCGAATTCTTGGGAGATTTCGGCTTCAGTGGCACGGAGCCAGGCGCCTCTGCTTCTCCGGTTTTACCAACTTGTAGCAATAGATACCTGGCTATTCGTTCTTCCCAGAACCGAGTATAACTCCTGCGGCCCATTTCACTTAGCGGACGTTCCGGCCCGCCTATTAGCCCGCTGTCACGCTCCCAGGAGCTGATCTTGTAACTGACCCCCATCAACAGCTTTCCAAGCTGTTTACGTTGGTATGGGGGAAAAACAAGGATGCAAGCGAGATTGTTGGCATCCCAGGAGAGCTTTTCTTTCGAGAAGAACCCCAGGACGTAATAGTTGTCGGGGTCTTTGGGGTCGGTGAAGACAAGAAGGTAGTAGAGAAAGGATACGACATCGAAGAAGACGGATTTATGGTCTAGGAAGAGTTTCGCGAAGAGGGAAAGGTTCTGCGCGTATAGCTTGTGACATTCTCCGTCCAGCTCCCACACCGAATATCCGCCATGGTCGTAGACTTTGGTTCCGGGAGGTGTGGTTCGGTGTTGGCACAGTCGCGTATGCTGGGCGTAGGCGTGGCTGTCGCACGAATAGCGGAAGCACCAACGACAGACATACAGTCTGTCCGTGTCTTTACTGACGAGGTCTTCCGGGTAGATGGATTGATACCAGGTCGGGAAAAGAAGGTCACCAAGTACGACGTGCTTGACGTTACGGTCGGTGGGTGGCTCGGCGCGTGACGCAGGGTCACTGGGAGCCATTATTGGGGAGGTGGAAAGCGGACGACACGAGGGGCGAATGGCGTAAATTCGCGGGTGGGTCCCCCTTTAATGTCCACTGTCCAGGTCCCTAAGTAGTAAGTACTAGCGTTTCTGCGGAGATGCCATTGCTGACAGCTGTACGGAGTAGACTGGAGTACGGACTGGCAATAATAATAGCAATCAAGGGAAAGATCCGATCCTGCGCACGCGCGGGTGTGCTCACGTGATGTGACTGGCTGCGGGCGCGGCATTGAAACAAACAAACAAACAAACGGATTCTTGTGCAGTTGGTGCTACTGTGTACTCATCGTTTCCTGTCCCGCTTCAAGGGCGAGAATCCACCAAACCCACCGAACCCACGAGGTTGCCCACTTGGGGCCGTCTGCGGGTTGCGACTGGAATTCAACCCGATCTTACGTCCTGGTTTGCGGACATCCTCCGGCTCCAGCTCTTCTTCCTCCTCGTCTACGATCATCTTACTCTGTGCCCCAAGCTTGCGCCTCTTCGTCCGGGCCTGCATGTGGCCGGAAACAAGAGCGCCGATTGACCCGATATCATCGTCGTCATCATCATCGGCTGGCCTCAAATTGCTGCCTTTTCTGGAGTTCCCTGCGGCCTTGGGTTTTTCCAAGCGTGGCTTCACTTGGGTCGGGCGATGTTCTTGAGGTTCGGCTTGAGGCACCTTGTGTAGTTTGTCTTCGAGGTAAGAAGTCTCGAGAGCGGAATCATCACCACTGAGATGACCAGCATCGTCATTATCACCCTGTCCGCTGGTGCGATTCAGGAATGGCGTGATAGAAAAGACCGATTTGTCGCCAGGGAGCGCGGTCGGTTGCTTCTTCCCATCTTTGACACGAACGGCTCCTGGCGTCGCGATATCCAACTCGGGGTGGAACCGGCTTGAGAAGTCCTTAAGAGGCACCTTTCTCGTTTGTTCTGCAGGACCAATGTTGGATTGCATGCTGGCCTTAGCTTGACGTAGTTGATCCCTTGCCGTCTGTAGTTTTCTATTCAAGACCTCGATCTTGTCTTCTAGAGCAACCTTTTCCGACTCCGAGAAGTTCTTCCCCTGTTGGCTAGTCTTTTGCGCCTCGGCTGCAATTTGCTTGCGTTGCTCCTCAAGCTTTGAGGACAAACCTGATATCTCTTCTACTTGCTGTGCTTCTCGTGCCAGCGTAGATTCGTGTGCCCGCTTTTCATTCTCCAATTCGACTTCAAGCGTGTTTAAATGTCGGTTAAGCGCCTGTTTCTCCGCAACCAATATCTGCGTCTGCGAGTCTTGCGATTTCAGTCTTTCGACTTCAGACTGCAAACTGACCACCTCTTTAGACAGACGCAGCTTGTCGGCAACAAGACTCTTGGATTCGACTGATGTGTTACCCATCGATTCGAGTTCGCGTCGAAGGGCCTTCATTTCATGCGATGTAGTGTGAGCTGAGCTTTGCAAGCGGTCGCGCTCTTGGATTGTTGTTTGCAGCCAGGCACGAGTTTCCGACTCGTTGTTCTTAGCCCGGACCAACTCCTGTTTGATTTGGCCTAGTTGCGATTGGAGACTTTCGTTCTCGAATTGCAAAAGCAAGTGGTCCACCCGAGAGATTCGATTCCGTTCCACATCCAGAAGCTGGGCGGTCTTTCCGAGGGTCTTGTCGTACTCGCGCTCGAAGAATGCTGTTTTGAGGGCCATCTGGCAATCCTCGATTGTATACTCAGACCCGTGGCTGATAAGCTCCATCGCGACGGGCTGGCGTCCAGGGCCGAAACTGGTGAAATTGAAGACGAGAGTTGCGCAACGTAGTTCTTGTGATGGGATAGGGTCGCAAAACACAATTGTGTATAATGTGGAGTTGTTGTTGTCCTAGGACTACGGACTGGAGATTGGGGGGAAGATCTTGCGGGTACGTTCACGTGATGCTGCGGGCTTAGCAATTGAAACAAACAAACAAACAAACATATCGGGGGCCGGTACCGGGATGTGTTGCGTCATGGTCGCCAATGTCATTTAAGTTGTAGATATATGGAAACAAAAGCACTGGGAATGCGCTGACAATATAGTACATGTTGCGTAGTATGTTTCCGTCCTATCTAACATACACGTTGTAGCCAGGAAGTTCTCCCCATTCGGCGTGGTCGGGGTGATATTCAACTTGAAGTAAACACTCTGGGACTTCGATAATATGATAAGGATTAGTCCAGCACAGGGCGAGTTCGTCGGCGGTTAATCTGTCGACTGCCTGACGAGGGGAATGCTTCAACGACTCGTAGCATTTCTGCGCTGTCCCGAAGTTACCAGCCCTTCGGTGCAGGAGGGCGAGAATCAACGAAGAGCGGTCATCCTTTCCAGCCATGCCCAACTCGAACCACTGCCGAGCTAGCCTATCATAATGCTTGTAGGAATGCACACCCTGCAGGTATTGAGACCAGCTGCTTTCCCAGCACGGTTCTGCATCTAATATTCCATCTGCCGGCTGAACGAAGCCCACATCTCCACGACGAGGGAACCGTCCCCTAGCAGTGAGATAGTAGAAACTGCCCAATGAGTGACAAGCCCCAGACACACCAGCAGTCGCAGCTTGATTCATGTACCGTTCGTACGCTTCCAGGTCACCCTTCCGGAACATCATCGACGCATAAGCAGGAAGGTGAGCGGGTATCTGATAGTCCACTGCGAAGAGACGAAGGGACTCTTCTTCACTAAGGCCCCAATCAATTCCCTGCTCCTTCAACTTCTGCTGCAACTTCGTATACACATCGGGTAAAGGTGTCCATTTTTGGAAGGTAAGAGGCGTCTCAGCCCCCTCTACCCGGTTTGCCGGGTAAATGACTGTCATAAGGTGGTCCATCAGCGCCATCGCGTCCTTATATTCCCCCCGTTTTATTAGGACACGCGACTGAAGGAGCATAGCACGGGGTTCGTGGTTGCGGAGTGCCATTGTTTCGACTTGGTCAAGGATTTGAGTCCGTAGGGGGTACTCATTCTGATTCAGCATGCTCAGGTACACGTTTGCGACGAGAAGACTGGGCGTTGGTGAGCCCGCGAGAGCGCATGCGCTTACGAGCCAAAAATAAATGGCGTCGTTAGCCGGGTCGAATAGACATTTGGAAATGTTCCAGATTGTGTCGACATCTGGAGGATCACTGGCATGAGTTTGTGGTAATCCTTGAAGTACGGCCGCTAGACGGTAGTTCTGCTTCACCTTTGCGTGAGGTGGATTAACTCACCTGTCGAAATGTTGCGAATTGCACGAGCCGATGGAGGCTCGGAATAGGCGGTTTGCAGCAGGGTCTTTGCAACCCTTTTATACACCTGGAGGCTAACCTTCCCGCGCTCATAACTCCCGCTGAAGCCGTAGGTTTCCTTCCACTTCTCGTAATGATACTCCGCATTCGCTTCCAGCCTTTGGAGGGATTGTGGGAGATTGCCATCAACAATGCGTTGGAAAATACCCTCTTCTGACATAGGAGAGCGCACCCTTCTTGATTGAGTATTTCGAGCGATGGGGGATCGCGCTGCATTTTTGGAAATGGTTGTATGGAAAGACTGGACTTTCCCGCTCGTGGGTCGGGGATGGCGGATGAGATGGCCCGGTGGAGGAAGGGTGCCCGGACGGGGGATTGTTTCCGGTCGGTAATGTATGCGACATTGTCGCAGGAGACGTGAATGTCGGCCGGAGAACATGGCGGGAGGCTTGCGGGGAAACCTGGTTGGCAATTGAAGCAGAGATGGGATCGGGAGGGCTATCCGGCTCACATTATGCAAAAAAGATCGACGGAGTGCATCGCGAGGCACCAGACGATGCGATGCTCCGGCTATCATATCTCTTGGTCACGTGCCATTAGGTCACATGATTTATGACATAATCTTTCTTCTCGTTCAGTACAAATAGCTTGCGTGTATCGATCGCACTCAAGCTATTGATCGCTCCGATCCGACTTCTCAGAGCTGGCGTGCTCGCAAGAGATGCGGAGAGGTGTCTCGCATCAGCGATTTAGGGTATTTTCTAACATCGGACCTGGCAAGCACAAGGCAATGCTGAATGTATACGAAGAGTTGTCCTTTAAAGTTGTATCGTGAATTTCTCTCTACTTATCATTGGATTCCATGTAGATAGACAGTCCCGGACAGGTAGTTCGTTTCCCAGGGTCAAACAGCATCTCGTACTTCACAGTGGTGAGTGGGCTTCCATTGGAAGGGAGCTTGCGCCACAATTTCCAGAACTCATTGTAGCCCCCGTGCTGGAAAAGTGATACCATGAGTAACAGGGTTCGTACAAAATCAAAGGATATACCTAGGCATTGGTCAGGCGTTGATCAGGCAAGACACAGGACAGAGCGCGTCATTGCTTTCACTCCCTGCATTGCCCACCTTCCTCACCACGAACAGTGCGGTGGGAGGTGATTCGCAGCTGGGTGATCGATAAGTACTTTCATATTCACAACTTTTGCCCCTCGAAGGGAAACACTTCCCAACACGGAGAGCTAAGTCCTTGTCCGACTCCGGCACTTGCCATAAGAACTCGTCGGAATAATTTCCTGCTGGCTGTGGAGCCAGCAATGCTGAAATGACCAACAATCCTAGTCCACCCCACACTGAGTATCCTGAGATGTACATTCCATGAACGCTGCATATAAGCTCTGTATTGTGTACCGCGCGTACTGTCCGGAAACGGTTGTAGAATAGACCGACTTGTCCAATCACTTTCTCATCCGCCGAGTGGATTGATAGCTAATCGTGGAATAGGCGCAAAGAAAGCTTTGAGCCGTAATAGTTGGACCCCTCTCCTAGTTCGATCCTAACCTTGTGATCGGAAGAATTTGATATGTGATCAAATAATGCATTGGTTGAGGCGCTCGCTTGATTCCATTGCTGCTATGGGTATAACTTCGGGATAGGAACGAGAATTGGAACTCCACTAATCCCCTCACATGGGTGGCTCTCGTTCGTGATTCGGTTTACTGAGAAGATGGTCGATACGAAGCAGCCTCTTCGGCCGGCGCAGAGGACTCGCTGGAAGTCTGGGTACACGTCCGGACACACGGTCAGTGGATGATACATTCATTGAATTGAAACACGAACCTCTTCAGAAGGAACACTGGGTTCAACCTGGCCATATTTGCGTTTTTCTCGTTCAGCTCTGTTCTTCCAAAGGCCTTCCAGATCGACTTCACCTCTCTTTTCCTCGGTGAAAATCTGCACCACAACCCTCGTGCCAGGGGCGGTGTGTCCAAAGCCTTCAAAGCTGTAATCCTGCCTTTCTTGGAGAGGTGCTTCCTCCACCACACCGGCATTGACACAAATCCAACCCGTCGTGATTCCGTCGTCCTTCTCATCAAACATCGTGCCTGATCTACTCGCAAGCCTGGCCCGGCGAGCTTTCCTGCGGAGCTTGATCTTCAGCTCGTTCCGACCCAGCAGTCCATCGGCGTAGGGAGACAGCTTGTACGTGCTTCTCAACCAGCGACAGAGACGGTCTGCGGATACATTCAGGTGCTTGACACTGCGCGCAGTTCCGATAAGCATGATGACGTTTGCGCCGAGCGCAGGCGGAGTCTCCAGCGTACGGAGGTCAAGCAGCTTCAGGGCATCCAGACCGAGGTCTTTGAAAACATATTCGAGGAGTGCAGGGAGGATGGCCGGGGAGTTCTCGGGTAGTTCGGGAATTTGATCTGGCGACAATATCTGCCGGGATTCGGCGAGAGGCGTTTCTTCTTGCAGATACCATGGGATGTGAGACGAATTATCCGATGCGGGGGTCGATGTAGTTTCTTCGAGGGATGCGGTCGGGGCTTCAGAGGACGATGGGGAGGAAGGCCGCTCGGACTGGAGGCGAGACACTGAAGCAAAAGGTCGATTCACATAATGAAGAGTAGGTCGGAACGCCACGGGGGATGGGATAGAAGAAGGAACACGGAGTAATTGCTTATGGCACCAAGACCCTCTCAAAAATAGCCTGTTCATGATGATCGGTATCTTGCAAGCACAATGGCTCTCGACAAAGCTTGACAGCTTCTTCCAGTGGCGACCCGAGAGACGCTGGAGCTTCGGCGGGCCATCTCACGTGATGCTACCGCCTGCCGGCTCGGCCCGAGCGACGCCGGAATATCAGTATGGGCAACTGGCAGATTCGTTGCGGATCAAGGTCAAATCTTTGGGCTTTGCTCAGTTATCGACCTCTTCCTAGGCCCCTAGTTTGCCCTTTTCCTTCCTTTCTTTTTTTTCTTTTGTTTTTATTTTCAAATATTATATCTCCAGAATGTTACCTGCTAGAATTGGGACACGGCGTTCCGGTTGCATGTTCATGCTGCAACGGTGAAGATCCCTGCATAGCTAGCCTCAGACTTGGCGGGGCTTCATTAGGCTAATACTAGCAGCAATCTTGGCTTGACTAAACAGTAGGAAGTAGCAACTATCTAGACAAGAGTCTATTAAGTAGAGAAGAGATTAGTAATCTAGCTACGGAAGGATTCTCAGAAACCACTATTCATGTGTGTTCCTTTCAACTCGTCCTCGGAGTTTCCTTCCTTTTCATAGCGTCCTGGTCTTTCCTATCCAGTGGTAGGAGAACCTCCAGATGCAGTTTCGGAACTAGACGTGCTAGAACATTAGTTAGATGTTCCGGCCCGGATGGCTGACGGTAGCCCTTCACAAGCCAGGCCGACGGGCCGAATGCTACGAAGGGCAGGTGAATATAGGGTATCAAACATCCCTAGGGAATCGGCCCTACCGGACCTCCTGTTTGCTGGGCTTCATTCGCCAGAAACGTTCATAGAAAGCTTCCTCATATCCCAGCCTTCCGATTCAACCCAGTCTTTCTTCTCGCCAAGTAGACAGACCGACCGTTGTGAGCCCTGGACCAAGAAGGCCTCGGCTGCTTCGTTGACATCCTTGGCCGTGACGTCGAGGACCTGTTCTCTCCAGCGTTGATCCATCTCATGAGTCACACCACTCATGAAATATCTCGCCCCCTCTTCATCAATGCTCATGGGAGCATCAAGGCCCTGGAAGATACCCAGTTTCGCCTCGTTGAGCTCCCGTTCCGACCAAGCTCGGTCCCTAGCGAAGACTCCGCTGTTCTGGAAAACCTTCAAGGTGTTGATGGGATTGGGATCCCGGTAACTAGTGAAGGCGAACATTCCTTTCACTGGTCCATTCATAGCGCTCGCACCATAGGCGCCGCCCTTCTCGCGGATTTCCGGGTGGAGGTAGTTATGCGTAAGAAGCTGGGAGAGGACGCTGAGGGTTGCATTGGATGGGTTGGTAAAAGGAACGGTTTGCATAGCCAATCCTGAGTAGTAGACCTTGTAAGGCATATCGTAGAATGCCTTGTTTGCACCTAGGCCGATGGCTGTACTGCTGGGAGTAGATGTCGGCGAGCGGATTTGGGGCAAGCCCGCGAGCCACTTTTGTAGCACCGACTCGTTTTGTTTGGCGCTGTTTTGCTCGCAGACCATACGGACACGGAGACCGGAAGACTTGGAAGTAGCAAAGGATTGAATCAGACGAAGCTTTTCAATCAACTCTGCAAGACGCTCCGGCGAGGTCTCCGCGTCGCGCAGCAGGTTAGCTGTAGCTTGCAACTGGGCAAGGCCGGACTGCTGTTCTTGAACCCACAAGCTACGCGAGAGACCTGCGGCGGCGGCATTAAGGGCATAACGATGACCTGACCCAGCCACTGCATCCAAGGCACCGTTTGTCGTCAGTCGCAACAGTTCCTGGATCATAGCCGGTGCACTGGGACTAGTGAAATCCGTCTCAGTGATAAGCGTAGTGAGAATCTCCAGCATCTCCGGGATATTTTGATCCAAGGCAAAACCAGAAAATTGAAGACCTTCGGCGAACTTTCCAAGCTGCGTTGGCGATGAGGTGTGGAAAGAGGACGTTGAAATTCCGCCAGTCTTCAGTTTGATGAGATCTTCCCACTGCTCCATCGACTTGCTCGCTGTGCCAAGGCGCATTATGCAGTCGTTGAACAGAGGCATTAATAGCCGGAGGTCATCTGGAAGGTCTTCAAATGCATTCAATGCCTGAAAGTAGGTCAGACCGTTAGTAGGAGCCTCGCGCCAGACGACATCTACGTCGTCAACTTTAGACTCCCGAACTGGCTTGCGCTCTTTCTCCCGAGAAATATCAGCAACCTGAAGGGATGGTAGGCATCCCAGGTCCGCATTTTGGGCCTCCTCTTGGATTTTAAGCAATTGGAGCTCTTCCTCTGTCAGCTTGGCAATCGCTTTCTCAAGGGAGCCATGCTGCTCAATGAGCTGGTTGAGCTTTTGCTCCTTCCGCACCAGTTCTTGTTCGTCTAGCCCCTTGTTGAAAGTAGGACTGCCAACCATTGTGAAGGTCATACAGTTATCGTTCATGAGATACTTCTGCATCAGAGACTCTAGGTAGCCGCCCTTCTCGTACCGCCTTTTGAACTCATCTATGACTTCGTTCCACGCAAGCTCCTTCATGGGATTTGAACCATTGAACCACGAGGAGATGGTCTTCTCCATAACTCCAATGCCAAAGTTGGCAGTCTTGTGTCGCAGAGCGAGCTCCAGCTGGTGGAGGAATCCCCGAACCTTTTCGTCACTAAATCCAGTAGAAAGACACCCTTCGAATACTTTCTGGATGGCCTCTTTGACTTTCGGCGCTTCCTCTTCGCTCACACCAGTAACCCCAGCGGAGAAGACGGGAACACGGCCTGACGAGTCGAGCCCTGTGTTAGGCGTGAATGAAGAACCCAGGCCACTTTCGATCAAGGCCCGGTACAAAGGCGACCCATAGCCATCCAGGAGCAGCGAAGAAAGAATTCCAGCCGAGAAAGTCTCGACAACATCGGCACTATCTCCCATGTACCAGGACGTAGAGGTTTTGTGTTGCTTATCTTCACTGGCGAATGTATCGATCGGACCGGAAACGGTGACGCTTTGAGGACCCTGAGTGAGGTCAACCGGCAGCTTGACGGCCGTGTCAGCCTCGCCCTTTTGGAACCCGTCCAACACGCCTCCAATTTGCTCAAGATGGGCGCTTAGCGGCATGTCACCATAAGTGAATATTTTCGCGTTGCTGGGGTGGTAATTGCGTTTGGAGAAGTCGACCAGTTGCTTGTGAGTTAGATCGGTGATGTATTGAGGATCACCTCCCGAATTGTTCAGCGCGGGGAAGATGCTCTCCTTGTACTTTATGTAGTAAAGATAGTTGGCATCCGATATCTGGCCCTTCATCTCATTGTATACGACACCCTTGAAAAGGATATCCTCGGGCCTCTGCTCCCCCTGAGATTGCTCCTCACGGGCCAGAATGGCGCGAGGATCCTCCGGCCCCAGTCGCCATCCTTCCTGTCGAAAATCTTCTTCCTTCAACAACGGGTGGAAGGTGGCATCCAAATATACCGAGAGGAGGTTCTGGAAGTCTTGCTGATTGGTGGTGGCAAATGGGTAGGTAGTATGGTCGGCAGAGGTGAAGGCGTTCATGAAGTTCGAGAGGGACCGAGGGAGCATTTTGAAGAAGGGGTCGCGAATTGGATATTTTTCACTTCCGCATAGTGTAGTATGCTCCAGGATGTGAGGAACACCGGTAGCATCCGGAGGATTTGTCTTGAACCCGATACCAAAGACGTTGTTCTTGTCTTCCCTAGCCACATGGATGTAGTCCGCATCGGTCTTGTCATGCTTTAACCGGACGGCTGTGAGATGCAGCTCGGGGACGTGCTGCTTTTCTTGGACGGTGAACCCATGGATCCCTTCGCCGATCTCCGGGAAATTGTCTAGGCTCGTGACAGTCGAAGCAGACCGTCTAATCGGGCTCCAGCGGAGCAGCACGCTATCCGACCTCAGTAAACGTCCGGGTTTCTGCAAAGCCGGGATTCGGCCTCGGCCTACCCCTAAAGATGACCGTAACATAGCGCCGTTCCAATTGTGTATCCAACTGTGATAGTTATCCCCTGCGCCGTAGGATTGGTTGGCGTGCTTTCGTCAGTCCGCTGCCGGCTGTTGTGGTCCTGAGCGGACCGGGATGAAGCGCAAAAGTTAGGATAGGCAACAAGTCGACCGCTGGGTGGTATTGGACGAATGAAGCGGATGCAGAGCCGTGGGGGCACCCGAGACTGACAGTATATGTGCAGGGAGACTCCGACAGGGGGAGACACTCCAACGTATTAAAGGGAATTGTTGTTGTTGACTTGGTTGTAGAGAGTCCGGGGTGAGCTGAAGATTTGCCGTGGGTGCTCACGTGAACTGCACCGATTTCCGGTACGGCCCGACCGGCGCCGAGACGGAGCTTCCCAGATGAATGGATGCGGGCTTCGTAGAACATTCAACATACACAAAAGAGTAGGAGGATTTCGAATCACTATATTTTAGGGCTCATCTTGGCATTAAGGACTAGCGATTTCTAGACATTATCAAAGAGTGCCTGCAGATGATAAGCAGGCCTTGGACAGCCTCTCTAGTGTCCGTACGGAATCTCTACGAAGCTGGGGATAGGCAGGCTTGCGCCTGGCGGCTGGCTGGTTTGAGGGATTCAGACTCGGAATCAGGTGCGCTACTACGCTTGACCAGGGCCTCGCCGCCATCGCTTCAGGGACCTCGAGGACCTTACTATTCTTTCGCTTTCTCCGTTCGACGAGTTCCTTGTTGAGTCATTGTCGAATAGGGCAACTACGAACATCATCATGGTGTGTAGTCGCGGGCAGTTACCACCCTTGTAGTATCCAGGCCATGATCGGACCTGGCGGCGCTGTTGTTGTGAGTCACAGAGCACTCTAGACAAGCCACTCTTGGGCAGTGCAGGTGAGCTGGTCGAAACGCCTCGGGAAGATTCTCAGTGACGTTGGGGTTGTTCTAATTTGTGGCTGTTGTTGCTTGCCTCTTAGAGTGGAGGTAAAGAGACACGGAGAGATGAGTCGAATCAGCGATTCGGGCGTGGGGCAGGTAAGAGACGTGAAGAGGTCTTACATTAATGTACAAAGATATTTATCTTCTCCTGCTCACCAGAGTTTCCCCTTCTTCGGCATATCAGCCATTGCAAATGGCATCCGAAGAAACATATCCATCAACAATGCTGCGGCAACACTAACGTTGAGACTGTCCACCCGGGCCGGATCAGACTCAACCCCCAGCTCCGTACTGATTCTGGCCCCCGGGATGCTAACTATGGCATCCGCCTGTGACCGGATATGGGAACTCAACCCTGTGCCCTCGCTGCCCATCATTATGACACTTGGTGATTGAGCAAGAGGGCCCTCACTGGCAGAGGAGCCATCACCAGTACTGCTGGTTTGCCACAAAGAGCTAGGGTCGATAAGGGTGGAACCTGGGCCGGGGGCGTCAGCCGCATAAAATCGCCACCCGTTGGTTTTGGACCGCTGGATGAATTCCACCTCATTTCTGACATGGAGAAGAGTCATGTTTTCTGCGGCTCCCGCGGAGGACTTGATGGTAACCGGTGATAGAGGCGCCGAGTTTCGGCCCGCGAAAACGATAGCTTCAACCCCCAGATAATATGCGGAGCGAATGATGGCGCCAAGGTTTCCAGGATCGATAATGCCATCAAGTAGTAGAACGACAGGGTATCTGTTTCGAAGAGAATGGTTGATTTTGATCCGATCATTTGTACCATTTACCTGGGCTTCTTCCCGCGATTGCACTCCTAATTCCAGGCTAAAGTGGTTCTCTTCCGCGGAAGAAACGGTCTTGAAACTCTTCACAGGGAGTTGAGGTAGAGGAGACACCTCCAGAACACAGCCGTTGTGAGGTCGTCCAGCACTCATCTTGTCTAGCAAGCGGTCCCAGCCCGCAAAAGCCATCTTTATAGCGACGTTCTTAGAAAGGGCTAGTTTCCGCAATGCGATTTTCGAGGAACTTAGCTCCTCACCTGCAGCCTGATAAAGGTATAGCTTGTACAGCTTGCGCCGACTGCAGCGCAAAGCCGCTTCCACCGCTGCACCTCCATAGATAAATTCCGACGCAGGCGTAGTGTAAGGGATCGAGTCAGGGACAAGAACGTTTTCCTTCACGCGTACGGGTACCTTTTCCGTTGTGCGATGGTAGGCAGTCCGATCCTTAGGATGACCATTATCCTTTGTCCTGGGCATATCTCGCGTGTCTCTCGTTCGCGACATGTCATTCATTCTAGATGATGACCTGGTGTTTTCAAATCTCTGGTGTACTCTCGGCAGAGCACGGAAATTCCCCGTCCGGATAAACTCATCCTCATCGAATTCGACTTCAGCCCTTCGCGGCTCGCGTGTATCCTTATACCCCGATCGCGGCGGCCTGGAGTCCCCATCCCTATCCATATTCCTATCCCTCCTGTCCCTACTACGACGATCATCCCGATCGAATTCGACTTCACCACTCCGCGGCTCGCGAGTATCTCTATACCCCAATCGCTGCGGCCTGTACTCCCTACCCCTGTCTTCATCCCTCCTATCCCTTCCGCGACGATCATCCCGTTCCTCGCCAAAGGACTTGCGTGGGCCATCTACCGGATGGGACCTGCGAATACCCCGACCAATAGCCGAGTTGAGGGAGGCATGTCTGATCGAATGTAGGCGAGCTGCCGGAGCCACTGAGGATCGAAGATAAAGTCGAAGGGGAACGAGGGAGGAGTGAAGAGACATGATGATTCCGAAGACGTGAGATGTTTTCCACGACTTGGATTGGAAATGGGGAGTTGTAGGTAGGGGCGGAGATCGATCCCCGGGGAAAGTTCTGCGTAGATGGGCACGTGATGTAGTTAGCTAGCGGTCTAGCCTGGAGGTTCAGGCAGAGGTGCATGCGGTCTCGACTTCGGCAAAATGCCGAAAAGCGGGGTCGGAGCGGTTCAACCATTTACCTGGTTGGCCAGGCCAATTTGGTACTACGTTTACAGAGTAGTGGAACTAGTAGTTGTTCACGACTTTATTCTGTATCATCTATGCATTGTTTTCGATTGGTTCATACTGCAAAATTGGCAATTAGCTAGCATATACGATTTGACATGACTGCTAGTGCTGACCCAAGCGTGGATGAATGATTACATTGAATTAGATTAACATGAATTAGCTCTAGAGATTGACTCGGACCCCGGTTTAAAGTTGGAGTGCGAAGGTCCGCTGTATTTGTGTTTCACCTGAAGTAGTAGAAGCGAGATATCATTGGCATCGGCGTTTTCGTTTCGTCTGCCACACCCCATGATCATACTGAGTTTATGGGCATTCCAGGAAACCAAAAAGGGTTCAGAGTTAAGCAAGTCCCCGTCGTTCGTGGCAGGGACTCATCCTGGTTGGTGCTCGAGGGAAAGCTCGGATCTAGGCTCGTAGGGGTGGACTCGCCTCATCAAGAATCAGCTCGGAAAGTGCCAGATTGGGAGAATCCCGGATTTGGTGGCAGTGTTTCTTGTTTCGAGATGTGGGGAGGTGAGTCAACTCGGCGATTCAGGTGTTGAGAAGGCAGAGATCTGCGTGTATAGATATAGACATGTGTGTACATCCCTATAGATGTCTACACATCAGATATCGGCGACATGAGAGATCAGCCCATTAGCCCGCCCAGAACCACGCGGCCCACACCGGCGATTTCATTCTTGGCCTGATGACGACTGGCATCCTCAAACTCGCGAATAATGCCTGCAACCATGATCTTGCGGATCTTCGCATCTGCCTTGGAGAACATCTCCCCCAATGCCACGCTACACACCGAGGGCGTGAAAACCAACGACACCAGCCGCGTGTAGCAATCGATAAGAACATCGCATAATGTGACAAAGGTTTCAAAATAGTCCGGCTCGAACGGCAATAATGGTGTCAGAAGATAGGAGTACTCCTCACCAGGGAGCAGCTCCGAGGCTTCCGTATGCGGAAATGAGATTGTTGTTGTATTGGCCGAGTTCCCTGCCATTGCTTTCAGATCTGACGGATCGCTGGATTGCATGGGCAAGCCGATTTCTGTGGCCGAACTAGCACGGCGCGCCTTGGTGCCTGCGTGTGCGGCTCGTTTGAACATCTGGGGAATGCGGGCTCGGGCGAGAGTGGAGGAGGATATGCCATCTGGAGGATGAACTTGTTGAAAGGCCTCAAATTCTATCAAGAGGGTATTAAGGGCGCGGAGGAATTCAACCGGCGTGGTGCTGACATCGAGAATCGGCGGCAGGGAGAGACCCAGGAGGAGGTAATTGATAGCACGACGGGCAAGTTTGCGCGGCTCAAAGTACGGGAGGCGACCGATGTCACTGCGGGAGAAGTGAACAGTATTAAACCAGTATATACGGCCTTCATGAGCCTTGCGTAGGTAACCAAGGGTTGAAATTCGCTTCGCGGCCATGTCATGGATGTGTTGATAAATTGCTGCTGCACTCTGGGGGCCTAGAGATCCACCACTTGTTAACGGGGGTGGGATGGACCCCACCCCTGGATCATGGCTGATACTGGATTTGGTGTCCCTGCGCGAAAGGCTAGGGGCGAAGGTAGAGGATATCATGTTAGACATGGCTGCGTGGCAAAAAGGGGTGCCTGCCCCGGGCAAAGAAGCAAAGAAGTGGCTTGCCTTGAGCTGGGGAGGAGGGAAGTTGGGGAGGGAGAGGCGTGGAGAGAGACGGAGGTTCCCGGGGCCATGGAGGAGGGTCATGTGATTGGTATCATGTGATCATGGATATGGAGAGATGGTGGAGAGGATTCGGTCATTAGAAAAACCACGCCACCTTCGTCGCAATGCTCTAAAACCTGGTTGGATTACATCTGACTACCGGCGGACCCCATCTACGTCCTTGCTCGGTCTTACGACACTGTGTGGCCGCAAACTCCAATAACCCTGAGCAAGCCCGGGAAGAACGAATCCCAGTAGCGAGGCACTTCTCTCATGAGACGGAGTACGCACTAGTACAAACAAACAACAACACAGCCGAATCAGCCTACGCACCAGGCGCTAGAGCACCATGGTCTGCTCCGTTTGCGGGTTTGGTATTGCGTTCACGCAATCGTCGGCCTTCCATGAGACCGCGCAGACCGCGCTTCTGCAATCCAATGACGCTGCTGAGGTCGCCGGTCCAGATCTCGCGCTCGGGACGGAGTTCCGCGTCGGTGTTGCGGCGATGGTGGGACGGTCGGGTCGGATCCCCGCCCATCTCGGTGTCAGAGTGATCGAAGCTGGTGTTGGTGGAGGCGGAGGTGGAGGTACTGGCGTTGCTCATGGCGTCTTCGCGGTCGCGGTCGCGCTCTCGTTCTCGGTCCAGGCCGGCCGTGCTGCGCTGGCGGCGGCTGAAGATATTGGTGTTGATGCGGAGGGGGATCCCGCGGGAGCCCATCACACCGCTGGCACTGCTGGCAACGGAAACGGCAGAAGTACCGTGCTCCGTGTCAGACGAGTCGGAGGTAAGATGGCTTTGGGAGGTGGTGGTTCCCGTGCCAGAGGATGATTCGTGGCTGGCGTGCGCGCCGTTCAACGCTTCCAGAGTGCCCCCAGGGCCACTGGTGAAGCCGGTGCCTCGACCACCCCGGCGGCCATGGCGGCCGCGTTGAATACGGCAGCGGCGTTTCGCCCGTCAAGGACCTGGTGGAGGCGCTCAACGGTGGCTTCCAGGAGACCGTCGACCTGATAGGGGCGGGCGAGTTGGAGGAGGGAGCAGAGGATCTGCGGGGTGCAAAGGGGGGAGCCAGCGGGGGGTAGGGAGGAAGTATAAAAGTAATAGACAAGAACTTGGAGGGTCAAAAAAGTGTGTGGGAGATAAAGCACGCGGGGACGAGAGGTAGGGGAAAGGCTATGCGCAGAGGGTATCTCAAGGTTCGCTAACAAGGACTTGGACGTGGCTGAGTGGTTGCTGACGAGAGTAGAGCTGGTGGAGTAGTTGCTGTTTTGCCCGATGGAGGGGGTGATGGTGATGCTCGAGTTGCGACTTGGGTACATCGCGACTGCTGGACGGAGCGTGACAGTCTCGCCTATCCCACCGTCGCAGGACTCACGAAGAAGCTGGATGAAGTAGGGGCCCCATCGACGGGTCAGGATGCGCGAGTTCACAGGGATCCGCTCTCCCCCAACAGCCTGGAGTTCCATATCGGCCATTTCAGGCAGAGACTGGGCGAGACTTCCCAGTTCGTCGGACGCGGAGGAAAATGGCCTTCCACCAGAGGTCAATTTGGTCAATCTGGGCTGCATGGACGCAGGAACCGAAGGCGCACTGTAAGAGATGTATCCCGAGGTGGGCGTGGTCCGACATGCATTGTTGTAGAGCCCAAACGCTTCCAGCTCGACCATACACACGTGGGAGAAGTTGATCCGGCGATGATTGTAGTCCTCGACGAGACTGCGCTTCCGGTGGCCCAGAATGACGAAGGTGTTCCTTCTCGACCACAGAATGCCACGATTCCAGCTGCCATGGCCGAACACAGACCCGCCGGCATCGATCCTACCCCAGGTGAGAGTCCGAAGGTCGAGGGCCCACAGCGCATATTCTTGCTTTGACGACGTCAGATACGTCCCGCTCACGACAAAATGCCCATTGATGACCCCTCCGTTGGGAAACCTCAAGCCAGGAGGCGAGGCCTGACTCTGCATGGGTTTCTCGATCAGGCGGCCATCCGGTAGGCGCACCTGAAGCTCCAACTTCACATCCAGGAAATTGTAATTGGAATATACCAGCATCGGACACCCCTCGACCTGCGACTCTTCCACCGGCTCCTGCTCCTCCTGATTGTCTGCAGCGGACCCAATGTCGGAAACGTTCATACCGACCAAGGGAGCAACTACGCTCCGATAAGCACCACAGCTTCGCCCCAGATGACTGGTGCTGGTCCACTTCAAGCTGCGTAGGTTGAACACACTGATCTGCTCAATATAATGATTTGAGCTATCTTGTCCTCCTACAACCACCATTTCTGCGCCTCCGAACCCATCAATATCAACGCCGATCGAGCCCTGGTGCGGATTCGACGAAGCCGGGTTATGGTGAATCGCGGAAAGTGGCGCAGTAGCGGAAGTGAAATGGGCGCTTGAAGGCAAAATAGTCGCACAGTGCGCATAGCGGCCCTGCGGCGAGTCGCTCGCGGGCACACGGGTCCACGTCCGGGAAGGGACATCGAATATGTGAATATCAGACATAACCACAACCTCCGGCTGCGCCTCCTGTCCACCCGAACCATTAGTTGCGGACTCCTTCGCCACATTCAGCGCAGGCGACATGCCACCATAGCACACCAGCTTGTGATCACCCAGGGCGCAGACACTGTGAAAATAGCGCGGGCGAGGGACATCGCCCGTGGCTTCGATTTTCGTCCAGTGACGCCGGATCAAGTCCAGCTCGTATATATCCGACGTCAATTGCGGGCGACTTTTGGAAAGAACACGACCGCCGAACACGTAGAGCTTATCGCCCAAGATCGTCGTAGTGGCCCCGACCAACGGATGCGGTTCTCTGCCGGTCGTTCGGCGGACATTGCATACCAGACCAGACAGATTGATGGGACCTGAGTTCGAGGATGGCGGTTGAAGTCCAGGTTGGGCCCCAGTCGCCGAGGGGTCTTCCCTCCCAGCGTCCAGATAACCCAGACTCGACTGGCTTCTGGACATCATTTTGGCGCACTAGAACAGGCCACAGAAACCGAGAATCTCCCTTCCACTTCGCCAGAGCAGGTCCCCTTCCAGTATCACGTATACTTCCACCCACTCAATAACTTATCTCCTGGTATGGCGCTATTGGGTACTCGAATCGACAGGGGGTCATCACACTCGTTAAGCACGAACAGGCACGGTTGCGGAGACGAGTGCCGTTGGGCGATCCTCCAGGTCGAAATCGGACCGGCGCGCGGGGGAAGAAATTATGTGGTCGTAAATGCCGTGGGGTCAAAGGGTATAATGATAAGACATGTATGCCGAGAAAGCAAGAGAGAGGGGTATAAGGAGTGGAATGTAGAGTGTCCAAGTAGGGGGGCGCTGTGTGAGATCTCCCCCCATCACATGACCTGCTTACATGATCCACTTCATCTTGTGTCAAAAACGTTATTTGACTTTGACTACGGAGGGTTTACCGTTTTTCTCTTTAAACTTTTTATTCCTCCTTGAACGACACTAGTAGGCACTATCCAATGCTTGAATTATCCGATCGCCTCACGGGTTGGATGTTTTGACCTCTTGCGTGGCCCATTAGGCGCTGAACCCGAGGCAGGATGTGTGGTTGCAGGTCGCTCGGGTCCGTTTTTTCGGTCGCGCGGTCCGTTGCTGGTTAGTAATCAGGTCTTAGTCATGTGATGCTTAAACAAGCTATTTCTTATTATTGTTATAAATTTCAGCTCGCATTATCTTTTTCAATACACTTACATATTATTATTTCATTATATAATATCTTTATTTTTAATATTATTTTTAAGTAGTTAAAAAGTAGTTCACAAATAATTAAAATGTACTTTATAAGTACTTAAAAATAATATTAAAAATAAAGATATTATTGTTACGGACCCCTGCTAGCTGAACAACTAGTAAGGCGGGCATGTCAGGCAGAAGGCCACATCCGGACGGAGGGGGGCTCTTATCGAGGAGGATCCCGACCTGAACCGTCAGGCAACACGGATCACGTGACCATAGTATATAAATAAGCATGTGGTATATAACATACTATCATGGTCTATGACTATTAAGTGGATATATGATAGACCTGATGGTATATAGAATGGTATACAGGGAATGGATATATAAGAACACTCCTTCATGTACTTAGTTAGTTCTGTTCTTCATGTTCAATTCCAATTATCTTTAAGTAATCTATGTTTTGGTAGAGCTTAGTAATAACACTCGTCTACACTTACTTACGGATAGCTGTACAGTATTATCTGGCCTTACTTCTCTTCTTCTGTTTAGATCAAGTCACTTTTAGATAGTCAATAACCTGACTACCTTTGATTTAGTTCACAAGGTATGTATTGGAACGGGAGCTAAGCTAACAAGAACAGGAAGAAGCGATCCTAGGGTTTAATACATTAAGCACCAGTCAGTACAAGTGTTACTAATAATAACTAGTCATCATGTTAACTATATTGAACACATCGCGTGCGCCTCAGCAGCAGGGCCTGATAACCAAGGAACTGATGGATATGGTTGGTCAGCTACAAGAAAGCATCACGGTCTTAGAACAAAAGAACCAGTTATTTGAAGGTTGCTTATCAGTCAAATCTGTTAAGATCTGACCACCCGAGCCATTTGACGGCAAACGAGCGAAGCTTAGAGCTTTCTTGATCCAGTTAGACTTGTATCTTAATGTTACGGACCCCTGCTAGCTGAACAACTAGTAAGGCGGGTATGTCAGGCAGAAGGCCACATCCGGACGGAAGGGGGCTCTTATCAAAGAAGATCCTGACCCGAACCGTCAGACAGCACGGATCACGTGACCATGGTATACGGACAAGCATGTGGTATATAACATACCATCATGGTCTATGACTACCAAGTGGGTATACAACAGACCTGATGGTATATAGAATAGTATACAGGGAATGGATATATAAGGACACTTCTTTATATACTTAGCTAGTTCTGTTCTTCATGCTTAATTCCAATTATCTTTAAGTAACCTATATTTTGATAGAGCTTAGCAACAACACTCGTCCGCACTTACTTACGGATAGCTATGCGGTACTATCCGGCCTTACTTCTCTTCTTCTGTTCAGATTAAGTTATCTTTAGATAGTTAACAGTCTGACTACCTTTGATTCAGTTCACAAGGTACGTATTGGAACGGGAGCTAAGCTAATAGGAACAGGAAGAAGCAATCCTAGGGTTTGACACATTGAGCACCAGTCAGTATAAGTATTACCCAGTAATAATTAGTCATTATATTAACTACATTGAACATATCGCGAGCGCCTCAGCAGCAGGGCCCGACAATCAAGGAACTGATAAACATGATTGGTCAGCTATAAGAAAGCATCACAGTCTTAAAACAAAAGAATCAGTTACTCAAAGATTACTTATCAGTCAAATCTGTCAAGGTCTGACTACCCGAGCCATTTGACAGCAAATAAGTGAAGCTCAGGGCTTTCTTAACCCAGTTGGACTTGTACCTCAACATGAATAAGAAAAAGCTTAAGAATAAAAAGGATAAGATCTTTTTCGCGTCTACTTACCTTACTGAAGCAGTATTTAATTAGTTTGAACTATATATTTGCAAGTAACAGAAAAAGTTAGTAAATAATCAGAATAATGATATAAAACAACTTTTTATTAATTATACTAGATTTAAACAGCATCTTAAATAGATATTTAGAGATATTAATACAGTATAAAATACTGAGTAAAAATTATAATAACTTAAGTAAACAGAATCAGTATTTATATATACTTCAGAGTTTCAGTAAGTTATTAATTACTTAGACTAGGATAATGATACTTATATCTTATGATTTGAAGAAGGACTCAAGATAGAGATCCAAGAAAAAATCATTTAATAAAAATAACTAGACATCTTGGCCAAGATAATCAAAATAACAGTAAAGATTAATAATAAGCTGTATAACTTTAATATAAAATAATAAAAGGATTAGTAGACCAGCAGGTCTACATCTTGATATAATAACCAGCCAGGTTACTGAGTTAATAACAGAAGATTGGCATAATCTAGAAGCTTGGAATATAAAGATCCCTACAGGCTAAAGCCCATGGAGCTGGATGCTGCACAGCATCAGACTCAAGAGACTCAAGTGTTTAAGAAGGAACTTGAACAGTGTAAACAAGACTGCTTATACTTTAGCTACAGCAAAGTAGATCACCAGTTAAAAGACTGCAGTCAGAAACAGTAACAGCCTCAGAAACAATTAAGAACTATATATCAAGATCAAGACAGAGAAGTCTATAATATCATCGCTATTTAACATGAGATTTAGATAGATACCGTGATATAGATACTAGATAATAAGAAATTATATACTATTCAGTATAGTCAGCTGTTAGAGAATAGAATATACTATAATTAGTTAAGATAATAGATTACCCAGGATAAGTTAACAGTATTATCTAGTTAATAAGAGGATTGATAATTATCTGTACCATTAGTTTGGACTATAAAAATCAATAATAATAATTATAAGCCAGTTTTGAGAAATAACTATCCTAATATAGTTTAGAATAAAGATAAACTATTAAATAAAGAGTACAGTATACCACTTAAAAGTCTTAAATCCAGTAAGAAGAGACTTAACAAGATATCCAATATCTCTAAAAAACCTTTATTAAAACTTAGTAAACTCTGTCCATCGCAGCGAGACGAGGACAAGAAAAACTAGAAAAATAATCAAGAAAACATTACTTATTAATTAAACCATATTTTGAAAAAAATCTTAAAGAATCTAGCATAATTCTGTTTAAAGCTTAAGATAATCATGCAGCATTGTCCACATTAAGATTTAAAATATTGAAAATCATAAAATAAGACTTAAAAGCAATATCTATGGAGATGCTCTTATTATCTAGAAGTTTATTTAATATATAGATAAGATAATATAGACTATTATTACCAGTTATTAGAGATTAACCAGAAGATAAATATTGCCAGAATAAAGTCTTAATATAATAAACCATGTCTGTACATTTATTTTAAAGAAAGTAAAGATTATTAAAAATATGATAAACTTTCTTAGCTTGTATACTATATAAACACATGCTTAACACACCATGATTAGAAATATATTACTAATTACCAATCTAGAGTACTAAAAGTAGTTAGGACTAAGATAAATTATTATCTATATAATATCTTTGGATACGCGTGTAAAGAATACCAGAGATATCTTTATTATAAATTAATATATTAACTAATATATTTTAATAACCAGTATATAATATACTACGCAGTAAAAATAAAAGACTTAAGATTTTTAAGAAGATATTTATAGTAGTTAAAACCTAACTAGCCGGAACAGCAGTTAGTAGCTACAGAATCAGGACTATATTTAAAGATTTAAGCAGTTATATTAGATTGACCAGTCCAAGTACTGATAGATTTTAGAATAACTAGAAACTTCATGAATCTGTGATTTATACAATAACTTAAGATACTCAGATAATAGAAAGAAAAACCTAAACTAATCACAGGACTAAATAGAGAGAATTTGGAAACTCTTATATTAATAGTTAAGTTAGAAACTATATTTATAACTGTAAAGGATCACTACAAGTATATAGACTTTGATATAACATCTTTAAGATAGTATAATATTATATTAAAGATTTTATAGTTTAGAAATCATAATCTATAGATTAATTAAAAAACTGAGAATCTCTAATTCATGAATTGTGATTGTCTAAGATAATACTAGCAAGGACTAGGTATAGGATCTGGATCTGTATAGCCTGCTACTTAGTATAGAGCTGAAATAAGGATTAAGTAATCTAGTAAGAGAAGATTAAGATTGCTATAAAAGCTTAACATGCCAGGTATCAGAGATAACTTAGAGGAAAATAGTATTTTAAGTATAGTTATACAAGTAATAATAGTAATTAAGCTATCATAGAGAGATTAGCTTATAGAATTATCAGAATAGATACTAACAATAATAAAAAAATATTGTGAATATAGTATTAATAGC